CCATGGGGCTTAATCACGTCGGACGAACAAATAATATAACCCATGTTTTTTCAGGGACGCGGTTACGGATCAATTGGGTACGTTTTTTTTCCTCGTCATCTCTACAATGGTAATGGCACGCTTGGGTAACCTAACACCTTATCTGAAAGCGTTCAGGTAATGGGTGTACTGAAAGACACGACGATTTCGTAAGCAATGGTAGGTAGGAACGACAGTTATGTATGGAAGCTCGGTGCGTTGTTGGGAACATACAAAAAGCTTTTTTGTCTTTGGAATATTTTTTCATGTTCCAATATTATTATGTTATAAATATTGTAATCGCAGTTTGATATTTGATGTTATAGAAATTTTCTGAGGATAAGCATTATAAAGCCAAGTTATATATTCGCAGTATTTGGCTTTGTAACAATAGACAATTTTATTGATAAACGTACCAGGCATTTGGATACAGAATTTTGCTCTTGATTAGAGTATGTCCCATTTGTCCTTATAGTAATCAGAGTCGTTTTAGGGCAACGGGTCAACGCAGGTCTCTTTAGTTCTTTCACGTTGTAATTTTATTTTTATCAAAAATCTGGACGTCTATGAACTGTTTGGGTCCATTTTATCGCCATTTTTCACAAAACAAGAACTACTCCGTAGGACCATAGAAACGTAAATTTCAAGGAGATTCACAACTATAAATTCTGTTGCTAAGTAACAAAAAACGTGAACATTTTTAGCCTTCAGAGTTTTTTTTGCAAGAAAGCGATATGTGACCAATAGGCTTTTACCATAAACTATTCGGAGTACACCAGCTTTCCACGTAGAGCTGAAACAGTCGTGAATATACCACGTCAATATAGGTGAACGTACTCAAGATTGTGGTCAGTTGGAAATCTCACACATTCCAAACTTCGTTGGTATATTATCCTAATATACGAGGTGGCGTTGTACTCGTGTTATTTACATAAGTAAGTCCGGGACACGGAATAACGTAAACCGATAGACAACGAGACAATAGTTTCGGTAAATAGACCAGTGTTTCTTGAAGCGAAATAAGATTTAGGCTACTTTAAGTATCAGGTAGAAGTAAAGCGAAAATCAGCATAATATGGTGGATTGCTCTTATGGTTTATGCTTATAGTTAGCGGTATATTAAAATTAGAATTATTTCTGATAAACATTCCCCATGTTATTTGTTACAAATGCGGGGTCGAATATTATTCAAAATTAACACAAATCAATCGCAAGTTTTTTCGAAAGCGGTATGTGCTTTCTATCGGTGATTCTAATAATAATCCATGCCCTTATTTTGTAAAAATATATAAACAGTTTTAGATCCAACTTGTCAAAATACAGTTATGCGTAATATCGCTGTAATATATTTCATCTAATCAGCTAGGTAACGGAATGCCATGCTGGTTACCTCACCGCCCGGAGTCTCTTTTTTGTAACGGATTTAGTTTTTGAGCATTAATCTTTTTTATTACACATATTTGTTCGACTTCTTTCTATTCTACCTGAATCAAAGTTAGATTTTTATCACGTGTGTCGCTACTCGATAACCAACATTGGTTTTACGCGTCATTCTTCACCGTGAAATGCCGTTTTCATATTTTTTCCCTAGTTTTTATTTGCATCAAGTGTTTGCATCATTTTGGTGAAAAATGACCTACTGACTGACTAAAACGTTTCCACATAGGCTACGGCTTGAAATAATCAGTTTTTCTTCGTATCGCGTTTAAATGAAATAAATTATCTAAAACTGATGTCCTTTGTAACCCAAAATATTCTAAATATGCGGGGTATCTGTCAAATGTCTGTACTGAATATACAATGAATTGATGACATTCTTATCCTCACAGGCGGCAGTGTTATCAATAGACTTTATCTCAAGAATTGTGTTTGCGTCATAAATAAATTTATATTGTAAATTCTCGCTCGTGTATTAATGAGTTACTTTAGTATGGAGTAATGTTCCAGTAAAAGTCAGTTAGTCGCTTGTTGTAAGTTGTATTTTCTACTAGGGATTTATAGGCTGAAAGAATGAATGTAATTCTCAGACAATAAATCTACCTAGCGCCAGAATTACCTTTATGACAATAGTTTTCGTTGTGCAACATATGAATATCTTATTTTTATTTGAATACTATTTAAATCCAAACGGATCAAAATATTTTATGATCATTTTGAAAAGCAGCAAAAGAGAGCAATAACAGCAAAACCCAAACAAATATCGGATCTTAACGCAGTTAGGGTATGCAAGTATTATGCGATTTAAATTAAATTATGGACAAGGTTGTTTTTGCGTATAACTTTATATTAACACGTACGTGTATATCATTTCCGCTTTTTTTGTATTTACTTTACCGCATGCTGACAGAAAATGACTGAGTGGGAGCGGGATTGTGAAAATCGAGGGTTTGTGGTCTAGCCGAGCGGTTTATGATTCTGAGAGAGGAACTAACTCCGCTGCACGGCTGAGACCACGAGCTAGGCTGCTACAATACACATGCTATTTTCGTGGCGGTATTAAATGTTTAGAAATGATGGTGGAGAGCAATAGACGGCGTGATTATTTGTTTTTGCTTGTTTTTACTCTGTTACCTGATGATCTTCCCGCCTTGGACGATAATGTTGCCACGTTACGTCATAAGGGGTTTGAAAACGCTAACAAAGATCTACGTTTGTTCTGCAAAAAATGATCCCATTGGAATTTATGCGATGCCGTCCCGACCGATGCTTCGCAATCTGTGTTATAGAGTTCTTGCACCCAAGTTGCAAGTTCATAATTGCAGTTGTTTCGGTCGAAAACAAGTTTAACTTGATCGGTACGGTTTTTGTAGCTTTTCAGTCCTCACAATCTTTTTTGCAAGTTAAGAACTAAACAACTCGAGTAATTATTTTATAAAATTTGGTACGATTGGAGAATTATCCACACTTATTTAGCATTAGAAATATCATACAATACGATAATTGTTTGTTGCATTTGTAATTGGATTCAAAACATACAAAAATACAGTTCCGGTAACAGCCTTTATTTTGCTTAAAGGGGCGATTGCCTCGCAAAATTACCTCTCAGCGATTAACCAGACAAAACTGGTGGTTTAGTTAAAATATTACGTAGGATTACATGAGCTGAAATTTTCTTTCCATTTATCTTAGTCAGCCGGTAAAGGTGGTTTTATATATCTCTTATTTTATTTTCACATTATAGGCTAATGATGCCCTAACGGCAAATCCTACTGCAGCGAGCAGATATAGAAAGACGGATAAATTTTCATTAAAAGATTGTCACTTTTTATACTTGACGTGTTGCTTGTTTTTTATATATTTTTCATGTTTTCACATTTGAAAAGCGCCTTCTAAACCGCCTGTTTGCAAGACACGTGTTGTTATTATCAAATGCGCGAGCGGTTCAACAGAAGAGGAGCTTTACTAAGGTCACGGCATTTACGAAGTCCAGATTTGTTGCCGCCAGTGCGTATAAAGATAGGTTAATGTAGTAAATATTGTATGCATACTGTTGAATATGACTGCTTTTTTGATAACTGAAAGCAAATTATCATGGCACCCACTGTGGTATTGTGACATCATAATACTAGGTACCGGTAGTTTTGATTGGCGCAGATTTCTGAATATTCTTCACCTGCTGAAAAATTTATTCGACCGTGTTTGCATTTCTAACACTAGCAGATGTATTTTCCTAAATATTTATCATCCACGTATGTCGGTAATAACGTTATTGGTGTACGTGTACTTCCGTTTGATAGCATTCACAAAATAAATCCCTTCAAAATCGTGTCTGGTGCTTGTGGGAAGGTATTTTGATGCTGAGATTAGACAAACATTTTGAAGGGACTTTCCTGGCCTCTTGCTGGACATGTTTTGAAGGGACAGATTCCCTCGTTTCCATTTTCAAGTATGTTATCTAATAAGTAAACAGGAGGTTTTGCAATCGACAATAGTCTGCAGCGTTAAAACTGGGTGAAATGGTTTCAAGTTAATGAGGTGGTAAATCATGAGTAGTCTATTGTTAAACATTCGATTAAAATATAGTTCGTGTGTTGAAAATAAGGTGCGGTGTTTGAAGTTGCTCGACCATGAATTGTTGTGGTCACGAAATCTGATGACGGTTTTTGAAACCTAACACCAAAGCGGTAACATGTAGTGCCTATATCTTAGTGCCGGTAGAAACCTTTCAATATGTTCCGTATATTGATTTCGATTGAGTTTGAGCTGCCAGAAATAAATTTGACAATATTATTACAAAGAAAAATTGATAGATTTGCAGATGAAACATGCCCATGAATGTAATGTTATTATTTGTAACAATTAGTATGTAATGTTAGTTATCCGTTAGCACTATTTCTTCGCGGAGCTTTCTATCTATACTAAACGCGCTGACGTGTGAATAGGAGTTAAATAGTGGATAGGTAATGTTTGCATGTTTTCAATAGGTTTGAAAGAGAATTATATTTTGTATCAATTTGGCGATTCTCCATTTGTTCAAGTACTAAACAAAATGTACTGGTACTTTCACTTTTTTTTTGATAATTGCTTCATTTCAGTTATGAATACATAGGATATAATAATATTATCCGGGTTAAGGTAGAAAACGCGTACACATCGGCACAATAAAATGTTTACATTACAACTACAGTATGCCCCATTCTTGTTCATCGACAATATTGGGAAGTGCTTTCGGAATTTTACGAGACGGCCGAAATATTTGCTGAATAAGGTGGAATGGAGCATGTGGGACACCGCAATCAGGAAACGATCAGGTGTTACGTCGAAGATTGGCGAAATAATGCTCTCTATATTCGATGAACTGCCATAAAATGTACAATCATACGTTGTTTTTATTTTTAAAAAACGATCAAGTAGGTGAATTTCGTACCAATGTCTGACAAGGTCACGAAGATGTGATTCATCGCGTTAAGTTTCGATTATAAATCTCGATTATGTATTATTTCTGAAATAACAATTTCATTTTTGTTTTCATGTGTTATTACCAGATTTATTGGGCGTTTGGGTATTTTATACCAAAATCCGCCGTTTAGTTATTTTGCAAGATATACCAATAATGTTTAGTGCAGTGATAGTAGTTTTTTATTGACGATAAATCATTTACAATGATTTTAAAATTGGATTAATTTATACTCAACTCAACGAACGCAAAGGAAATTTGAAACAATCAAGTGAAATACTACCTATAACAACCAATAACTATGGGGACTTCACCTAAACTCTTGAGAAGGAAGACCGGCTCCTTGTCTTCAATGTCTAAATCGAAAAGTTTATGGAATATTTCTGAGGTCGGGAGAAGGAATACGTTAGTTTTAGAAAGGGTAAGTTATTTGGTGCTTTACACTTTTGAAGAAGTCCGTTATGGAATACGATCATAAATTTTATTCATTTAATATTATCAACTTCGACATTCTAATCGTTTAGTATTTCACATATATATTCTCAATTTTAAATTAAAATAAATTAGATTTATCATCTCCGTACTGATATAGTAAATCAGAAATACCATGTGATGCCCGAGGGTGTTTGAGTCACGTTTTATATGAATAACGGTATAAAATTTGTATCCGTTAACCACGACGTTCAATTAACCGGACACTCAATTTCAGTTCCAATCACAAACTTGGAAATGGCCTCACTAACTTTGTTAGATTATTCGTTTCTAAAATGTCACAATTGATAATATCGACAATAAAGTCATCAAACATTGAAAATCGGTACTATTGATATCGGATCGGTGTCGCTTCATCATATAATGTAACAATTTAACAAAAAATAGTACAATTAAAATTGAATTGATTGATTAGAAAAAAAACGTTTGCCTTCGCTGAATATTATTTTATTCACTGTAGTACACAGCGACAATTTTTGTGACATTCACAAATTTAGCAGAAATGGTGTAAGGATAAAATTCCTTGATCTTCGATAGGTATTCAAACCCCAAATTATGCTTTTCAAAATTAAGATTTTTTACGTCAGAATATATTATGCAGGAAGTTATTCAATATGGACAAATTTGTGTCTGTATTTGCTTATAGCTAAATCCTAAATCGAAGGAATTTATTATTTAAATATACGGGTTATGTTGTTATTAAGAATGGTTATATATTTACTTCGGGGATGTACATTTATTTAAGGCTTCGTCCAGTGATTTTGTGTCGGCCAACAAAAGCCTTTCACGATTTCCCTTTTGTTGTCCGATCTGACCAAGAGCATTAAATTATATTTATAGAATTACGGAGACGCCTACGCGACGGATTTTTCGCTTACGTCACTCCGTAATCTGCTCGCCGACGGATTTGTTCCCACTTGAGGTAACAGAGGAAAGTGGACGTATTGGTTACTATTTCGTATTTATATAATATACATTCAAAAAATATTTAGTGCATATTTAAGGTCGAAACGCTATACAAGCAAGTTTAGACAAATCGCTTGCAAACTTTTCAATTCTTTGAGTGACCTCGCACTCTTTTACTAATTTTATCAAACTGAAATATGCTTTCCATTGATCATGGTATCATGAGTTTTGATTATTATTTTTCATAGCTTTCGGTAGTGTCTTTATTGGTAAGTCATGATGTATTATGAAATTTATGCCTTTGGGAAATTACTGGTAAAATTACCGTATATAAATCGCAATCATGGTACTTTTCTATCAAACGATTCGGATTCAGGTATTCATTTCATCGGCCGACAAACATTGTACATTTGAATGAACAATAAAAATTGAAAAAAAAAAATCATCGAAAAAACGTGCAATATTTAAACTGCAATGTACGCGGGGTCGCAAAACACTAACAAAGTCATTCGGTCAGCGACACCATTTTTGTTGAGTTAAGCAGCAGATGACGTCGAAAAACGTAAAAAAAATGTGAGTACAGCACAGGTCTGGGTGAAGTAAAGCCAAATGGGGAAAAAACTTTAGGATTTGGTGAAATGTTCTATTCAAACGCACCTAATCATATCAGCTCTAGGAATGGTGAAACTAAATATACTGATCGAACACATACAAAAGTTGTAATATATTTCTTAAATTATAGCAGTAAACACCACGTGACTGGTACTGTGCATCAGCTGCCATTTGGATACCGTTATCAGAGTAATATCGCTCGTTAGGGCAGAAATGAAAACTTTCTCCCATTTGTATGCTAACTGAAACTAAGTGCCGCAAGCCGGGGATTTCCACACGATTCTAACGTCGATGAACTAATGTTGGAAACACGATAAATATTCTGATAAATCGTAAACACCTCGTCACATGATTTCGATTTATGACTTTTTTGTCTTTGATTTTAAATTTGGAACTATTAGTTTTATTATTATTACTGCATTTCAGATTTGTACTAGTCTTAGTCCGTGTAGCTGTCCGACTTCGAAAGTGCATTGATGTATTTTAGTTTTAATATTGTTCCGCATGTTGTCGCTGGTCAGCACAGAATTGGCCGTTTATTGATACCGAATTTTATACCTCAAAAGCTTGCGTAGTTAATATGTTGAAATGATGCATTTGAATTGTTGTGGAAAGCGTGATACTGCAATGTGGGATAAATCACGCATACCACTCGGCAATGTTCGATTATTTCATATGCTGTTGGTATTTCTGATTTTGGAAAGTAATAAATACGAAATAATAATTCATTCTTGGAATAAAAGTGTTAAGGACTTTGCGCAATTTCTTTTAAATACTTCCGTTGTGCACGCTAGATAGTGAACTACATACCCGAAAACATCGGTAATTGACAGTCATAACGAACGGCAATGACCAAAACACACGAGAGGTTTATGAAACGACCGTCGTGTTTTGCGTCAGTCTCAAATTTCGCGCAGGGTACAAATTTCACAAATAATTCTTTCTATTCGAACGGCAAAGCAAGCAAGCCGATTGGTTAAACTAGAAACTTTACATTAAAAATTAATATTAATTTTTGGATAAGCCTTAGCGTGGCAAATTTGAGATTCGATTTTTTTTTATAAAGGGCATTTCTATCTGTCTATACAAGTCTGTTAGTCTGTAGATGAGTCAACAAAAATTACGTTTGTTTTGATCGAGACAGTGAAAACGCGTGGAATGTTTCTATTTTCTCTGCTCGACCTATCGCTGTTGTGTTCGCTTGGTTGAGCATTATTTGACTGCTTTTTGATCATTAGCTGTTACGGACACTTTTAAGTTACATAGTTTTCATGTTTTTGAGTACAACAAAGTACGTTACCTTGGAATACTTAATATAATTTAGGAGGTACGTGTCGGTTACAGGGTTAAGTTACTTTCAGACAGTCTGAATTTAATATAGCTGAATTCAGTTTCCGTAAGTTTGTAAAAGTTTGTTGAGGTTATTTCAGTATTTGTTTATGATATTCATTCCACCATTTTGAGGTGTTACTCATTGGAATTATTATAAAAATTAGCATAAATTAAAATTCAAAACATAGAATATGCGGGAGCCACCTCCAAGAAAGGTAAATTATTTTATAGAATTCATACTTTTACGTTTGTGTGTTGTAAATATTAGAAACTTAAAACATTACAACTGATTACGATTGCCAGGGTTGAAATTGAACTTAAGTTTGCCGATTTAGGTAGTATTTATATCGCTGTATAGTAGTCCCTCTCATTACATATTGCAGTATTAGGTCATTTTCTATTTCAAATTCCAAATGTGGGCCTAATGTTTCATGTATTGGAATAACTATAATACGCGAAATTCTCCGATTCAATTAATAGCCCCCACATTGAAAGACATTAATTATAGAAGTGAGTGCAAAACCCTCCTTTACGAGACATTCTGAACCTTCGTAATGGCATTAATTGACAAACCAGCTTTGCGCAATAAACTAATACTGTCTGACTGTAAAAAAAAGCGGAAAAAATAAATAGGAAAAAAATAATCCAATTCACCGAAGTTAATTGTACCATAGCATTTGAGAGTTTTCAGCAAAAAGCGCAATTTGGTCACATGACGGCTGTGATTAATTTAGATTATTATCGAGACAAGCATGGCGGAATTCGCCGCCATGCCACATGCCCTCATTTTAGAGACATAGAGTGTTTGTTTTATTGAACTAAAAGTCGGGACAATTTGGAATTGGGAGTGCTGTACCCAACTGAACTAAGTTGGCGTTATAGATTGGAAAGTTCTACTTTAAATTCCATGTCAAACACCTCATCCAGAGTATAATAAAAAAATTGGGTAAAAAATGTCAAATCGGAAAGATTCTCATTTTCCTAAAATACAGTAGCTCTTACCTAGTAGTGTCTGCTTGTGTAGAGCCTTATTCAGAGTAAACGGCATACAAAAGTCCTTTAAAATACAATGTAGTTATTCATTCACTTGTTTAGGCGAAAGTGACACAATTATTGAAGACAACACAGATAGAACAATTATCCAAACTCCAAAGTAAACATCAACAAGAATGTGAATTACTTGATGAAATAAGGTTGGTATGATAATGACCTTGGTTAAAAACTTAGTACATTAGTTTGGGGCTTTAATGACTTATTATATCCCCGAGGTTTAAGCCTACTATTGAAATATTAACAAGACATCAAAAAAATTTAAAAATTCTCAACCACAAAAATATTGTTTTCGCGGTTTAGAAGTCTCTGCTTCAGCAATCATTGCTGCTCACCCATAGTTTTGTTCAGAATAAAACTGTGACCAACTGTCGTCTGTCACCATTTGAAATTTTTCGTTACAATTAATACAGTCAATTTCAACTATCAAAACTTCATAACATTGAACTACACTAGATGGGAATAGCTGAAAGAAAATCATCAATAGGCAGTTGTGGAACATTAATGGGAAAGTTTCTATCCACAAAAATTTATCTGCGTCTTACAGTTATACTGTAACACAAATACTGTTCATTGCAATTACTCATCCCAGTTTGGATTGTGGCGATATTTCGTTCTAAACAGTATTAGTTTCAAAATATTAAATTTATGAAACATTTATTTTTTTAGAAATTTTGCGAAACAAAGATCACAGTTGGATAGAGAATATGGACTGGTGAGTCTTGTTATTATTCTTCCTGACATTCACTCGAGTAGAGTGGAATTTTTATGCTGAGTAGATAAAACTGGACTTTTTCAACTCAGATGTAGTGATTGGCTTTATAGGGGTTTGAGAATCAAACTTATGACTTGCGAATTGAATTGAAATGTGACCCAGTCAGTGGATTATGCAAGATCCTATGTGGGTCGAGGGTCGAGAGACTGGGGGGGGTTAAAAATCGAATATTTATGATGTAATAATAATGATTTATTTCATAAAATTTGTTGTGACATCATAAGATAAATATAACAGTCTGTATAAAATACGTTTGAGTATGAATAAAGTACATTAAGGCTTGTGAAAACAAGTAATAAAACATGGTAATTGAAAATATGATGGCATAATAACTGTGCAATCTTGGGGCATCGCTCAATGCCTATTTTTGTATGCTATTGGATCTAGTTCAGCAATATATAACCATACAAACATGATAATCATTAATTGCTCTATCATTCGTATAGAAAGCGAAATAGATTATTATTCACAGAAACCATTTATTATGATTAGTGTCTTTCTTTAATTAGAGCATTGTACACAAATACTATTATTCTTGTGATAGCATGATTATGTCATTATAAATACACAAAACCTTTTCATAATATTCATTATTGATTATCAAATTGTTTCTTTTTCAAAGCATTGTCTGAAGATTGTCATCTTAAGCTTTATTTACAAATTGCCAACACCAAATGTTTTTTATTTTAGTACTGACATTTATGGAGCTCTTAAGATTTACTCAAGGGTTTTGTGACAATAAATATGACAAGTGATAAATCTTAAAAATAAAAATATTGATCCATTTCGTCTAAAACGAGTGTTCACTTAAATTGAAACATCAAAACAAAAATTTATTTTTTAGTGAACATTGTGAAATGAAAAAACACTTGAATTGAAATTGTGATATGAATTGAAAACGTCACAAGAAAAAATTCCCAATAGAATTGAATTTGTCTATTGTCTGTTAATGGAATGTCCACATTGCTAATTAGTAGGGATTCAATTTCAATGCTATGCATCATGTCAAAAATTTTGCTACAATATCAACAAATTTTATTTATAGAAATCTCAATGGTTATGAAATCTTCAAATATCATACTTTGTTTAGATTAATTCTATGAACACCCCAATTGATTACATTACAAGTAGGGCTGGGCATTTTCGAATACCTTGTGATTTCAGAATCGAATCGAATAATTTTTCCGAATCGAATCTCGAATACTTGAAAATATAAAATTGTAAGCGACTTTATCATAGTAATTGGTCCTCTCAACAAATGAATTACTGAAGACATAGAATAAATCACTCAGATAGATTACTGAGCGTTCACACAGAATAACAAACACGTTTTATCAATAACTCACTACAGAAAATAGTCATATGTTAGAATTTCGTTGAAAAAATATGACTTCAATGAAAAAAAAATTGGGGAATCCACCTCGACCATTAGCGGAAAGATAAAAACAAGATGGCGGCGATTCGAAATTCCAGTCTGAACCGATTCGAATAATTTACTATTCGATTCGAAATGCCCAGCCCTACTTACAAGTTAAATGGGCCTTGTCAAATTTTTGTCCAATGTAATTCTATCTAGAGATTTCGTAATATTTATAATTGAAGCACAATACAACTTAATGTTTTTGCTTTGAGTTGTCTTTAATTTAGCATTTATTTATCCATCGTTTTGATCCATGTAATTTTTTTTCTTTACACATATCAAACTTAATTATATTTTTTAGGCTTTGCAAAAGTTAGTATTACAGTATCAAAAAAAGGATATACCAAAAGTAACAGAAGGAAATCATACGTAAGTTGTGTCTGTTTTTCATTTCCTCAATCATTTTTTAACCTATGTATGCAAAAGTATATCATTTTGTCAAGCTCATGTAATTGATGGCAGTGATATTTATACTTGAAAATTGAAAATCTTTCAATCTTCTAATTTATATCAATTATTTATTTCTTTTTGGTAACTGGTGTATTACTTGGTTCAACGTCATTCATAATAATTATTAAGTTTTCAAATATAAATTTAGTTTTGCAATTAGCTGATTTGAATCACGTTTGCAATCACAATGCAAAAGATATTTTTTGATAAAACTGTATTTTTCATTTTATGTATTAAAAAAAAAATATCATCATATCGGGGGAAATTTTTTATATTTCTTTATTCACTTTACTGTCGTGGTTTAAAAATAATGCTTGAAAGATTTCCTGTGATCCAATATCACCTTTCTGTTATTTCCTGTGTCATGTAAATATGACGTTTGCTCGTGATATAACGACATGTCACAAATACTGCACTGTAATAAGTGATCAGGACGCATGTTAAAATAACACTGTCATAATCCAGAGCTGGACACCATTGATGATATGATTTTAATAAGAATTTAGAATATTTTCCATCTCAAATGTTTCATTGTAAGCATGTATTGTCTGATTTTCAGACAAAAAATTGACTTCATTCAACTATCTGCTATGAATTATTCTGCATTACAAAATTTATTTTATCTTTGAAACTAATCTAATATACGTTAAATTTTATACGCTTTATTCTCATTCAAAAATATTATTTTGAATAGTATATAATTCGATTTTGGACATTTCTGGATCAAAACCTTACTTCAATTTTCATCGTATATTTTCCAATTTTCAACAGTTTGAAGATTTTACTTTGTTTACAAAGATGTATTTTCTCTAAATCTTATAACATGTACAAAAATGTCTTTTAGTCCAAAGAAAGAGATGACTTATCTTAAAATGTGGTCGTAAGTTTATCACTGTGTGAATGTAGAAAGTTTTTTGCAACTGTAGTTTGTGTGGAATTTATGAAATGTACAATGATCAAATTCAATTTCTCATATAAATGGCACAAATAATTCAATAATCTGACTGTAATTTGTTTCAAAACTTGTTGCACCCCAGAGAAATGTAGTATCATATATTGTTTATTAACCCTGAATGCAATAACATTTATTGTGATATTACTCTATTCGGAAATGTAATTTTATGTGGAATTGTTTTGTGCTGTAATTCTTATATGTTATTTTGAATTAATTCTCTAAAAGCAATCATGAATAAGATATATTCCAGATAGGTCTTTGTCTCACTCATGCTTACCTATAATTTGAAGAATGGTATTTCATGGACAAATTTTTTTAAAAATTGATGATTGTTGCAATGTCATGTTCCAAGAATAATCATTGTGAATTCTACTTTCGAAATTGTAATTCTTACTGGTTTTATAATTAGAGTGTGGCATTTGAAAATTGTAATGATTCTTTCATAATTGCATGATGTGATACGCAGTGTTCTTCAATGATGTAATTTCCTCTGTTGGCTATAAGCCCTGCAACATATTTTTTCAGGTTCCATTTTACATTTTGTAAATTAGTGTTTGGTTGAGATTATATGATATAAATTGTTTGGCTTCCAAAATCTATCGGAATTTTCGTTTTATCAAAGTATTGAATTATTTCTAAATATATTGAAATATTCCATTTCTTCAAAAACACAATTCTTATCAAGTTACTTGTTATCAAATTGCTGTCTTTGCTATAATGTTCCACGACCCTAGCAATAAAATTTTTTTATGTATGATTAACTAACATGGATGCCCAAAATTGGTAATATTTAGAATATTTACATTTGAAAATTTGTCATAAGCATTTGACATCAGACATGAAATAGACCTTATGTAACACGGTATAACATAGAAAATCAATGAAAAAAATCGTTGTATTTTTTGTTGCGTTTGGTAGTGAAAACTTGTTTTATTGTGTCCATTAATTCACTTAACATCGAATTGAACTTATTTAAACCAGGGCTGTAGTGTAGTGTAAGATTTGAGGTTTAGCATTTTTTCATTGGAATCGGAGACATAGTCGATTGGAAATTTTTTCTGCACTACTACCTTGTTTTAAACAAAATTTTTATACTGTTCAAATTGTAATCCGTAAAAAAGGGAAACCAGGGAAGTACCACATGAACATCCTCAGATACAATAATGAAATGTTCAAATACTGGAAATCCGGAATATTAAAAAATTCAGAGTGTATCATATTTCGACAACCAAAGCTTTAGGTTATGCAAGCCATCTTTTACAGATTGTCAATAAAAATGATTAGTAAATGCTTTATAAGTTTTTGAGAAAATTTTGAAATCTTTTATTACCATTTCGACTTCAGAGAATTTAGAATTGAACTCCGCACTCTTTGAAAATACGATTCTAGTTTTGACTCCAATGATAACATGCAAAACTCACGTCACTGGTTATGATCCTAATATTACATTGTACTCTACCACCCATAATTGGAATTTGAGACGCCTCTTTTTCTATTTTCGCAGAACTGTGGTTTCGGTTTGGCAATCTGTTCTTGACGCAACTGACAAAACAGCACAAGCACGTTTGGTTTCTTCAGAAAATTATAAAAATGGAATATCGGAAGCTGCCAAAAACTGCAGAACACATAAAGATAATAACTTAAAGAAGGTTACGATAATATATTTTTGATACTTTTAGTACTATTGATTGCTATAATTCAATTTATATCAATCTCCAATGAGAATTGACTCAGTGATTGAATCAATTTCGGGCTCGGACTAGCATTTTAGATTATGATGATCCGTGACTCGATTTGACTCCCGATTCAGGGCTTACGAACCACTATCCAACGCTGCAATTATTTGTACAATCATTAACTTGATATTTCTTGAGGGACTTGCGTCTTTATCTGATTTTCCCAATTCGCTTGTCCCAGTCAAAAGTCGTGTCGAGGGTTCAAGTCAATCACGGAGTGTCACTCTGGCAGTTAGTTGGGTCTGAGTCATTCTTCCGGATGACTCGTGTCACTCCGAGTCTTTATTGAGCGGTGACTCGAGTTGAACTAGAGACGAGTCGATAGCTCGAGCCTCCCCTAAATTTGGTATCTAGTGAATTAGACGATAGAAAACAAGAGTTCGAACTCTAGATTCTCCAACAAAAATTAATTGAAATTTCAATTAAGCGGTTATATTTGCTGATTTTCTTTTTTTGTTTTATATAAATATGTTTAATTACAGTGCCAAGATCTTTTAAACACAATTCAAAATGGAATATCAGAAACTGTGAAAGACCTAACAAAAGCAAAAAAGAAATATTTTGAATTAGAACAATTAGCTTCTTCAGCAAGAGAAAAGTTCCAAGAGGTTGAAGAGAGGTTAGTGTGCTTTTTTGTATGATTTATCTATAATCGGAGATGAACAAAAACTAATCCGAATTCATTATAAAACGATATTTTTGAATTTCTAACTTTGGTATTGCATGGCAAAGCACAAATTACTGTCAATTTATTCATTCATGAAATTTTGTAATTCAAGGAGATTCTAAGATGAATGTTCCTTTGATTGATTTTCTATATTTATAGTTCTGGATTGCATAAATTCTATTTTTCTTGTCATCAAAATTATGTCATATGCCTGAAATGACAAATTTGTAATAAAATTGTTCTAAATTATTCCTAAATGTCAGGAATTTACTCTTGAATAGATTTGAATATCATTTTATCATCTTAAAATATTCGAAACAGAAATGTCAAAAACAAATTGAATATTTAAATACATTCGAAATTGGTTATATTCGATATAGTAAGTATTATGATTATGATTCTAGGAAGATTTTGTTCGTTATTTTGATTTTGTCTACCTCTGGGCTCTGATACACAATAAATCGGGAAATGTAGAAATGAATTCAGGAATATCACAAAACTCATTATCTCCTGATATTTGAGTACTCCTGTTAGTCCTGTAGTATGTGTACCAGGTTAGGGTTAGGCCATAATTTTATTCCGATTTTCCTTATTTTAGTTCTATTACGAGTTTGGGGACTGTCTGTGGTAGCCGAGTGAATATAGGCTACGCCTTGCCCATAGGCTTCAGTCCTGTTACGTAAAGTAGTCGAACAGAATTAGTTACCTCCATATTGGTACACATACTTCTGGAGGAGCTGTTATTTGTATCCACCCAAGAATACTTGACTACAAATTTATTTCAAAGTGTTTGGTGCTCCATTTATTGGTCTTTCCAGCAATTGACCTGATTTGTCTACTTGTTGTGCTCTTGTTTTGTATAATTGCCTTTTGTATGTTTGTTTACTCTTTTTTTGCATTGAATTATCCAATATGGAGTAAATTAAAAATGGTAATTTCCATATGTTGTTCATTACTATGTAGGAGGAAGAAAAAACAACCGGGAATATTTAAATCACAAGCTGGATTAGAGAAAACAAGTCAAAAGGTTTGCTTATTATTAATAATACGTCATATATACTGTTTTAATTAATATTGATTATTGACTATTTTTAAGCTTCAAAATACTGTGTATATAATATGTATATTATTAGGGATATTTCCTACTATATTTTACTCTTGTGTGATATATTCCTTTTATGAATTAATAATGCAATAGAATTTATACACGTTACCTTTCGAACTTTTATTTATGTTTTATTAAACAACCAACTGTGGAATACCTTAATGACTGACTTAATATATTACTTCTTTTAGCGTCGTAATCAAATTCACAAAGTTTTACAACATACCAGTGATACCACACACTCGCAAATTGTTAGTTACCTTGACAAAAGCGACGTCACGTTATGCCTGTTGCTTTTCAAATAACCGTTTTTATCGAACCCAATAACGCTACGTACAACCTTCAATTATTTCTGTTGGTTCAAGGTATTCGTTTTACGATTGACCGCTCTGCCAATTACTATTGTACAGTTGGGAATCGTCTATAAAAAAGGCAGTTTTATTGCCCAGTTTACCTAAATCATGCTTGATTATGTAAACAGTATTGGAAGTATTTTTTATGTACAGTGCACATTCCTTAATAAATGCTTTTATCCTTTTTGTATTCAAGGATTAGCTTTTGTAATATTTGTTTAGAATCGATGTGGCATTATGCTGTGGATGCCAGGCTTCCATCTGGTTGTAAAATCCTGTATTCAGGGCTCAAAATTAACTTTTTTTTGTTAATAGTTCACAATTTTTTGCTGCTATTATATTATTGTCTTTGGTTTGTTGTGATAGAAAATTAATAATTATCCATTGTATAAAATTTGCAGGAAATTATTTGGTTAAATTCATGATTTAGTACACAGACTTGAAATGTACAACTTTTGTTTATCTAGTTTATAATATATTCTATATTCAAAATATTATTTCAGAATGGATTAGGATATTATATTATTCGGTTTTAGCCATTCCTGTTCACATGAAATAGTCTACAATGTATACCCATACCAGTGGGTGAAAGTTTAGGATCCAAAACAAACCAGAATAAACCGGAATGAACTGGTTATCCCAGGATAAAACACCAGGGTAGAAATCTCCTAATCAAAATATCCAATACTTTATATGGTAGCATCATTCTCGACCCAATTTCATTCATGCCATGTTATGTTAGCTCATATTATTGTTATGTCATGGCATGTCTCAGTTGAATGACGTATGGTAGTACCTTAGTAGCCTATTTTAATTTGAACCAGTCTCGGAATGTTCAACATGAGTAATTCAACTCTTCATTATGAATGATAGTGATGCTCAGGAAGTAGGCTATTCTGCCGGAAGTTAAATTTTTTTTATCTGTGTATCATGTAATGCTTATCGTTATTCGAAAAATTATCTTTTTTTGTAATTTGTCATAGATAGAAATGTACAAAAAAAAAATAGTTTCATTTTGTGCGATTTAGGTTTCACAATATGGCTAAGAAGGCTTTCATTTCATTTTTGAAAATTGTGAAAAATAGAAAATATATCAAATGACTGTGTATATGCAATATCTGCATTTCAGAATATTCATTATCTGATGTGGAACTTGGCTCAATTTAGATATTCCGTGTTCGAAAATATTATGTCACAATGTAATCAGAAATCAGAATAGTGAGTTATATGGTTTATGCCATCCCTGCACACAGATTTTGATGATTGTAAAAATTATTAAAAAATATTTGAATAGTAAAAATTATTAAAAAATATTTGAATACTCCGAACAGTTTTCTATGATTGTTACTTCTTTGTCAAATATAACATATAGAAAAACAAATAATAAGCAAACGTTATTTCAACCAATTTTTATTAAAATTGCATAAATTCCTTCCACGAAATGGAAAGTTTATTTGTGATCTTTCGTTAGAATATAGTACAACTTCATCAAGCAAACAAATAAGTTAATCAAACAGTGAATATATTTATAATATGCAGCGAAACCACAAACTGCGAAATTTTTTGTTTTTGACAAAAATGCTAGCCCAGAGGCTAAATTCTTTTTTAATTCAACTTCCTATCTATTTACGGTATTACTAAAAATTTGGAACGGTTAGGTCAAGTCTAGCCTATATTTAGGCCTGTCAGTCAGTTATTGATTACTATTTATAGTCATAGATTAAATACAAAATATAAATAGAGATTAGCGAGAGTATCTAAGCTCATTTCCAAATACTTAATCATTATTATCCACTGATCACCAAAAAAGGTAATACTAGCTCTGGTTATATTCATCCAAATATGGTTATTAATTAAACTTGGTTCCGAATGGTGAAAAATGGCCGTTCAAGGAAATTTTTTTTTTTTTCAATTTTATAAAATACCCAGGCGAGGTCAATGCCGAAAGGGAATTTTTTTTTATATCATTAGTCTGTATTTTCTCTAAACAAGGCACAAAACAAGCCAGAATTGAATGTAAAATCCTACTGTACTTGTATTGAAATAGTAGGAATTTTTTTCTGCCTTGAAATAGTAATACATGGTGGAGGGAGTACTCGGTATCGAGCATCGACATTTAATTAAAACAATACAATAATATTTATATCTATTTATTCTCATGTATGTATTTAGGCTAATGTATTTAATTAAAAAAATTATTATTGGTTTGGGAAAAGACTATTGAACCAGTTATTCAGAATATATTTGGAATTATTTGTTCAATTTATGGGTATCGTAGGAATGTATTTTTCTTTATTTCATGTGCTGTTTTTCATTATGATTTAGTAATAATGTGACATGATGTACACATTGAAGTACAAATACTCATTCTGTAATTGTGATCTCGATCGAAATTCCTTTTTGATTTTGCGGTATTGTGTTTTGTATCACTTTAATTTTATTATAAAGGATAGGTGAAACGTCTTTTGTTACATTTTATTGGAGTCCTGGCTGTATCCAATTACTTTTTTAAGAGTCTGTCTGATCTAACATGGCCCAAACATGGCCCAAAGAGCACATGCCTCAGCGGCACACTCCATTTCTGGCCCATGTTAGATTTTACATAATTATAAAACATCAGATACAAGTTCTATTCTGTTGACAGTATTACTTACTCGTCTATGTGGTGTCACCAATAAACTGGCGATTTTACGTACCATGAATTAAAATGTTCAAACAGAGACTGGTTGGGTAATCGGTTAATAAACAATTTTGACGGTATACCAATAAAACAGACCTTTTTTGTTTTCATTTTTTTTTAAACATGAAAAAGTACAAATTATAAAATTATGTATATACCTTCATTATGATTTTTTACCGCAAAAGGAAATCGATAAAGTTTTGGTGATACACGGCAGTTGGCATCTCATTGGTTGTCTACAACTTTGGTCAGAAGTTTGTTCGCTTTTTATGAGCGAGTTCACGAGACCTTGCTTTGAATAAAGTCTCTAAAAAATTCTGGAACTTATGTGTGGATAATGCACCAACTTTAGTACTCAGATGAAAGATATACATAATTTTTAAAATTAATCTCTATATCAGCGCAAAGTCGTTGTGGATTTATATGCTTTATGTGAAAAATAGTCATACCGTATGTGTGTTTTGTGTGACTGCGTAAAATAATCTACCAAAATTTATATTTTATAGTTGGAACAGAAATGTGACGAATGTAATAAGTCATCAACGATAGCACGAAATGAATACATTCTTGCTCTTGCGACTGCGAACGCGCACCAGAAAAAATATTACGAAGTAGATATACCAGAATGCATGAGAGTAAGATACTTTTTCTTCTATTTTTGGAATTTGCTGAAATTAAAAATTTTCATTTTAACTAAACGTAAAATTTTAGATTCTTGATGGGGACATTTTTACCAAATTGCAAGATTACTTGAGTGCAGCGAGTCGGTATGAGTTGGAAACGGGTGCAGTTACTCAAAAAGCTTATGCAGTTTCACTCCAGTGTTCGACAATGGTAAGAATAATAAAACATTTTTTCATTTTTTTAAAACTTTTAATGATCATTATTGTGTTATCTAACGAGTCTAGTGTATTTATTTGGAAAGTCAATGAGTTTCAAAATGTTTATATTTATACAGTAATTCTTTGTTGGGTCTAATATTGTATTATGTATCGTTTTTTAATAGTTTTATATACTGGTCGTCCGTTGATCTTTTTGGCAAACTCTGTGCTCACAGACTTTAAAACTATACCTGTACCGAAGAGCATTCCTTTTTTGTTTTGGCTGCTTATCTTATTAAATACTATAATTCACTATTCATTCTGTTTTCATTTTGACGTAAACCGGTTTATCAGTTCAGCATATATCATCCTTTTTGCCATGTATGGCCAAGGATAACATATAGATATTAGAGCTGATTCTATCTGTGGCTTATCTTCGTATGTGGCCAATGATGAATTGATGAATTTTTAGAGTCATAAGAATTTTTACCACAATGTATTTGACAATGCCTTGAAGGCAAATGAACTCAGTCAGATTGTTATGAGAATAATATAAAAATTATATTTATCACTTTGAGTTTAAATATCAGTTCAATCTAAGAATACTAAAGCAAGTAAATCTGAACCAGAGAACTCAAGTGAAAGAAATTATTTATTTTCAGTTCTTTGTTACCGGAATGATTTTTACTCAATATTTTTTTTGTTAAACTGAAGTTAAAAAATTTTATTCAATTTTAGTGAATATTTTAAAAAATCGGTGAAAACAATAATTTAATTGGTCTTTATCATGATATTAAAATTTGCAGCGATATTTATGGAAACTACTCAATTTGAATTTTATTTGACAATATTTTAGTTAATGTGGTCCATTTCTAATCTGACTATTCATGTCAAACTGATGCCCATAGCTAAATTTTATTTTATCAAAATTCAGTTTTTTCAAAGCAAGGTCACAAGCACTCACTCAGAAACAAAGGCGACTGAGTGAAGTTTTGATTGAGCACTGAAGTGACATGATAACAGTGTGGAATCACATGTTAGTAAAAACAATTAATGCCAGACTTGAAAATCATGCCAATATTTTATAGGGAAATAACTATGTAGTGAAGTAGTAAATTCTTCATAACTGGAGTTCCTAAATTGAAAAAAAATTGAATTTTTTTTTTATATTTTTAGATATCGCGAGAGTTCAGCACTCGTTGTTTCTTGAACGACAATTCCGTATTCGTTTGGGGCCCAAAGTATGAGTTTGAAGCTTGCGAGGATGACACCAATAATGGTGAATTGGTTGCGGAACACGGATCTACCGGTGAAGATAATTCACTCAACCGTGAAGCGCGGAAGTAAGTTCTGATTCTTTAATTCCTAGTTTTTCAACCAATTTGTGAACTATTGAGGAAATTCCAATTTTTGGGTACAAGTTTATTAACCCAGTCTCAAACTGAGTTTAAAGTTGTGTTATTCACTGAGTCTATTGTCTCTGGCAGTTGGTTGAGTCTGAGTGATTTCATTTTGATGGTGTCTCGAGTCGAGTTAGTCAAAATTCTATGTAATTATTGTCAGATACTGATGCTATTGTTAGATCGGGTCCCACAGGACTCGATATTTCACCCAAAACTTCGTTAGTCTTTCCTATCCATATAGGATAAGATTCAATATTTACCTATATGAGGTAAGTGTACCAATGTGTACCTGTAAGGGGAAGATATTAAGGCTAACCATATGGCGAGCCACGACCTTTCGTCCGCTTGGTTACCAATTCATGTCAGGTAGGAGATTAGTTAGCTGGTTATTTGTTTTTTCAGATGCATGAACTTCATCTTTACTCTCTTGTTAAACTTGGCATTGTCACATCAGGTTTTTTCATTCAGAAATAATATTAGATTTTAATAATCTTCCATTATCTACTAATAATAATAATTTTACTTGTATAAAATATACTCTGCCAAGACTGCCATGCATGAACCGTTGTTAATAATTATATTATCTAGGCACGATATCACCTGGCATAGTAGAATATAAATAATATTCTTTTATTATTCACACTTATCAGCACTTGATTTGATTTTGATTGCACCCAGTCTGTTTCATTGTCAGTCAACCTTGAACCCAAATTTAACGTTATTATTCTATCAATTCATTTCATTTTCATCTTTATCGTTCTATAAATAGATGCTCGAGAACCATCCAAAATTTGATTTCGAATATTGTACGTTTATCTCGAAAGAAGACCGATATGGGATAAATTCACCAAATAGTAGATGGTTGATCAGTTCTTCAAACTTTTATGACCAGCTGCCTCTCGTTCATCTCTAAAATACCTATTTTTGCTATAAACACGCTCTCTAATATCAGTTAATAAAATTATTATAGTCGAAGCGGATAGCACCTGCTGAAGGTCTACCTTCGTAGCATCCAGAGAGCCGCTTTATGGCTCTCAAAGGAGCCCCAGGGCCCAGTATTAGAAACTTTAGTATTTTAACTAAACTATTTTCTATAATTTTCAACTTTTTTTCAAAACAACCCTCATTTTAGATTCTCTTTAGAATATTTTTTTTAAACATTGCCGAATATATATGTATATAGATTATTTTGTACCTATTTGAATTACAATTCTGTTGTTCACGTACATTTTCTATTTTCTGTATTTGCATTAGCTTCCCTATCTTGAAATCGCAACCCCAAATATTTTGAAAACATACTTTGACGTTTGTGATTAATTATTTATAACGCAATGTTGTTTTTATTGAAAGATGGGCTGGAAGATTCGTGAGAGAAAACAAACAAGTACAGAAACTGACACGTTTACGTCAGAATTTGGAAGGAATTCGAAACAAATACACAGAGGTCTGTTGTTTTATGTAATTCTGCCTAAATTACTGAACACTTGAATGAATATCTGCCCGTTTTTGGTTGTATAATAGTTATGTTGAGGATGTTATGAACTTCACCTTGGGATGTCTAATAATTTGATGTAGTTTCGTTTCGAAAATAATCATTTCAAGCAATGAGCGCAGTATGAAACTAAAAGTGAAAATCGCATTTCGCATTTCCAATTTATTAAATTACATGATTGTTATCTATTGTGTCTAACCTTATTTGAATATATCCAATATTCAATATAGTATTTAGATAATAAAAACTTCGGTTTTGGCTATCTATGTTTGTGCTTTTTTGTTATAATTCGCTCAACAATTTTTTACCAACATGTACATGAATCTGGAATTAAAAATTTAAAAAATTGGTTTGAATAGGAACGCATCTAATGGATTGGAAAAATTAATTGAGTTTCTCAAAATTAATATTTTATATCTCGTTATTGTTATAGAATGGTTGAAGAAGTTTAATATCTAACGCTGAATATAAATTTTACTATTGTGTCTGAATATTCAGATAATTATGTTGTAAATCTGATTGTAAAAACTATATTGAATATGATTGGCTTGTTGTATTAATGTAAGTTTATGACAATATCATTTTTGTCATTATATTCTCCTTTATGAATAGGCCTACATACATATTTGGCATAACATTTGCATTTTAAAATTTGCTAATTTTAGTAAAAAACCTTAGTCTATGGAAATATTACGACTTTGGCTAGTTAATTATTTTATTTCCGATTTCACGACACACCTCCTAATCAATAATAAATTTGTAATTTTTAGAAATAGATTTCTCAGTAATGTAAATCTATTTTAATGCCAAATTATTATTTTAAGTATCAAAGCACCATTATATCATTTGTCATGATTAGTATAAATTTATGATGTCATTGAGATTCGCGTATCATAAGAGATCGAAATTGTCGACACGAGAAAGTGAAAAAGAAATTACATCACCGATTATGATTGAAAAATGGCATTTTGTTAAGCTCGTTTCAAGACACGCTCGAAAAAAAGAAATCGTTAAATAGGTTTTGATTACTTCTATAATTTCCTGTATTATTACCGTGCCTACGCAGAAAATACCGTTTTATGTTTTGCACGTTTTTCGCACAATTTTGTTAAATTTTTATTTTTATTAAAACATAAATGAAAATTGAATTCTAGTTTCTGGTGATGTTTTTTGTTACTACAACGTTATTGGAACTTGTTGCGTTTGCGTCATGGAAATATTTTGTAATAGCAGGGAATATTTTTATACTTCTAAAACAAAGGAGAGAAAATTTTGCAACCTTCAGGTGTTTTTGATATCATCGCAATCTGTGACGACAGTAGTGTGAATAATTTATTATTACGTTGTATCAGATACGTGAATAGAATGTTTGCTCTAAACACAATGTGAAATTGGAATATTTTGTAAATTATTTTTGCTCTAGTGGAATTCTCAATGCCAAATAACAATGAACTGTGTATTGCATCATTTTGACGTTTATTCCTCCAAAATTTTTCTCATATTTCTGATCACTTCAGTAAAAACTTGAACAATTTGCAAAAAAGCATTAACTATTTCTAATTCAATTGCAGAACCCAGAATTAACGACAGAAGCGAACATAGCCGACACTGAAACTCGTATCGATAAATGTCTCTCCGATTTACGTCGTGTTGAAACAAACCGATTAAAATCAGAATCAAAATTAAATGTCTTGCGACATGCACCTGGAGTCGACGTTGATTCGTGGATTCAAAGTGCAATTAATCAGGTAAATCTTTATTTTTTTGATGTCCAGGGGAAAATTTCTAACGACATATTCACTCTGAATAAGGCTCTGCACAGGAGCTACTGTTAGGTCTATAGTTACTATGGTTCGTAAGGACTGGAGTATTCTCGTAGTGTGTGTACCAGGTTAAGCCATGATTTTATTCCGATTTTCTATATTTTAGTTCTATTTCGACTACGAGTGGGAGGACTGTCTGTGTTAACCAAGTGAATATAATATACCCCCTGTCAACAACTTGATGTAAAGTAGGTGAACAAAATTTGTCGGAACAAAATTAATATATAATCCATATTGGTACACACACTTCGAAGCGCAAGGACTGGAATCTTGGAAAGTTTAATATTCAAACAATGAGTTGTTGTATTGAAACCACGAACATAGTCAATAACATTACTCAAACCATTCTGAATAAGGAAATAGGTGCAAAAATATTTGAAAATAGACATTAAAATGAATAGATCATGAACACGATGGCATTGAATGGTGCAAAATTGAAAACAGTCACCGATCGCAACTCGTTATGCTATTTTTGAGTCATTTTTCAGAACAAAGTGTTTTTTTCTGGATTTAGTTCAAATCGGTTTTCTAAAAACTCTTGCAATCTGATAAAATTTGAACATTTTTCGATTTTTTTTTAACTGGGCTTCACAAAGTAAAAATTGATATAATATTTGAGTATTTGTATCGACCATTATTTTAATATGAATTTAAATCAAAGACACTTGCTTCAGCCTTGTTCTGAGAATTCACTACCTCTTGCAATCAATTTATCCAGTTTACAATTGTATAGATTTGGACTTCTTAACCCTAGGGTTTCGGCCCGGTCATAATGGGCTGATCTGTGTCATAATTTGCGTTTATGGCTAAATTTAATGTATTTTGGGGGGTCAATAGTATTTCATAGTGGTCTGCATGTGAACAAAACCAATTTCAAAACTCAAAAGGTTTGAGTTTAAATTAGCCATGCTTGATCCGAGTGTTCTTAATTACGGTGACGGCTCATAATAAACAAACAAAGATACCAGACAGCACGCGATCAAATGCTCTTCGATAAAACGAATATCACTTCACTTACAAATCCCAGTCTTGTTTTATCTTGAATGTGACGTATAGCTCTTCTAAAAGAGAACACTTTCTCTCGCATATCAATCACGTGTCGACCACAGCGTTAAAAGTGAGAAACTTTTTCTCGAAATTTTTTGAAATTTCTCTCATCTTACCGTCGTACGGCGTACACATTTGCGCTACGTAATTTGGGCGCGTTTTAGTGGAAAGCGACGAAAATAAGCTTTTTAAGGACCCATTAATGATGTTTTTGGCATTCTTGGTTGGTGAAATATTAAAAAAATTATAGAGGGGTGTCAAAATGACCCAGGGACACTCGAAATCAGAAGGTTAAAGCAGGGGTGTGCGACTTTTAACACAGGAGGGTCAGATACGAATAACTGGGTGAACCAGCAGGCCGCACCTTCATTTAACATATGCTTTCTAATACCTGCAGACTAAAAAATTTATGGCATTGTAACGCCATTGGCATAGGGCTTCGCGAAGCAGAGGAATTGGAATTACTGGCACTTGACCAGTTTAAACGAAATTGAAAACTCCTTCTGCGGGCCGCACACCATTCAAAATTGGCACTTTTCTGCGGGCAGCACCATTTTTTCTTGTGGGCCGCTCGCAGGTTGCACACCCCTGGCTTGAAGTATCGCATCAATTGTCATTTAGTGGCGTTTATTGCACAACTATAATTCAATAGGGTCTGAGTAACTCATTTTTGTGGTAACTTGACTCCACTCACTCACTTTGAGAAAAAAATTGAGTGTGAGTGAACCTACTACTAAATAAATTGAGTAATATCAAATCTTTTAAGATGGCGAAAGAACCAAGTAACTCCGTTCCATCAACCCCAATCGATCCAAATAAAAAGTTTTCTGCAACGGAGGTCGATACTCCGAATGGACGTTCCGTGACTGCAGATGACAGTTCCTTTTTTGATGATGATTTTGACGACACGTTCGATGAAGCTTTCGACGAAGAAGTCGATCACGACGAAGTTTCACTCACTGCGAGCGATCATAGTCGTGTTTATCCAGTTTCGTGTAAAGTTATATATGGTTACACTGTGAGTTTTATTAACGACACAAATAAGAGTTGTTTTTTTCTTCAATTTCTGTATAGGTACCGGTAATAAACTCAAACTAGAATTTAATTGTGTATTGACGACATTTACTTCATCGTCAACATGGGCTATTTTGAATTTTTTATTGTGAATTTTCAATTTTTCAATTTCAATATCACTTGACACGATAAATATTTTTTCGCTAAACTAAACTTTTGCTAATCCAAAGACTCACCCAAAATTTTAAGTGAAGTCCCTTCGTCGGTGCTTAGATGACTTTTAGATTACTCAGCAACAGTACAAATGTTTAACAACTGTTTAACTCTTGCAAGTAGCAACCTGTTTTGATTTGAACTATATTTCTAGGGAACACGACCAGATGAGCTCACAATATCACCGGGCGACATTGTTGAAGTCGTTGAAGATGGGGATTTAGAACAATGGGTGAAAGCGAAAGATAAAAACAATCGAGTTGGATACGTTCCGGAAAAATATTTAGAATTTCCTGCTCCGACAAACTCAAATACGATGAACAATCATTCAGGATCGTCATCGATATTCGAAAAATCTCCGTCGATCGTTTCAGGCGGATCTAACCACAGTAACAACTTTTATATCAGTTCGACAAATTTGACGGACACTGGGACTACGCTGTCGTCAATTTCCGGAAGTTCAAGCACCTCTGGAACATCTTCTCTCACAACGTCTTCGTACGGAAGTGCGATGACCAATAATGACGATAGACATCCAACAGCAGCATCAGGTTAATTATTATTTCATATTTTTATCAGTCAGTCGACGGGAAGTGTAATTATGGAACGTTTCACTACATTTTCTTGTTGTTATGGTTATTGTTGTTGTTTAAAATAGATAGCTTTTCTCCGCAATTTATTGAATAAAATGATTTCAAATTTTTAGCAAGATGGTTGAAGTTTCTAGAATTATATCACTTCTATTTGGCTATTTTTTTTTGTGTTATGTATGACCAGATATTTTACCCAAAATTTTGCTAATTTTAGGAAAAAATTGAAATTCATTCGAAAAATTATCACTCTCAGTAATTGATGTCTCAAAGAAAATAGCGCCATAGATTATATATATATATTATTTTTTTATTGGTTTCATTATCAATTAGTAATTTCAGAACTTTCATCAAAATATCTTATTTTATAATGTTCATTTTTTAATTTTACTTGCATCGACTTCTCAAAACATTTTAGTGACATATTGATCCATTCAATTGACATCTGTTACTAATTATTAAATCTTTGTAATCCTATTTTTTCAAGTATTACATTAATCCCTTTTATAAATATTTAATTCTGTAATCTATATAGTTAAATGGATTATCATTAGCCTCAACTTAAAGAATGCAAATCCTCCACCAATTTCCAGTATCCTGGGGCATATCATTGACTTTATCGAGTCGTGGGTATTCAATGTGTTTACGAGTGGGCAATATGGAAACGTTTCATAAATTGACATTGTAAATTTTTTTCACTATCAAATTTTTTTTAAATATTTCTTCTTAACAATCTTTTAGTCACACATAGGTACATATATTAGAATATCAGACAGTTTTGCAAAAATTGTGTTGGAAACACAAATAATAGACCAAATGATTTCAAATTTTGGATAATTAAAATGGTTGAAGCTCTTTTAAGTTTACTCCCGAGTTCTGCAGGACACAATATTTTACTCATAATTTTGCTGTTTCATTTTAATTCAGTTACACTGTTTGGCCATTGACCATCTTTCTGACAAAGTCGGTGTTCACCTAAGCCTTATCCATACTGGTGTGAAAATTCTGTGGTAGTAAAACTTGATTTGTATTCAAAATTTGAAGCATTTGAATGACCATGTAATAGATTCTTGTGTAGAGGGCATAAACTAATGGTGCATTATGTTAGTCATTGGACCTTTGTGTAGCATTACTCTACTGGCTTATTCGATCTTTCGTAATTGTCCACATTTCTAAAAGAATTAAGTGTTCAACTATAATATGAGTAGTTAACTATGTAGGTCTGATGATGCCTGACCTTGATCAGACGAAACGTTACAGAAATATATTTGTGTTTGTGCGCAGCAAGACTCTTGAATCACTTGAAATAGTTATCCATAATCAATCTCGCTATAGCATCCTTGCAATATATGCATACAGATGCTTCGAAACAGAAGTACAGGAGAAGGATAAGAAACCAAATTTCTAAAAAAGATTTAAAGTAATTTATGAGAATTATAAATGATATTTAGTTACGTATGTAATTCAAAATTCACTAAATTTTCACATTTATATACCTCTTGTTAATGTAATCCAACAATTCCAGGTGCAATGGTTTTCGCCAAAGCAATTTACGAATACGAGGGTTGCACAGATGACGAACTAACTTTTCCTGAGGGTGCAATAATTCGCATAATAGCGAAAGATGATAACGGTGTGGATGACGGTTGGTGGAAAGGTGAACTTAACGGAAATACCGGGGTTTTCCCTGCACTTGTTGTAGAAGAAATGACGTCTGAAGAACAAGAATATAAACCGGTTAAAAAGACTAATAATTGGATTTCTTCAACAGATACTTTGGTACGTTCGTTTTATTTAATGAGTTTCAAGTTCAGTAGAATGATTTTTACGATAAATTTGTTAAAAATTGCAATGCATGTGCGCTTTTAGTTAGTTTCTTTTTGCAATATATTTTTTTGTTTTATTATTTAAAATAGATTTTCAAATTTGTAGAATAGATGTTGGCTCAGCAATTAGCACATCATGCCAAGCATTAGAATTATTCTTTCCACCTCTTATTAATTATCCTGCGAAGGTACGCAGGTTTGAATCTCACAGGAGATTATTATGCGCGTTCGGGTTACTGGACACTTTGCCGTTGTGGTTTATGTAACCTACGGCTTCTACCACCATCACGTCCATGCATTGAAAACGAATAACTGGTTGAACAATCCCATACCTGACATGGGCTGGTATCGGGTTAAAAGGCCGTGTTTTGCTATATTATTAAGCTGTTTATTCTTAATTCTCTCTTTCTTTGGATAAATATGAATACGCTATTCACAGTTAACAGTATTCAAAAATTATTTTTTTAAGAACAGCTCTTAATTCAGATGAAATTTATCATTCATGAAATGTAATTTCATCAAGTTAATTCTTGAAATTTTTAAATTCGCCCTTCAATGAATATTTCTATTTTGGAGCCATTGTCCATTTACAACTTTTATAGGAATTAATATTTCTGCTTTTTCCTCAACTTTGCTTGTTATATTATCAATGTTTATAATCATTCATTCAAACTCAAAACTTTGAATTGCTGAGATTTCAAAGTACGCTTGGCTACATAGCCTATTATTAGTATTCAAACATTTCATATCCGCCCAAGTTTCTATTTCTAGTGTTTTATCCCAAACAAAAATAAACACAGGTATTTTTTTTGTGAACATGGAATAATTGATTAATTAAAAATCAGTACTTTTTTTATTGAGAACCATCTCCAATCTCCAAAAACATTTTTCTGAAGATTTACAATATTACCAGCAGTTAGCATATTTCCAAAGAATTTAGAAAATGGGGAATGTAGTCTGCCCCTTATCAGTGAAACTCTCTACGTGACCGAATGAAGTCACCTGATATGATGGTTTCGTTTTCTCACGCTTCAATAACCACAAGTCGTAAAATATTTCTTCCAAACAGTGTATCTGTGGGATTTAATTGCATGGAATGTAAATGTATAATAATCATATAAACGCAGAAATATCAAAGTATTATAGATTAATAATGTAAATGCAATATAAATATATATATAAACACAAAGATTTGGGGGCATTGGCAAGGTCGTGGAACGACTTGAGAACACAAAGTTGGCTCAATCACTTCATTGTGTTAAGAAGTGTTGATGTACCTAATCTGGACCATACTAGTTTCTGTATTTAGCATATGATAAAACATTTTTTATCAAGCATCATTTGAAAAATCAATTATTTAAAAATAAAAGGAATCAAAAATATTGCATACTTCTTGTGTTTCTGTTTTGTCTTTTCAAATTTATCTTGAGAATGAAATCCGATAAGATGGCCTAATCATATACAGACCACATCATCTTGATTGTGATATTTTCCCAGACTGATGTAGGTTGCTACAATTTCTTGTATCAAATTCCTTCCTTCGGTCAAGTAACCGAATTTGGCATCTTTTTATGAATTTTTACTTTTACAATGTGTTGGGTTCCTCTTTTGGTGAATTTACAATCTAAAATTGGAATCTAGATTTTATTTAATTGATGAATTCAATAACATTTATTAACATGACGTACGGCAGCATATCCTTTTGGGGCTCAATTTTTTCAAGTGAGACTTTCACTCTGGTGATAACTTCATTAGTTATTCATTTTATTACAATTCTAATTAGTCATAATTTAATCGAACATGAACCACTCTTAAATCGAGTTCGATTTATCAACGATTCATGCATAATTGAAACTTATTTTTTGAATGAGAATTTTCAAAATTTGCATGACTTTTTTCCGTAATATTTCCTTTCAATTCAGGAATCGCCTGAATTAGAAGGACCTCCCAAGTTTCACCCGCCCCCTCCATCTCTTAACATTCCGAAAAACATCAACAATAACTACTACCAACAAATGACCATGTCGGCGTCACTGCCCACCACACCGGTCAAGCAGGCTGGCCGTCCGGTAAGACAGTGGTGTCTTTTGTTGTATACTTATTGGTGTCGGTGATTATAACATTGTATCAATGTATGTGTATTGATCATGAATTTTATGGAATGTCTCACATCCTGTATCCGAATAAGGCACTGGTCAAGCTACTTCAACAATCTTCAAACAGTGCATCACTGTTCATCTTAAATATTTCTGGTGATTGTGAGTAATTACCATAATTGACGAGATTTCATTTTCTAGTAATTATGGAAAATTTTACAAATAGTCTACTTGTTTTTGATTATATATATTTTTGAAATTAGGGTTCTAATATCATTTTATTTTTAATAGAAATATTTTAATTGATTACATTTAAATTTATTCTGAAGAAATTGAGTCAAAAAATAATTCAACCTATTCAATATCATTTTTTTTTTCAATTTTGGGGGAAAATTTTTAGCATAAAGCCAAAAGCTTGGGTTACAATTAATACTGAATAAAACTAATATTCATAGTTGTGAATTATGCATTATTTAAATTCTGTTTGCATGGCAATGGAATGGCAGTTAATTAAATTTTGTGTTTCAATTTATGCTTGGCTTGCTTATATGATAAGGAACTGTCTGCAAAACAAATTTATTCACTTTTGCTCACAAACACTTTGGTATTCTGAAGTATATTTTTCGCCTGGCTTTTTTTTTCTACTAGTGCTTAAATAGAGATGATCTTGTAGACATAACTCATTTTTTCCCCTCTTACAAGAGTATAAATAAAGAGTAAAAAACGGTGCCATGAGTGCTAAAATACTCCGAAAATGGCCCCGGGCCCTAACAAGTTGGGAATCACTGCTCTAAAACATAGTAGCTTGTTTAGTGCCTTTTTCAGAGTGCAGATGTGTAGTAGCCCATAAAAAAATTAGAATGAAATTAATTTTAAATTTGTTTAGAATAATTTTTGTTAGCATCCATAGCTGTAGCAGTTTTTGCTTTGCGATACAAAACTTTCCGTGTGTTATAGATTTAGATGGAAATGTATTTCAAGTAGTGTTAATGAATCTCCTGATTTCGAATATTCTTATTCATGTAACAATTTAAATAAAAAGTCCAAAAATAAAATCCAGTTTTTACCTAATATCTGAAATTTTCAATTATGAAGAAATCGGAGTAAAAAGAGATCGTAAATTTTGCAAAATTGGAATCTGTCATGTCAAGTTTTCCCGAATTTTCTCCGAGCAAAGTTACGAGTGACTACAAAAGTGTCGAGAGCTATAAGGAATTATACGTAGAATTGGGCAGTCGTGCGACTTCGTAGACTTTTCTACGATCAAACCAAATCGTACTAATCTTTTCTGTGTCCAATAACTCTCAATATTTCCTGTCTTTGACACATAAAAAGTAGGTTTGGTTGTTTCGTATTCCGTAGCTAAATGGTAGTCAATAATAAATAATGTTTTTCTCTGGAAGAGACTCAACATGGAACTAAATAATAGAAAAGACTAATATAATTTCTCATCATTTTTTACAAAGTTTCGCGAATTTAATTTTTAAGTCTTTTATTATTTTATTTATTATTTCAATTGTAGACGAGGATCGCTCCACCGCCACCACAGAGACCGAGAAGTGCAAGTCGTCCTACGTGATATATCGTCAACATCATCCCAACTATAAATATACTACAAAATGCCTTTGGAGGTCAAAGTTCAATAAGGCATCAAGTTCAGTTTCCCGGTTCAGGTTTTTTTATCACTTGACAGCAGGGAATGTTGATCTCGTCTTTGATCATGTCCGATTAAGTGTATATTTGGTCTGTATGTGACTTGGTAATTTGTGGGTCCAGGAACTTAATTTATAACTAATGGAATTTTTGTGTTTATAATGAAAAAAAATATCATGTTATATCTTTATCATACATATTTTATTTAATAAAAATATGACATTTTTCTTATATTTTCACTAGAAATGATATAAACACAACTTCTCAATTCAAATTCAAAGATTTATTGTATCTCCTTACTTCATGCGAAAAACTTACTAATATGACGCATTTCATCCTAGTTGGCCCCCTTAATTCTTTTTTTGGGCATGTCTCATGGATTCTTTTAGTTTCTCAGATGAGTGAAACTCAGCAATGCAGTTTTTCTGCTACTATTGGTATTTACAGTAAATCGGCCCATTTTTGTTCAATTGTGATAATTGTCTTACGGAAGCCGCCATGTTTTGTCCTAAATGTTTTTCTCTCTTTTATTATACATAGTACATTTCATTGTGAAGCACTTTTCTGTACCTTAACCTGGCATGGCAGTTTTTGTCTTAAATTTACGAGCAGTATGGTTTGAAACTTCAAATTTCATTCACAAAATGAGATTTTTGCACAGATTAAATTTTTTTTAAGAGCTGGCGACTATGTTTCTCATTCTCTTGACAAAAACTACATTTAAGAATGATATTCTATTTTCTGGACTGTATTTACAGCAAACCTTACTATTTCCAAAGATTATTATTAAAAAAAAATGTAAATTGTTTTGCGACTCTGGGTCGTAAAAAATTTTTGACACAGACTCTAGTTTCAAACAGAGAAAATTACATTTTAGTAAGAAAAAAAAGGCATACACATGCTTTATTGTTAATAACGCTTGATAATCTTGATGAAAAAATTAGACTTTTTATATCTTCATTAATTAGGAATTTTAAATTCCAATTGTCGACTCCAGGGAATTCAAAATTTTGAGTTCTAGTTCGCACTCCGGGCAGTTTAGAAATTCGATTTCAACTTAAAGGAAAATATGTCGAACAGTCCCAAGATTTCAGAAATACCACTTCATCCCAGGCCCCAGGCCCCAAACCCCCTGCCTCACACATCAAAACAATACACAACATTATCCTTAGTTAGTCTATCGATAATAAATTTCAATGAAATAATTTTGTAATGTAATTCAGTCAGTTTTAATTGAGATAGGACAGTTTTCAGAATTTGAAATTATATAGGTAATAATAACAGAAAAATTGGAAAAAATGTAAAATCATGAGATTATTCAAAAATGATTATCGATGAAGCACAAATTTGATACTGTTAAATATTTTTTAAATCAAAATGCAGTTTCCGTTTTGTTCGTGTCTTTTTTGCTACATTAACGCTGTGTCTGAAATAATTGTCTGATGAAATGAAACTTCAGCATGAAACTTTTTTTTTGTGTTATTGAGCGTCAGAGTTCTATCCCTGTTGTCTGATCAAGTTTAGCCCGACTTTGAATTTAAATAATTATCTTCGAATATGTTTGTAAGTCGATTTATTTCGCATTCAATACTCGTGGCCGTTCGTATATTTTATGTTTCGCTGGATGTGGGCCGAAGAAGAGTCTACCTACGGGCATATGTTGTTCATCTTTGGCACACATCTAGTTGGACGTGGAAATGGCATTTTCTTATCTTTTGTTTAAATATTTTGCTGCCACTGTTTGCTGGCCAATAAAAATATACTATGTTTAATGATTGGTCAGTTTGTTCTTGTGTTTTGTATCAGTCAAGAATCAGTAGTTAGTCATCGTACTGAAAACACACTTGATATACGAATTGCAATAAATAATGAAAAGGCATTTCAGGGTGAGGGGAGCCGCGAGAAACCAAATTTGGTTACCGAGCAGCGTCACCCAGATGTATATTTCGTAGATGTATGGGTTTTTCTGTCCGTGATTTTCTGTACCAAAGCAGCATGGGTTAGACGTCTTGTAACTAACTTATGCTAGCTTCGCTGCTTACAAATCTCGGGTTCAAATTTCATTCCCAGTACATCACTAGGGGTATAATGAATTAGGTGGAGAATGCTGAAATGGGAAGATCCTGATACATCCGAAAATTGCTGCTCCACACTTATAATTAGATATCAGTGGTGCTTGCATAAGGCCAACTTCATAGAGGAATGGTTGTTCAATCGCTGTATATGAAAAGGAAAATGGATGGAAGAAAGACCTTATGAATGTAGTTGTACCGATCCCCCTGCATTGTTTGATCTGGATAATTAAATTTTCTAAACAGAAACGAGCAAATTTTCTAAAATTGCTTCGAATCAATATTTTGAAAGGTTAGTCCGTTATGATGATAATTCAAAATAAGGAGAGCAGAACCAGTTATCAATATTTGGTTCAGACACCATAGATACATAAATCCTTTATGCCCAAAGATGCCTCTGAATACCGCAGACTGAATGTTACCGGACATACTTTTATTGAGAGGATATTCAATAGCCTATTAAAGCACACTGAACACCCAGGACTTTCTAGGGTGTCCATAAAATCCTAAAAAAATTTAAAATTGCAAAGGGAATTTATCGATACCATATATTATTTCGGCCCTCACAGATGTATTAAATGAAGTAAAAATAATTACAGGTAAACAATTACCAATTAAATAACAACAAACCTCGTTAATAAGATATATTGAGAACTGACTTAATAACAAATCTGAAATTGTGAAAGGACTTATAGACACTCATTGTTGATATTGACATTTTATAGCAAGAAGCCAAATTGTGAATCACCCAAATTTGCCTTTTAAACTAGTAAATATTATAATATTTATCTAATTATACCTGATTGTTTGATTGGTCGTTTACAGATTTTTCTAAATCATCTTCATTAGGTATTTGAAAATTTCAAATAAGATTTTCATTATTGTTAGAATTGATTACTCATTTTTTTAATTTACACTTTCTATTTGTCCAAATATCAAGTACTTTTCTGCACTTTTGTACCAGAGAGTAAATGGTACATTTCACCTTTTTGTTTTATTATCTTGAAAACTAATTAAGCTATAATTCTTCTAATTCTAATTAAGATATTATAATTCTTTAAAATTGTCTTCAGCCCCTTGAAAATGTGAAGTTTAATATGGTGATCACATAGCTAGCAATATCCTGTTGACAAATATTCCCTTTTGCCATCTTAAATTATTCCCTAATCCTTATACATGACACATTCAGACATGCTTTTATTTAGAGCACGGTTTTCCCAATTTTGGTCATCGTACCCCTCGGACAATTGGACAATTTATATTCGCTTCCGGTAACCCCTATATTCTAATATTTTTGAGGCTGCTTCTCCAATGCACAACTTATTTTCTTATACTTGACCTAGCGTACGCGTACGCCTTCAAAAGACAAATGTACCCCTGGGTGTCCATGTAACCCGGTTTGGGATCCCTGATTTAGAGCAACTGCAATAGGCTTACACACAAGTTGAATTTTCAGTGATTTTATTTTCAAAGAGCACAGAAAAGCTAAAAAAAAATAACAAAATACATTGAAAAACGAAGTTATTACATGATCGGAAATACGAACTGGAATATTACCCATAATTCAACAGCCTAAATTTGGCAACCATGATATTTTTTAAAGAAAAAAATGAATTATCGTTAACGAGATAAAATATGATACATCATTCAACTTCTGACCATGTGAAAAAATGGACGATCAATAGAAAGAAACAACTATTGTGCACTAAATGGATATACACCGACTTTACATATTCAAAAATTCAGAATGTATTCGGACTAGCAAATTATTCAAACTGGCTATCCTTGGTTACCAGAACAATTAAACTACAAAGACCATAGGAAAATAGAATTATAGTCAACCGCCTGGACATTGAAACATGTTTTACAGACTATAAAATCACATCAGCCAATATTTTCTCTTTAACTTTGAAAAAATTTTAAACTGAAAATTGGACATAACGACACCATTTAAGAAGAATAAAAAGTGGATATACCACAATATCATACATGGTCAATGATTGAACCATGTTTGATTTGATATGATACAAACCAAACTTGAGGATTTATACAGATTGGGGAATTCAACTTTGACCCTTGACTATTTCAAATTTTTCGTGGACTGTTTGTTTTCAACACATAAAGTTGGTATTTCATGTTCAGTTTTAATAGTAATTCCACTGGCTATCTTCAAGCGTTAACAGCTCGGTAAACGCAAGCCATATCTCTATCTCCATATCCCATTGCTTTGGATCTTTTGTACAGCTGGAAAGATTAAAATATTTCCCGTTAGTTTGACCAAATTAAAAATTGAAATATTTAACATTATTTTAACTGGCGATATTGCGATAAATGTAAATCATTATTTTGTCACGAAACCTCAAATCAAGTTGAAAATCACAGGCTATTAGAGTCACGCCAAATTTTGAAGTTCAAGTCCCAGCACAAGTTGAGTCATAACTAACGCTGCTGACAACATAAAACTTACCATCTTATGTCATGGTTAAACCAATTTTATTTCGGATATCTAATCACGTATTAGGCAACATTTAATTTGGTATGATCATGGCCTATCACAAATTATCGCTGCAAGAAGACATTGAATTTTTTATTTTTTCAATATAATATTTATAGGCATGGTAAATCGTACTATATCAGAATTTTTCCTATATTTCGAAGACTCTCAAAATTTTTTGAGGTTCTCAAACCAATTTTTCCTGTTGAGTTAGAGTCGAGTTTGAATTGAGTCGTTTTGATCAAGAAAAAATCTAAAACTCGAGTATACAGTGGTTCGCGGGTAAGGTAAAATAACCAATATTGTATAATTATCATGCAATCACGTGCAATAAATCATTTGTATATATAATATGAATATATTGCAGGGCAGAGAATAAATTTAATTTTAAGGAGAGAAACAGTCATCATAGGCTGCTTCTTATAGATGGTCACCTAATTAATTATAATTAATCAACCTGGTTAATTAATTATCAATGGTTGATGCATCAACTACAAAAATCCTAAAGTTTAGTCCAGTAAAAGAAAAATGAACTTGAAAAAAAAAAATTCTCAAACATGGACACAAAAGGCCCAGTGATAAACCACATTACAGGTATCAAAATCCAATAAATAATCATTAAAAAACTTGATAAGTCACCAAATCGACTTTCACAAAGCTACGAAACAAAAAATTCCTACCTCGTTAGAAGCACCAGCTATATGCAATGGTTGTTCCAATTCTTCTCCGATTTGTAATCCAAGTCTTAAGTCTTTTTGCATGTGTCTCAGTGGAAAGTTCGCAGGAAAATGACCCTAAACAAGAAATAGAAACAAATTGGGGCGGTGGTCTAGTGCAGTGGTTCCCAAACTATGGGTCACGTGAAGATTTTCCGGGGTTGCCTAATTGCTTCCAAACATGCGCACATAAGTGACTATGATTTGAAAGTTGGAAAGTGAAATTTGTTTTGGTCGCCAAGTATCGCAGAAGTCCTAACTTCGGATTTTTCAGCAATAATTTGGCCATTTTTAGTCCAAACGACGCCGAAAATGCTTAATAAAACTTTCATGCAGAACTTGACCTTTCCAGCTGGTCGGCATGTATCCGTTTATTATTTTGTGCAATCAGAGAAGTTGAATGGTGTGCTTGGAAGTCGAAATTGTTATCTGACTTTCTGCCGTTCTAGTCGGGAATATAAGCTAACAATTTTGGCACTATAAAAAACTAAAAATCGAATGCTGTTTCTATTAGCCTAGGTTGGCTATGTGTGATAACTAAATATTTTTGTTATGGCCGAACAATATAATTCATACCGGGTGTTTTTTGCAACCAACAGTATTACAAATAATCTAACAAATAAACAAACAAATATTAAATGCCGCCTTGATGTCAAAAAAATTAGTATTTTCCCTCCTGTACCTTACATTTGGTAATCAATCTATTTGGAGTTATTTTGTAAACATGAGTTCGAAAAGAAAGATGACGAATTCGAACAGATTTAAAACTGAATGTGGGGGGAAGATACCACAATGCTTGCATGATATGTCGGCAATATAATTTAAAACGACATTTTACAATCTTGTGAGCCATGAGCATTTTACAAAGTTAAGATTTGGCATTGAAAAGCACTTAAATTTGCGGAAGCCTTTTTCCGTTATGAAGAGTTCGAAATCTTCCTCTAAATTTATATATAGAAAGACTTTTGCTGTTTTTTGCATGATAAATGATAAACACTGATCAATGTGTTTGCGCAATAAAAGTGTTTGTTTTGTATTGTATGTTTGGCTATTCCCAGCACTATTGTGGCCCGTGAACAATGCAAAAATAATTTTGTGTCTCCCGAAGCCGACAATCTAAGACCACCCTGTTCTAGTATAATAAAAGGCACTTAAAAGATGTGATTCCGTACACGTTTTTCCTTATTTTACTCTCATGCTCTGTTTTACTTTCAAACTAATAAATAATGGGGCAATCTGTAATATGTTAACATTGAACTAAAAATATTAAAGACACTGATGGAATATGCTAAATAAGATTTTAAATTTATGTTTATTTAGAAGCAATCTTACTATTTTCGAAGTATCGCACGCTTCCTTACAACCTACCACATTTTATCAAGTCCGTCTATGTTTCGCCAAAGAACCGTCATAATTTTGATCGAAGAGATTTGTACACCATTGTTTTCATACGGTGCCATGGGTTTTCAAATCTTCTGAAGTTTTTCCGGCGCATTGCCGTATTTGTTCGTATACTTTTTTTGGGCCAATGTTCACCGTCAATGTCTACTTGCAGTCGATATGCAGGTACAATTGTTCCCGTTGAGGCATTTGAAACTGATATATTAATTTTTGAGGTTCCTGAACGTTTCTAGTTGAGGGGTCGCGAGTATCTATAGGCTCTGATTTTATGAAAATTGGGGTTGCGAAAAAATAAGTTCCGAAACAGACTATAATGCCATCGCCGGGTAAAAATCATCTCACACAGGGTGGAATAAATTGGGTAGGCAATGTCGAACCAGTAAAATTCCGATCATCTCAAGATGGCTTAGAAAAGAAGAATGCAACATTTTTTGTCGGTGGGCTTATAAGATAACCAACTTTATCTAGCTGGGCCACACAAAAAATGAGCATTTCCATGTAAACAAGAATTAAAAATCTAGTGACAACTGGGAGAGCACAGAGCGCTGTGGAAAAGGCAAGAGAAGAGCATGTGGGTATCTCTTACCCTTACAGCAGGGGTCGGCAACCTTTTGTCGCTCACGAGCCAAAATTAAGGTTGCAAGTCATTGGCGGGCCGCACATATTTTTAGAAAGTGAAGCAGTGATACATCTCTCGAAAAGAATATGGATTTATTTCCTCGTTGCATCTCATAAAATCCCATTTGAATATTTTCAGCGCCATTGAACCCTTTGCACTTAGCATCAACTTCTCTGCGTTTTGTTGCCATTTACTTAATTATAATTAAATTAAATGCTCCTTAAACGGGTAATTGTGATTTATATAATTGTTAGGTTATAATATAATTCGGTCTAAAGAATATACCGGTATTCGTCAAAAAGGATGTTCTGTTACTATAATTTAGTGAAGCGTCGGGGGCTGAATTATAGTGCCCCGCGGGCCGGACGTTGCTGACCCCTGCCTTACAGTAATAAACGCACGGGAAAAAAACAGCGAAAGATTTACCATAGCGACAAGAGAAAAAATCATATATTTATCCATGTGAGCATTTTTTAAAGATAAAATGTCAGATCAGGATTTTATGCTTGATGGTGAAAAAACCTGAGTGTTGACAAGGACCACACTACATGGCTTGGCTTTTCAGATCCCGAAAAAATTTACTATACAGCAATTTTGTGTAATAACAATGATTTTTTGAAATTAAATTTAAAACACTAGAACATTTTCAATTTTTCAAACAATTTTAGAATAGAGAACTAATAAATGAAATGTCAGGTACATTTGAAGTTCATCACATTTAATTTAACAAATCATTTTCAAACAAGAATAATTTAGATTATCTCCATATAAAAACTTTCCAGCATTTAACACCTGAAGACAGATCTCATTAGACACAGTCGGAAGACAGATCTCATTAGATAATTTGAAAAATTCAAAATATATAACAAAAACAATGCTTTATTGAACCATTCTCATAAATTTACAATGATTAGTTAGTGCTATAGTCAGATGACCTTCATGGCCAATACAATTGGGCATTATTTCTCAAATACTACACTTTACAAAAGATGACCATCTTACCTCAAGAACGGCCGCTCCCTTTGATTTGACGAGAGGACAGGATAAAGCACCCATATTCAATATTTCGAGTAACGTATATTGATCTAGTCCTGCCTTCTCAGCAAGAGATAAAGATTCTGATATGGATGCCATGAAAGATCCCATCATCATGCTCATTATAATTTTATTTTTTGCACCGTTTCCGAGTTCGCCTGAAAAGGAGAGATTTTACAGAAATTAACCAATTAAAATAAAAAAAATTTCATTTCAGCAATTTAGTTTCAAAGTATTGGGTGATATAGAAAAAAATCTAAAGATAATACCAGGATCTGAAGACATAAATGCGAGACTGAAATTCTGAAAAATATTTCATTTGAAAATTGATTGCAGAGAAAAAGGGTGTAGTTTAAGCGTCTACATTTTACCAAGCTAACAATTCTTTATATGGCTCAATTAGTTTCAAAGATCAATGTTGGAAAAAGAGTGAATTGTGACTGTTTCTTATTGATTCTTTTAACAAAAGGGAAAAATTACTATTCCTCCCTTTTTCTGCAATATATTTGTGATTTAAACACTTGAAAACGGCTAAATAAAAAAAAAAAATATTTTTTAAATCAGCATGCAAAACCAACGCGAACAATAATAAAAAACTAATTGGAATTATTAGTTTTCCACAAAACCTATTAATGGTTGAATAAAGACGTAAAAGTGGGTACTGTATAGTGATGTGAAAATTCAAATTGGGATCTTTCTATTAAATTTGAGTACTTGTTATGAAATGTCAATGTCAAGAAAAATAATGTCATATAAAAATCAAAACTATATGTTTTTTTTTATTATTTATTCAATACAGTTCTCTAATCCCCCAAATTTTTGTGAGTTTTTAGTTAACATGTTTCTAGTCAAATTTATGAAAACCCCCAAAATTTAGATAATCTTTTGTGATAACTTAATTATATTTGGTGAATAGATTAAGATGTTAGTTCACAACATTTTACACCACACACAAAGCCCAAGGTCAGTGCCTCAAAAACAATGGTAAAACTATCCAACAATATCAAAAGTTATATGATAGAAAGTGGTCACGATCAGCGGTCGTTATTAAAACATTCCATTCTGAAATAACATTTTTGAATAACGAAAGTATTCAAAATTGGATATATTCAACAGAAAATTCTGTATAATTATAGAATTTAAATTTGATAATATAGAATGTTTGAGATAAACATTGCTTTTATCGATGAAAAGTGTAAAAAGTAAAATTTCAATTACTCAAAATGCTATCTTCTCGAATAAAAAAGTTAAATTTTTCACTAAACGAGAAAAACCTATTCCAAACCATATTCAACACCCATGCCAACCCCCCTCACCCCGGGTATAATAAAATGGGGTAGGCAAGACCCAAGCGGAAATATTGCGACCCCTCCAGATATATTCGCCTTGAATATTCTCAATCGTTATATATCAGTGGAAGCTTGTAAAGAGCCTTGTTCAGAGCGAAAAACATGAAATAAGTGTTGTATAAAAACAGACCAACCTAAAAAGAACGTCTTTTTCCCCATTGCTTCGAAACTTGAATAACAATCCATGTATAAAGATCTATCGCCAGCTGCAAGTATCACCAATTGACCATGTTCCGCTTCCTTTTTACTTCCGTTGACAGGAGCCTCCAAATATCGGCCTCCTCTCATGCATATTGCCTGTTAGTTTCGAAAATTTAATACTCGTAAATCGTATGTTAAGTTTAATCCATGTGTTCGAAACTGGGGGTAAATTGGACCCACACAGGTGTGCAGCCAGTGATGTCCAAAACGAATCGAATGTTCGAATACGTTCAAAATTCATTACAATCGATATAGTAAATTATGAAATTCGGTGGTAATTTAGAAATTAGGGATTTTGATCAACATGAAGGTATAGTGATTTATGTAATTTTCCACATTAACTTGCCCCCAATTCAGAATGTATCTGATATTCCATATTCGAAAAAATTTTCGCAGAATGTATTCGAAATAGTAAATTATTTCTTTCCGGCCATTCTGGGTGCAGCCAGTATTTAAAAGATTCAAAATTGAAAAATTCAGCGTTCTTCCTGGTTTTCAAGGCTTCTGGAACAGTCGCCACCAATACAACCAATCAAAAATGTCTACCTATATTATTGTGTGTTCAACATAACTTTGCGGTTATGCGGAGCGCTACTACTCTAAAACACAGAGGCAAACTGTGAAAATATGTGGAAAATTGCCCGATTATATCTTGTTTTGATTCACATTTTTTGCAATCTTGTGAATTATTATTTTCAGACCCAGGGCTCTTCAAACTGGGGGGACCCCAGGGGGTCGCAAAAGGGCTCAATGGAGGTTGCGGTAAAATCTTTTTCAACATTAACTTATATATATTGATCAAATTAAAAGGATTTACAACCAGTACTACTCGACCTTTTGCGCAAGAATATGCGACACATCGGTCTCATTTTAAAGGTATTATCAATTTTCATTATTTCTTCAATATATTCGTTGAAAATAAATTCGACAATATGATAAAATTTGGACATTCAAATGAATATTTCGTCATTTTGGAAACATGAAATTACTATCACGATAACTAAAGAATGGAGTTATATAAATGTGATGAATTATTTAGTAATAATCCACAAAGAACAAATTTAAACTAAATAAAATTACCCAATGAAGCTGACAATTATTGTAAAATACAATGTATATTGAAGATTTGAATATGGACTAAATGAAATAATTAAATAACTTAATTGTATCTATAAATTAAAGAGTTACAGGAATATAGCACAGAATCAGCATTAAACAAAATGCCATACATAAGACAGTCAAGTTCACCAATTGTTTTTAACAGAAGTCCTACATACGAATATTTTTTTAAAAAATGCTGATTTTAGAGAGTACCATTTTAAGTATTTACAATTAACATATATAAATTATAAAATAACAAATCAAGAACGAACCTCGGCAATTTCCTTGACAGTATCAACGTCAATTGTTGACATATCGACAAATCCTTTTCCTGACGACATTCCCTGAAGAACTCCGTAGTTGCCGATGACGATCTGTATTTAACAAAAGAGTAATGTTGAAATATATGGAGACAGAGTTGAATGTTAAAATAATTGCACCGAGTGTGTTTGTAAATGATTAAAACCAGCAATTTTTGGGACGAAATATTGGACCAAGAGGACAAAATTTATAAAAAATAAAAAGCACTGAGAATTGAAAGAAGAATTGATTCTGTGTTATATGCTGTCGTTAAAATGTACAATATATAAAGCAAACTGAATATTTTCATATCAAAAAATAAAAACAAACTTACATCTCTAACCGCATTTGGATCAGCGACGCAAGAAAATATAATATCGCATTGTTGTACAACGTCTGCAGGAGAAGATCCTTGCTTAGCTCCGGCTTTTATAACAGACGTACACCTAAAGTTAACGGACGAACGTTAGCATTTTTTTATGCTTACTCACACCTTTCGCTCTGAACAAGGCTCTTTACAAGCAACCACTGATATCAAATGATGTGTGAGGGGCTATTATTTTTGGGAGGGCCGCAATCTCTTCTGGTCGACATTGACTACTCAATATATTAGACTCTGGGTGACGTGGTCTGAATGGAATTTGAAACCGAGATAATTACCTGCGACGCCAACACATTCTAAATAGATTTACACCAAATCGTGAAATGATTTTTTTTTTCAAAAAATTCCAATTATATCATAAATTTAATACAAAAATATCAATTTTAGAATAAAAATAGTATTAAGATCAAAATAATTCTTAAAAACTATATTCATCAAAAATCATACCATATTCAAATATTTTTGAACATGAAAGATGTAACTGACCACTGGTCAGTAAAGAAGACAAATTGATACTTACTTATCTTGTGTTCTATTCCACACAGTAACATCGTGTCCAGTCTCGACAAGATTCCTGGCCATACTACTTCCCATAATTCCAAGTCCAATAAAACCGATTCTGAAAGAGATGAAGAAAATAAATTAACGCTATTTTTTTACATTCGTTCATGATACAATTTCGCCTGCATGTTACATTATAAAAAATTTATATATATGATTTTGTTTGAATAAATTGTATTATAAAAAAGAAGTGTTTTCCGGAGCATTGATTTCCTGTTTATTCCCGTAACGATAACCAATCAGTAATAAGTCCACAATGACGTAACAACTAACAATTGCAATTTTTGTAGCAGCACAGATACTTCTTTCGCTCAGACAGATATTCAAGCATGGTTGTAAACATTGATTCGTTTTTGCGTGTTGTCAGTTTTTAGTTGTGTTTCCAAAAATTAGTTGTTAATCGAATAACTTGTTATTAAGTCATCTGAGGAGATTTAGTTTAGTAGCAATAATAAAAATAGGTTTCGAAAACCCTGCAATAAACTAGGCTAAAATTAGCTATCAGTATCTGAAAGCGGAATGTGGATATATATTCTCAATACAACAGGTGGTTTTAAATGTAAACAAGTTTACAAGTGACAACCAACAGGAACACTTTCAAAATAAGCATGAAAAATTTTGCAGTGGTTAAGTATAGAAAGATTTTTTTTCGGGGTCAAAGGTCAAGGAAACATCCATTAAATTCCTGCAGACCCAATGTTTTGGAAGGTAAAATTTTCAACGTTTATAAATCTCAAGACTTGACCTTCAGTCAAATTTTTTGTCCATCCGGAATCGCGAGTCATCAATAACACTATCCGGAATAGCCTACTTAATTCGTTACACACTTGGATCAGGTGGTGTGCCATAAACAGGGCTTAAACATTGATGAAATTTCCCTAACTACCGGTAAAAGTAAAATAATACAATAAGAGAAGTTGACAACTTGAGAATTGAGTAATTTAAAAGTAGTTAAAATGAGAGCATGAAATCAAATTATCTTGCAAAAAATGTCTAAAAATATCCATATATACGTACTTTTTATCAGTTGCCATGACTTCTCGTGGTATATAATGTGTCGTACTATCTGCATCTGCAGTTGTATCGGGTGACCTTCTGGAAGACGGCAATTTTATGTCGGGAGTATCAGAACTGAATCTCTGAAAAATAAATATGATATCAATGTGACGAGAGTCATTTTAGCAAAAATACTCCACACAAACTAGTCTCGTCTGACTTTCAGAAAAACTTGACTTTGGACTCAAACGAAATTTTTTTCAAATCTTCGAAATAGCAAAAAATCGGTGAAATACGATTTCCCGCGTATATTAATGCTGTGTATTGAAAAATAAATTGAAAATATACGAGGTTGTTGCTGAAATAATTCAAAATGGAATGTGTTGATTGATACCGATGTAATGTTGCCTTGACTGATCGAGACTGATAGCAAGAAGTATCATATTATGAATAGAAACCATTTTAAAATCGAGCCAGAGAATTGACAATTTTATGAATATCAAGCAATGTTTTCATTTTTCAATTGTAATTAGAAACACAGAATATCGGTGAATTATATGAACATGAAGGCAATACTATGGCCGAGGGCATACACCTTCAACGCTGATGGATGTTTTACCCTTAAAATTCTTCTCATACTCCACTACTGCCTCAATAATTAGTATGTACCAATGAAGGTGATTTTTTCAAAATTAAAAGAAATAAGGAGGCCCAAGCTTTTATAACAATAGGTGAATGTATTAATTTACTTAGAGACCCTTTCGTCATCGAAATTATATTTAAGGAAAAAATAAATTTTACGAGGTATGGTTTAGCAGCACAGGACAACAGAGAAATCATCCATGAGCAAAGAACATGTCTGATATGTAATTTAAGCCAGTAGATCAGCTTTCGATTTGATGAATTGGGTAACAATAAAAACCAGAACACTGCGTAGACATTTATAGAGCGTAATATGTTAGATTTTGATGACATAATTTTGCGTTAAATTAAATTTTACGGCAGTCAAAGAAAGCAAACAATTAAAAAAAATATAACAGAATCACAAGTGAGCAAAAACGTTGCAATTGTCACTCCTTTATTAAATTGATCAGAAATGGGAAAGAAATTACCCCCGGAAATAATTGCTATTTGGATTCGTTAATTATGATTTTTATAAATTCAAAAAAATAAATAATGCAGCACCAAGAAAGGTACTCACATTATAAGATGAGGGTTTATGGGCAGCATTTTGAGGTGTATTGTTTTCTAAACTTCGTGTGAGTAGGTAATGAGAGAGATCGTGATGGTGCAGTGTCAACTTTAATATAAAGAAACAAACAAATCTTAGTGGTAGCCAAGTAAGCAAAGAGAGGGTTAATTTAACAAAATGTTCCCACACATATATAAACAGTGTTCCCAAATTGAAAGATAGACCCGTATTTTCATATTTAACCATCTACTCACAAGTTGTTCAAAGCAGGTTTTAAAACATCGTTAGGATTCTACATGTATATTTTTATTTAGAGCATTATTTTTTACGAATTAACAAAGTTAAAAAAATTTAAATGGAATAAAATCGTGTGTTACGCAATACCTGTTCTCGGCTTGGATAATTCTGTTTCTTAGGTTGCTTCCTTCGCTTCGGTGTTGATTTCGTTGTCTACAAATTAACAAATAAAATAAAAAATTTAAATGTATTAATTAGTTTAATTTGAAATACAAATTGCAAGTCTAAATTATACTTGCAATAGGAGATTGGTGGGGTTGATAGCCTGGTGGTAAAAACATTGGCCTTGAATGTTAAATATCGCAGCTTCAAATCCCATTCACCCAGGGTTCAATTATGCATGTACAGAGCCTTGTTCGAGGTAACACTCCGACGTATAACAAAAATTTATGAGCAGCAACTCAAATACCTTTTCTGCTTTTTTCGAAGTAATTTTAGCGTGTTTTGACAATGGTTCATCATCACTTCCATTTTCATCTTCAGATTCTTCTTCTTCTGAGCTTGTGTCTGGGATGCCTGAATAATACTTGGTTTTACTGATTTTTCGGTGCAATTTACCTTATGTTCTCACATATAATTCGACCCTACAAATCGTAACTCATCGTACGCACCTATTACAACAAATGGTTGCAGAAGAAGATTAATGAAAATGATAACCATTATTGTTATTTTTTACTTTTATTATTAACGGTCAATGTATGACAACCACAGACTGTTATCGCTGCTGCCATAGCGTACCAGAAGCTTCTTCGAGTGTGTGCGTGCACGCTCTTATCGTGAGAACTTAGCGCGTATAAGCCGACCCTTTAATACGATCAGAGTTATGTGTGTATAAGTCGAGCCCCTTTTGAGTTTCTGCCTTTTATGTGAGGATATACGGTGAGGTATTTCAATATTCATATTTGATACCTAATATAGCTGTTAGCCTATTATTTATCTTTGAGAATACATACAGAATAAGATGTTGCAAGTACATCTCAGTTCATTTTGGCCTTCGTGTCCATATATTTGAACATCACACTCTTGTTGTCTGTGACTTTGCACTGAGCAACAATGAACGATCGCAAATTCTTTTCGACAATATAACTATCCTACTCAGTGTTAACTCTAAGCAAATTATGAGTGCGAAAGTGCTTCGCAGTCGAAAAAAAAAGTGCGAAAGTGCTTTTGCCGATTTTAACAAGTTAGGTGCCCTAGCCTTCCATATAACCCATTTAAAACGGCATAGATACTCGAAAAAGCGCTCCTCCGGTTAATATTATGAATTAAAGAGAAGCCTTTTCCGAGTTCCCTTTAAGCGAATTCATGTTTAATCAAAACAAGCGAATTCATCGGCAACGAAATGACATCTGCTAACACCTGCCCCAACAAAACTTTCATGCAATGTATCACGATGTCAGTTGCTTACTCGCGTAAACAGCAAAGACTTCACATTTGTTACTCCTTTCATCTAACAGACACGAGGCAGGCTGGAAACCATATTAGTTACAGGGTGGATCGTTTGTACAAATCCCGTGTAAAATAAATCCCCCCCCCCCCAAATATAAATAGCAATCAACTAATTAGGGTTAGGTGCGCTGGAAATTCAACTTTTCGATTTACCCCTAAACCTAATCTGATAATTATTAATTTGTGATTTTGAACCACTTTGAAAGTCGCCACCCACTGTTTTAAAAGATAGGTTAATCTACGTTCCCTCCGAAAATATTACCGCGAGATTATTATATATTACCCTGTTTTAGGAGATAGGTTGACCTACTCTTTCCAACTTTTTTCTCCGAAATATTACACAAGATCACTTTGAAAATCCTCCGTTTCGTGAGCTAGCGTGACCTAATTTCTCATTTACATTTATATTATACTATTTCAGAGCTTACCCAAAGACAAGTAATTTTTATATGTCGACATGCCTTGGTTTGCGTGCGAGTTAGTTTAAATCGGGCAGAAAACATCATATATTGGCAAAATGTTTAGTAATGTCATGTACTTTAAGCATTCATAAATAGCACTCTTTGTAATGCTGCTGACCTAGTATCAAATATTCGCATCACAACGCCACTTGCGAGGTTTCCATATATTTCAATTACACTAATAGGAACGATGACACCAAAGAGTTTTCTTTTGCGAAGGTACACTAAATATAACGAGGGTGATTCTTGAGAAAAACATGAATATAAAAAATAAACGAATGATATGATAGTGGATCCCAAATAATTTTGAGAGTGTCTCGAAATACCAGTCCATTTGATAAATAATTTTTATTCGACCACATGACCGCTGATATCCTGAAAATTAATGTTGAAAGAGAATTACGCATTCTCAGATATCGGACATCCAGTCGCGATATTCAATCGTTTATATGCACAAATCTCACATTAATAGTAATTGCTACCCAAGTTTGTGAAGTTTAGAAACCAACAAACAGAAAATAACTTATCCTAAAACACAATTAAAATTCAGTCGGCAATAAATTCGTCGCCAAGACGATGCCATACAAAACAAAAAGATTTGGTCGCGAGAGTTACGTGCGTTGTAAAAAAAGAGTGTAAAAAAATTTATAATAAACGGGAGTTACGACGCCCTTTACACATCGTGTTTATTAAACTTCCCTGGTAAGTACTATTATTATTGTACTTATACACCTGTTGGGAGTATTTCGGACAATTTCGAATTTAAAATAAATGAAAACCCGACATATAATAAAGACGCAAAAGAAAAATGAACATTTATTGAAAAAGTTATTATTTAAGAAAGACAACATGATCGTACAATTCCGCCAAAACCTCGATGTTCGCAAGTATATGATAAATAAATACTTCCCTGTATTCGATCAATTAACTTTAGCGTATCGTTGTTCTGCCAACAAACAGCCGGGTGCAAAATATTTCCGTCCTGTGATATGCTCACAAATATTCTCGATATTAATATCATACCCTCGCGTATGTACTTTCTATTAGCTCTTTAGTGATCCCTTCCATCCGTGGCCAAGTCATGTTTCGAATATGTGAACATTTTATTCGACCATACATGGCCGGCGGGATGTTAAAATTGTAAACAAGAGAGAGGTAAAATCAATCGCGAGTTTCGTTATAACGGCTCGTTTACGAATTGTTGCGCCTGTTATCGTCGAAAATGATTACATTTGTTGTATTTTGAGGCATTTAAGAAGTAATAATTAGGGCATGACATCATCAAAATCGTCAAGTGAGATCTTGAAATTGCAAATTTCGTAAATAAAATTGTGAATTATTCGGTAACGAATTCAGCTTTAATGACCGTCGGGGTATTGTTTTGTTGAAAATTATTATTAATGTGAGAGCGCCAAAAACATACAGTCCATACCGATGCGACTGCAATTTATATGGTCGCAATTGGTGTGGCGCGTTTATTGATAGTGTAAAATAAATTAAACGAATATCAATTATAACCAAGCCTGTCAGCGTGTTTATTTTCTGTGGGCAGGAATCGTAAAATACCATCTTGAGACAAATTCACTTCTATTATAAAATCTTAATTTTCAGTTATTATCGTTATACAAATAACGTGTGGCAACTTTTTAATTTATCGACGACCAAAAAACCGGCCAACACTCGTCCAAACGTGTGTCGAGCTTGAACGACAGGAACAGATTCAGCGACGACCTTAATTAGGGAAAATATGTATTTTATTGAGAATGCAAAATAAATGTAACAAAACGCATTTTTTGTGATATAACTTTGTATTTTCGGAAACGGGTTGCCGTGAAAGGTAAAATTTGATCTAAATTAATCGCAAAAAGGTTTTATTTTAAATGTAACAAAACACATTTTTCGAGATACAACTGTATTTTGAATGAAGAGTAAAATATGATCTGAATTAACCGTAAATAATGTTTCATTCCAAATGTATCATAACGCATTTTTTGCGATATAACTTTGTATCTTCGAAAACGGGGCGTCACGAAAATTATTAATCTAATGTTTTATCTATCGTCTAACTATAGTCTGGAACGCTGGAACGGGGAGAACTCTAGTCCGCGAAACGTCATTTAATTTAAAATAGAGAATGTTTCACGCATTTCAAAACGGAAAATCACCAGTAAGTGGACAGGGATTCAACCCTCCGGATTCAGTATTCTATCTCCCCCGTGTCAGAACTTTCTGAAGAATAGAACAAAGAACCCGTCAAACCGCCGCGGAAAAAGGGGAGTATTTTTTGCACTAATAATTAGGGCGTGACAATATCAAAATCGTCAAGAAACTGGTGAATTTGCAAATTCCATAAATAAAATTGTGAATTGCTCGGTAACATTTTAGCTATAATTATCGCCGGGGTATTGTTTTGTTGAAATCACGTTGAAACTTGAGGCAATTAGTTACAACTAGCGAGATGGCGGGAATATAGATTACCCAAAACCTGGATATCGCCGCCAAAACGATCGGTGACAAGAACAATTAGCGATTACAACGGAATTAACCAGTAAAAAGGCTTTGTTGCCGATTTTTTAATGTTTCCACCACGTTTATTCGGTACTCCTTAAAAATATTCGATTCAAAAAAATATTGAATTTTGCCCACCCAACCTCGCATATCAATGAGAAATAGTTGTGTAAATATCGCAAAATTCCGGAAAATGCCACGTCCTTCCAACATTGTGATTACAATAAAATGGCACTTAATGGTATTTTGTGAATTTGGTGATTTTGCAAATCTGTGACATGCTGCTAAAAGTTTCGTCTGATTTGAAAATTGTGCAGTTTGGTCACAATTCATCCAAAGTGACCATAACACGTAACACTTTTATAGTCATTTTGAATTCATCGATATCATTGATAGTCACATGACCACTCTCGTTCAAAGAAACGCACTGCGTATTATTCCAGCATCTGGTTTCAATCACCGCGTTTTTTGCGGGAGAAGCGGAATCGGTCTGCTTGTATAATAATCATATTATAAACAAGAATTTTGCCGTTAATGCAAAAGCTTTATCTCCTATGTCTGCATCTCATTGGTTAGAATTCCGGTAAATATCGTTATGATATGCAGAATTGAGTTATAAAAGTACTAGTATGTTACTTATTTGTCAACTTAATACTCGAAAATATTTGTTAACTTTGAATTTTTATTCCATTCGAAATCAGAAAAAAGTGCTATTTCTCTTCAAAATCGGAAAAAAGTGCTATTTCGCAGTCCCTAAAAAAAGTTGCGAAAGTGCTTCGCAATTTTCGCAAAAAAGTGCGCTAATAGTGAACACTGATCCTACTATATTTTTTACTTTCATGAAACTATATTATTTACAAATTTGAGTTACATATATCCTCACATATAATCCCGCACATAAGCCAAACCCATATAAATGACGCTAAGGTGGTGAATCATGAGAACTTGGCGTCTATAGGCCGACCATTTCGTGCGCTCATAGTTATGCAAGTATAAGCCAAAATTTCAGTGCGATCAGAGTTATGTACGAATAAGCCGATCCTTCAGTTTGTCAACTTTTTTTTGAATTTCAAACTCGGCTTACATGCTAAGAGATAAGGTACTTTACAAAGTATTTTTATATGCATTTAAGCATAATATTTATTTATACCGTATTTACGAACGATAGGGAACACTGCTTAGATACTCAGCGCATCAGGCTATAAGATGCAGCAGTTTTTGAAGCAATATCATTCCTGGTTTTGAGTGTAGGAAATAAAGCATAAAGCACTACATGATTCAAACATTAGGCGCACCGAACCACACGAGGAGCACAATCTTTTTATTATTGAGGAAAAGTGTGGTTTACTGTTCGTAAAATTCAATAATTATTTTTTTAATACAAATACATCAAAAAATCTGGTTACCTTTTCCCCTTCTTTCAGAAGCATGTTCAATTTCTTTTACAGCGTCGATAAAATTTGGACGTTTGTTTGCAACAGAGAATGTTTCTTTGTTTTCTTCATATGGCTTTATCAATTCAACTTTTGTCCATGCACTGAACGAAGCAAAAATATTTGATGGTAATTAATATGCAATTATCTGTTTTAATTAAAAAAAAAAAATTCTAATAAAAGTGAGAAATAATAAAAATATGGTTTTGGATTAACTGTACAACAAGGCAATGAAGAGTTCTGCAGTTCTGCATGATAACTGCAGTTCAGTGATTATGCAAAATTTTCCAGATATGCCTGATTTGGTTCTATTTTGATTTTGACCTCTGTCACGCTAGCGAAATCCTGCTGCTCAAAAATATGATGTCATAAAAAGTGTTTCATTATAAAATTTATGATTAAAAAAATAATTTAATTGCACTAAGCTTCCGTGGCTATTGATTAGAAATACTTCGCAAAGTGGAAACACACTTTTATGACATCGTATATTTTTATGTAGGATTTCGCTAGCATTTCGCTGACGTGACAGTGGCTGATTTTATACACCCCTGCAAGTTGCATATAAATTATTGCAATTGTGAGTATATAATAATGACAACCACTCTGAAATTTTGCCGCGCAACTTGTTACCAGGAATTAATTTCGACCGTTGCAACTACAATAAGAAATGAGCTTACTGGTCTCCAGTTCCGTAGAATCTAACGTAATGCATCTCTGACTTTCCTTTCGGTTTTTTAACATCCTTGTCCTCTTCCACAATCTGAAACATTTACAAAACAATTTTTAATTCAAATAAACTTGGTAAAAGATTTGACTGTAAATAGTTTTGACTTTTTCCACAAAAATGACAAATAGCCTACTATCCAGTGTTTAGTTTGCTTCAAAAATGATATTAGAAACTTTGAGGCATATTGATGATATTTTCGTAAAATACCCAGTTTATACTCAGATAATAAATACAGAAATGTGTGTATACCTTTCCAGGCCAATATGGATATCCTGTCATTTTCGCCCTGTAAAAAAAATTTAAATTTAACATTTGTGTCATAGAATGGATGAAATTATGGTTGATTCGATAAGTGGTTGTGATATGGGCTAGCTTATTCTTCTTAATGGAATTACTTGGTTTAGTGTAGTTTCGTACCTCAAGTACTTCTAGTGGGCGTAGCATAAAGATTTTGCCATCCAAAAATTATGTCACAGTGACGTAATATAGTCTGTCAAACTATACAAACTGTCATCCAAGACACGCAAACGATCACCCGAAATCGAGCAAGCTATTCTCTTGTTTCCTCGTCGCAACGATCCCGATATGAAGAAGATCGCTGCCGTTAGTGACAGAGGTAGTGGAAATACAAAACTACCCTAGACTCATAAAAATTATATACATACAGACAGAGAGTGTAACAAAACATATTTGTTTTTGTGAAAACTTCTTCACATATTGTCAACAATTACAAATACTCGGGTCTCGTGTAGTTTTGTACCTAACGTACTTCTAGTGGACGTAGCATAACAATTTTTCGGTATGTCAATCCTAACCCCCATCTGACTATGCCATCCAAAAATTACGTCACTACGACATCACAATCACGTCATAGAGCTTGCCAAATATACACACAATAGCCTGAAATGGCATTGGCGCCGGCAATAAAGAACTGACTGACGTTATCGATCTCTCTCCTATTGGAATCGTTGCGACGAGAAAACAAGAGAAATAACTGATCGATTTCGGGTGCTCGTTTGCGCGTCTTGGATGGCAGTTCATATAGTTTGAAGGTCTCTGTTACGTCACTGTGACGTCGTAATGTTGTAATTTTTGGATGGTGTAGTCAGGTGGGGGTTAGGATTGATACGTGAAAAAATTGTCATGCTACGCCCACTATAAGTATGTTAGGTACAAAACTACATAAGACAAATTTTCAAAGTTTCAACGGTAACTGTCCATAGAAATGAGTATGAGAAATTTTCAGATCATTTCGAATTGTCGGATCACTGAAATGTATCTGTGTATGGTACCAGAATATTGAAAACTTCGAAAATAATTGGCATTCTGGCATCGGAAAACGAATTATTAGAATGCTCATTGAAAAATTACCTTGGTACAAAACATGACTAAAAAGTATGCATGTCGATAGAATGTTCCAAATAATAGAATGTCAATTGCAGCATTTCTTAGCACAGTACAGCAGTAGCAGCTACGGCAGTCTGGCAGTACAGCAGTAAGCTGAGACTTGAAAATCACCATATCAAAAATTCACTTACCAAACAAAATCACCGACTTTTAACGTTGTCATCCTTCTGTAGGAGATTTTCCGAACGTCAGAACAAAAAATTTATAAAGCAAGAAAATTTTTAGTAATCACAATCTATTCAAGCAAATACAAGGTCTAATGCAGCAATGAGAAACGCCCGAAACCGACAGAAAAAGGCAAAACGACGAAACCACGCGTCAAATAGCGCCCAGTCGATTGCGCGCCTTTGATTAAAATTGCTCCCGCAGAACCACACCGACATCTTGCGGCAACAAAAATCGGACTTGCAATAACAAATCATAAAATTTTGCGTATATTGTTGGATTTGTGTTTATTACCTTATTTTAAAGTTTATTCCAACTACGTAATCAGCATATAAGGGGGAAATAACATAAAGAAAACAGATTCAGGAGAAAAAACAAAACTTTGAGAAAGGTTTGAATTGTATAAAATTCAGATAAAAAGGTGTTGCAAAACAAGTGGTAAATGTTTGTCTACCTAAACAATGTCTAGAAAGTTTTGGTAACTCCTGAAGTATGCGCACCAAGATGGCGCACAACCTGAACTCAAGTTGTGTACCAGGTTAGGGTTCAGGTTATGCAACATCTTGGTGCGCATACTTCAGGAGCACCTTAGCAGGAATTTTTGAATTCATGCATACACACAGGAAGAGAAAATCAACATTACAAAATTCTGGGATATCGATATAGTTTTCTAGTCCCAATTTCGAGGTTGATTTTAATAAAACTAAACTCGAGTTCATTTTAGAGCGTGCTTAATTTTCAGAAAAATCACATAAGGCAGGGGTCGGCAACCGTTTGTCGCTCGCGGGCCAAAACAATGGTTGCAAATCATTGGGGGGCCGCACATATTTTTAGAAGGTTGAAAACCGAACAGATGATACTTTTTATATTAAAAATGGAGCAGTGATATATATCTCGAATAGAATATAGATTCATTTCCTCATTGCATTGCATTTTTGGCGCCCTTGAACCTTTTGCACTTAGAATCAACTTTTCTACGTTTTGTTGCCATTTGTCTAATTATAATTAAATTATAGGCTCATTAAACGAGTAATTGTGAATTTTATAATTGTTAGATTATAATCTAATTTAGTCTACACGCGTCTCGCAATGAATTGTGTAACGTAACAAATATAATCGTCAAAACAGCTGTTTTGTTACTATAATTCAGGGAAGCGTCGCGGACCGGATTTATGAGAATGCCTTTTAAGAGATGAAACGCTCTTCAGAGAATGTTAAGCAAGTGAAACGCATACCTTAGTGGCACCCATATATACTTCATCTGATGCATCTAAGGATGAACAAAGTCGAAATGAGAAGAAGTTTTTAAAAGAAATGGTCCAATCAGAAGATTGCACTCGAAATGTTACGGAGAATCTTATAAATGTTTATGTAAATATGAAATGATAATTATACGGCTATGTGCTATTCGGTAGAACCTATTAATTTAGTCTGTTAAATTTTAGATTCGCTGGATAACTATGGATGCCACATTTGAAATATACGGGGTGGTCGCTAGAAAAGCAGAAATTTGAGAGCTCGAATGAGATCACGGATAAAATGCATTCTTACTAATTTCTTGCACTGCCAGGCTAATTTACTGCTCTGCACAGACGACATTATGATCATTCATAAATGTAATATAGCATATGCCTTTAATAACTTCATTGAAGTTATTCTTTGTAAAAATTAAATGTTTGATAAATTTTTTGCTTTTATTAGCGATAACCCTGTAGTTTGCATAGACAAGCAACAGCAGCAATAAATAAACTGTTAATTAAACAAGTATTATGAGAATGATTGATTATAGTTGATCTAATGAGTTGAGCTAACATTACAACATATTTAAAAAAACAGGGAAACTCTATAGATTCGATTGCATTATGATGACAGAACAGCAGCATGGTTTCAACATAGTCATAGATATTGCCAAACATAGCGCATATTCAAATAATTTAATGAAAAATATACATGTATCATAGTTTAAATAAAGCATGTAACTAAATTTACTGAAACATTGAACAAGTATTTTTTACTTTGATACTGAACGTCTAATACATTTAAAACAAGTATCGGAGAGTATAAAATAGAAAAAAAATTTTTTTTTACGCCACCTCGTGGATTCTTCAGAAGTGTAGAAAAATTACAGTTTTGAATAGGCGTTTTTCGAAAACTTACTATAAAGCCAGCATTACGACATATTGGGAGAAAAAAGAAACCTTTTAGATTCGAGTTTATTATGGCAGAATAGTAGTAGCACGTTTTATACTGGCCATATATGATACCAAACATAGTGTATATTCCGATAATTTTATGAAACATATATATATGTATCATAGTTGAAAGTGGTTTTGTATTTCAAATAAATTTACTAAATATTTGAACAATTATCTTTTTTACCGTTTCATACACCGACACTGAACGTCTAATACTCTTGGAATAAGTTAGGAAGGGTATAAAATAACTATAAACATTATACGGCCTCTCGTGTGTGATTACTCAAATGATGAGTAGCGCGACAACTCTTAATTGTTGCGGCGCAATGCATCTCATCTATGCTCGTCTGGCTCGCCAGTCGATATGCAGTTGTGTTAACTTGTAGACGTTTGATCGCTGTTTTGAGTTGTATTGTTTAAGTTGTGCCGCTGTTTTCAATAAGTTCAGTTGTATACGGGTTTCTTTTCTGAGAAGATAGCAATTAAGAAATGAAACATGGTGGATTTTATTTTTTCATTTTGAATAATTACAGTTTTGATTGGGCGATTTCTTGAAAACCTCCAATAAAACCAACATCGCGAAATATTAGAAAACAGGGGAACCTTCTAGATTATATTTCATCATAGCAGAACAGTAGCAGCACGGTTTTATGGCTGTATATGATCCCAAACACAGCGTATAATCCTCGATTTTTCAACAATTCGAAAAATATTCCAATGTGGTTTTGTGGTTCAACTCAAATTTACTAACACTCGAGTAAATATTTTCTAAAACTATTGTCTAAATTCCGTGTTCCATGTCTAACAAGTTGGTGTAAGTTGCGTAAACTACAATGTAATAGTAGAACAATTTACGTCCTCTTGCGGATTTTTTTTTCAAATTTTCGATAGTGAAAATAGGTCTTCTTTATAGAGCAATTTCTTGAAAATTTCAAATAAGGCAACATTGAGATACATTGGGAGATGAGGAGAACCCTTCTAGATTCCATTTCATCATAGCAGAACAGTAGCAGCACGGTTTGACAAGGTCTCATATAATACCCATCGTAGCGTAATTCTTTAATTTTATGATAGAACAATTATCTTTTTAACTTTGTCATAAATTGAGCGTCCGCTCCTTGGTCTTCCTGATCTTTGATCCATAAACTTACGATGAATTACATAAATTGCTCGTCGTGTACGAGTCGAAATAATTCCAAATTGCCAAACAGCAATTTCGCACCTCATTTCTTGGTTAATCTCCTTGTCATTCTGTGGGTTGTCGAAAAATGCAAACAATACCTAAATTTTACTACTTATTCATACTGTTTCCTGAAGAAATGAACGCTCTGTGATGAGTACCTGAAAAGTTAATCAAAATTTAAAAGTGTATACTTACTTTTGAGACGCCCTGTATTATACGTATTATAAGGCATACCGGTACCGTACGGTACTCGACACGCAAAGGATGTCTCAACTTATCATTTTTATCTGAGCATGCTAAATATATTATCATATTAATTGATTAACAGCGGCCCTGTTTCATCCACTTATCTAAGAACAAGTTAGGTACCTTCGACCTATCCACGATTTACGCCAGCCCAGATAGTATTATCATCGCGCTTAAGCGTAACTTATGCGGGCGGAAGAAAAAATATAATATTCTTGTGTCTTTGCAGGCAGAATATCAACAACACCAACGGAATGATTCTGCGATTTATCTGGTCGCCGACGGACATTTTCAGGTACTCGTGTGAATAAATTTGTCATGGACTTTAAAGCAGCGACATGGCAAGCACTGTCTCTGATATGCCGGATGTGAGAAGGCAGGGATGTGCATTTCACTTTACTTAGGCCATAATGAAACATAAGACAGAACAAATTAGCAAGTTTGTATAACAAGTAAGTCATTTAGTGCTCATATGCATTAATGTGTTTATTACATTACCGCTTTGTTAAATATGTAATTTTAAATTTCAGGGACATCGGAACGAAAGATTTGAAACAAGTCATGACCCTGTGTTATATTCCAGATATGCTCATCCAGTCGCTGTTCTTATCTCTGCGAGGCAAAATGACCACCGACGGGTTGAATAGATTTGCTGAGTATTTCGACAGGACATGGCTGAAGAACTCAGTTTGGAAACCAAAAGACTGGTCAGTATTCGACGTCGACGTTAGGACTAACAACCATTTGGAAAGGTGGCATCGGTATTTCAATAGTATAACACGGAAAATATGCCTTTTAAAAGCTTTATATCCAAGATTCACGGGCTCAGCATTGCGGTGGAATCGGATGTAGTGGAAGTAATCGAAGGAATAATACCAAGAAGGGTTGACGCAAAATCCGGCGGTGCAAATGGAAAGTTAAAGAAAGTTTGGAATATTTTCACGGACGGAGGAATATATGCGGAGGCTCTTCTTCGAAGATGTTCAAAAATCTACGGCTCGGCCTATTGTAAATAAGTAACTTAGTGAAGTATTTGTCCGCTCCCCATTTTTGAGACAGTTGAGACATCCTTTGCATTCATAGCATGATATTATCCTTCACAAATCAGTCGAATGTATTTGAACTCCTGTCCTATATCCATAATCCACTTGCCTTATCATTAGAGTTAGGCTCAATATTACACATTACTTTGGTCAATTTTTCACTTTATCAATACTATTGATGTTATTATGTCTGTTATTATAATCTGCCTATCAAACTGATTTTTACAATTTACCCAAATTGGTGCCATTATTTCGATCTCTTATATTTGATTAGCAAATCTATGTCACAAGAATTATTAATATGACCTCTGTTTATGTGAATGTCCATTGAATCTGATTTTGAAATTATCTTGAAATGTAGAAATCCAGCTTTAGCACCACTTTTTGCATTGCATTGCATATCTAGATGTCTGTGTATGTAAAAACTGAAAATGTCTTGAAAAGTCAATATTGCTTTATAAATTAAATAAGCACTTCATGAAAACTTTCAATGTATTATTGTTTTATACTTTTGGGATGGTTACCCAATGGCCAGAAAGATTAAAGCCTTTTTTAATATTTTTATTTATTGAAATTCCGCTTTGTTTTATTTGTTTGTTCTATTACTATTCAAAATCTTATTTATCTTATATTTTGAACTAATTTCAGTAATTCTAAAGTTTCCACATTGTTGGGTAACTAGTTTCTAAGTATTTAAATTTTTTTTGTGTTTTACATTAGTAATTTGGTAATTTTCATCCAAAGTGACAGTGTGTCATGTGTATGCTATGCAGTTCAGGTAATGTAAAAGGTTAATGAGGTCGCAGGCTTTGTTTTGGAGAATAAAGGAGCTTATGTATTAGCAAGTCGGGACATAGGCTTCTTGTATTTTGAAATAAGTAACGCTATGTACTATGTGGAAACAGGGTGTGTATTTTCCACTAGTAGGCAACGTGTGTTTTTAGAAAATTAGGTGACTCTGTTATAGTGGCTATACAGATACTTAGTACGTGGTGCGAACATGGGCCATGGATACACTGCTGCTAGAGATTTGGCTTGAATTTTTTTTAAAGTGTAGACTCATCAACTGACTGCCAGTGAAACGTACCTCTCGTAATTCACTCGACTTGACTCAAGACTTCAACCCAGATAAAACAGGAACATTATTTAAAACCGTAAATGTATATATACTGTATAAGCAGACCTACCAGGGTCTGAACAAAATGATTTTCAAAGTGTTATTATGTTTGATTATTTTCAAACGATGTACATATATTAATATAGACTCTACGATTTGAATGTGATCTTTTGGGGCCCTGGACAGTACCGGCGGAACCCTGAAATGTCACAGAACCATGTTGAAAACCACTGCTCTTTTTAAGAAAATTTCAAGCCATATACTCTATGACAACCTATCATTACACTGGTCAACAACAAATTTGCGGTCTGCGTTTTTTCAGTTGATTTAGGGCGAATTTGGCGTGCTGAATCCAGAAATCACATTAGTTTTGCGCAATCAGGTCAAGTTTTTGAGATATGGCACATGTCGTTTTTTACGATTTCGATCACATGTTACGCATGTTAGAGCATTTTAGAAGAAATTAGTAAGGGTAAAATGCTGTGTGGAAAACGGCGCCAATAAAAAGCTATGGAGAGTCTGTTTTATAATTCGGTTTCGTGCAATTCAAGACTCAAAATCGACTTCGCAACTACAGATGTTTTTGTGTTTGTTTCCAACAGCAATACGCTACCCTTCCCATGACGTCATTACCATTTTTGATTTAATGTCATTTAACTTATTCTTGGCATTCAATAAAACAAAATATTGAGTCAAGTTTATAATTGACGATGATATGAAATTCCTAGGTTTGATATCGCAGAAACAGTGATACCCTTCTCACTGAGATTAAATCAAGACGTTGTTCTTGTATTTATGGATTCTTATGTTAATGCTTCTATTAAATTTGATAAAATGCACGCTTGGAATTTTATTTTCTAATGTTAGAGGAAATTGAGCTTATGGTAATTCAATTTTTGGGGAGACGTATTCGGAGCTTTTTTTAGTTTGTGAAAATCAAGGGGTGGCAACATTTAGCTAGTTGCGGGCCAAAAATCGAATCTACAACGCGGACAGAAATGATTTTCCTCAAAGAAACCTTTTCCATTTGGCATTGATAGAATGTTGCTACTCGACATATCGTCTTAATTATATTTTAACTTACGAACCCACTAACAAGTGGTGTGTGGAGTATCTAGGGTTTGGCAAGCATGGCTCGTGCCATAGTCACTGTTTGGTCGCAACAAGAGCGGAAAGTTTTAATCGTAAAATGTTTTAATAGAATAATGTCGAATTAGAAATAACTGAAACTCATATTTCTACACAAATAATAACGTACATGTATCTCATTTAAATAACAGTCATTATAAATTGTCAACTAACTATCAAGGGAGGCGCCTTTTAAACTTCGCCATGGGCGCCATAGATTCGCACTTGCTAGGGGTAGAAAAATCGCATTTTTTTATCGAATATTTTCATGGAATACGGAATAGTTCTAATCTACAATCGACCAGGACGTGGCGGGTCGATAATAGATCCAGAAATTAAACTTAATTGAAAGAATGTTGGGTATCTGTGGGTATGCTTGCATAGGGTCTTGTTCAAAGCGAAGTTCGAAGTATTGTTTAACCATCATAGAAGCATCATATGAAAAAAAAATCGTCTGATTTTGTTATAATCGCTGTATGTTTGGTCAGTGTAATTTTTCCTGCTTTCCACACCATAACGTCGGTAGAATATCTTTCTGCCAATTATTTTTGTTTTCTCAATAATGTAGCATATTATATATGTATATCCGATCCTGCTTTTTCTGATGACTTTTACCCCGCACATTTTTTTAAAATCCAGGGCTTAATTAACCAATCAACGCTCGTTCCTACTTTGTCTGGTGACTATTATCACGCTCTTTCTCTATAACAGCGTTTCCCAAACTTTTTCGGCCACGGAACACTTACACTCATTATCTCGCTTCGCGGAACATCAAAAAATGAATGAGTAAAATTGATAAAGAAACATGGTGTAATGTGTAATCCAATGGGTTTGTCGTGGCGAGTTGACGAATGCGCCGCAAAAACTAACAGAATTGTGGTAAACTTACCTAAAATATGATTGAATATTCTACATATTGCATTTATTATAAATGTTTTATTGTTTCTAAATTTAAATGCTGTGCATGTGTCAATAAATTCATTTTACCTTTCTATGTCGTTACTTTCCATTACGTAGTGTTTGCCTGTAATGTTACGTCTAATTGAGATAGAAGTACTTGCTGCAATTTCGCGAACTGCAGACTTGCAGTTTATTTATCTGCTGAATCGAGTTTAGCGAACATGAGTAATTTTTTCAGCATTTCAATGTAAAACCAGGCAGAGATGGAGGGAAAAGAGTTGACCTTTTACCTTTATTCTTTAGACCTACTTGTTTGCCCATAGCAAAACCAAAAGGATTGCTGTCAACTTAATAATGAACTTAACAGTCAAAAAGCTAGGCCGATGGTTAAGGAAATTGCCCCTACCCTAGTTATTCCGCTTTAGGCCGACGCTGACGCGATGTTGGGCGACAACTTCACGATCCCTAGATTTCCATGGCGACCAATTTAGACGTGTTCTTGATTCTCAAACACTCAGAAGACGCTCGCGGAACACTGGTGTTCCGCAGAACACAGTTTGGGAAACGCTGCTCTAGAATATTCGGTTTTACCAATCAAGCCTCGTTTACACTAATTTTGATGACTTTAACCCCGTTTTTTTTTTTAAATTTTTTTGGTTTCACCGATCACCGTTCTACTTACTCTGATATTTACTATCCGCGCATTTACTAGAACAGCGGTTATCAAACGACGGGCGTGGAGCTAACTGAAAATATAAATTTTTTGTTGGATTTGATCTTGCCCGCCCTATTTCGGTGCTCCAGAAGTCTGCGTACCAATATGGAGGTAACTAATTTTATTCGCCTACCTTACATAAAGTTGTGTAAAGGGACTGAAACCTATGGGCATGGGGTATATTCACTTGGCTAACACAGACAGACCTCGAACTTAAATAGGTCTAACTCTAAGGTGAGGAAAATTGGAATAAAATTATGGCCTAACCCCAGTGGTGAGCTGTAGCCGGAACGGCGTTCCGGTTGTTAGACATTTTATTTCATTTGCGTTCCTGTTGTTAAAATAAAATGATGGGTAAAAAGTCTAGTTTCTCTGGTAAACCTAGATATTAATTTATGTTTTGTTCCCCATAATTCGTGATTTTTGTTTTACATAACATCACGAAAATAATTAGTACATCAGTGATGTGTAATGGATGTTTTCCCGACCTTTGACTCCATAAATATTCACCCCATACTTTCCTAATATTAACATTTGTGTTGAACTGGTATGAATATTCTTGTAATTTTACCCAGCAATATTTCGGATAGTTTCTTCATATTTCATTGCAATTGTTCGACTTTATCTTAGGCCAGACAAAACTTTCTGTAAACGTCCGCGTCGTGTTGTAAATATATTACATTTTTTGAGAATTATGTGCGTTCCGGTTGTTACGATTTTTCCAGCTCACCACTGCCTAACCCTAACCTGGTACACATACTACGGAAGTACCCACATTTCCTCATTTTGGATATTTACGTTCCATCCACGTTCGTTAACACGTTAGAACACTGTTCTAGAATGTTCGGTGTTACCAATCAACGTTCAGTTCTACCAGTCAAAGCAAAATCTGTGAGAGCGAGAGTGACAAATCTGTGGTTGATAATAAGTAAAAATCAACGTCTCAAAATTACGAATCCGGAATGAAATCCTTAGAAATAGATCGTGAGCAAAAATTCGCTTCCCGCCAAAATAGTGGTTGCCACATTACTCTATAAGGCCGCGTTCTCGTAGTAAATGAAACAAAACAATGGGAAATAATTATGTATACCAGAACAATATCCCGTTGAACAAAATTCATCCAAAATTCCATCTTTTGTAACCTCTTTTCATACCAAGCTCGTATAGCAAAGAAAAAATAAAAATATTTAATCTCAAACTTCCGAGATTGAATCATGTTGTTACACTGAAAAAAGAAATTCTTCTGAAGAAATGGAAAAGTAAAACGTGAAAAATATTCTGCTCAAAATTTAGTATACACACACACAAAAAACAAATAAAAGGGCAGGTCGTGTCGAAAGATACAAAAAATATATATTTTCACGATAAGACTGAGTGAAGTTCTGCTTATAAATAAAAATTGTATCTTTAAAACCGTAGAACATATAAATTATGATGCCACATTCGTAGTGCTTTTAAGCCACGGATAACAGGACAATTAAAATTGGAGTAAAAAACATAATTGAAATCTTAAAATAATAATAACTAATAAAGCACCATTCAATAGATGAGCTTCAACGATACAAAAATAAGGATTGTTGTCCGCAAGAAATGGAAAATTTCACATTTTCGTTTTCCTGAATAGAGATGTTCAGAAAGTAATTTCAAAAAATAACTGATATTTTATGTCCAATCCATGTTTTTAAGCATGGTATTCATCTATGTCCCAAGCTAAATTTGAAGTTTTAGGTGTAAATTAGTATGAGAAATACTTTTTTTTATTTGAAAACAGATTTAAAAAGAAGTCCAGACAATAATTACGACTATTTTAAAAAAAATTCTCTTTTTTATTGAGGTCCTTATGAATTATGTTAAATTTTCTGTCGGGATTGAATCAAAATTTAGGCAGCAGTTGTAATTATTGATTCCAAACTATTCGGATGTGAATTACTCTACTTAAGACAAAGGGCATAATTGAGCATTGAAGTCAGACACCATCAAAAAATTATGCTAAAACAAATATGTTACATTTTTAGGTCCTTTTTATCAAAAATCAACATTGAAAATATATTTTTGAAATTTCTTCTCAAAACTTTTTCATTTTCAGAATTTCTGCACAAATATTATCAAATATCTACCTCGGCCAAACATAATGACACTTTTAATAAAGATGTAATTCCAGCAAAAATTAGTTAGTTCCTTGAACGTAAGTTGCTTAATATGGATGCCATTTTAGCGTTCACAACTCATCAAGAAAATTTAAAACTGGATAAAATTTAGTCTTGCAGTAAATTTAGTGCAATAATATTATTACTTATAATTTTGGAACATGGTGGAATAAAAACATGAACAAGACAGAGATACAAAATTCTTTGAACTGCAAGAAATGCAGAAAGGGGGTAGGTGCAGGGCTATGAGGTACAACAAATCAAATTATTGACAACACTGCTTTTAGCATACATGCAGTGTAGATTGTTTTACGCAAAAGAACTGGTTAGAAATATAAATGTGCGTTGTTCTAAAATTATTTCAGTGAGAATCTTATATGTATAGATCATGCTTGATTGTGATAATTAACTCCTGTGCATATTCTTTTAATGTTTCATCTCCCTCGATCTTCTCTCGCTTTCTCGATAAGCGTAATTAGCCAAAAGCTGGGCTCAGAGTCACACTTTCTTTTGAATTTCTCCGATTATTTTTCGATTCAATCATTGTCATCGATCTGTGATTTAAAAACAGTTTTGTTAATGGATCGATAAAATAAATTAAAAAGATTGTGAGAAAAAAGGATTTACACGATGTAAGAAAATTCTTTAATTGAAATCACATTTATTTAATAAATCGAACAACTAATCATCATTTCCCCCTATTCAGTGTTGGATATAAGTTGTCAGACTCCAAGCCACATCGCGGGTTACCAGTGGGCCTAGGCATTTTCAATCGAATCGTAAATCATTTCAGGCGAAAGTTTTGATTCAGCACTATCTTGTTTTCTGTTTGGCCACCGAAGGTTGAGATGAATTCCTCAATTTTTTTTATTGAAACCATATTTTGATATGAAATTCTGACATATGACTCTTTTATTCAAGTGAGTTATTGATGGAACATATTTCTTATTATGAGTGATGAATTCTATGTTTTCCGTAATTATTCGTCTGGAATTGAATATCTTCGATTCAAGAAAAAAATTTTGATTCGATTCTGAAATCATCTGTTATTCGAAAATGCCCAGCCCTGGTTATCAGATGTTAATTTAATCAAGAAAAAAACACTTTTTTCCGTATTGCCCGACCTCCTTAATTTTGCTTGACCATGGGTCAGTACAATAAACTTGTCAAGCCTTGCTGTAATATATTACCAGACCTTGTGTTAATATATTTTGAGCATTGCTCGTATGATATTTCAAATTTAATATGTTATATATTTAGAATGGCACAATGGCCTCCATGATCGTACAAGATGAAATATCCAGATAAAATTATGATTTATCATCTATAATTACATGATAAGATAAACGACAATAAGATACTGACCTGTTGAACAGATTCTGTATGTGGTGGATTATATTTCTTTGGAATTTTGAAATTCGATAAATCTCTGCTTTGCATTGAAAATCCTAGTTTGAAATTTGAATGATTCGAGACGCTGTCACATTTGCACCAGTTTGAGTGTTTGAAAGAGATGATTGATTCCTTTATCTGAAAAGTAAAAAAAGCTAATACTTATTACTTAATCACAATTTCAACAAATTTTTGAGCTAAAACATTAAATTCGATTTAGTTCGATTGTGGCAGCATCAGGCGGGCCAGATTGAATTACCCACGGGCAGAATTTGGCCCGCGAGCTGTAGTTTGCCCATGCCAGGGCTAGAGATTCCAAATTCACTCAAAACGGTGTTTCTATGTCACATTTTTTGAGAGCATTAAACTAAAATACAGCTTTGATTATTGATTTGTTTTTCAATTAAAGATATCACCAAATATACTTGCTTATAAATATAATGAAATGTTGTACATTGCAGGACTTTTTAATTATAAATATGTTTGGCATAATGCATTTTCCGATATAAAGAAATTCATTATGACATCATAATGTATATGTAAAATACAACATAATATTTCACTGTCACAAATTTCAATTTCTACATAACCCCTAAATTCCAGTGTGCTGAACAGAAAATAATTTTTTTTTTTAATTGGTGATATCTGTATTGTAAATAGATGTTTTTTATAATCTGGAAAATTTTCATTCAAAATGACCAGTTTCAGAATATATTCGATACTCCATTATTGAAGTACGTTCGAATCAGGAGATTATACAATTTGGTTCCATGGTTAGGCCCATGTATAGTATATTTAAGAAAAATAAGTTATAAAAAAACTTACCTTTGATTAGGGAGGATTGATATTAGGGGTTAAAATTGCAGTTGACGTTGAGGGCAAGTTACCATCTCGAATGGGTGACGGTGACGATTCACTTCTCTGCGATGTTGGCGGAGTGAGAAAATTATGCGTCGTTGGGAATGTTTCTTTCAAATTAGTAAAAGATGAAGTGGATTTTGTTGTGCATCAGATTTTATAGTCGTTTTGAATTGTTTGCTACTAAGTTTTTGTTCTGGTGATTCGATTGTATATTTCCGATAGTGGTAGTTGCGAATTTCCATTTTTATGAGTTTTGTGGAGTTTAGTTTCAAAGGTTTCTTTCGAATGCAATAAATTTTTCATTTTCGTTGAATCTGGGTTTTTTGGCGTTGAATCTTGTTTCCTGTCCTGTTCTGCGTTTTTCCTGACAATAAACGGTTCCTGTTCAGGACTAAAATCTGACAATCCTTTAGTAGGTGATGTTATATGTTCCGAGTTGAAATCCTGTCGGTTGTCGTATGCTCGAAAGTTGTATTTCATGTTCATGTACTTTCCTCTTCTTCCAGTGTCTTGCTGGATTATAATTGAGGGAAGTGCGAAGTTTGATCTGAATCAGTTGACATAGATCGATGCTGGGTGACGTCAGCTGGTAATTTATATTGCAAGGAATCGAGAGACGTACGATGATGTGACGAAGCAACGGCGCTCGGTTTATAAAACTTAGAACATTATAGCGCGCGGTGCAGGTTTCATATGTCTTGAGGATTTTGTACTCCACCAGCGAACTTAGCAAATCTTTAGGAGATTTTTGCTTTATGTGTGTTTGTCTGAAACCGCCAGGTTCTTCTTTATTTTGACAATATGGGGTATATCTTCATTTAGGGGGCGTACTTTTGGCGGCCTGCCTCTACCACGTTTCAATTTTGGCACATCAGAAATTGTCTTTTCTTTACTTGATTTGGATTGCGGCATTTCACCTGTTTCTCTTTTTCGTAACTTAGGTGGAGAATATGTTTCATTATTGTCATCATGTTTTGGTGCAATTGCATCCTTTTCTCTAGATGAAAGATCTAATTTTTCTGGTCCGTCATCCGTTTTTATAGGCTTCCTTTCACGCAGTGCTTTTCTTCCTATTCCTTCTTCAGGTGATTCTGACTTGGGCATATTATCAATATTAAGACCCAATCGTCGCAAAGCCGCATGCTTTTTCACCAAGTTAGGTCGTTCCAGTACAAGATTTGAAGATTGTCTACTAGATGGCATTTTGAGCCTATCATGCGAGCGATGTTTGTGCTTTTTGTAGTTCTTCGAAAAATGTTTATCCGGATTAAATTGCAAGAGAGATTTTTTGATTTTAAGTTTTAGACCTGAACCAGAAGTCACAGTATCCTCCGATTGGTTTGGGCTCGATTTTATCATAAAGTTACTTTCAGGAGAACTAGATTGAGAACTCATAGAAGAATCATCTGAATCATAATTAGCTTTCGGAACTATTAATTTATTTTTATTTATTTTGAGTACCAGTTTCCCAGGGCGAATTTCTGAATTTTTACGACCAACGTCTCTTTCGTTATTCGAAGCGACATTTTGTTCTGCTCGATTGAGATAACTTTGAGATTCTGCCAAACGCATTGGTGATTTTTTAAAAAGTTCATTTCGAGAACTGTTTTCTGAAGTCATCGGAGAATTGGCTTTATAATTTGTAGATTGTCCTCGTGGAACAATAGCACCATGAATCGGTTCTGGTAATACACTAGAGGGCGATGAAATGCCTTTCTTTTCAGAGTCGTAACCATCTGGAAACGCAACCTTCGCCGTTTTTTCTTCTTTTTCTTTTTCTTGCGTCTACGACGTCGTCTCTCGTCATCGCTGTTAGTTTCTAATTGTACTTCGTTTCCGCTCCCAGCTACTACTTCCCACTCATTATCACCTTCATCGGGCACATCCGTCAAGTGCGAAATTTTCTTTGACGATTTCTGTGTCAAATTTGTTTCATCGAGCATATCTGGCACTTTTAATGATTCTGCCTGTGCTTGGACAGCTACAGACGCAGACGACGGCAAGAAAGATTCTGGCGATAAAGTCGAGTCTGGCATCGGTGGAGGAGAAGGGTGGTGCCTTTCTTCATTAGAAATGAAAGCGCCACTGGGTCTATCTTTACGGTACGGTGGCGGCGGTGGGTATTGATAGTAAACAGGCATTGCAAATCGATTAGGTAATATAGAAGGCAGTGCTGACGTATGATGTGGCATCTGCCACGAACCAATAGACCCATATGGAAATATTGAATGACTTTGAAAGGGTTCTGCTCTGAAGGACATCATTTCAGGCGGGGGAAATCGATTTTGAAGGAGTGGTATATTATCATGTACTTTGTGTGAATACGGTGGCGACTCATCTCTCGATTCATTTAAAAAAGAAAATTTTTCGAAAAAATTGTCATGGGATTTATTGCCGTCGGTGGTATTAGAATAAAAAGGCGGAATAGATACATCAGGCTCGCACTTTAGCCCGCCTAGGATACCACCGACGGCTCTCACGTTTTTTGGCCCACTTGGCTTATTTATGGGCTCTTTAAAATCAGTGTCAGTTTCATGTTCTTTTGGCTCAGTAACGTTTATATGAGTATGTAACGGAGAATTCGAAGAAGCAGGACTCGTGTTGCTAATCGAACGTAACTTTTGTCGAGACTTTTCACTTGACGATGGATGCATCGAGAATGACAAATCGAAATCTTCTTCGCTCGAATCGGAAGGTTTAGCTTGTAAAATTCCGATACCAGTTCTATGTTTTCCTGGATTCAGTGCATTCTTTTTCCGTGATTTAGATAATTTCCGATGATGTTTATGATGGTGACGAGACGACACATTTTGAAAATCGGAGTCTGATTCATCCATATCGCCACGGTAACCATCTTGGTCTTTTGGAGTTATCGAACTCGGTGGATATGATAGAGTGTCTTCGGATATTAAAGGAACCCAACGTAAACCTGATGAAGCAGTTTGTTTTTCGCTGCGCTGTGCTCTTAAAGGAGCAGGGCAGTTGCTACCGTAACTTATATCGAGACCTGGTGTTTTCCAAGATGAATTTGAATCTCCGATATCGAAAGTTGGCAGTTTTTTGTTTGTTTTAGAACTGACGAATGCATCGTTAGAGTCTGAATTCGATAGCGATTCACTTCTCGGAGAATTTTTTGTTTTGGGTGAAAAACTGAGAAAACTATCATCGAGCTCTTGCCCAGACGTCCGTCGAACTTGGGGAATATCGCCAAGGTGCGGTGATTCGCCGTCGGCGATTATTCGATCGTGTGGTGATGGTGCAAGAGCTCGTTGTCCGTTTTTTGCCTGTTGATGTTTAGAAAGAGGCTTTTTCACAACAGGAGATAAATTTTCATTAGCACTTGATCTCCTACGTTCCTTAATAAAAGGTGAGAAGGATCCAGATGTTGGTTTTCTCGTACGGCCTTTGTTTTGAGACGATGCCCTTGACTGTGCTGATTCACCATCTGTAAAATCCTCAGAGCTGTTCTGTTGCATAGGCGAAGTGGGTCTCTTTGTGGAACTTTGCTTCAAATCTACAATAAAGTATAATTTAATAATTTATTTGAATCTACATATATGAACTCATTTTTCTTTAACGATATACCATTACCACATCACTGGCAACTCCATTTAAAAAAATACATATGTGAAATTACTTTATCTAATCAAAGCACAAAATATCAACTAACATCGGGTATATTATGATACACATGAAAATACGGTACCTTTGACACTTTGTGTGCTCTCTTTGCGTCTTTTCTTTGATTTAGACGGTGACGGAGGTTGGTCGCCACTACCGGACCATGTACGCTTCCGTTGGCTTTTGTCATCCCTGGAACAAGACAAAGTAAAAAGTTAGGAAAACGTGATGGACTATAGAATTTAGAGATGGAAAATGTTCAGTTGGAATTCTGAATTGCTCAGAGTGAGAATTTCAGTGGCCATAAGTTAACTTAGAGTTGTTATTAACAGTCTAATAAAGAGGGCTTGCATTTACCAAACCTTTTGTAATCAAAATTCGAGTTTATAGCTGGAGTCACAGTCAAAAATTTATTCACAATCCAGAGTTGGAGCCGAATTTTGTTTTAATCCAGATTTGGAGCCAAAATTTGTTTCAATCCGGAATCGGAGCTAAATTTTGTCTTAATTCAGAGCCGGAGTCAAATTTTGTGTCAATCCAGAGTCATAGCCTAATTATGTTTCAATCCAGAGTCAGAGCCTAATTTTGTTTCAATCCAGAGTCGGAGCCAAATTTTGTTTTAATCCAGAGTCGGAGCAAAGTTTGTTTCAATCCAGGGTCGGAGCCAAATTTTATTTCAATCCGGAGTCAAAGCTAAATTTTGTTTCAATCCACAAGTCGAAGCCAAATTTTGTTTCAATCCAGGGTCGGAGCCAAATTTTGTTTCGATCCTGTGTCGGAGCCAAATTTTGTTTTAATCCAGAGTCAGAGCCAAGTTTGTTTCAATCCAGGGTCGGAGCCAAATTTTGTTTCAATCCGGAGTCAAAGCTAAATTTTGTTTCCATCCAGAGTCGGAGCCAAATTTCATTTCAACCTTGAGTCAGCAGTCTGTCGTAAACACTACTCTACTTCATAGCCCTAATTCTATCATATTCACATACCAGGAGTCTTCTTCCACACTAATTCTCTTAGTTTCTGAAATCGTTTCTGTCATAATCGTCATTCCCCGTTTCAAAGATCTCAAGCTATCAATATCCGAATCTTCCGAATTAGAGAAGTCCAAATTTCTAGATGACCTTCGCAGCATTTTCCGAGAATTTTTATCGCCTCGTTCAGTTGTACTTCTCTCATTGTCGGCTGTCGTTGATGACATTTTACGTTTCTTATTTATTAAAGATGGATTGTCAATCAAGTCTGAGAGTGCAAAAAAGTTGTTTCAATGAAAAATAAAGTTATAAGCATCGCAGAAATATAAATATTGATAAAACATCCATCCAAAAGTAGGGAATTTTTTTCTGTCAGGTACTAATATTTGAACAAGGTAGTATAGAAGTGATAATGATGACATATTCGATTTCCGTAAAACAGTAAGTACATTTGTAAGCTATTTCATTGGATCGAAATCTAAGAATAATTCGCATTTAGACTTAGTGTATATTTTAATTGTTCGATGAATTAGACTCTGATGTCATAAAATCAAACAAATCAATGTAAAGTGGAAATAGATTATGCTATCTTTACTATGCAGTATGCATTAATTAGGTTTTCAGAAATCAGAACGTCAAATTATCTCAAAATTGACAAATTTTTGACGTAAATTGCACAATTCAGAAATTTAGCAAAATATTGATAGCAAAAAAACAAACCTTTGGTTTCATCTGCAGATCTTCGATTCTCAGAAACATCTTTCGAGATTGTACTTGACTGCACATTTGGAGAATTAGGAGCAGAAATATCAGGCGATTCAAGTTGTGCGTGCTTTAATCTCGCTCTACTTGTACGAATCTCCTCGTTAATTTTTCCTGATTTTTCATTATATTTCACAGTGTCAATACGACCATCTGATGATGACGTTGTTCGATGTTTTTTCGATTCGAATCGCTTTTCGCTTGAATATTTATGTCGTACTTTATTATCAGAGTTCGATTTTTCTTGCACTTTCTTGGTAAAATCATTTTTTGAGTCTGATTTCTCTCTGCCGCGTAAATTTGAATGGGACCTTCTCCGTGACTCTGATTCTTGCGAACTTCGACGTAGATTTTTGTTCGATTTAGGGTCAAACGTTTTTGATACTTCAGATTTCGTTTCCAAAGTCATTTTCTTCGAATGTTTTTTAAAATCGTTATCATCAAGAATTTTTTGTTTCAGTGCGTCATCTCTGAATGGGACACCCTCATTTGAACCCTTTCTGTATTCTACTTTGATATCTGCTACTAATCCATTTTTCCTCGTATCTCCTTGTTTTTGTGAATTTGAACTTTTGTTCTCCATTTTTGAGTTTGATGGTTTATCTTTAAGTGAGGTAATTTGAGTAACGGTAGCTGAAGACTTTGGAAGTGGTCGAGGTCTGAAAATATAATTATTTTAGGGCTGCATCACACTCATAATAAGGCACTGAACAGGAAAGTAAAATGACATTAACTAGTTCAAAAGAATCAAATTTGTTCTTCTGCTTTCATTCGTCAGCTTTTTTAGTGTTAAACAAGGGTACAAGAGTCCACAAGTACTGAGTATCACTGGAAACGGGCCATGATCAGACTAACAACAACTCAAAGTCAATGTAATTTAAGCAATCACAATAATGGAACTCCCATAGTTTGTGTACCAGGTTAGGGTTATTCCATAATGTTATTCCGATTTTCCCTATTTTAGTTCTATTACGAGTTTGGGGACTGCCTGTGTTAGCCAAGTGAATACTTCTGAAGTGCCCATAATAAACTTAAAAATGTTCACTCATTTATATCACTTTAAAAAAAAAAAAATCACCTGTCTGAAACATCACTTTCGGCATCATCATTTTTACTGGCAACTACTTTTTCATCTTTTTTCTTTGAAGTGTTAACATACTCAATATTTGAAGGTGAATTGGATCGGCTTTCATCCCTGATAACAAAAAATAGTTTCATAGAATAGTTTATATAATATATAAAAAATGATTCATACAGATTCTAAATAAATAAACTTCTTCGAATACATGCTCCAAAAAAGTCATATAGGCATACAATAAAACTGCATTTTCAATGAATTACAACTTTCCAATTAGATTCAGGTATTATTTAATATTATATACTCTGACATGTATCCCATCCTAGCAGCCTCTTTTTTTTATTTTTTGACTTTGAAAAAAGTATGCGCTAACGTCTCACTGACATTCAGTCGAATAAAATTCATTTCATGTATGACACTAGAGTCAATTTTAGTTTTTGATAAATCACAACTCATCCAACTCAAATTGAGTCAATAACTCAAACCTCCTCAACATTGTCACTCATACCTTTGAGACCATTCTGGTGTCATCAATAATTCCATGGTTTCTTTTTTCGCTTGATCGAGTATTTGTTTATTTCCACATGTGGGTAATGAAGATAAAAGTATTTTGGGGTCAAAATAAGAACTCTGAGACATTCTGTATTCCACGTAGTGAATCTGAGAAAATAGGATTATTTATAATAAAAGTTTGTCAATCACTTCAAACTAGCGCTTCTCAAACTTTTTTGCCCGTTTTTTGCCTACGTTTTTTATCTCGCCTCGCGGAACAGCAAGAAATTAGAATATAAAATTGATCGTGTCTCAGAAAACTTAACTGTGAGCCATTACTACTAATTGAATGAACAATTTCCTTTCCCAATGTCTATTTCTTGCTTGTGCAGCACACACAAACAACCCGCCATTGTTTCGTAATAATAATCTTTTATTCTGCTCCTATAATAGTTTCTTAGTGGCTGTACGAAACTTAGGACTGGGAATACTTGCAAAAGAGTTGTCACAAGCAAAAAATTGCAAAATAAATTTTGGTTAAGGTCACATCTTGACAGTGACAATCAAAAGAAAGCTAATCTAACTATAACAGTATAATATTAACGGGCAAAGTCACATTGATTAGCACAAACTAATTAAGGGCGTTGTACAAAAAAAAAATACTTCAAACATACACAAATTCGAAGTTTTTCTATAAATTAGTGAATTAAAATGTTTGTATCCTAGAAATACAGTTTTATTTATTTCGACATCGAAACGTACCTGGGCTAGAAAGACATTAGACATAAGCTTAACAGAAGATCGTTTCATTTTTTCACGTTTTCCAATCATGTAACAGAGATTTCTGACACGTTCAAGATCTTGCCTGAAATTGAAAAAAAATTCATAACAGTCAACTAGAATCTTATTTAAGATAGTTGTATAAGCATGAGGAAACGTATATCAATAATACTTGAAAAAAATTTGAACGACTTCCTTTTGTGTAGTCAAATAATATATCATATGTCAAAAGCAGTATTGATACAAGGGTTCAAGGAAATTTCAACAAATCGTGATACGTATTTTCTTATGTACTATCACAGATTATAGAGACTGACATAACAAAGGAGCAACCCATTGCATTAATGTTTCAAACGAGAATATCGGTCAGAGACCGAGGACTTATCGATCGAAAGTTAGGGGATCCCCCAAAACAGCGCTCCTACTCCATAGTGACACCTTGTGTCCCATCACTAATTAATTAATAACTTGCAAATTATACAACATAATTCGCCCAAAATCAATAGGCTTCTGGTCCGAGATATGATGAATGCACATGAAATCTGGAGCAGATTCAATCTCGTTTTCGTGAGATATCGCGTGCATCTAACAGACAGACAGACATACATACAGACAGACAAATACCTATCAACATACTTACCGATTAAAATCGATAAGTAACAATCAAGGGTGTTCAAAATACATTTGAAATTAATTGCATTTAATATTTGAAATTCTTGATTTTTTTGAAATAATATAGAATAGATATATTTAACTTTTGAAAACTGTAGAAAATGAAAAACCAATTCAGCATATTTGATTGAATATGACTTCGGCATATATGGGCATTTTTCATGAACGACGACAATACTTATGTCTTAGTCAATAATATTCTTTTTAAGTTTCCATTGCAAAAAAACATTGAAATCTAAAATTCGGATTCCTAAGTCCAAATTTTTACTTCAATATCAATAAAAGCAACCTCTCTCAAGCAAATCCGACTCGTAGCCCAAGGCATAATACTATTTTATAGGCATAATACTAATATAGGAAATCTTCTAAGTAAAAACATCATGCTTTTTGACCAATAATTGTCGACTTGAGAGGATGGGGTATAGCTAATACTTAATTTCAATATTCATAAAATCTAACTGTTCAATGTTTACTACTCAATTTGTTAAAAATTCAGTCTCACCTCAGATGAGTGAACATTCTCAATCGTCTTTGCAATCCAGTTTCAGCAGCTTCTGCCAATGCTTTTCCTTCTTCTTGTTTTGGGGTCAAAAGAGGTCGATTGAAATTTGCTTTTCTTTTCAATTTCCAATATTCTAAAACTTCAGTTGCTGTATCAGGTGAAATATTCAAGGCACTGGCAACCCCCTGAAATAGAAATTAATAAAAACATGGAAAAATAGCTTTAAGTTAATGACGAGATTACTTTTTCAAACGAGTAATGTTCATGTATATGGACACAAAGGTGTTGTACTTGTACCGCTACGCTAGGCCTGACGGTGCCAAGTTAGTTGAAAATATTGATGGACAAGCGTAGGTAGTCAAGCAATACAGAATAAAAAAATGCTCCTTTAAAATAAAATAAAATAAAAAACTTTAAAGAAACTTTGGGTACATAAAAAAAAATTGAATTGAAGTATTGAAAATCGATTTCTCTGTTAGTTGAGAAGAAAAAGAATATTTTTCCTAACAACAACAAGATAAACCCTAACAGCAACAACAATAATTTAGCAAAACCATTCATATGTACACGTGTCCAATAGGAACTTCTATGTGTTAAATCAGCTGTGAAATGTTTATTACGAAATCTTTTTACTTACGTCGCTTTTAACCAATGTGTAAAAATCTTCCTCTAATTCCGCAATTCTTTTTTGTCTATCACTTCGTTTTTCTTCTTCCGTTTTCTTCCCAGGTGAATTTTCTAATTTCTTTTTGGAATTTCTACTGTGTTTCTGACAAAATGACCTGAAATGAAAATAAAATGAATTTATTATATTATTTCTTGAAAAAGCAAAATCCTCCCAGTTCAGCATCTCCAACCGAATCAGAAATGATTCACTAATACCCCCTGCCCATAGGTTTCATTCCTTTTACACAACTTGATGTAAAGTAGGCGAACAATATTAGTTACCTACATATTGGTAAACACACTTCTGGAGCACCCCAGAATTGCTTCACCAATACCAGTAATATGCCGCGATAACGAAAGTGAAACTAACTAATTATCAACAGAAAATCCCTGAAACAAACATTGACTTTTCAAACCCACATAGAAAAATTAGTTTAACATCAGTTTACCAGATGTCAATTGCTGAAGATGACATATTTTGGTACAAAACTTAAAACTATCATTTATCTAGAATTTTTAGACTCTTAATTTGGTCTTTACCTACAAACACAGCCATATCGGGGCATCCACTGATATCCAACATTAAAATAAGGAGCTATTTAGATTGGGAGGCCTATTATCTTTTAGTTCAACATTACCTGGCCCGGGGGTGTGCAACAGGTCCCGATTTGTTTAGTGCGGCCCTCGTCAGCCCTCAGATTTTCCCCCCATCAAGTATAAAATCCTAATCCGACAGTTTATGTTTAAAAAAAGCGCTCACAAGGGTAAAAATACATGATGTTTTTTGCCTTTATTACTACAAGGCTAAGCATTTTCTTCTCTTGTCAGCTGACTAATGAACATTTGACCAGTTAGTTAAGGGTTGCTACAACTTAACTAACTATGCAAGAACTAAAACTGTCTCACTAAAATGTTGAATAAACAAAATTTTTCATTGTGAGAATTTTTTAATTCATTGGGAAATCTAAATTTTTCGTGTGGCCCAGCTAGATGTCTGAAGTTGGTTATATGACCCACCGACAAAAAAATGTTGCACACCCCAGGGCTACCCAACATATTACATCTTGGGTGGGGTGATGGGCGGGAGATTTGAACCCAAAAATTTATTGGATTCATTTCAGACACCCGTATATAGAATTTTAGTTAGAATTTGTCAAGATAAAAAACAAGTCACAAAAAATTCAATAAAAAATAAAAAATATTCACTACAAACCTGAAAACGATAGAACTCTCTCCTGTACTCAATGGTGAGTTGGGTGATAGGCAATCTGTTATCATGTCAAATCCATTTTCCATAGCACAAGTCACATGATACGCAGTAACGCAATGTCTAACGCTACATTGTATACAAGCACCTATGTTCCGTTCTTTGCAAACTGTGCAAACCAAGGCCCAACGAGATGACGGAATATGAGAGACCTGAAAATATCGAGATTTCTAATAGTTTTGTATCATAAGTGGTAACTTAGCTTATGTAACTGTTATGTAACAATAGAGGTAGACACTACTTGCTGCAATTTATCTTCTGAACTGAGCAATCATGAGTGATTTTTTCAGTATTCAAAAAAAAATCAGGCAGAGATGAGGAAGAAGAGTTGACCTTTGGCCTTCTTTCCTTAGGCCTACATGTTTACAAACTTTAAAAGTGCACATTAACGATCATTGATTTTTATTGGACAGCAGCATAATTTTTCGTGTAAGTGCACCATGATTTTTTTCCCCTGATAATTTGGCGCCACACAAGTATAAAGTTTGGAAACCACTGCACTACTCTACACAGTTGAAAAATCAAAGAAAACTACAATGGGTACCTTTGTGATAGGTTCCATTCTGTCCGGATCTGCGATATTAATTTCAGGAATCCACAATGCACAACTCATATGCGCCCACTTGCGACCAGATTTGGTGCTTTTCATTGCTCCGCCTTTTTTCCACACAATATACAAACAGCAGAACCACGAATGCCGAGAGCGCAAGGTTTGCATAACCAACTACCATCTGGTACCTGTTATTAAGAATATCAAAAAATTGATATTGAAAGCACTTGTGGAAAATTGCATCCGATAAAAAGGCAGCAAATATGACTAGTTTAATAAGAGTGATACATTGATGGCTCTAAAATATTGGAAGAACTTTATTGAATACAGATCACCTTAACAGCTATAGCTATTTCATGTCATGATAGTTCCCAGCACATCCAATTGACAATTCTTCGATATTCAAATATCATATTTATTATACCATCTATCTATCTATCTATCTATCTATATGTGTTAATGTTACCTTGAGAATTCCATAACATGCCTGATGAACACATAAGTTACATCCATCACAAAATACCATTTCGTTTCCTTCTTCGCAATCAGGCTGAAAAAAATAAATAGGATATGCTCACAAATATGGTCAAATATATGGACACGATAGTCGAATAGCCTAATACTACCATCTTTAAGTGCTAAAAATGTCAAATCAAGTGGCCCATTAGTTACAAAAAGGGCGATTTTTTCAATATTTTGGCAAAAATATTGTTATGCTAAAAATTTTGATTTTAAATAGTTAACATAAGAGACTAGGAAAAGTGTGAGAAACTTACAGATCTGCAAACGTCACAAACAATATTCTCATCGTATTCTATGCCGAGACCTTCCTTAGTTTTGATAGCAAGTTGCATGTTTTCGTGACACTGAAAAGTGGAATTAAACAATTATTCCCGCATTATTTGCACTATAATAAAACCTAGAAATTCGGAAATCTACATCTTCTGATAACGAAATTTACAACCCTTTATGACGCAGTTCATTGTTCAGTCAATTCAAAATCCACCAATATAACTGGAAAATTTCAACAACTAATGAACGCCATATTTAGTCCAATATTAATTAAGTACTGACCTGTGTTTCTAATTCCTCCATTATAATTTCCATTGTAAATTCATCAAGAGCAGTAGAACCTGATATATTAGGAAACATATATAAACATGCATAAACATAATTTCTGATAAAAAATGCAGATTGAAAAGTATTGGAATTGGAAACTTTAACCAGGGTGCAACTAATTGACGAAGTCCAGCAAGGAAAGCCAATTTCACCAACAACTTTCCGACCATCATTTATTGTGTTTATTGCGACACAAAGTGTACGGTTCGATCATTTTGCGAAATTGTACTTGCTATTCTTGTTGTTGCTGTTTTTGTTCACTGTCCTCCGCAAGTAATGAAGCAATCGAGCAAGTTTTCAGTAGTTGAAGATGGAATTAGTCACATTAGAACTCGATCTTTGTGCCCATGTATTTGTGCATTGTATTATTTCAGCAGGTGTAATATCAATGTAAAGCTTAATCAAAAAAGAAAACCCATCAAACGCTCACGTAACTCACCCAAACATTCTCTTTCTTCATTAATAACTTGTAACCATGAGACGTCAACTTCGTCCAAATCATATCGGCATGTAGAATCAGCAAGAACGTTTAGATTAACTGTATCCCTATCACCAACGTCAGGCGTCGTTTTTATGAACTTTCTTGGCCTGAAAGAAAAGTCAAAGAAATCAATTGCGTCCTAATGAATGAAGTTTTATATAATGTTATTTCAAAATGTTTTACATTCGAAAATCTCCTCTTATATCCTTCGGTACTGTGTCAACTTTTATGCCAGGCAGACCTTCTGCATTAACGGGAACCTAAAAAAAAGTGGAAAAATTTGAAATTCGTAAATTCACCGCTTACTTGTTAAAAATACATGAAGAACATGACTGCTAATAATGGCAAAAAAACCAAGAAGTGTTCTTTCTAAAACAATTTAAGTCATTTGTAATAGAATAATATGTAGAATTTCTCTCAAAACAAAATCATTATACTAATTACCAGCGAAAATAAATTCTACAGATGTCAGTAGATAAATCTAGAATGATGATCTATCTATATCTCCATGGCCGACTCTTTTCAAAGTAAGTCAAGAATGGAGATTATGGCGAATATAAAATATTCACAAAAATGTACAATACAACACATTTTATAAGTTCAATTTTATGAGAAAAAGACTGGGAAAGTGATTCTAAAACTCTCATTTTCTGTGACCCGCTTCCAATAATCCCTAAACTTCAATAAGAAAAAGCTTGTTTTGTTTTTTACCGGTTCTCCATTGGTTACTTTATTCGCGATGTTCACTAATAAAAAGCCAACAGTAGTAAACGAATAAATGCAATAAACGCAGTACAGACGAAGGTAAATTTATTTTCAAATAATGCAGGCATTTCGAATGGTACTTGGTGAAAGCCTTTGGTTAGTTGCCCCCAAGAAACTGTTCGTGGCCCCACATAGAGCCCAATAGGAAGTATAAAATGATGCAAGATTTTACCTGAACCCCCTTCTCCCATTCCATTCTCCAAGAATCTTTCATCACCCAATATTCTTCAGAAAGGAGTTGAGATGTATCAGGAATCTTCATAGCACTTATAAGATCTTTTCGAAAAACCTGAAAAAAATTGATGATAAATAATAACCAATGAGCAAAAATGAATCAGGAATTAAGCAAAAACATAATAATTACAAACACTCAGCGTAAAATGCAATAAATCACCATCATTTAATCGGCTCGTGTGTCACAATCAGCACTTATCTTTGAAGGAATGAAAAGCGACAATATAAAATAAGTTTTATTGTGACAAAACAAAACCTAAAAGCTTGGAAAAAATGATGAAGATCAGTTATTATTATCAGTTACATAAAGGGATGGGCAGGTCAGAATAATTTAATATCGCACTCGTTTGATTCGTTTACTCCCACAATTCCACACAGTATGAGTACCAGGTTAGGGTTAGGCCATAAAGTTATTCCGATTTTCCTTATTTTGGTTCTATTACGAGTTCGGGGACTGCCTGTGTTAGCCGAGTGAATAATACCCTGTCCATAGGATTCAGTCTCTTTACATAAATTGATGTAAAATAGGCAAACAAAATTAGTCACCGCCATATTGGTACCCATACTTTTGGAGCGCCATACATTGTCCATCCCTTGTTACACATACCCAGCAATTTAAAAGACAATGCAATTATATACAAGTATACCAACCTCCGCTGGTTTATGATGACTTCCGATTTCTTGATTCCTATTTTTTCTTTTTTGAGAACTTTTAAAGATATTTAAACTACCACCATTACTTGTTTGTCCATTTCCTGAAGTTAATTTGTCAGGTGCGGGAGAAGAAGCATTTTCAGAGACGAGCGTATTCATGACACTGTTTAGATAAGCAGTTGGAGCATTTGGTGATTCCGGTTTTGCCGAATCCTTTTTTGTTGCCAAATCAGTATTCAACTTAAGATTAACGGACTTGATCGTAGTAGAATGCCGACTACGACGAGTTCTTCTTTCATTATCCGTATTGGAATCCACAGGGCCATTTTTTCCGCTTGTTGAGAGGGCCACAGTCGAACCAGACGATCCACTTGAAATTTTCGTGTCATCATTGCCGAAATTATTATCACCGGTACTCGGAATTCTCATACCTGATTTTTTAGTTTGTTCGTTCTTGGCAGATGTGTGATTTTTAACATCACCCATCTTTTGAATGCAAGGTAGAAGATTCTACTTTTTCTTTATAAATAATCCAGTTATCAGGTAATATTGTATAAAATTATGTATATTAGTATTGTATCCGATATCCAAATCCACATTCTGTGAGGATAAAACCTTATTATAGCTAAGAACAACACCTAAAAAAATGAAGTGACCCAATTAAACATAATATACAATATATGCATAAATTCATCTAAATTACTTTGGTGTATATTTTCAATTTAGTATACATTGCACAGAAAAAAATATAGATTTAAATGCAGTAATGTCAGAAATATGTCAGTGTGCAGTAAGACTCTTAATAACATAATAATGTCAGTAATGTTGGTTTTTCAGAGAAAATAGTTTTATAACAAATGTACAAGATTGGAACAATTTTAAAATTATTTAGGAATATTTCCACTTCTGTATAGTATATTCTGTATAACAAAATTACAATGCATGAATTTAGAAAAAAAAACTATTATAACCTTGGTAAAAATTAGGTGAACCGTATTTTTCATTGAGGTAAATTTATGACTCAAATTTTCAAACAAATGATGATCGTAGTTCTCCGCTAATCAACTAAACAAATTTTCACTTTCATAATTCATGAAATATGGTGAGATCATAACAAGATAATAAAATTATTTTTTAATTCTTTATAAGACACTCAACAAGGACCTAAAATAGATATATAATAGGAAAGAAATAAGATATAATGAATACATCAAAATGTAATGCTGTATGATGATCAATTAGATATCTTCATAATACTAGATATGAAATGTTATTACTGTATTATGTCCATTTATGGTTCCATATAAATTTCCCATGCATAGACAAACAAGTAAATAATTCATCTATCTTTCAGTATTAAAGTGCTGTAGATGGATTTTCTTTCCACTCACAAAGTTCTTCCCCCCATTTTATGGCTGCTTCAATTGGGTCACCCCCCGTTCCACCAAGATATCCGGGAAGATATTCGGGGTCAATTTGTTCGTGAAGTTTTGTGAAATTGGTTCCATGGAGTACGATACGTTCTTTCATTTTCTTCTTTAAAAATGGTTTAATCATTTTAAACATAGCATCATAGAATGTTCCTTCGTTAACAAGATGCATCAACTTGTATCTAATTGGCATCGCGTCTTGAATCATAAACATCATTTTTCTCATTACCGACATTGTAAATTTTACAATGACTTTAAAACTCAAATCTTTCATATCTTCTATGATGCTGAGCCCGTCAATTTGAAATGCTTCGTCTTCCAACATTCTTTCAAGGCCGAGCATAAATAAAGCAAGCAAACTGTAAACGTCTACATCGTCAGTCAAAAGTCCATCACGATATATCATCACACTCACACCATCTTTGTCTTTGTGTGGTAGGACGTAAACATATCCAATAGCCACAGTGTCTTTCAATAATGCTGGATTCTCCACTCTCTCGAAAACTTCAGGCAAATCTTTTCTCGAGTAATGATAGTTTCCCAATACTTTCAACGCTTTGTCATGATCAAATTTTTTTGCTCGTAAAAACCTTAAAATGAACTCGTCATCTTCTCTTATCAATGTATAATTCTTGTATTTCTCCTTGAATGCGTCTCTCAATTTGTCAATGGCTTCCAATCGTTTTTCATTGTCTCGCGGCTCGTTCAACTCACGAACAGCTTTATCCAATAATTCTTCAGATAACGTACATTTATATCTCGGACCAGACATTTTTAATAGCGGAACACGGCAATTTAGGAGAAGTCCTAGATGTCTAGTGCACTGTTTACTTTTCAAATGTTTAGAGGAATTAGAATTATGCCATTCCAGAACATTAACCAGTTAACGGTACCGGTATGGTACCATTTGGAAATCTAATTTTGAAATTGTCTTACCATAACCAAAATGGGGTCTGGTATAGTTTAGTACCACACGTACTTCTAGTTGACCTGGCTCAACAATTTTTGCATATGTCAATCCTAACCCTCACCTGACTACGTCACCGAAAAATTACGTCATTTCGACGTCACAGTGGCGTAATAAGGCCCACCAAAGTATGCGGATGGTCGTCCAAAACGCGCAGACGATCACCCGAAATCGAGCAAGCTATTTCTCTCGTTAGCTCGCCACAACGATCACGATAGGAGAGAGATCGCCGGCGTTAGCGAGTTCGTTATCGGCGGCGCATATGCCATTTCGGGCGATGTTCATTATACTTTGGCAAGCCCTGTGACGTAATTTTTTGATAGCATAGTCAGGTCTGCAGGTACGGTAGGGTTAGGAATAGATAGATAGATAGATGTTTATTCATCATCCAGTCATTAGCCAATAAATCAAACACAAACAACAACATTCGATAGGTAAAAGAAGAATAAATCGACTAACAACGGAATTGATAGGAGGTTGGAAGGACCATACGGTCACTAAATCGAAACAACTCTCCTGGCATAAAAAAGGTTAACAGATTACATTTTATATTATACCAATTATAAAACATTTTAACTTGTTGTAACTAACAATTGAGCAACAAGAGTAATGTGACACATATTGAGACGAATTTAAAATAGAAGCGGCAAGAAAAAGCGTTTAGTTTTATATCACACAAAATAAAAACGTACGAGTAGAAAAGTTATGAATCAGTACTTATTCAGAAAAGACTGGAAATACTTCTTGGAAAAAACATTAAAACTGGGAATTTCCCTTAGGTTTTCGTTAATATCGTTCCAAATTCTCACACCCTGGTACTTTATGGAATTTTGGGCCCGCGAGGATGAAAATCGTGGTACAAATAATCCTCCCTTTCGAGATGAACGAGTACCATATGTATGTGCATTTTTTGTTGTAACAAAATATTGTTGTATTACGCGAGGGGCAGTGCTATTTACCGCTTGATACATGAGCCTTCCCATTTCATAAAAATATAGATCTTTTATTTTAAGAATACCAAGGATTTTGTAATAACTACTCAAATTTGCCCAGCGTGGCACCCCGCAGATGGCTCGAATTGCTTTATTTTGGATTAGCTGTAATTTGTTAAGACTGGTTTTGTCACAACAACCCCAAGTTACGATTTGAAATAACATATGCAAAATTCATTATGCTACGCCCACTGGAAGTACTTGTGGTACTAAACTATACTAGACCCCCAAAATGTATGTATACAGGTATAGTTGAGCTACTGCACATCAGAACACCATAGTTGTGTTATGTAATGCTGTTATGTCAGAACGTTGACTAGTTCTGTAGTTTCATAGTTTAGTGCAGTAGTGCCTTAGTCAGTTGGTAGAAATGTTCAGATACCAGAATACAGGAAAAACGAGTAGTCTATGCGTGAATTACATGCTATTATTTCAATACATAAACAAACCCTGCATATTACTGTTACACATCATTATTATTTAATTAAAGCAGAACACCAAATATCAGATTAGATGACTCATAAGCAAAAACCTACTTTGCGAATGAACGCAGGCTGGTACGAGACTAATTTTTCCCAAAACATCTGCAAATTCAATATGACGTCAGAAACATTGAAAAATCTGCACCGAAATTGTAGATCTCTATAAATTCATTGACTTTTTATATACACGCATTCATGAATTAATTTCAATACTTTTTATGCTTCATTTTCGCACTTATTCAACTGACTAGAACACCAAGCTGAAAATATTTTTCGTAATCGCTCGATTATTCAGATCACGTGATGCGAAAGAGTTCAAAATCTTTTACGCCTTCCACGCATCACCAACCATCGAATGATTGACGTAATCTGTAAAATAGTAAGAGCTCACACGATGTCATACCTAGTACCTACATTATTGACACAATTCGATAACGAGCGCCTCTGCGTGTCACGGGGGTGAAAAATGAAGTCATTGAATTATGGGGCACGATATGTTCCTATGTATAGTTAAATTTTTGGTATAATGTTGCTGTTGTTCTTGTTCATTACCTTGTTCGTATTTTCCTTTTTCATAGCAAAAACTGTTGGTTTGGATCGATATCACTTAGTTGTATAATACTGACTAATATAGTAACAAAATGATGTTATGAATTTTATGTATATATATATATACATTGGTGTTGTTGAATCAATGTTAGTTTAAATGGTGTATTTTCACTTTCCATGCTTGGGCCAGGTTCATAATCAACGCACCAGAAATTGGAGCACTCATTATTCTCCTAGCAATTTGTTAATTCCGAATAATCTTTATTGATTTCCTAACATTTTTGTAGATACCTGACTCAAAACTTCACACGGGCTAGTAGGCTACTAAGTAACTTATATTTGTTTATTAACTCGTATTATTAAATTGTCGACTCCTTTCTTCTTCAATCTATATTTTTTTAACTAATTTTTACTATGTTCTGTAACCTAATGAATGCGCTTATACAGCATATGCAAATTGATTAGGAGCCTCAATGATCGTTGTCGGTCTCACAGAGATAACCCCACGCGAACAATATTTTCAATTACAGTAATATCATTATAATGTAGTTATATGTTTGCTTTTTTATTTATTCTTGTCGGTGTTGTTTGTATAAAATAAATCTCTTTCTTTTTCGTTTTCTTGGCCTTTGCTCGGATTGTACCAGTATAGCATGATTGTGTATAGTACGCATAATTTCGTTGAGGCATTTAATAATTCAAAATTGTCATTAAAGAGTTTTTACATTTGTTGCGTACGCTCATCACGCGAGTATATTCGGCAGTAGCTTAGATTTGAAAGCAAATTAAAAAAGCTAAAAGATACAATATAATTGGATGTAGTGTAGCGCCATGGTAGAAGAAAGCGTGACGTCAAAAACGCATTTTAGTCGTGATGATGCGATGTGGGACGAAACTTTTCTGCTGCCCAGAGCGAGTTTCTGATAATGATGAAACCCATCTGATAATGATGCCACAAATAATAAAGGGGATGAACAAATCATAGATCAGCGGTTTCCTACCTGGACCCCTGGCCCCTAGTGGGGCTACAGAGCGGTTGGAGGGGGGCACAATGCCAGGCGCACGACTGATTTTACTTTTCACTTTACAATAAAATTCCCCGTTCTTCCTAGTTTGATTGCTTGATAACTTTATTTCACAGATTGTTTTCACTTTTTGTGCAAGAATTGTTTGAACATGATGGGATTTCGAATCTACCAATCAAAACAACACTATAAATATCACTGGAATCATAAAGGGGGCGGGGGTGCATGGGTGCTAAAAGCCCCCGTAAGGGGGATCATAAGTCATAAGCAGTTGTGAACCACTGCTATAGATGTTGTTATAAATGGGAATGAATAAATTGAAGGTTATTTAAGAGTGAAATGTTCGTATTGCTAATAATAAAATCATCAAACGAGCACATTGGCGGGAAGGGGCAGTCAGCAATTAACATTACCACATTCAACATTACCACAATCAGTCACACGGGACTATGCAGGTAGTGTCAGCTTTTGTCGAAAAAGCACGTGTGCAACAACACAAACTCTACAGCTTGGATCTGCTGCTCTATACAACGTGCTGCCCATGACCCTTCTCTAGTTGGAGCGGGGGTAGGTAAATAAGATTTGATATTCCGTTCTGGGTTAGGTGCGAAATCATTCTTGTATTTTCATTGTATAAAAATATTTCATGTTCATTTGTACAACGTGGATATATGTTTAAACTTGGAACATATGTATTACGTTTAGTGATTTTTCTATCATAAAATGTTGTTTGTTGTTATTACTTATCGATCTTAAGATCGGTAAGTATGTTGATAGGTATTTATCTATCTGCCTGTATGTTTGTCTGTTAGATGAACGCGATATCTCAAGAAGGCGAGGTTGAATGTGCATTCATCATATCTCGGACCATAACCTATTGATTTTGGATGAATTATGTCGTATAATTAGCGTGTTATTAATTAATTAGTGATGGGACACGCAGTGTCACTATAGAGTCATCAATCGAAACCGCGGTTTCGGTCGATAAGTCTTCGGACTCCGACCGATATTCTCGTTTCCTTTTTGTTTGTGACGTTAATATATATGATCCCCTGTATGCAAATTACTAAATAAAACTCTACGGGAACCTTACTTATGGTTTTGTTCGCTTTCCTGACTCCGTAATCAGTTTTATTAAGTTTTTAATATTTTTGTTATGTCTTTTATGCTATTTATGGCGTCAAAATAAACTTATTACAAACTATATATATGAATTAGGGTTCGTGGCAAAACTAATGGTCTGTATGAGCTCAGCCATATGGACCTACCGTCCTGCTACCAGCCCAAGTGTTGAGTAACTTACCTGCATTTATTTACAAGCGCGCGGAACTCGAAAATGAAAAAGTAACCGATGTTGCACTAACCCAGCTGCGATGCCCTTGCCACAAAGCGTTCGGAAACTATAACAAACCTGTTCATAAACTCGAGATCGTGCCTAGGTCCGCATCTCGCGGAGGATAATCATATTCAAGATTGATGCGTGTGCAATAAATTAACTGCCAATCCCATTGGCCCGTTTGTGTCCCGCGGGTACGTACTGTGTGTCTCGCTCAGTTCCAGTTGCTAGCGAAATTCAGTGAGGAGACGATGATACGCCGAACAGTTGAGACAAAATGAAAAATAAAATTCGAATTCCATGTGTGTGGGCTCATTTTCGCACGTTACTTTCTCTCTCAGTTGTCATCTTTTGCCGTCTCATAACACCTCCTCCGACCGCTCTCCCACATCTTCGTTTAGCCTAAGTAGGTCAACGCCAAAGTTGAAAAAACATATTGTTCGTAGTTTTTATTCGTTATTTCTCTGTTCGTTGTTCTTTCCATATTGTACATTTTATATTCATTATACAGTAATCCAATTCTAACATGTATTTGTTACGGGTTTTAATCATTACTTATCGATTTCAGGGTATTTGTCTGTTAGATGCACGCGATATCTCACGAAAGCGAGATTGAATCTGCTCCAGATTTTGCATGTGCATTCATCTAGAAGCCTATTGATTTTGGGCGAATCATGCCGTATAATTAGCGAGTTATTAATTAATTAGTGATGGGACACAAGGTGTCACTATGGAGTAAAAGCGCTGTTTTGGGGGATCCCCTAACTTTCGATCGATAAGTCTTCCGTCTCTGACCGATATTCTCATTATTATACTTTACACAAATACTATGTCCACGTTTTGTGGGGGCTCACAACGGATCAGCGCATTGACAGGTAAAAATGCGTCTCTATTCACCAATTTTCGACATACGAAGGGGCTTCCCGAACGAATTAATTTCGTAGGTAGAGTATGCACTGTAGCTGAAAGCATAAAAAATTGTTTCTTGCAGAAATGTTGAGTTAAAACGCAAACATTTCTAAAGAAAACTGCTATTCAGAAAGATTGAAATTGCTCGCACGTACCAGATTAACTAAACTAAAAACTCGTTTTGCGAGCACACCATTCAAAAGTGTCACTTCTCCGCGGGCCGCAAAATTTTTCTTCGCGGGTCACACCCTAGTCTGAGGCATGATGATTACACTGCGCACGGTTAACGTCCAGACGAAAACTTACTAACCCAAACAATTTTTTGGTTTGGAAACATACAATCAAAATAGCACTTAACATGATATTACTTATCAAGTTACCAATAACTTGCAATATTCTTCATCATCATATTAATATCCATCTCAATAAAAATTACAAGAGTAATTATGTTACAAAAAGTATACAAATATCAAAACATACACTTGAATAAAAGAGAAGCACAATAAAAATAATTTGTCAGTAATCAGTCAATAATACCACAATCAATAATACCACAAATCTATTCGAATTTCATCCTTACAAAACAATTAATATTTTCTTCTGCGGAAATCCTCAATTTACAAGAAGCCTTGCAACCACTTTCAGTCACAAATACCGTCGATACCAGGGGTGTGCCACATGCGGCCCCAAGGGCCACAACCCACCAAGCCATTCAGTGCACTCATGTTACACACCCCTGGCATTTACAGCTGGAGCTTGAAAAGTCGGTGCGTTGAGAACTGGGACAATATTATAAATACATTTCACATGATTCGAGATAAAACAAGTCAGCGTTCCCTCAGTAGTTGAACCACATATCTGCCTAATTTCAGCTACCACCTTTCAATTAACACTTACAATAAATATCTAATGAATGACAGATTAAAAAAGATGCACAATATTCAGATTGTTTAAGTATCCACAACTTTGACATCAGTAGCATATACCATGTCAGGAAATGCAGGAGAGGATTTTATATATAATACAGAGAAAAATAGTAAAGTCTAATATAAAGCATAATTAGAATGTATGAATACAAAAAATAACTCAAATAGATAGGTTTACAATTATGAATATATTTTAATATTCGATAAATCCGCATGTAAGATCTGCCGATAATAATATATTAAATGGTTTTGAGTTACAGAGGAATTAATAACCATATTACGGATCAATTTTGGTGTGAATGTATTCTATATAACTTTGTGTATATTGCACAATTGTTGAGGTAACTTTATAATGTTGGATAAAGATTGTCAGTATTGGATTGTCAGTATTTCAGAAATACATAGAGATACCATTTTTTGTGACGACAAAGCGGGACACCTCCGAAGACCATAGCTGTGATTTTATCAACTTTAAATTTACCGATTTCACATTAGGGGCCTACATTTAAATCCATCCCGACTGTCTTCATTGACTATATTGTCATTGAGAGTTCATCGGCTGTCTGTCTAACTAGTTCAAAAAATATAAAGGAATTTACATTAATGTTAAGCACTCCTTGGCGTACGGGGCTTACACATAATAAATTGTAGCAATTATCCGCTAATAATGTTATCGGAAAACGACGAAACAAACAAAATCACGCATCCACCTTCAGTAAGTAGGCTACCGATACGCTACACAGCAACGAGAACATGCTAAATAGTGATATTTGTGTATTATGCTGTCTTAACACCAAAGCAGGACATTTGGCTGACCGGTCGGGACGCCGGGACAAGACGGAGACTGTGAAAAGTGGGACTGTCCCGCCTAAAACGGGACGTATGGTAAGCCTAGGAATACATAAACAATACTGATAGAATTGAAAATTATCAAAATCGATTTATGGCCAATTGAAATATTCATTGATATTCATTTATAAGTTTGCACTTATAGTGAAAAAGCTGTGGAATTTAAAAAAGAGTGGCCGTTCCCTGAAGAAAATATAAAATACACTAAATGGAATAAAGTTTATTCTAAGAATGATCTGAAAATTAAACATGCAATATATAAACCAGATTACTCAGAAATTCATTCAGAGCCTCTACTGGAGTCGAGTTGTGACTTGGCACAAATCGCTTGGACATGTGAACCTGACTTGATTCAAGCCAATTTTGATCAAAAGTTGACTACATTATCCCAATCCTGCAGGCTTGCCTAAAACATGCACCATTTCTTCCGATTACAAAAATATGTTTTCTAATGTTCAAATTTTAAATTCGATTCACTCTCCTGGTTTGTATGGATTCTTCTCATCCCCTTTCTTCGAACCCAAAGTATGGTTGACAGTTCTATGATGAGCTTCATCAGCACGTATCGCAAGAATCACATCTCTCATCATCGCATCTTGCTAAAAAAGATTTATTGTTTAAGAGTAATTAATTTCTAATAAAAAATAGACAAATGAGAAAAACCAGATAGAAATTGAAAAAACAGCTTGAATTGAATTCGAGAATAAAATTACTAGAATGAATGTATTTTAAATACAACTGATTCCAGAATATTGAATATTCATTTCTGATATTATAAAGAAAGATATGTGAGTAGCAGCCATGGCCAAACTGAATAGTTTGTTATAATTACAAATACATTCTGATAGATATTTTTTTAGCATTGAACTATTAAAATTCCTTGGCGTTAATCAAAAAAGGCTTGAATTATATTTGAATATAGAAAAGTTTATTAACCCATTTCACTGATTTTCTGTAGCTATCAGGAAATGGGAATTAAAAGAAGTTTTAATGATCTGACTAGATTTGAGTTGAAAATCCAGTTTTTTAAAAACATTTACATACCGGTAACTTCCAATATTCAATAGCTATTTCTGGAGCTTTCATTCTGCACCACATTTTCAATTCACCCTCATCAATAGCTTGTAAACATGTGGTATATGTTTTAACGGCTTCTTCTTCCAAATAACCGACGAATCGATGACAAAATGCAGGAGATATCAGGTACGCAATAGAAAATGATGGCACAAACATACCTTATTAACGAAAAAAATAAATATATTTTCTAAATAAAATGTTATAGTACTCCTGAGGTATGCGCACCAAGATGTCGCACAACCTGAGCCCTAACCTGGTACACAACCTGAGTTCAGGTTGTGCGCCATCTTGGTGTGCATACTTCAGAAGGTCCAATGAACATGGAGCATGAAGTAGGACAGAGGCAGGCAAACTCTAGCTTCGTGCGGCCTGCGTAAGTCTCAAACAAATACTAAAAAACTAAACAAAATTCAATAAAAATGAAGCTATTACCTTCTATAAAATTAAATTCATATCTGCAATTAAAAACATTTTTACTCTTAATAACTCACACAACTTTGAGCTGGGAATACATTAACTATATTTTTGAGTACATGGAAGTCTGCATTAATAACATTATTGTGATCAACGAAAAATTCAAAAAATTTGGTTTTGATTTCGCTTTTTTCTAGGAGTGGTCAAAATTTAGCACATGTTTAATTTACCGTTTGAGAGCAGCTAAAACACAGCATAAATTTTGAGTTTAAGTTAGTTGATGAGACATTCAAGAATAGAACTGTAAAATATTAATTTTTACGCATGAAAACAATATCTCATGATTTTGCTCCAGAAGTGGGTGACAGGAATTCATGTTTCCTGCTTAGCTAGGTTAGATCTATATGAAACAGGGCAGTAGGTAGAAATCAGTTTTGTCATTTCCATTTATTAGATAAAGAGGAAGTACATGGAACTATTTCTACTGGGATTACTGATTATCAGAAATACCACACAAATATCAGGAAGCCAAAACTCAACACTTTGTCATATCCTTTCACAGCAGCTATTGACAACATAATTGAAGTTTCCAGGTCGAACTGATTGACTCGCAGGTCGCAGCCAAATTACACATTGAAAAAAATGTTTCATAAAAGGGCGTACGTTGAATTATATATGTCCCCTATTCGGTGAAAAAAATTCCCGAAATTTGATGAGAAAATGTTTTCTATATTTGTGTCAATGTATATGGGTCAACAAAGATTTTCTTGCACGAAGATAAAAACAAATGAAACATCGACCACCGCTCAATCATGCCTAGCCTACATACCAAGACTTAGTTGATCTGTATGCCCGAGTGGCATCTTTTTACGGCTAATAATATGCATAAAAGGTATGCTGTAAGTCCCCACATATAAGCCGATCTCCCATATAAGCCTTTAGTGAGATCAGAGTTACCGGTAAGCTTGTATAAGCAGACCCCTTAGTTTAACGATTTTTATCAATTTTGAAACTCGGCTTATATGTGAGAATATACAGTCATTCATTTCCATTTCTCTAATCTTAAAGTAGTATATATAAATCTAACCTTGTGCGAGAGCAATAGTCAATCGCATTAAAATTCCTGGATGAGCGACACGTAATGCTGTCATGAGATGCATCCTTTCATTTTCTGCTTCTTCTAACAGAGTGTGAATCCAGCCATGATCTCTTTTAATCTTGCGTAGAGAATCCAAGTGTCTCACCATAGCACCAACCATACCTACGAGTCAAAAGTTTTCATATATTATCTGATTAAGATTTTTTATATGTATCCAGTTCCTGATAAAACAATTTCATAAATTTTTAAACAAGGAAATTTGCTTATTAAAAGCAGACAATCACAATCATGCTCTCACTCAGAAAGAAAAACTGACTGATTGAAGTGACAGGTGACCAGGAAAGGATAGGATTCACATATTTATCCCGGGGAAGAGAAAAGTCAATCGTATGGCGAACCACTGCTGATCGCCCGAATACCTTACATAACTATCCATGTATTAGATTTGGACCTGCAAACCCACGCGGGGTAATCAGAGATGCTGTGACGAGCGTATTTCTAACGCTTGGCACGATGTGTCACACTTGAAAAGCTAGTGGATTGTTTCAGATGCAAGGCGTAGCCAACGATTCCATGAACCACCATATAACAGCGCACCTCAGAATTTGAATCTGCACAGGGTAATCAGGGGTGCTTGCGATGATAAGGGTGTTCTTAATACTTGAGACAATGTCTTGGAAATGTTGTGTCTCATTTACTCAACATGTCCCATTTGTTCTACGTGCCTCGGCCTCGCTTATCCCACATGGCGCGGCGGTGTGGCTCAACGGGCTAAGCGTTAGGAATACGCTCGCCACCGCACCTCTAATTACTCTGCGTGGGTTCGCAGGTTCGAATCCCATGCAGGGATGGTTATGTGCGAGAGGATTGCTGGACTCCTCGCCGTCGTTGGGTGGTTCACGTAACCGCTGGTCGGTTACGGCTTCCTCCACCACCAAGTCCATGCTTCCGAAAACAAACAATACAGTAAAACTAATCCCATACCCGACTTGGAATGATAACCGGACGAGAGGCCGTGGTTCGCCATATGGATAAGCCGTCCTATCGGCTTTCCTCTCCCCCGGGATAAATATGTAAATCCTATCCTATGTCTCGCTTATCCCATGTCCAACTGCTAAGTTTTATCCAAAAAATAATATTTTTTTATTTCGATAGTTTTACTATAATACTCACCAGGAACACCTGCTACTGTCTCTAAAAATATGATTCTTTTTAGCCATTGTTTTTCATGTAGTGTTCCTCTGTATTTTCCCCATGTATATCCAGAAAATAAATCAAATCCTTTTCTAAGTGTAGATACAGTGAAATATGCGAGTTTGTCAACTCTCTGAATAAAAGAATTGAAGGATGATTTTTATTGCAGAATATGGAGTACAAATATTAAACTACTTGACAAATTGAATGAAATATTTCGCAAATGAGAAATGACGTACAAAAATAAAGTGCTTTCCATATTTGGGATATTGATTGCAAGGATATAGCAAATGCTATTTTGTAGTGAGTGATTGATTAATAAAATATTTGGCTTAGAAGCATAGACTGCCACACTTATCTTTGCAAAATATTGAAAAAAAAACAGAAATACTCACTGTAACAGGTGGTTTATGTGTTATTCTAACAGACTCCAGTTCTTCAGTACTCCAAACTGGATGAGGAAGTCTATATCCACCCTCATGCATTCCTAATGCTTCCTCTATATCAGGATGTGCAATATCTTTAGAGACTGGTGTCATACCTCCTGCACCACTTTCAGTCGCCTTCTTTTCTTGTTGGTGACGCTCTCGAAAGTGAGGCAAAGATTCTTCATTTATGATTTGTTCATTTTCATTGTTATTAACGTTTTCTTTTTCTTTCTGATCATTGGAAATTGTCAATAGTCTGCTTTTGTCAGTTGAAATCTGACGAACTTGTTGTGGCACGTTGGCGAAGGCGGAAAACTGTAAAGTGTGAAATAACATTACTGATATGAAATAACAAATTCAATCCCAACAGAATTAAGAACCAATTCACTTTATGTGAGAAATAGCCTAGTGGGCACAAGCAATTTAAAAAACATTTTATTAGTCATTGACATAGCCATTTGAGTAAGACACAATATTCAGCACCATATTGAACTTTAGTTTCGAAATTTTTTAAGAGAATAAAGGATCTCCACCGTCTGCGTTACGAAAGAAACACAACTAAAATGGCATAAGTATTACTTGGTTAGATTAAGATTATTCTATCAGCCGACCTTGATGAAAGCTACATTTGTATATACAAGTAGAGCACCACAATACATTTATACACTAAGAAATCAGTAAAAAATGAACATAAAAATAGACTTATTACCTTCACAAAACCCAATTCTTTTGGAAGCTGTGTCATAACATTAGGAGATGAAACAAAATTCCTACATTGACATCTTGTTAATAATAATGTTGCTTTATTGTTTCGAAGACAAAGCCGTGCAAAAGACTCCATTTTTGTTCAGTCCAGTTTTACAACCAAAATTTTACTTCATAAAAACAGTACAACAGTTTAATATTTAATCAGATAAGTCTGTCTTTTCTTTATAATAACGTTGAATCTGAATTATTTGAACGAAAACAAATCTTAATCCATTATACGCGAACTATGTAATAATTCTTAATTGCCTCGAGCAAAGACAGAAAGAGAATAGCAAACAGTTAAGTAGACGAAAGCGAGGCATAAGAACCGGCAGCCGGTCATTTAGTTTCGTTCGTTATTTGCTTAGTTAACGCACAATATATACCGTATACACGAAATTACTCATGTTATAAAAAAACTCAATCCATAAATAGTCTACAACACCAATGACTTGGCAATATACAGCTTAGTCGAGCGACCTTGAGACGTGAAAAAATAGATTATCGAAAACGAAAACAGGATGCTTAACTGTTGCGCAATATCACGTATACCAAAGATCAAAACAATGTGTTACGTCATTAAAAACTTGCGTCACGTTTTGAAGAACTTGCGTCATGTTTTGATGGCGTCATATCATTTCAGGAAATTCGCTATCACGTATCGCGCAATTGTGGCGCAATAACTAAACAATTGTATGTATCGTATGTATGTATGTTTATTTGCTTCAAAAATGTATCTGCATAATAATTAAACGGTAAAAAAAAGACGGGATACATGTTCAAGATCACCTAGGTAAAGCTAGAGGATTGACAATGAATAACTGCTTAGCAGATATAAATTTGCTCTAATTTATCGACAAATCGACAATTTCACCGAGTTAAAGCTTAATTTATTCGAGAAATAACCTTTTCTCATCCAATTCATCAGTATCTTTAGTAGACACATATAAAACACATGTCAAACCTTAAAAAAATTCCGCCCCGCGAAAAGTAGCCGTGCTGAAAGTAGGGAATCCCTCCCCCCACTTGATCGAAAAAAATTGACGAAATCGTTAATTTAACTGAGTTAAAGTGTAATTTATGCAAAAAATAATTAATTTATTCTTGTCCAATACAATTTAAAATAATATGGCCATTTGGCTCCCCATTCATCCTCCCTGGTCTCCTGCTCGCTCCCCTAACTTGCTCTCGCGCTGTCCATTCCTCATTCACATTCCTCCTCCCTTGGCCGCCTGTCTTCTGACCCGTCCCCTGCGACAGCTCAGTTGGCTGTACTTGCCGTCCCTGCGTTTGTCCCATTCCTCCCCTTGGCCGCCCTACCTTGCCCGGTGGACCCGTTCCTGCAGCTCGTTCTGCCCCCGTGGCTCAATCTACCCTGTGGAGTCCTGGCCCACATTCTTCCCTGCTGACCCTTTCCACGCGGCTCCCCCGTTCCTTCCTTGACCGCCTGTCTTGCCTGCGCTCGCCTCTCTTTCGGCTCCCGCTCCTCCTTCAGCCGCTGTGATGCCTGTTGGCCCACCCACCCTTGTCTCGCCCGCATTCACCACTCGCTTGCTCTCCGGCTCCATTTTCTCCCTCGCTCTTTGCTTAATCGCTATGATGCCCCTACAATCTAATGTACCTTGTGGGTTTCGAACCCACGCGCTTTATGTTTGGCCATGTCTCTACGGCTCCCGCTCCTCAGTTAATTGCTATTATGCCCCTACAATCTAATCTACCTTGTGGGGTTCGAACCCACGCGCCTTATGTTTGGCCATGTCTCTACGCTCCCCTTGGACCACTGCTACTGACGAGATCGCGAGGATCAGAATCTTACTTAATTCGCACCGTCACGTTTGGCAGCGTCTGACGAGACTACCGCGAAAAAATTGAACATACTGCGTCAAATTGAAGCGAGTGTATTCATGTGATTCTCATGATTTCCTGTTTTAAATTTGTGGTTCGCTATGATTCCGCGTAAAATTATCAAATTTGCAAATTCATTAGCGACATCGGGCACATTTTCCAAAATTTGAATATGTGTTCCACATGTATGTCCATGAATAAATCCTATTGTATTGGTTAATTGGATAAGAAAAATTATTCCTCACATAAATTATGCTTTAACTCAGATAAATTGACGATTTTGTGAATTTTTTCACCAAATTAGGGTGAAAATTATCCACCAAAGATACTGTGTTGATAAATTGGATGAGAAAAAATTATTTCTTGCACAAATTACTACTTGGGTAAATTGACGTTTCCGTCATTTTTTCGATAAAGTGGGAGGAAATTCCTTACTTTCCGCACGGTGAATTTTTTTAAATTTCAATATGTGTTTCATGTATGTCTATAAAAATACTGTGTTAATGAATTGGATTAGAAAAAATTACTTCTTCAAAAATTACGCATTAACTCATATAAACTGAAGGTTTGGTCGATTTTTTCGATAAAGTGGGGGAAATTCCCTACTTTCCGCACAATAGAATCATTTTAAATTTTAATATGTTTCATTATTCGTCCATCAAAAACAATGTAACAATGAATTGGATAAGAAAATAATATTTTTAATCACTTGCGATTAAATTTGCGGTTTTGTCGATAACTGAGGGCAAATTTATATCTGCTAAGCTAAGTTATTCATTTTACCGAGAAAAATTTTTTGTTCCAAACATTCTCTGTTTTATTATGTTTTGAGTCTTTCTTTGATTCAACAAAGGGGGAATCGCCTCATTAATATAATAAAAACTAAAATAAAATCATAACAGTCGCCATGAAATATTTAAATCAGCGCCGATTCGAAAAATAAAACACTATTTCCGGTCTTAATTCTCCATCATTGATGTATGGAAATTTGGGAATCGGTTTCACTCATTTGATTATGACGATGATAGCATAATAACATTTGCATTTTTTCTGAATCAACGAATGATTTCGGCGACAATATAAAAATTATAGCCTGCGGAAGCTGCCCTGTCAGGCACTCAGCAACTACCTGTCATACCATTGGCCAGTTTGTTTCCCACGGGCATGTACAATGTGTCTCACTCAGCTTCAGTTGCTAGCGAAATTCAGTGAGAAGACGATACGCGCATAACAATTAAAAAAGAAAATAAAAAAAACGAAAAAGCAAAACAACAAAAAATGAAAAATTGAAGAGCAAAATAAAAAAGAGTAAATTCAAATTTGAAATTTTATGTGTGTGTGTGCTCATTTTCGCTCGTCGCTCTCAGACTTCCACATTTGCCGCTTCAACTCACCTCCTCCGACACATGTTGCAATCGACTCTCACTGGACAAGTCTAATCTTGTCTCGGTCTTATGTGACTCGCTGTCGCGTTTTGGCGGTAGTTTGGTAGTTGTTACTTTTTATTCGCAAGGATTGCGGTTACGTGTATTATAATTAATTAAGTTCAACGTCTAGTTGTAGGAATAATTAATTGCCTTCCCGCAGTCTCATATTAGTGGAACATCTGACAGCTGTAACTTTTATTGTAGAATATTACCTAAGCTAGAAATAGACTGAGATTAAAAAAGTTGTTTCCGTATATTCTGAAATTTAGTTTGTTATTGCCTGATTCAAAACGTTTCGGTAAGTTTGTAATTTGTTGTTCTACATTACTGGTTCTGTGTCTGAATTAGTGTTTGAATAATAATTACTTTAATTGATAATTTAAGCTTGCAAGTGCTTTAATGCATTATTGTTTTACATGATCTGTATTTGAATATCTTTATTTAAATTCAGAAAACCGCTACACAACACCACCTTCGCTACGCTGGCTACACCTTGTTAACCTCATCAAACATCGTGAACTTTCACTTTGGATTTTATTGCAATATATAAAATTTCATTGTACAACATCATTGATATTTGTGGCACTGAAGGACACACTGATAGTAGCGCGTTTTCGAATAGTTATCCGAGAATCAACGAACAGCCACACATTTCAGTCGCCCCCTCATGCGACATCTGTAGTTGCCAGGATACTTAAAAAAGGTGTTACAGTCATCGAGTCAGCGACACCATTTTTGCTGGGTTTAGCAGTAGATGGCGTCAAAAAATACGGAATTAGATTAGCCTAAATAAATAAACATAATTTGAGAACAAATAAAGAGATAACGGAGATTTTGTGAAAAATATTGAAGATTTAGAAGAGATATATATTTCAGTTTTGAGCTTAACTAACGTCATTTTCTCAGTAAGCACGTACACAACAAAGAAATTGATGACTTACGTAACGAAGCATATCGATTTAAATTTATCGGTTGTTTGGAGTTCATGGTCTAGTTTTTTATTTGTCAACTTTCAATGTAAGTTTGTCAAGTTCCATCCAATTTGGTTCCTATTTGTATTTTAGTGTCCAATCCGGACTGAGTCACATCAGGAGACATATCGCTATCAAGATGTTTGTATCATCAACGAACAATTTTCAAAATAATGTGGAGCTATGGAAAAGGTCATTGATAAAAATTAAGAATAATGTCGATCCCCGGGAAACTCCGTGGGTTACAGGCAAGGTAGGGGGTACAGTGCAAATCAATTTGATTATTGGTCTAGTAGAGCAATTAGCCAGGAAGGTACTCATTTAGTATGTGAACCAAGATAGCGGATACCGGAACGTAGTATATATATCTTAATATCTCAAAGTTATTGGGAGATAGAAAGTGTTGTGGACAAATCAATTAAACCTTAAACGCAGCCTTATTATAGCCGATTGACGTTATTTATTATTCAGATTTCAACGATGTTTGGATATAAAATCAATTATAATTGAACTTAACATTAAATAATAAAATGAAGGAAAGTTATAAATTTTTGCTGTTCATTTCCTTTCACGTTCCGAGTACAGCGTTACAGTGTCGTGCATCCAGGGCACTACATATGGCCACTCATATTGACATAAAAATGCAAAATGTCAATTTAATTCGAATAAGCAGTCCATACATAATTTAATATTTTCATGTGTTCATTTCTAATTTCGGTGGAAGGAGCTGCGGAATATATTTATATATATATCAGGGGTCACTAACCCGCGGGCACCAAGTCGCCCGTGAAGACCACATGAGTCGCCCGCATGTCTGTTCCAAAATAAGCATAATAACGGTGCTTATGAGTAAGCTGCATCAATTACTTTTTGTCATACTATTCTTGTGTAAATCGCACTCATGTCTGTATGTGGGAACTGACACTATGTTAACTATTATTGTAACGATCATTCTGATTAGTATTTGATCTCAGTAATGTGACGGGTCATTCAATACTCTTACAGATGTCACCTTCCACGAACCCGTGTTTTTTCTTGTCCGTTGATTTGGGGAGCAGCAATAATACAGTTATTGATTTCAAAGAAAAATGAAAGAAAACCTACCATTTTCACGATGAGTGGGGGATGGATTTCCTTTTACTACCTTGCGTATGTCTAATTTGCGAGGCGATTATAGTAACGACAAAGCGGAGAGATATTTCACATCTTGTCAGTATCCACTGGTAAGGGCAGAAAAAACTCGCCCTTTAAATCAAACAGCAATCTTATTTTACGAGACCAGCGTTTGGTTCAAGCTATTTTTGTGAATCAACATTTTTCAACAGGAACTATACACGGAACACGCCTCACTGATGAAATCTGCAAGACTCGCTTCCAGTTACAGTGTCAAGTTACACGCCGGAGTACAACACACTGACGGGGAAGCATTAGACCAAATTTGTTTCATTTTGGTTTTCTCCTTGTTGAAAACAAGATATTCATAATTAGTTAAATGTGTTTGTAAATTTAACATTTGACAGTACAACTGTTAAGTTCATTTTATCTTAGGCTTATGCAGGGTGTTCGTATAAACGCAGGTACATTGTGGACCTGTGGTTTCCGAAGATATTATTGTAGTGATCACTTTAAAAAACAATCAGTTTGAAAATAGAAGTGCCATGGATAGTGATTTATTTGCTACGTTGTAATAATCGTTTGATTTCCCGAAGAATCCTAATGTTTATCAGTGTTTTTACTTGACTAAATACCAGTAGTTATCAATATTTGAAGCTCAATCGAGCAACTTGACTTTTTTGGAAGTGTGCATTGGTAGCCCTCGGTTTAATCTGTACCCAGAAAGTAGCCCGCGGCTTCGAAAAGGTTGGTGACCCCTGATATAAATAATATACGACATGAAATAGTCGATCTCCAGGCAGCTACATATTTGAGGTACTCGTTCCGGAAGAACTCAGACAGATGGCAATTCATGTTGCGGCGGCAATAGGGATAATCTATTTGTGTAAAGCTTTCAAGTGTTCAAGTGTCAGCAGTGAGCTAAGGATATTTTTTCAAGCGATATCCAAAACTGTGACAATGGCAAGACCTTATTCCACTTCAACATGATATTGCAAGAAGCTCTATCTTTGCCTGGCACGCAAGATCAAGCCCAGGTTTTTGCTTTGTCCAACAACAAACTTTACTGCAATTCTATCTAATCAACAGATGATTTCGCGGTCAATACACTCCCTTATAGCTTCCTTTATTACTTCTTTCTCTATGTTTTCACGATTGTTGTAAACTGCTTGTCTGAGCAAGTCTGACTTAAGACAAACTATAGAATAAAAATTGAGAGTTGAATGAAGTTTGATGCAAAATATTTGAACTGCTCTTTCATTGTATTTTGAAAAATATGAAACTGAAATTTGGACGATTCGCATAAAACTTTATTACATTGATATTGACAAGTTATACGATGAAAAAACGTTGCAAATATATCATTTTTTGTACCATAATATTATAATGCCGTAGATGCGGAATTAAACCATTTTTAAATAATGATTTTTTTAATTTGTTGTTATGCTCGTAAACACATCAACGTTGCCCAGGGAGTTGTTTGTATTTGCAACCTTTGCACTGTACTATTTTTACTACAGCTAACACTGATTGAAACAGTATTTGAGAATGAGATTATACTCAAATCCTGCATCTCTTTAAACTGAAAAACAATTTTATCTCGGGCGTACCAGTGAGTCCCCCGAACAAGACAAACAATATATAGATTGCAGCAAAATATGGTTGATAAGAAGAATCCCCCCGAAAGACAAACACATTAAAGATAGCAACGAAATATGTGAAGTTAGTATACAATATACATTGTGAATTAAGGTTTTACTCCAATGTCGAACACAATTTTGGTTTCGAAAAATACATTTTTATTAACAACTTCAATTACTTTCCCGTTGTATATTATTCGAGAAACGCAGCGATGAAATATTACAATGTTTCATTTTCATTTAGTAAATGAAGAAATTTTGTTATGCATTCTGATCAAAATGCTGCAATGAAATTATCATTTTATTTTAAACTGTGAATATATCTCAATAACGCTGCTAGCAAGAAATTCAAACCGCTCCATGTTTCAAATTTACAATCCAGTGTCGAGCAGTAAAAACAACTTTGCATACTAAAAAAGTAAACGCAATGCAATGCTAAATATTTTTTCTTTGAGATGAGACCAGTGACAGCATGCCTGTTTGAATTATGTGTCTATACACTATGGCTCTTAGCTTTGGCATCGGGTTTTTAGTGTTTGCAAATTAGCTTGAACCTGGTCATACAATTTGCAATATTAGCATAAAACACGAAATTAGTTCAAATATTTGAAAACGTTGAAAATTTACATATTTCATCAGTCGTCGAGTTTTAGAAAATTTAAGAAACTACCCCATACGTTTGTGATAAAAATGATAGAATTTCTCTACCATCTTACTAATGTAGGCTATTGTTTTGTCATTGTGTCAATGTGTCAATTAATTTGCTGTAATTACGTAATGAATGCAAATCAATCATTCGAATTGACCTATCTAAAATATTAGAACATCTACCCGTAAAATAAGGACACATGTCGAAATAAGGACGTTTCTTAGACATGAGGACAAAAATATTTTCTAAGATAAAGACCTTCAAAATAAGGACAAATATTAGAAATAAGGACGTTATGGTAGCCCTGCATATATAGATAATCTTATGATTATGTCCAGGCGGGCGAAATATATACGTATAATATATATTTTTTTTCAATTTTATGATTACTGAAAATAATTGAAAAGTGTACCACATAAAGGATTGTTGTTGATCTCAATCCACTGTGCAGTTTAAATGCAGTTTGTTGAATGATATTGAATTTTTTAAAGGTGAAAATCGAATCAATAGTTAGGAGTCAAATAACCCTGTTTACCTAATATGACACCGAGCACGACTTGACACGTATATTCAAACTATTTTGTTGACTAATGATAGTGCGGGTGTTATCTTATTTAAACAACCTATAAATCAGATACACCGATCGCTTCATATCTTTCAAAAGTTACTAATAACCTTGAACTACTCTTACCAACACAAATATCAACCAAACCATCTCGAGGTAGGTTGCTAACGAAAAAGGGAGATTTTTAGTTGTGTTCTTATAGGTTGTGAAAGCGGAGCAAACGATAAAAAAACAAAAATTAAAATAAAATATAGAGGTATACGAGTTTGCGACTGCCTCCGTTGAAGTTCTAGAATGGAGTTTCGTAACTAAATGCTTTATTTTGCTTAAAATTGTCATCATTTAATACCGCCATTTTACTAAAGTACATCGCATTATAATTTAGCAGATCTTCTGGTTAAATTGTATTTGCCGAAAAGTAAAGCCATGGCCAGCGTTGCGCAGATTGTCAAAGTTGAAAAAGGAAAAGTGGTTTTGGATTCGAAAGATCTTGAAAGACGCGAATGTCGGAGATAAACCTGTTGCAATTGTATCTTTGTGTGGCGACTATGGTAAAGGAAAATCGTTTATGTCGAAAATATTTTTACAGTATCTTGATTACTCCAAGGTGAGTTCGTGTATTTTTCAACGAATTATTTTCCTTTATAATTATGCTATATCTAAACTAGGTTCATTGATTCTGAAAACGGCCTCACTTTTAAACGTTAAACTCTATTTACTATGATATCAATAAATTCAATTTTGCAAGTTTAAAAATATTTAAAAATTTATGGACACCCACCTTATATATCAATATTTTTCTTGTTTTCACCCTCATCGTCCCCAACCGTAATGCAAAAAAATGTTGTTGCAGGGACACAGAGCCAGCGAAGAAGCTACTGATTGGTTGGACGACAATATTGGAGAAGATTCCATACAAACGGATGAACCTGGAATATTTCTGTATCGAAATGTTCATATTGTGAATAATGTAAGAACATAATAATATCTAGTATTGATTTATGAATTGTTATGAATATGTATGAATTGTTATTCTTTTATGCGAATAAATGGCGGCGAAAATTATGGGTAGTGCAAAAAGAAGTTTGAAATGAATAAACACTGATTTTGTTTAATAATTGATATTCCTGAATAATACACTTCCATAAGATTCTGATTCGGTGACAGCACATTTGTACCCATAAACTTTTGCATTCATATATTTACGCCACACGCGAAACCGGAAAAAAATGACTCGAGGCATCTAGCGCCCATCAACAGTCAGGAGTGGGCAAGGATTTTGCCCACCTAGACTGTCGGGCCATGTAAGTGTGCCGTAAAAAGTAACATTTTGAGAACAATATTTACAGTGTTACAAAGCAAAGGTAGGGAACAATATGCATCGTGCCAAAACTAATTTTAACCGCAATCTCAACAAAATACTTGAGCTAATTTTAGCTAAAACATCAAATTTTGATTTCGGTTTGGTTGTGGCAGCATCAGGCGGGCCAGACTGAATTACCCGCGGGCCGTATTTGGCCCGCGGGCAGTACTTTGCCCATGTCTGGTCTAAACCTAAGAAATCTGTGGGTGCAAACGTATCGGTTTAATTGTCCATGGGTGCAAATGTACGTGGGTGCGAAGATAATAAAACGTTTTGATTCTTGCGTCGAAATAACTTTAAACATGAAAGCTTTATCTGACGCTTTAAACAGGAGCTGCTAGAATAAAATAATGTTCGTTCGACCTGCTAACATTATAGCTATTTCCTTCAAAATCGACATAGGAGTATTCATTTTGATTGATCTTGGTTTCGAAGCCTGATTGTTCCCACCATTGTTCAATACAAGCCCTCCACATGCGCCAGTGCCCACCACATTTTGAAAAGGGCTGCTTGAGCGGCTGCTATAATAAAACTTTTTTCAAAACGTATAAGCGTTTCATGATAAGTATCAATCGCTGGTTTGCACTTGCACCAACATTTACACCTACTTCATAGTTTTCAAAAGTTGACCAGTATTTTTTAACTTTCTGATCTGATCTATCCCTTTTTTTACAGATTGCTGTATTGGTGATGCAAGTACAAGGAGCATTTTCATCAACACGACAAATATGTATCGACATCTTCACCCTCGCCGCATTGATAAGCTCTGTTCAGATTTTGAATTTACAATCTCAAATGCTGGGAAATGATATTGAATTCGTAAAGGTAAATTATTGACACACCAATTTATTTCTTCGAGTTGTGTGAATTTACATTCTAGCACTATACACTGCAAGCGGTAAAACACAAATTATAGATCTTAATGCAATATGTTCTTTATTTAAAGCTGTTTCATTATATATTCATCTGTTCGTGCAAATAGTTAAAGCAACTTAATCAAAGTGTAGGTCATTAATGGTTTGTTCCACAATTAGAAATGAACGCACACGTATAGGTTAATGCGGTGATGTACTTGGATTGATTTATGCCAGGAGCGAATATGCAAAAATGATATCACAGCATACGAAAGTACCAGCCAAATGTTTTGTCAAACGCGAATTTCAAATTGAAGTAAAATCGATGTATTCTACTCGTATTATCAAGTTGAAGCAATTTTTATTTATCCAAGAAATACTTCGCTAAAAACAAGTACTTGAAGCAATTCGCAAAATTCGACTTATACTTCGTCTGCATTTTGAAATCCCCAACACTCAAGAATTTTCATTGTAAAATATTTTAATATTGACACGTCAGTAATAACCTAACCCCTATGTACAATAGATCAAGTAAGACAAGGCTGTGTGTATGATCAAACTTGGTGTTTGTACTAAAACGATTGGCGGAAATTTATCTCATGAGACGCCGTCTGCTGGATAAGAGCAAACATAGTTTTTTATTCATACTGTTGATGACTGATTACAGTAAAATCGTGCAAATGTGAAACTATACGAAATCGTTTCATCTCTCCTATACTGGAAACCGCTCTTCATGGCATGCCTACAACTAAAAATTACCTTGCCATTTTTGAAGTGCTTTATGAAAGAGAATTTAAATTGTTTTAGAAGATAAAAAAAAACGTTAACAGATATTGTACTCATAACATCTACGAAATAATAGAGTCTTAAGAGTCTATTTTATCGTCTTGCTATCTTACCCCATAGGGTTGGTAACGTGTCATACATATACTGCCCAACATATGCATATAGCGCCAACTAAATATCAATATACAGCCAATTTATTTACAAATACAGCCATTTGGTGATGTACAAATACTGCCAAGTCATATGCATATATAGCCAAATCAATATGCAAATTAAGCCATTACGGCAGGATAGGATAAGATTTGCATATTTATCCCGGGGGAGATGAAAGCCGATAAGACGGCTTAACCATATGGCGAACCACGGCCTCTCGTCCGGTCACCATTCCATGTCGGGTATGGGATTAACTATTTACTTGTTTTCGGAAGCGTGGACTTGATGGTGGAGGAAGCCATACCGACCAGCGGTTACGGGGACCCACCCTACGTCAGCGAGGAGTCCAGCAATCCTCTCACACATAATCATCTCCGCATGGGATTCTAACCTGCGAACCCACACAGAGTAATCAGAGATGCGGAGGCGTCAGTATTCCAACCCAAAATTTTATACTTTTCGATTACGTTCCTCACTTTTAGGTAAAATATCCTAAATAACATACTGTGAAGTGATCTCGAACCAAGTTTGATAAAAATTGTATGTCGGGAACATATAATAATACCTTGTCAGACATGGCTCAAACAGGAATTTTATATCAAATTTGATAAATATCGGTATTTCAACCCGAAATTCTGTACTTTTTTAATTACGTGTCCCACTTTTAGATAAGATATTTCAAAAGAACATACTGTGAAGTCATCTCTAACTAAGTTTTATAAAAAAATGTATGTCGCAACATATAATAATATCTTGTCAAACTTGGCCCAAAGAGCAATTTGCTATCAAATTTAATAAATATCAGTATTTCTACCCAAAATTCTCTACTTTTTGACTACGTGTCCCACTTTTTCAAAAAAAAAAAAAAAACATTGTGAAAGTATAAGTATAAGGAATAAAATAGCATGATATGAGCATTATTCAACGTGAGACATAAAACTGCCGGTGGGTAGTTCTTCAGAAATATCGAATATGCGCCAATCTATGATGTCATAATACCCAGAACAGCTGATCGTTGATAATACAAGAAATGTGCTGTCAGAAAATCTCTTTTCAAATACCTATTTTTCGGCAATTGGCAATATACTGTCCACAAATTAATCAAATAAACGCTTGGTGGAAAATATAAAACATGAAACTGCCGGTGCGCGTAGTTTTTTTTATAAATATCCAATGGGCGCCAATCTATGATGTCATAATAACCCACAACAGATAATCGTTGAAAACAATAGAAATGTGCTGGCTAAAAATCTCTTTTCAGAGAGCTATTTCTTGGCTATTGGCAAGAAACTGTCTATAAAATAATCAAATTAACGCTTGGTAGGAAATATAAAACATAAAACTGCCAGCGAGTTTACTTTTTGAGAAATATCCAACAGGCGCGCAAACTTAGTTGTAAAATCCTGTTTGGGCCATGTTTGACAAGATATTATTATAAGTTCCCCACATAGAAATATTCTGAAACTTGGTTAGAGATGACATCATAATATATTGAAATTGTTGGAATAGTGATATTCATTAATTTTGATGTCTAATTCATGATTGGGCCATGTTTGACAAGATATTATTATTGGTTTCCGGCACGCTATTTTTCTGAAACTTGTTTAGAGATGACTTCACAATATGTTTTTTCGAAATATCTTATCTAAAATGGAGCACGTAATTGAAAAGTACAGAATTTTGGGTTGAAACTTGATTAGAGTATTGTTTGGGGATATCTTACCTGATGAAATAGGACTTCTCGTTGGGCGCTCCAGAAGTATGTGTAATATGGAGGTAACTAATTTTGTTCGCCTCTTTTACATCAAGTTGTGTAGAGGGACTGATTACCATGGACAAGGGATATATTCACTTGGCTAACACAGACAGTCCCCGACTTCGTAATAGAGCTAAAGTAAGGAAAATCGGAATAGATTCATGGCCAACTCTAACCTGATACACATACTACGGGAGTACCTTTCGTTGAACAATTGAAAAAATTTTGTTCCAGGAAATTGTTGAAAGAACAGTGCCAATAGCACCAGAAGTAAAAATGGTCGGAAAGTGGGGCCCAGTAAGCATATTTTTTAATCTTTCTATATGAAATTTGATGTTCACAGTCGACAAGACTTTTACTCACTTCACTTTTTTTACTCACAATATATGAGTGTTTGGCGAAAGCATCCTAGAAAACATTTATCTAGATTTGAAGAAACTTTCTGTTTGATATTTTTACTTTTGAAAAAACCTTTTTTTTAAAGGTTACTGGATTCGATAGTACCCCGAATTTTCTCATGGTGGATTGCAGGATGCTTACCCATAGTTCCGAACATAAAAATTTCTTACATGCGCAGATAGAAATAGACAACGTTCTGCGGTTGTTCCCATGAAAAGCAATCGAAAAATGACGAATGACGAGTTTGACAGCATGCCCATTTTATAAATTAAGTACACGTTCAATGACCCCGTCATCTACATCGATCTGGTCAAATATCATATATATATATATATTTTCCAGAACTTTATGTTTCTGGTGAGAGATTGGTCACACCCAACGGAAAAACAATTTGGTAGTAAGGGAGGAGAAGAGTATCTTAACGGTGTATTGAAAAGTTCAGAATTTGAGACACATGATTTGATGCATTTCAAAGGTTACATGGAGCAAATATTCAAAACTGTCAATTGCTTTCTTATGCCACATCCAGGCATGAAAACTCAAGGAAAAAGAAACGTAGAAATTGACGGTTCGTAAATTATGATGATTTGGGATACTGTAATCCAGTGTTTTTCAACCGGGGTGCCGCGGCACACCGGTGTGCCGTAAGTTATTGTCAGGGGTGCCGTGGGAAATTCTCCAAATTGTGTGTCTATGCGGTGTAGCGCCCGACAGAGTAATCATGTAGTACGGTGGCAGCATCAGGTGGCGATTTGCTTTTTTAGTCTTTGTTTTTATTAGATTACTATTCAGGATGTCCGATTCAACATCTTTCTTCAATGTTAAAAATCTTATATTAACAATATAACTCTTATATATATTGTGAATAGTAGGCCTTTTCTTCATATTTTCAAATGTGTGTGCCTCGGGATCTTCTCACTGAAAAAAGTGTGCCTTGGCTCGAAAAAGGTTGAAAAACACTGCTGTAATCTATACATTGTTTCTAACTACAACCAATTCGATACTAAATCTTTCCAATTTAAATGTTTAAATTTTTGCAGATCTATCTGCGAGGTTTAATGACAATCTACAGGCACTTGTCTCCTCAGTGCTTGGACCAAAATTTCTCCAAGGAAAAGTAGTCAGACAGAAGACGCTAACTGAGAAAGAGTTTTTGTCTCATGTTGAAAAATGTACTAAAGAATTGCCCAAATTTGAAGTAAGATTTTACCAATTTGCTTGTTACAATCACGACCTCTGGGGCATATTTTGGTGTTGTGCATCCAATAATCACCGCTCTCCTTTGATTGGTCGTTCGTTTCTCCGAACGGAAGAACGTTGTCGTAAAGATAAAAGATTTCAGACTAAGTTACCCAAATACCAAGTTCAGTCCATATTTATCTACACGTGATGAATATTATGTATAACAACTAGAGTATATCGAACACTTTGTATTTATTTAGTCTATCACTGTGTGAAAATCTGGTGGGAAAACTCCACGAAAAATGCTTTACACGTGTATATATTTGTTTCAGGCCTCGAAGACTGATTATTCTGAAATTCTCAAATCGAAGAAGGTAATTTAAATGTTCGATTTTTATTATGATATTATATTGGTAGTGAGCATCCTTTGATATGAATCATTATTAGACGAAAAGTTTTCCGTTATCATAATTTTTGTGAATTTTGTCGCTGGTACCCAAAAGTGCACTGACGCAGAATCCACAATATCGGAGTAATGATGACATTACTGGCACTATTGTTTGACATCCTGCGGACCATAGGATATATGTTTCTTCTGACTGTATCTTACTTTTAAAATAATTGCATCCAATATACTGGATTTTGCAGAAAAATGCAAGAAAGAATATTCAACCAAAACCAGAATCAGGTACTTTTGTAGCTTTCATTGTATGTGATATTTGGTGCTAAATAAACTTTAACATTATTTCAAAAAACTATAATGTGTTTACTGAAATCTCTCATGTTGATATGTGTACTCATATACTAATATATCCAGTTTCGAATTCGACTTTTTTTCTTTCTCTTTGTCTCATTAATAGGGACAGCCCGAAATTAATCAAACTTCTTTTTTATTCGTTCTCCATTTTAGTATCGAAGCATTGCGCTGTTAAAGTAATTGACATTGAAGACGGAAAAGTTATTCTACATTCCGAAGAATTTGAGAAAGTTCTCAATCAACCTGAGATCGGAAATAGACCAATTTCGGTTATTTCAATCTCTGGAACTTTTCGAAAAGGAAAGTCATTCATTCTCAATTTTCTTCTAAGATATGTTCGCAACAAGGGGGTAAGTAAAAGGGTATTTCTCATCTAAGATTGTTCAAACGACTAGATCGGTCGTTTTCGAATAATTTAAGTGTTAGTGAAGTAGTTCATAGTTGTTAAATTATCGTTTCTCGTATGGATAAACGCCATAAATTGGAAAACTTTTCTTCCCATTATTGTTCTGCACGAGACGAGCAAATTTCAATGCGAATAAATTTCCTGATTTACAAAATACTAAACAGTTAATTTTTTACAGTACTTGCGAAAAAACGATGAATGGATAGGGAATAAAAGTGATAGAATTGCCGATGGGTTTGAGTGGTGCAGCGGAAGTGAGGCGCACACACAAGGAATAATGATTTTCAGCGAACCGTTCATTATAGCTACGCCAAATGGAGAGGTTGGTTAATTTCAATTTTTTGTTTTTATCTTCGGTTGAATCGATTTCAATATATATATATATATTTTAAATTTGATTGCTCTTGTTATTTGAATAAAAACCCTTTGTAGTTTCTAATGTGCCAAGTGACACCTCTCCTCTTGCATTTACCGCGGCGCTCTGTTGTCGCTAATGTATTTCGTTAGTATATTAAGGGCTGCTATAACTTTTGTTTAAGCTGACGTTAACAAAAAATGCAAGAACCGGAAATTTTAAGTGTCTCATTAGAATGTTGAAATAACATTTATTATTGTGAGAATTTCTTAATTCGTTGCGCACATGATAAAACAAAATTTTCTGTGTGTCCGCTAAATGTCTAAAGTTGACTATATGGCCCGCCGACAAACAATGTTGCACAACCCTGCAATAGACGTTTTTGATCGACATGAGACAGCGCCGTTGCGTCATGGAATTGCCTCGTGTCATCTTAATTATCAGTTTTATTTAAATACAATCAAGCCCTTTTTTTTTGCAAAATTGCTTTGAATTGATGATGATTTGATTCGAAATTCTGAAACTTACATCCCTACTCCCGACCTCTCTACGGTATATGGGCAGACTCGTGATATTAAATCAAATTTACTCACGGACCGGCAGCAACATATTGAAATATAGGATAGCATCTACAGATTTATCCCAGAGGAGAGGAATGCCGATAAGACGGCCCAATCATATGGCGAACCACGGCCTCTTGTCCGGTTACCAGTTCATGTCGGGCATGGGATTAGTTTGCAGTTTGTTTTCGAAAGCATGGACTTGATGGTGGAGGAAGCCGTAACCGATCAGCGATTACGTAAATCATCCTATACGGCGGCGAGGAGTCCAGCAATAGTACATATTTATCCTCCATGGGATTCGAACCTGTGAACCCACGCAAAGTAATCAGAGGTGCTATGGCAGGGATGGCGAACCACTGACCCGCGGGTCACAAAGTGACCCACTGCGTTTTATTCGTGACTCACCACGGCTAAAAAAAAAATTCTAACATATCAGTGATAAAAATTGATAAAACCGGCTTTAAGTCAATCTAACAATAACTAAACTATTGTAATGTACCGTCATTTGGGCACTCAAGGCTGCGATCCTTATATTCAAATTGTTAATTTCCGGTATGATAACTTTAAAAACCGCTAATCTTGGACGCATGTCTTTACACCGTTGTTTGCCGTTATTCAGCCATTGGCTCTTGACATCATTCATGACATAACAGTGCAATTGATGTTCATTTCTCGCAACGTCTTGCCTCTTTCGGAAGTACATCTGTAGACTGTTTTAGAGGTTAACGAGAACTAGATCCTACGTTGCATTTTATTAATTTCTTGCCTACAATGCCGTTGAGAAAACAAAATCTTTCAGACTTGAAATAAAAACCTAGAGATCTGGAATAACAATGGGGCAGTGTAAAAGTTCTTTTATAAGGTTGAAAGCTGATAGAAAAATATAACACTACCTGAGTGGAATTCGCTCCAAACTCTTTGAAACCATAAAATAATTTGCCGCATCATCATAAACGTAATTCATATGCGTGTTTTCGTACTCTAATTTCATAAAATCGAGTGCCGTGAAAAGTCCCTGATACAAGTGCTGTATAAGTAAAGCCCAAAACTACACCAACACAAATGAAGCTTATATGATTTGTTCCAGAAGTTTCTTATAGATACAAACATTGATTCAATATCTGTGACCCCCTCTCTTCTGTTACTCGATAAAAATATAATTTTTGACCCATTCATTGAAAAGGTTCGCCATCTCTGTGCTATGACAAGCGTATTCCTAACGCTCAGCACGATCCGCCACACCACCGAACCGAGTATATAGGATCGTCGTCATCTCATAAGATTCAGTCCTTGGGGAAAAATGCACAGGTTCAAAGTCCACAAGGTCGACATGCACTATAAATACTTGTCATGTTCAATATCATGTGAGACAGGAGTAAATAACTGCAAAACAAAGCCATCTTTGTGCAAACTGCAAAGTCAAACATAGGTCAAAAGACGCAATAAATAACGTGTACGTGCCGCAGTACTCGTGTAACTCTTGTTAATAGGATGATCGAATGATTCCACTTATCTTATTTGTTATAAATAGTAGAACGGACTTTGTTCGTCTGTATTTTTCCCTCTTTTTGTTGCTAGAAGGTCAAGTCGCGCAATTGAATTAGTCACTAATTCTCCATAGACTGCTACATTTCAAAAAAGATGCAAACGTTCACTTGACAATCTACAAGAAAAACAACTCGAGAAACCCCTGTGCAAAACTTGAAAAACTGAAAAAAGAATTGGATAAATACAAATGTATATAAAACATAACTAATACTGACAAAACAAAAATAATCGCACCTTAAATTTATTATAAGTGGAAGATTTTAAAATGGAGCTAGCAAGCACAAGAGAAAAAAAATTAGAAATTAAAAGCAAAATTGCCTTAAGTAAATTTTTATTCTTTCAATTAAAAATTTTCACTCATGAATGGAGATAATGAAAAGAACGAACATTTAATGCACTAATAATTTTGAACATTAAGCAATGACATGTGATGTTGTTCAGAGGGAAATTCTGAGCTCAAAAATATGAGGGGCCTCACAAATGAAATAGCCTAGGGCAGGGATGGCGAACCTTTTTCAATGAATGGGTCAAAAATTACATTTTTATCGCGGAACAGAAGAGAGTGGGTCACAGATATTCAATCAATGTCTGTATCTATAAGAAACTTCTGAAACAAATCTTCTAAACTTCTGTTGGTGTTGGAGTAGTTTTGGGCTTTACTTATGCAGCACTTTTGTTGTGGCACGACATTTTACGGCACTCGATTTTATGAAATTGGAGTACGAAACAACGCATATGAATTACCAAAAACGTTTAGGACGATGCGGCAAATTATTTTACGGTTTCAAAGAGTTTGGAGGGAATTTCACTCTGATAGTGTCCTGTTTTTCGATCAGCTTTCAACCACATTAGGGCACTTTTGCACTGCCCCATTGTTATTTCAGATTTCTAGGTTTTTATTTCAAGTATGAAAGATTTTATTTTCTCAACGGCATTGTAGGCGAGAGACTGATAAAATGCAAAGTAGCATCTAGTTCTCGTTTAACCATTAAAACTGGCTGCCCAACTGATGGTACATTATAATAGTTTAGTTTTTGTTAGATTAATTTAAGGCCGGTTTTATCAATTTTTATCACTGATATGTTAGCATTTTATTTTATTCGTGCCTTAGCGGGTCACGAATAAAACGCGGTGGGTCACTTTGTGACCCGCGGGTGAGTGGTTCGCCATCCCTGGCCTGGGGCCTCCCATGGTCTAAATCCGGCCCTGTAGTCAACCCATGTGTTTCGGATCATAAACGTTGTCTGTATAACACATGTATCTTGATTACTCCATGCAAAAATGAATCCAGTGCAACTCAAATATATCCACTTGGATTTTTTTTCATTCTGTGAGATTTAATAAACCTTGAACAAACAGTGATTGAAATATAAAACGACGATATATATGCTTTGATTTTGCTGAAACCGGCATCTTTCCGATTTATTCAACTACTTTTTTTATGAAGCTGTATGTTCGAGAAAGGAATTTTTTTATAAACAGTGAAGCAACCCATAATCGATTTCTTCACTTCAATTAAAACCAGGTTGCAGTTCTTTTCATGGACACCCAGGGTCTTTTCGATTCTAATACGAGCAAAACCCAAAATTTGAAGATATTTGCTTTCAACACCATCATAAGTTCAGTTCAAATTCTCAATATATCGGGAGGCATTAACGAGAACGATTTGGATTTTCTACAGGTTAGTGAGACGAATACAAATGTGCTTTTAACTATGTTTTGTATTTATTGCAGTCCGTTGCTCATTTAATTTGTGGGCAATTTATTTTTAATTGATTATTCAATATCAGTTTATTTCCGTTTTTCAAATACACATTTGAAAAAATGCAACTTAGTAGAATAATCTGTTTTTTGTTCCCAGTTCTTCACCGAATACGCTCGGAGAGTTACGCAGAAGAAGTCGGGTGGACCTTTTTTGCAGGTTAAATGTATCCTCGTCTGGAATTCTTTTTTTTCTATATCACTCTGAAAATTACTGTGTCTACAAATTTGTGTCATGTATAAATATATATTTAGTCATACATATCAATGTTCAATAAAAAACCACAGGTGATAGAAAGCTCTTTTTTATGTTCATACATCTCTTATTTTTTTAACGAATTGAAATAATGATACCTACCTTAGCCTGGTCTATCTAAGGGTATGAATCACGTGATTAGCTTTTTACTACCTTTATTTTAGAGACTATTAACATGTAACAACTGGTGATAATATAAAATATCCCATAAAACTGCACACCCATAGGTGAAACATATGAACTAATCATTGCATTCTGTTATAACCAGGGATTAAAGTTTCTGATTCGAGATTGGCAACATGTATATGATCACGAGTTCGGAAGCAACGGAGGCAAAGCTTATCTGGAAAAGTACATGGAAACAAAAAACAAAATTGAGGAGTTGAAGGTGGTGCGAAAATACATATCTTCAGCTTATGGCAATATTAGCTGTTTCTTAATGCCACATCCCGGACTAACATTGGCACGAGGTCTCCCATACGATAAAGCAACCATGAATGGTAAGATTCCACTCAAAATATATTGGAAAAGAATTTTGAGAGAATGATAAGTTTCTCTACGATCCTTTTCGCTATATCTTGGCCGATTTCTTGCTTCTTGGCAATATATGTGCAGACTGTCAAAATAAATTTTTCCATCATAGAACTGTTTAAACTGTATTGTGGGAGTCAATTTAGTAATTACGTGTTAAGCTTTGTCTATTCTATAATATATATATAGGATATTTTCATGATCAGATTTTCAACCTATTTTTATCACAGACATTGATGAAAAATTCGTGCAGCAGCTAACTCCACTTGCTGAATCTATACTTCATCCAAACAATCTGATTGTCAAGGAACTCTCTGATGGAAAATCTATGGATTATCGTGGTTTGTACGCCACAGCAACGAAATGCGCTGACGCCTTCGGCTCCATTGATACCAACATTAAAGTTGACGACATATTGGAGGTACTTATAGTTTAGTTATTTGAGAATTTTGAATACAATATGACTGTACGATGTATGATGATGCGTCAAACAGGGTACGCAAATTTTCATGACGCCATGACATACAAAGAAACGAATCCCATAAATGAGAAAAACGATTTTTTTTCATAGCAATTAGAAGAAAAACCACAACAATAGAGCCCAGGCAAGTCACGCCACAAACATTATTGATGCAAATAACAAGTGTCCCTTATTCGACGTCGTCAACATCAGTGCTTTAGTATGAACAAATAAAAAAAACATAATGATCTTATCAGACCAAATTTCAATATACTTATTACTTGAATAATAATAGGTTTTTGTATTCAGGTAATTGCGAGTGCCGAAGACAATGAAATGAGAAGGGCTTGTTTGCATCATTACACCGAGCTGATGAGCAAAGTATGAAGACATTTACTATGTGATGAAGATTGCACATGATATTTAATGATAGATTTATTGTTTATTATTCTCTTATAGTACATTGTAGGATGTGCTAGCGAGACTGAAGCAAAGCTGAAACACAACAAGGCGAAATCAGAAGCAATCAGTAAATTTTACTCTCGTGGTAATGATGAAAAGCGTGTGCAATCGAGAACTCATGCGGAAGACGAAGTCGATAACGCTTACACCAGATTTCTTGCAAAGTTGAAATACAATAAAGTGTGTATAAATACTTGTTTCTTTTTTATTAAATATCTGCGTAAATCAAGATCCCCAAAACCCCAAGCAAAAGTTTGAAAATCACTGTTAAGTAGGTAGAAAAGGCGGGTGTTCCAGCGCTAATAGAACACGGAGAACTAGGATTGGTTCATTCATATTTCCACATATAAAAAACTATTGCATTGTAAAAGAGTAGTCGATTTAAAAAATGGTGAGAGCTCACTGATGATTGGGAACGTTTATCGATTCTTTGGAGAATAAATTGAAGGACAGAAAAGCATCTACAGATTATTATTCATCATTACAGCGTGTGACATTTTTATAACACTGTGGCGTTTTGGATAAATTATATTCCAACAGCGATAAATATTCCTAATACCTTTCTACCACCTACATTTTTACTGGTTTCCAGGCAAAAGGAAAACATGACATGGTTACCAGCTATCTTGATGCTATTTCGTCATACAAGAATAAAATGGCAATTGTGAGTATCTTACGCAATATATCAATACATGTATTTCAAATTAATAAGTTTATCACTTTATTTTTTATTGTAATGTGAAAATTTTCCCAATGTAATCTGTGCATATGTTTGCAGATTGTGATTGCAAAAAGGGCAAAAAAAAAATAGGAATTTGAATAACCCCGTTGACCCATTGCACTGATCTAATGAATTTCCAAAGTTTGAATCCAGTGAAATTTGTTTAAACTATACGAGCCAGGCGTGTGCAACATATCATATAGGAGGGCCAGATACAAATAACTGAGTAAAACCGCGGGCCGCATCTTTATTCAACATGGCATTTAGTAGTTGCAGTGACAAAAATGTTGGTTAATGATCTTATGACATGCACAAGCTTAGGTATATGCTTTGCAACGCAAATGAATTTGAATTACTCGCAGGTACTACATTAAAAACTCGTCTCGCGGCCGCATGGCATTCAAATTTGGCACATCTCCCCGGGCCGCACGATTTCCCCGAATGGGCCGCATTTGTACCGCGGAGCGCAGGTTGCACACCCCTGATATAGGCTATTATATATATTCGCAAATTCAGCATATCATAGGTTTACAGGATATTTGGATTTAGCCAAGTCACACATACCAAATGGGAAAAGAAGTTATAATAAATTACAGCCACAAAAACCATGCAGAAATGTTCGTATTTAGCTGGACCGAAAATATTATGATGCTGAAAAACATTGAAACAGTAATGCGGCGTATACTTTTTGCACTTAAGTAAACTAGTTTTAAATTATATACAGCTTCAGCATTTATATTAGCGGAGATTATATATTCAGAGTACCATATCAAACCCCTGCAACGATAAAATCAACACGTTTAAGGACGCTTATGTTGATTGCATAAAACGTCATCGTTTGAACTGTCCAAGCATCCTGAGCCTATGCATGTGTGTTTACGATGCAATATTGTTTAAATTTTTATGAAACTGAAAACTTTATGGAAACAGAATTGAATACAGAAAACAGAGGTTGACATCCTTACCCGTAGCAATTACGTAAATAGTAGACAGCAAGAATTCTGAAAAAATTTATAAATTTGCAGTCATTAAAATGAATATTACGTAGAAATCTCTAATGGCTAAATTATACGACGTATACACAAATATTCACTAGCGACTAAACTGGTTGAAGAGTCGACTAAACGACTAGGGTTGGGGAGCTTCACATTTTTCAAAATAAATTACCAATTCAATTATATTATTCCAATTATCAAAACTTTCTATTGCATAAACATTTATGTATGAAAATCACATTTTATGTACCGGTGGCTAAGTTCAGAAACAATTAGCCGACTGAAGACTACAATGTAGACTATGTTGCTATTTTTTAAACGCGGCAGATAAGCACTAATTTTTTGGAAATGGATTCCCCCTTATTTTCTCGCGAAAACTTCGATTTGGACGTATTTCACATTTGAACACGCTGTACCGTTTACCAGCAGTTTTATGATATACTATAGGCTACAGATAAGCTTAATTAAGAAACAATGTACCATTCCATGACAACTCTTATTTCCATGCAATCTCACTTAGATAAATTGGGCGCAAGATAAGAGAATCTAGTTTTCACCAAATGAGCTGAGTAAATTCATAAGACTAACGTTACGCTGAACAGTCAACCTTTCGCTTTCTATCCTGTGTGCAAAATCGGTATCGCCCCCGCGTACAAATCAAAGCTAAATTGAGTGTTGCCAAATAGTAGAAGCACAATTTCTGATTTTGGGGTTAAATAATTTATTTTTGCCCAATGTCAGAAATTATAGGTACTCTAAGGCCTATGCATATGATTACATTCTGGTATTGGAGTAAATTTCACTCGATTCCTAACGTTATAACATTTTTGTAGCTTGGAATTGGTTTGAAATCAGAATAATTTCACTCTTGGTTTTCGGTTATCTTTTTGGTAACAGTACTATTAAAGTGAAGACAACAAAATCCAAATTGTTTCTCATAATACAGCTTGAAGATAAACCAGTACCACCACCTGAATTCGATGCCGTTCACGAAACGTGTTGGAAAGAGGCAATGGGTAGTGTGGAAAAATATGGCAACATCTATTATGGTCTATCATCCGAGGATGTGGAAAAAGAGAAAGCTCGTTTCTACGAAATCTACAAAGAACAAAATCGTAATAGATATGAAGCGACTATTGCGAGAGTGAGTGTGATTTCTGTGAACTATAAATTTTGAAGGAATTCAAATCTTGTGTCAATGTCGATTTAAAGTTATATTAAAATCAAACAGAAATCGGAATTTCGCATTCGATTCGACTCTAATAGAGGGGATCTCTGATTTCTCTTCCGGGTGGGTGATCATGAGTGGCTTTGCCTTGGCGAAAGCCATTCGAAACAAACTTATTAAATGCATGTCAGTATTATGATGTGATTTAAGTAAATTTGTTTGGCGAAAAAAACTTCATACGATTGATTGGGCCACCCATGACAGCAATATCTCACATATGCAAAATTACCATTTATATTTTGTACAGCTTGAAATGCCAGGAAACTACATGCAAATGTGTCGCCGTCATAGCACAAGGGAAGTAGAAGACGAGGTACATTTATTAAAAACTCACAATTACGAGCAATAACACAAACGCTATTCAATTATACTATTGATTGTATTTTTAAACTTTTGCCAATTTAAAAAAAAAGTAGGGTTTTCTACCTCCCTAAAAACTGAAATCGCAAGCAAGAGAAATATTTTTATTGGATACGTAAGAATTGAATACTGTATAATATAAACTGGTATTCAAAGGTTTTGTAACGACAGCAAAAGCACCAAAACAAGACTTGACTAATTAAGTACTTTGATACATGTATGATTTGAATTTATTTTCAGAGTGAGAATCAAGATTTATCTGCTACAATAAAAAGAGTCGTCGATCAATACGAAAAAACAAAAACGAGGTATTTTGGTAGTTGATTTCACATAAATGTATATTGTCAGTAGAGCGCGTATTGTAAGTCCTCATCAAATCTGAAAAATTAATATAAATCGTTGTTTATTATACTTACATCTACTTTTTTTTCTAATAATAATTTTGTAATTACAGATACAAGAAGGTGGAGAAGTAAGTGAAGAATTTGCTAGAGCTAAAAAAGGTTCGCTTTACAGATCAGCCGTTCGAGAATTCAACAATAGTGATATCAACAGAAAAGGGAACTTTCGTCATTACATAAACATGTTGGAAAGAGCTGTGCAAAAAGTGGAACCTGTCAGAATTGCGCCAAGCAAAGAGGTAAGCAATCGTAATTTTCTCGGAAATGCATGAAATTTCATATTTTCGGACTCTCTGCAAACACTCAGCAGTTAGCTATTGGATTTGGAAGACTCGAAATAAACCATCTAGTTTGTGAGGCTGGAGTCACATTTTGGATGGATCAGAAGTTCAATTTATTTAAGTAACTTAAGTAAAATGATGTACCAGCAATGAAATACCAGAGACTAAAACCAAATGCCAACGCTTTGGATTTTTTTTACTTTTCTTCGAATACTTGCAGATCGCCAGCCTTTGAGTATGTACGGTATATTAAACCAGATACAGACAAATTTCTTCTATCCTGTTTGTCTGCGCAGTATCTTTCTGTCTTTGTTCCCAAGAATATTTTTTGCTGTTTTGATAAATTATACCAACCATTTAAGCATGTCGATAACTCCTAAGCTTAACGAATTTTATATGTGGAATTTCTCTTTACCTATATTTATAAGTTAAACTTTCAGGTTTTGTGCCCCGCATTTAACTAACATCTGCATACAGCCTTTCTTTGATCGAGCATGCTTGAATAACACACAAATATATTCGCTCATTTATTTTATACCAGACACCTTTTAATATTTATATAATTTGCCCCTCTTGTAAACGACTGTTTTTTCTTCAATATTGTTTAATATAAACTTTATATTTTAGCGTCTCCTGAACATGAAACTGAAAAATTATGTTGCTGATTTTAGTCGACAGTTTGATCGAGAGATGGAGCCGGTAGGTGGTCTGATGCATGCATATTGGAGATACCTGAAAATGTTAAATTGTCGTGACGTTTAATTTTATAAAGTCAAATTTAATTTAAAGCTTCCTTCATTCAACAAGCTAAATTCGTCTGTCGCTGTAGTGATTCTTGTTACGATGAAATATTCCAATCCCTGACACATTGTCTATATTTTGCCTCGAATAAAGATAGGCAAAAAACGAATGCACATCACTTTCCTCTTTACTTTTCGTTTCGGAATTCTGGCCCTTGTAATTAGTCGTTCTGTCTGTCTATGTGTATAGATTTAGCGTCTAAATGACTGGTCAGATCTAGATTTAATTTCTCGTGTGGGTTATACGTTTCATTGAAAGTTAGATTAATGTTGCGTTTTCATGGCAGCAGCCAAAAACCGCGCCAATCGTGAGGAAATTTACAATTTATTCTTCAACCAGGTTTAAAGTCAAAATTCCAATAAGACGCCGTATTGAAACTAATACTTGGTACTTTTTTGGCGCGACAGTTTCCCTTCAGTAAGATGATTGCTCACACTGCGCTTACGATATCATGATACAAATTGCCGTGGTTTCAATGTAAGGATGATTCCGTTTTGCCAAATTTGGGTACTCAAGATCAAGTATGTATGAAAACAAATAACTGGCTTACGTTTCTCACCCCCGGGATGAATTCTATTTTTTCAGATCAATGGACTCTTCATTGGACCCGTAGCTTTAAACACAATGGTGCAAAAAACAAAATCAAAATTGACAGAAAAATTCAACGACAGAACAAAAGACGATGAACCACGAAATGTTGTGGAGCGACATTGTAACGACTTAATTCGTAGTTTGGACTCAAAGTGGGAGTCACTAAAGAAGGAAAACGAAAGAAATCGCGTATGTGACATTCTATGAGCACACTTAAATTCGAAATTCTGGTCGCTATTCTGTCTTTACGGATTAACATGGATGGATTGCTGCGCGATACTATATATCATATTTAGCTCAACTTAAAAATAGATTAAATAATCATTCTGAATAACATCCGAGTTCGATATCAAAAACTAGCCTATATATAATTCAAATTAATTTCATTCCGAATAACAGTATGATGAATAGATTTTTTTTTTTTGCAGCGTCATTACGAACTCGCAAAAAACGAAATGGAAATGAAGTTGATTAAACGATATCACTCTAGCATGGATCAGGTGAGCAATTCCGATCGTTGTATATTATTCAGTCATAATTAGAGTGGTTCGAAACTCAAAACCTGTTGGAAATCTATGTTGCAGATAATATCCTTTTCAAAATATTCAATATATGAAGTAAATCAGCAATCAGTAGTTTATTTTATCACCATATAACAACGAGATAAGAAAAGAGAGGAAAATTATGCATTTCAGGGTGAAAGGGACGCGATAAACCAGTATTGGTTATCGAGCAGCGACACCTATAAACAATAATATTAGATAATAATATTATCATATTCAGCTTTTGCAGAGCGGATATATTGTGGAAAGAAAATTGAAAAAATATCACGAAGATTTACGTCAAGTTTTACTGCAAGATGCTGAAAACGAAGAAATACCGCTTTACGTCGCAGATGGTGGCAATAAAAATAGTTACGTCTCATACCAGCAGTTCATAGGTTCCTTGCAAGCAAAGTTAAATGATCTCTATAAAGAGAAAAAAAACGTGGAATAAAAAGAACCATGGAGTGATTGTTAGAGCTCTTGTTAATTTCTTGGGTTAGACGAAATGATTCTAATCATTACCTTATAGAAATTTTGATCACTTCACTATAAAGTTTGTTTAATTGAGAATAGTTGTTGTAATAATAATAATAAATAATTTTTGTTGTGCAAAAAAAGATTGTGAATTTTTACAAATCAACCAGATGAATTCATTGAAAAAAGGCACAATATTTTTTAAATTGCAATGGACAGAGGCTGGGATTGCTGGGTTTAGCAATATTAGCTCAAAATTATTCAGGAATGGAGATAGTTTCATCTCTCTACTGCAATAGATATACAGCGTGCTTCGGGCATATGGAAGTATTTTGGTAAAACCCGAATCCGTTATTAAATGTCATTTATGTGACAAATTTTCAGTGAAAATTCTTCTCTGAGATATCATAAACAAAAGCAGCCCTAGCGACACCGGCCAGCGCTGGCATTGTAGGATCGGCTAAATAGTCCGTTCCAGATAATTCCAGAGAAATCGAACACAGGCGCGCAGCCAAGATTTTCAAAGGGGGGGGGGGGGTAAAATCGGAAATTCCCATTGCCGTCTGTAACAGTCACGCCGATTACGCGCTCGTTGAAAGAGCCGCCTTTTCAGCGTATAATGATTTTTCGGTACTCCTGAAGTATGCGCCCCAAGATTTCGCACAACCTAAACCCTAACCTGGTACACAAGCTGAGTTCAGGATGTGCGCCATCTTGGTGCGCATGCTTCAGGAGGTCCGATTTTTCTGTCGCGTAAAATATTCAATCCAAGACAACTACGAGGTTCTAAAATGTTGTTATAATGGTAATTTAATTGTGTCCAACGTAACTAGCGGTTGCGACTTCTTATGTAAAAATAAAAGAATTATTATTCTTTACACGGCGAACTGTGGAAAGAAAATACGAGATAAGCTGCCTGATGTATTTAATTTTGATACGTATTTTTGCATCTTAACATCTGATATAAAATTCCGTATAGTACAATTTTACTTCATACAATGAAAATACATATAAAGTTTACCGGTATATCAAAAATACATCTTCACCGCCTCGAAATCCACGCCAAACCGCCGCCGCGATTACGCCACTTGTCAAAAGAGCCGGCTTTTTCAACAAAAAATGATTTTTCTGTTGTGCAAAGAAATCAATCCCCGACCGGTACGGGCATATTTAAAATATCTTGCTTTATTATTTTTAATTTTCTTCAATTTAAACTGCGGTTGCGTCGACAAAATGAGAGCAACTCTAAAACACCACCGGCATTCCGCGCACATCAATATGTTTGGTAAACTGCCCGATTATATTTTGTTTTGCTCCGTAGTTTTGCTTTTTTGCGAATTCGACAAACTTGAGATGTACTTGTAACACTGACTCAATCGCAATGCTGCCACTCCGATTATTTTTAAAGATAAAACGTTGCGAAAATCCGTAAATCTGCTGTAAAATCTCACGGAGTAAATTTTATTTCAGTACTGCAGAAATGGACATCACAAACCGGGAAATAGTCGTGTTCTCAACCTTGTTTAATGTTAACACGAACATTTTCGACGGCAATTTTAAAGTAATGGATAAAAAGGTAAATCCCGACCACAATTCACCGCGCTTCGATTTTAGTGACGATAAGTTTCTAAACGCCGACCAAACATAATGTTTGCCGTTGCCGTTAAAATTTTGCGAATTTTAGAATTGTAGAAAAGCGTTTTTAGACTGTAGCGGGCTTCAACAGAACTTGTATTGTTTACGTTTTGATTTTCAGTACTTTAAATTGCTGCTTTTCAATCAAAAAATTAGGTCCCGGATTTACTCCTTGATTGGTCTTTAGAATCTCGCCGCCGATGAACGTATAATAACCCTCACCTGATGAACAATTTCGTGCGAGCACAGAAATAAAATATTTACCATCGTTATTGTGGCACAAATTTGTGATTCATAGACAATAAACTCCGAAGTAAGGCGTTACGGCCTAAATAACACGTCACAAATAACACAAGCGATTTTAGCAAAAGGCAATTGCACGCGGTATTGGCGACTTTTTCAGTTTTCGAAAAAATTCAAAAGAAGGGGGCGGGCTCGACCCTGAACTCTCTCTGGCTGCGCCACTGAATCAAGGTACTGTACTTGGACGCAACAGACACGTGTGTGACATCACAATGAACAGTGGTAAGCAAACTACAGGCGAAATATGGAACAGACATTTTAGCTAGGCGTTCAGAAAAATTTAGTCGCAGTCACGCTACGAACACGTAATGTTGCAAACGTGCGAGAATAATATTCTACTGCGCAAATGGTCTGGTGGCAGTGCGCAGTTGCGTACCTTAGAGGGAACCTTGGTTGTGGTTTCCGAGATGCCATGGATTGTCGGTCTCTCCTGTTGCAGACTTGAGTTTGTTGCGGAAGTGGAGGGCTCTGTAATAATACGTTTGTACTGTTTCTTTATTCAGATTAAGATACATCAGTTCAACACATTCAAACGATAACAGTTTAACATTGAAGCACATTGACTAATATAGCTACAGATAGTGACATACGGTGACAGATAACGACCGTCCAAAATCAAGAACTAATAGCTTTTATATGTCTATCGACTTGTAGTGTGATTGGCCTAAACATAAATATGTCACACACACGTGGACTTACAAAAGCAGCCAATCGAAGCGTTGCTACTTGACACGTTACAAAGCACAACACATGACATCCCCCGTTTTCCGAAACGAGGATCATAATAAAACAATCTACCAATATTGATCTTTCACGTCGGATTCTTGTAGATCTTCGTATTTGCGGTTGTTCAATCTTTATAGCTTCATCATGAGAAGTATGTTTTATGGACTTCAGGACATAAGTATAAACATAATTAATGGTGGAAACTGTTCTTTTGTTGTAACCAGATAATGCTGACTTCGCCTGAGCGTTCTTCCATCTGGGGTTAGAATATTGAATGATCGTGGTGTATCATGCTTGGTTACGACTACAGCCGGATGCCACTTTTTTCCCTCTTGAAATCGAATTGAGTCGTTTGGCTTTATTGCTGTTCTGGGAAATAAGTTTGGCTACTTCAGGATATTTTGAATAATAATCAACGACTAGCAAATAGTCTTTGCCGTTAAAAAAAATGTCTGCTCCAACAACAGCCCATGGCCTGTTAAGGACTTTGTGTGGAATTAATGGGTGCTTGCGATTATTCCTCTGGTACCTCAAACATGTAGTACAATTGGATACGGTTTTCTTTTTTATTCGGATCCACTGATCAAGCTTTACCCGGTAAAAACATTGTCGTATTAATCTTCTATCGCAACACTGATCAAAGCGTTTACACGTTTTATAAGTTACTTTGACCTCACGTCCATCATACATCCTCAATTTTGTTCTTGTTTGGTTAATCTTTAATCTTCTCAGACGCAATCCATCGAAAGTCTCTTCTGACATTACGTTACAGTCCGCACCGGAATCTAGTTTAAATTTACCTGTTTGTTTATATTAAAGTCAACGACTCATTTCTTTGCAGTCTCGCTATCGAACGAAAACCTCAAGACATCTTCGTCTTCGGAGATCAAACTCATTACTTTTTATTTCGTTTGATTTATAATCTTCTTGCTTCGTCCTGAATACTTTCTCAAGATCTCCAATCTTCTTGCAAAATCGACACTTCTTTCCAAAAGCTGTACATGCTCTAGGACTAGGTGCGTGACTACCACCACAGTATTTACAATGCTTTACGTTTTTCCATTGTCGCGTCGTACCAGTCTTGGCAAACGGGCTCTTGTGTTTTGATTGCCTAATGTTGTCAACAGGCGACCCAATCGAGTGATTATCCTTTTTATATATTTGTTGTTTTGACGTCTCTGCAGCTCTGGCCATGTTTATAACTTGAACAAGCGTTAGTTTATCTTCTCTTAGCAGTCTCTCTTTTATTGAAACGCATATTGAAAATGAAACAATCCCTTATTATATCTTATGGCTCTTCTTTGAAAGCGCAATATTTTTCTTTACTTCTTAATCTAGTTACAAACTGATCTGTAGTCTCGGTAACATCTTGAGCCGATAGCCAAAATTAGTGTCGCTCGAAAATGAGTGGTCTTTGACGTTGAAGAGCAATTGGCCGATAGTGTTTTGGGGTTTAACTTACTCTGATTTTAACGTCTTTCAAAATTCTTCGAATTTTTTCACTTAGTCCTTGGACATACGGAATGGTGGTAGATGCGATAGGTCTGAGTTTATCAGGCAGTTTTTTGAGATTTACATGATTTCTGAACATTTTCGTTGGATATCCATTTTGTCGTAAAGTCTTCTTAATGAAATTTATTTTTTGTTTCTGCTTTGTTTCATCCGATATAAGGGTTTTGGCACGATTCATAAGACTACTAACCACTGAACGTTTATGGTTAAGCGGGTGGCTGGAGTTAAAATTAAGATAGCGATTAGTATGGGTCTTTTCGCTATATATATCAGTCGTCAATTCTCAAGACTATTTCTCGAATCTTATCACATAAATAAAGAGAAAAATTCGATGAATGACAAAGAAACCACACGTTTCCCGCCTGTGTATAAATCATTGTTTAAATAGTCCCCTTTTTGTTTGAACTTGCGATAGTTTGTTTATTTATACATATTATCTTATCATCATCCTTTTAGATTAGAGTTGAGGCCATGATAATTTTTTCATACTTTTTTCCTTTTTCTTTTTCTTGATCTATATATATCCACTTGTGTCCTTTCCATATCATGCCCTGATGAAGTTTTTCTGTATAGAAATTCGAAACGTGTGCAAATTACATCGTTTTGCTAACACCGGTTGTGCTTAATTTATTATCAACATGAGTTTACCTGGTGGCAATCATGCACTATCATTTCTATCCGTCGTTTCATTAAGCATTCTGTGTTGGACTCCTTGCTGTTTGCTTCTTGACTCGAGTGACCACTTATAAGATTCGAAGTGACTAGAGCAGAGGTTTGCAACAGACGGCCAAGATGCCACAACCCGGCCCACCAAGCCATTTTGCGTGGCCCTTGTTAACACTCAGATATTCCCCCATCAAGGCTCGAGACATCACTTATCAGAAACTCTGATCATGTAGTGGATTGTAGTCGATCACTGAATGGTTTAAGGATTTCCTGTAAAAACTACCTTTCTAGGCTATTTTCTGCCCATGTTGCACTCCCGAATTTCCAACCACAGAGATTTTTTAGGACGCTGACAAGCTTGTTTCCTATATCTAAAAAATCGACGCTCCCGTAGTATGTGCACCAAGATGGCGGACACCTGAACATAGTATGTGTACAGGGTTAGGCCATAATAACTTTAATTCTATTACGAGTTTGGGGACTAGCCAAGTGACACCCGTAGTATTTGTACCTGGAATTATGGCCTACCTGACCATAACCTGGAACACATACTACGTTCCGGTGTCCGCCATCTTGGTTCACATGCTTCGGGAGTAACGGAAAATCATTGCCTAAAAGTTCGCCCCAAAGCCTCCCAAACCCTCAAATAGAACAAAGCGCAATAGGCAAGTGAAAATCACACAGGATTTCCAAATTTTATTCAAATACAAATCAACAATTTTCAGGTATCAAAAAATTCACATTTTTTCGCCTAACCCTAATGCACTTCAGAAACATCATCATCATAAGAATAAATTACTCGTTGTGCAGCACCGATCAGAAATTGATCATCAGGTTGCACCCGACTAAAATGAGTGTTCACTCTCCGTCGAGTACGACCTAGGGACTGATTTCGTGATAGGTCTTCTATATTACAAGCACAAAAATGTTAGTAAAAGAAAATTTAATTAGTGGAGAAATAAAAATGGCGAAAAAAGAAGACAGTTGATACTACGTGTGACGCTAATTTCTTAATTTTTATTATTATTATTTTATGTATCAAAAAATCGGTACTTCGAGAATTGAAAATAGCAAAATATAATAATAATAATAATAACAGTAATAATAAAAGAGCGAAAAATAATGACAGAAAAATTCATATCGACGTAGTAAATACAAATTAAAATTTTTTTTCACAAAAGATGACTCCCAGACTTACATAACAAAATAGAAGATTCTAAGACTATAGACGACGCAGGCCTCCAAGTGGACCAAGGTGTACTCGCTGTGTATAAGTTAGAGCACTGGACGCATCGGCATTGAAAAGCACATCAAAAAGAGAGACAAAATAGATAATAGATAAATTTTACTGATATGATATTATAATACAATAAAGAAATTGATGGACAACAGTTGTACCCAACTCAAAAAAATCTTCTTTCGTAAAAAAAATTAAAACGAAAACAGCTTTAGATTTAACTTGGCTGATCGTAAATAATAAGTTAGTTCTTTACAAAACAGGGCAAAAGTGAAATATCACACTTAAGCTGCTCACAGATGCACAAACACACATGGATTCCGCTAGCAAGTGCATTGAATAGAGATAGCATTCGATTACAGATGTACCAGCAGATATTTACCAAATTCATTGTAACTGGCTGCTACTTGACGATCTCTTTAAGTTTAATCGCAGCTGAACATTGAAATTAATATTAATTTGGTTTGAAAGTGCCTTTCAGTTCTTTAAAAGTAACGTAATACACATAAAAGTGCGATTTATTATCATTTATCTCCGATTTTATTAACAAAACGTTCTAAATTGTCTTGACCTGGAGCAGCGTTTTGCATGTGGCCCATATCGGGGTTAACGTTAGTTGTAAAACCGGTACCCGGGTTTCCAGCACCAGTGTTAAAGTTCATACTTTGACTTACAACCTGATGGGAAAACCCCCCTCCTCCCATCATACCCGGTTGAGAGTTGATTGTATTGTTATACTGTTGTTCCATCGTCGAAACCATATGTTGTTGTCCGGAAACCTGCGCGTTCTGGTTCAAAGGGGTTGTTCTGCCAGCCATGGGATGTGGCGACATTTGAGGAAGCCCGACACGGCCAGTAGGCATTGGTTGCGATGGCGGCCTCGACGAAGGCATGGTATTTGAAACTGACATCCCCATTTGATGTTGTAAAGAAGATTGAAGTCCTTGCTGCATGTTGGGCATAGAAGAGTTCATACCCTGCTGCATTACCATGCCTGGATTCATCTAAAAACACAAGTAAATTATGATGTAGCCATGATTCAAAAAATAGAGCATTTATTTCAATTTTAGCACGTCAAATATATAAAAAGATCAGTTTTGCAATAATGTACTATATTTTCTATAGCCACACAGTCAAATTTACCGTTTAAATTAACACAATAATTTAGAATTTTTTCCAATTTAAAATTTCTTGATAGCAATTACTATGAAAATTCTTGAAGGCTAAATTCCAATCACATAGAATTCATATCTTGTTTGTTGAATATTAAAAAAAAAATTACCTGATGTCTTATTTGACCCGGTATTCTATGTTGTTGGAATCTGACTATAGGATTGTTCATCATTCTTGTTGGCTGCGGAATAAACAATAAAAAATTGATATAAATGTTAATTAAAAATAAAGATTGGACTACTGAAAATATTTGTTAAATTGCTGAATAGTTTTCGATATATTTTGTATTTGGAGTTCCAGGTGAATAAACTAAACTAGCTGAAAAAAAAAAGTTCCAAAAATTGAAAATATGGTACAGATTAGTGCACACACACATAAAAGTAAATCATCTCACCTGGTATGGTGGCGCAGGAGCTTGGAACTGATTTTGTTGTTGTTGTTGTTGCAATTGCATTCTACGTTGTTGTTGCCAATGAATTTGATGTTGCATGTTGCTATTTGTAACCTGGAATAAAATAAAAAATTTTTTAGCTATAATTGTGAACAATACTAAAACCAATTTTATAGTTTTACTTTTGCTGTATTTACGTATTTTTGTTGCGTTTACAAAATTTTGGTATAAATCAAATAACTGGATGGTGATTTGGTCTTCAGAGGCATTATAGTTCACCTGCCATAATCAAAGTTAATTGGAAATACTGCTATAGACTAAAAATTAGTTTTTTTGAACCAAAATATTGTATAGCAGTATAGCAAGATCTTTTCTGTGGCCAGGGGTCAAGAGCATTCACTTTTGATGTATAGTAACCATATTTATTAAAACTTATTTACCTGTACAGGTTGCATACTGATGCCCGGTTGATTCATGGCAGCTTGTAACGTTACTTGCTGTACCCCACCCTGCATTGTTTGCTGTTGAACATTACCCATAGATGTTGGCATGTTACCCTGAAAAAAGGGTATTTTTTGTTAGTATTATACCGATACAAAGATTTTCGGAAATAATTTCGAACATTTTGAATTAACATTGTAGTAAAACCATGGTATACATTATTATTTATGACGTTAAAATTCACTTTTTAGTGAAAAACGCAGATTTTTTTTATCGCCTTGCAAAAGTTTGTAACGATTGGATAGTTTGAATACTTAAATGCTGACAGATAAAAATGACGAATTTCATCATTATAAATGCCACAGGTTATGACATCATAATCATGATAATTGTGAATTGCCGAAATTCAAATTTATGGTAACTATTTAAAATTAGTTACAAAACAAAAAAAGTCAATTTGAAATTGTATATTCAAAAAATTTTATACCTGAACTTGAGTGATGAACTGTTTTTGTTGTTGCGTCGCTTGTTGTTGCTTGTTTTGAGCCTGCTGCTTCCTCTCTCTGATGAGTGATGACATGAGTTGTGGGTTGGTTTTCAGTAGTGCTTTCAATTGCTCAGAACTCCGTGGCTTGGGACCGCGAGCCCCACTCGGACCGGGCATATTGTCATTCTTAAGTATGTGCAGTACTTGTCTCAGTGACTGGTTGATTGTGCTGACTGGTGGCGAGTCGCCGATTATCATTTGTAATTGGCCAGGCATGTTCTGCTGACGTACCTGTGGACGAGTTTGCATTTGATTTGGCCAGCCTCCGGGGCCAGTATTTCCGCCCATTACAGGTCGATTAATGCTCATAGGATTCGGGGGTCTGTTACCTATCTGCGATTGATTCGAAACAGAGGTATATACCATGGGGCTATAACGTTCTCTATCTCTTGCTTGCTGATCTGCGACTTGCTGAGCTTGTTTTGCGGCCCTAACCGCTCCCATAGGAGGGGGTGAAGGATATTTTCGTCCGAAATTAACCTGTTGTAGAGATTGACCGGGGCTTAGTATACCCGCTTGTGGCACAGGTTGTTGTTGTTGTTGACTGATTCCCACTCCTGGACTGTTGTATTGTTGTGGGTTCGCATTCATGTGCGGAGACGTCATAGATCGAGCTTGCGGATTCATTCCACCACTGATCATAGCTCCCTCCGGTGTTTGCGGCATCATTCCATGTGCGCTGAGCGGCCTTGACGCAGCTTGCATCTGTTGTGTTGTGTCTTGTTGATTGTGACTAGCCGCACCCTTCATTGGGGATGGCTGCGGTTTCCGCATGTGTGAATCTGAGATGCTGTGAATTTTTGGACTCGCCTGTTGCAGGCTTGAGTTTGCTGCGGGAGTAGAAGGCCCACTTTGAGGAGCCGAACTCCTCGACATCATTTCCATTCGTCGTTTCATTAAGTACGCTTGTTGCATTCTGTGTTGGACTTCTTGCTGTTTCAATTTGTTCTTGATATTATGACAAAATGCAACTGGACATTTCTTTTCCTGGAATTTAAAATAATATGATTGAGAAGAATGTAGTGGTCAAATAGCTCGAGTGAGGGACTTTAAAGTTGAACTCAAGTCACCAATTTAAAAAGATCCGAAGTGACTAGAGCAGGGGTGTCTAACAGGTGGCACAACCCGGTCCACCAAGCCATTTAGTGTGGTCCTTCAGCGTGACACTCAGATATTTTCCCATCAAGCATAAAATCCTAATCCAGCAGTTCATGTTTGAAAAAGCGCCCACGTGGGTTAAAATACATAATTGTTATTGCTTTTGTCGCTGTGTCAAATCTTTCGATGCCTTTATTATTGTTAAGCTAAGCGATAACCATATTCTTTTCTCTTGTCAGCTGACGCATCGTGAGAATTTTTTAATTTGTTGTGTACATGGAATGACTAAATTTTTTGTGTCGTCCAGTTAGATGTCTGAAGTTGGTTATATGGCCCACCGACAAAAAATGTAACACACCCCCGGCCGGACCAGAGCACACTAAATGCAACGACTCGCACAGTGATTGTTTTATTATAAAGTTGTTCATTTTCGAATGAAATGTATCCTATAGCCTAAGCATGAGCGTCACAGGTTACGCAAAATTAAAAAAAATTAACATAAATTTTGCTGTCAATCAGAGGGACTACTACAACGAAGTACCAATACAAATTCTCATTCAATTCACACGGTATACCATTCCATATATACTAACCTTGCAATGTTTAGCATGATAGCAGCAGAGAGCAATGAGTTGTTTGCATATGGGACATGTACCTTTGGTCTTTTTCTTGCAAGTTTTAGCATGGTGGACAACCTGAACCAACAGAAAAATTTTCGTTAGAAAATAGTAACTAAATTTTTTTTTCTTCAAAAAATTTCCAATATCGAAAAAATGAAATCAAAATTCGTACCTTTTTCATCTTATAGCAGGCTGGCATATTACAGTTCGCGTTTTTGCATTGACACGCATGAACGAGAGACTGCATGCACCTTTCAACTGGAATCGTGCTCGATTTTGTATTGCCAGATCCGGCCCCAGGAGATCCAGTACCATCGTCCAAGCCGAAACCCATCTTGTCCATTTTATGCTCATGGCCGATTTGGTTGTAGCAATTGACGCACAAATCAAAGTCCTAGAAATTCGAATATATTTTGGTCAGATCAACGCTATCATAAACACACAATCTTGGTATACAGAGAAATAAAAATCTACTTACATGACACACTCTGCATTGGTATCTTGTTTCAACGTTATTTCTACACCTGTTGCACATATAGCTGAATTTATCCTGACCTTGCGTGTGAAGTTCAATCAGCATCGCCATTGTAGACCACTAGATATGAAAAGTGTTGATTAAGCATAAAAAAGCACATTATCGAGTACTATATCGGTCTATTAATGATTATTCTTGGCCATATATATTCCACACCTATTTCTTTGAAAAAATGAAAGAGTAGTCCACACTCACCTTTGCTCTCCTCAGCGATGAAAATTCGTAATGTTTTTCGCGAGCGAGTGTTAAGAATGCATCTCTTCCGTCCATCAGGTCACACTGCATGGTTGGGTCAGGGTCAACAGTAGGTCCCATTTTGCTGATCATTTCGACAGATTGAAGGCGGATAACAAAAAATACCTGTATGATATACAAATAATAAATGATTACCGAAATGAATGCTTAGAAATGAAATTATTTAACAACTGAACTTCTTGAGAACTTTATGCTTTAGCATTGCACATATATGAACGTTCAATGAAATGTATGAATTTAATTTTCAATTATGCAGTAGTTATCAGTACGAGGACCGCGGGTGAGGACGGCCAAAAACCGAATAATTTGGTATTTCGAATACATTCTAAAATTTCGAACATGAAATATGGAATATAACCCCGAAATGGGTCTGTTCCACAAAAGAAATTCTTGAAGACAATTGGAAATCAAATTTGTTTATGACGAATAATTGAGATAAACATTATTTAATTAGTATTTCCTATTTTATTCTAGTGGATTTACCCTCGAACAAGAGATAAAAAAATGCAGACTAACCTCTTTGTGTTTTTCCATAATTTGATAAAGTTTATCGGACAGGTCATTCATGACTTGCGGTAATTTCTTCTTCGTAGTTCTTTGTGAAGTTTTCTTGATGTTGGCTTTCTTCGATTTTTTGTTTTTGCCATTTTTCGAGTTATTATTTCCACCACTGTCAGACTGGGATTGGAGGGGTGAAAACTTGAATAAGAGGGCCTGATTGTGTCGAACAGGGAGAAGAATATGAAATATAACGATTTTGGATTAGATAAAAGGGGGGAACAATTAGAGCGTTATTAAGTCCCCAGGGTCAGAAAGGGAAAAATTTAGTGTTACAGATCAATTTTGGCCATAATCCTATAATAACTGCTGAATTTCTCTAGTAATGAAAAATAGTAGTGATTTTGGTTGGCGATTTGAAATTGAAATATCCATATTGATGATGTAATAATTTAAATATAAGCAGTCCTGCTGAGTTTGGCGTGTTTTTATTATAATTTGGAGTCATAATTTAGACTCTTGATGTATATACTTAATTTGGCGGTAAAATAAGAAACCCAAAAATGCTCTCGACACACAATATTTAAAAATAGGTTGCCGGTTGCAGACTATGAAATGTCAAATTTTAAATATTCAATTCACCTCTTCCGCAGCTGCCTGTTCACTAGCTTCTGCTTGTTTTCTGTCCTCTTCTTCCTGTTCAATTTCCTTTATGCTTTCTTCCAAGACGTTGGGCCAGAAATCGCCCTCGAAGTACGGTAGTTCCCTTGCAGACTGAAGCCTGTCTTCCTTGGCTTGATGAAATATGTCTTTGTAGTCGATGATAACTTGTTCGCTCTGTTGGATAAGTTTTGTTTATTAATAAATCTCAAACAGATAAAATTATATTACTGAAAACATGTCAAAAAACCAATTTCAAGTTATTTTGAGCAACTCGGATTCGTTTCCGTCAAAATTATAGTCATATTGGTTTGGGGCATAATACATCCAATCACTTTGTCTATGTGTATAGTAAAAAACTGGATCCTACTTCGATTGTATAGTGTATTAAAGACTTTTGGAGATATATTTGGAAATAGTGTATCAGTCGAGTGATGATTTTCCTACCTAGTGTTAATGGGATTGAGTCATTGGCTCTACTCAAATCGAGTCATTGACTCTACTCAAGTCGAGTCATCGACTCTACTCAAATTGAGTCATTGACCCTACTCAAATCGAGTCATCGACTCTACTCAAATCAATCATTGACTCTACCCAAATCGAGTCATTGACTCAACTCAAATCGAGTCATTGACTCTACTCAACTTGAGTCATTGACTCTACTCAACTTCAGTAATCTTAATTTGAAATGGATCATTCTTGACAAGCACTAATCGCCAGCGAAGCATTACTCAATGATGAATATCAATAACTTACTATGGCTTTATCAAGCATTTTCTTGTACCAGTCCTGTAGTCGTTTTGGCTTGGGAATTTTTTGTTCCTGTGGATGGCAGTGGAAGATATAATCATCTCCCTCACAAGGAGGACAGGCCCATATGTGAGCAAATTCGTACCTATTATGAACGAAATAAATAAAAATACAGATTTGAGGAACATAATTCATAATAACATGAATTTTAAATAATTTTTGATCAAAGATAAAAAAGAAAATGAAATCGTACCCGAGGTTTTTACAGTATTCGAAATATCCAATCAAAATTTCATGATATACCGCAGTACGCAGATGCCTCGGTCGAAAGAAATGAACTGAATCGAGGTAAGAGAGATAAACTCGGCGTTGATTGGGTTTTGGAGCATCAGAGCCGTATTCCTGTGAAAAGTTGAAAACAAAAGGTTTTTATTCACAATAATAATAGCTCCAGGAGTGTGTGTAACAATCACATATTTGACATGAAGTTGTGTAAAGGGACTGAAACCTATGGGCAGGGGGTATATTCACTTGGCTAACAGGGACAGTCCCTGAACTCGGAAAAGAACTAAAATAGGGAAAATCAGAATAAATTTACGGCCTAACCCTAACCTGGTACACACACTACAGGAGTACCCAATATAGCAATGTCTAAAAATAAATGCAATATTTCAGTCATTTACCTGCACATGTACGCCAAAGAAACAAACGTCGACGCCGTCAATTTCTTCAAATGCGAAAAATGCTTTTGCTCGATAAGGAAACGTTTCAGGCATTTCTTTAGTATCAACAAATCTAAGTAGAAAAGATGAAAAAAAAATTAATATTTTTTTCCAAAAAAAATTATATTTCTCCGAATTTAGTTTCAAACCATAAATCCTAATATGACTCTTTCTAAAGAATTCTTTGAATATAAATTAAGTTTAGGGACATATTGCGTTAACATATTTGACAGATGATATAGGACAGCTAAAAAAAAAGTGTCATTGCCAATTGAGTGTAATATCAGTATGTTATTGAAATACTTACTTAGTTTTCATTCCTGAGCGAACTTCAACCGTTTTATCTCCGCTATAGACGACTCGTATATGAACGTGTCCTGCTTCTCCGGTAGAGTCGTTTCGCTTGATGTAATTGTTAACTCTGCGTTCAATGTGTTCACCTAGCTTGTTTTGAGGCAATTTCACACCGACGTAGCGATTAGGTTTACGTTGGGCTCCTCGTTTTGACAGACAATCGTCACATGTAAACCTATGTCAAAATAGGACAATTAAAAAAATGAATTTCACATGTGATACTTTTAACAATGCACTGACATTTAACGATATGTCAGCCGATATTATTTTTTTGGAAAAAGCTGAAACTTTCAGATTCGACATTGTCTACCCAATCTATTAGACCCTGGGTAAGTCTGCCATGCCAATACAGTCAAGTCTAGGGCTGATTCGGGGGCATAGCCAGGAGGGGAGGTTCAGGACCCCCCCTTTCAAAATGTGAAAAAATTTTTTTTTCTGTACCATACATAACAATTTTTCGTATCTTGAAATGCATTTGTGATTGTAAATTACAGAGACTCAAAAATCCAAAATTACCCTTCAGGCCATATAGGAGACATGTGTAGTACACATATCTTGTGCATTTTCCTTCCACATTCCTGACAAATTTCAAACGGCTCCGAGTCGAGTACATCATTTTTCTTCTTTTCGAATTGACTCTTTGGTATTGTTCTAAAATCGAAAAAAGGGGAAAATTAATGTGAAAGTAGTCGTATGAACATAAATCTGTAATATGAACACGTCGACTTACGTCATGGATGACTGGGGTTTGCTCGGATCGTCTGCTAACGAAATCACGTCACCATTAATGTCGTTAAAGCATTTTTCACAGTAGTCGTATCTGAAAAGTAAAAAGTAGCGTCAATGAAGTTATCATCCTACTATAACAAGCAGGGCTGTTGAGCTGAAGAAAAATTACAATCAATTTTAGAGTTTGAGCCCGATTCCAGGATAAAATTTATTTTGACCCTAGCTCCGGAAAAATCAGATTATGAGAACGGACTTTGGCGTATGCAAACAGTCTTCAAAATACTTTTAAGAAAGCATAAACAATTTTGAGTTATTTTGTCACCAAAGTCTGCAATCTCGAATACAGGGAGAATGAAATTTTAACCCCTGCCCACACTCCATTGAAGACAACCCCAGAGCCCTAATAACAAGTAACACTACTTCAACTAGCATACCTATTCTGATAGTCATAGTAGACGGCACCAGTTGGAATAGTACAAAGTTGCTTTCCATAACAGCACAGCGTCATCGGCATAAACTCCAACTGGAAAAAAAATTCGATATTAAAAACTTTAGAAATAATTCAAAATTATTTTATTTGAAAGAATATCACATTAAACAATTGGAATGTCACATTGCAGGCGCGAAGGCCGAAGAATTTTATAATATTAAAAAAAAAAATTCATCCTAATTTTCTCTCAGTTGCAAATTCAAATTTTGATGATGTATTTGAAATGATAAGATATCTGGTTTTGGCCTGCTACTCCCCAGTGGAAGTAAACAAAAAAAAAGCTTCAAATTTTTTAACCCACCTTTCTTCCACAGCAATATCCGAGGCTTTGCATGACCGGGTCTATTTCGGCTTCAAAAATCTCTTTCAATTTTGAACAATACTTGTAAACTCGCGTTGTCCGTCGATTGTACAGCCAAGCATTGTTAAACATGAGCCAAATGTCGCTAATGAATTCCCAAGGTTCCTTGTATTTTCCAGTTTCCAGATTTTTACGAATCGATGCCAGATCCATGGGCTCCGTCACAATGTCAAAATAATCCTGAATAAGGAAAATCCAAGATTACTCATTTAGATACGTCAGAGACACACAACGACTCAGATAACAGGAGTCTCGACTTGAGTCCCGACTCTGATAACTAGAGTCTCGACTTGAACCAAGACTCTGATAACTCGAGTCTCGACTTGAAACAAGACTCTGATAACTCGAGTCTCAACTTGAGTCCCGACTCTGATAACTCGAGTCTCAACTTGAGTCCCGACTCTGATAACTCGAGTCTCGACTTGAAACAAGACTCTGATAACTCGAGTCTCAACTTGAGTCCCGACTCTGATAACTCGAGTCTCAACTTGAGTCCCGACTCTGATAACTACAGTCTCGACTTAAACCAAGACTTTGATAACTCGAGTCTCAACTTGAGTCACGACTCTGATAACTCGAGTGTCAACTTTAGTCACGACTCTGATAACGTAAGTCTCGACTTGAGTCACGACTTTTAGGTTTGGGAACTTCTAGCCAACACTGGATGTAATATATAAAATACAAACCGGAATGTTAAGTTTCTCGGGATCGACTGGTTGTCTGAATGGAAGAGCTTCTGGTTCTTGTTTGTATAATTTTTCAACGATAGGCAACAATCCCACTTTCAATTCTTGAGGTTCAAACACTGCGAAAAAAAGAGTCAAATTCAAAACAATCAGGGTTGTGAAAAAAATTGAATCCAAGGAAGAAAATGAAATTTTGATTTGGTTTTTGGACTCTTTCACTACATTTCAACACCATGACTAGAATGTACATTGTATCATTCGTCGATTAGTAGTAAAATGGGCGGACCCTCAGCTAATTTATTTTTACCAAATCCATTTTATAACCTATATATGACGACATGTACATTACCTTTTCTTGAAACCTTTCTTGGTTCGCCCGATGAAGATACGCTTTCTTGTTTTACGAAGGGATCATGATTCGATGAACTCTGAGTAGGTGCTGGAGATGGGGTCGCAGCAAAATGATCGCTCGGTTCCATCTGAAAATAAACGAAACGTTGGTATAAATTTTCTGTGGTAATAAAAATGTACATTTCATCTTTATCTTTAGTTCTTTTACGAGTTCGGGGAATAGCCAAGTGACTCCTATAGTATTTGCACCTGAAATTATGGCCAAACCCTAACCTGGTACACATGGTTCATATACTTCGGGAGTACCCAATACTGATCTTTTTAGACATTTCTTGCCTACTCAAGATTTTGTTAGGAGTGCAATAGGGAAATATACCCAATATTTTTCTGGTCTGAAATATCGAATTTCTTTTATCCTATGTGAGGTGGAGGTTCTTTTAATCGTATACTAACTCGGATTCGAACCTGTGATCTCAAACCTCCAATAATTCCAGAATGGACTTACCTTGACCTCAGTGTTGGACGAGACGGAAGGGGACCAACCGGGTTTTCCCGTTGATCCGAACCCTTGATCCTGAGGTTCCGTTTTTACTAACGGAGTAGAATCTGACGCTTCCATTCCAATGGGCTACAAGAAAAAATATATCACTTATAAATTCGAAGGAAATTTACTGTAAAATGATATTGATTTCACCACATTTTTCAATATTTCGAAGAAATTGAACAAGGAAAAATCAAATTACCTTTCCGCCTTTACCCCCCATCTCCGATTTGATATTTGATACGTTGAATCCATTGGAAGGTCCAAGACTCGAATTATTATTGCTTGGAGTATCTTTGGATCCGATAGGCTGGGGCTTGCTAACAAAAGGTGCTGCGGATGCGTTAGAGGGAGATACGAAGGACCCAACTGAAGAAGCGTCAGAAGTAATTGTATTGGTGGATGACCCGCCTTCTAAAATTTCTTTCAGAGAAGCGGGATGCTGCGATTGGTCGTTTTCGTTCGGAAATACCTTCTGATGCTGGGAGATTTGATTTTTGCTCGGATCTGAATTGATATAACTGTTGTTATTGGACATTGGCAAAAAACCAGACGTCGCTGAGACGCTGTCCATAATAGAGGAAGGTGCTGTCTCTCGGAGAAGCTTTTCTAGTCTCGGCCGCGACGAAACAGGTTTTTGGTTGTTAAAATTCGATTGGGTTCTGGACATGGGGTCTTGCATTCCAGTTGACCTCTGAACTCCTAGTATACCATCGACGGAGTTCTGAGAGCCCATATTAGGTTTGATGTCCTGTTGTGGCTGCGGAAAACCATCTAAGTTGTCTGTCATATTGTTGTTCATGGTAGATGAATCCTGAAAATGATTTATCAGGATAAGAAAATATATAAAAAAAAAAGAATAAAAACTAAAGATGTATCCGTCGTGCTTGAGAGAGACAAACTCGTAAGATTCAGCATAAATTGTACCTGTAAAGCATTGTTTTGATTGAATGGCTGTATATTAGTATTAATTCCTGAATTTCTGCCGTCTACATGGGTCACCGGAGATGCATCATCTAGTTGAAGACGAATCTCATCTTTCGCTTGCTGAAACTGAAATTGAAAATATGATGAAAATCCAAAAGAATTTAAACTACCAGCTTCCCTACATTGAATAAATTAATTTACACGCAACAATAAATTTGCCTGTATAACAAAAATGAAAAATTCTTATTTAATCAAAAGTCTAGCACACCAGGATATGGAACTCGAAGCGAAATGAAAAATCTCAAAAGAACATGTAGGCTACATGAGTGATTCTCTTCTCAACCTGTGGTACGAAATCTTTTACAGTGGCACGCGAGCAGTTTTAATTATTGCAACAATTAACTTTTGAGTTGGCTGAAATATGGCGACAACTTTTTATCTTCCATACTGTATGTATTCGCTGAACAGGTTCATAGCGCTACCAGTTGTCCTGAGATTGCCCTCGCCAGCTACTGCCACCTAAAATGAACCGATGATCGAAGCCTCTCAGCTCTGACGACAGACGTTGCAAATTCTCTCGCAATTTTGCACGTAATTAATACGTTGTTACAGCATAAAATTAATACGTTGAAACTTTGTCCGAAGGTGTAAAATGGACGTAGTGCCACATAAAATACTTCCATAGTGCATTCTTGTGCCATTGTTCCTCTCCCCAGAAGGGGGTTGTGTAGGTGGTACGCAGCCAAGAGTAAAAAACCCAAAGGTAGTAAACAGTCAGTAAAAGTTTGAGAACTACTGAGGTACATGATGAGTTCTTCACGGTTTGTATGCTATTCACTCTGAACATGGCTCTGTAAATAATAGCCACTGCTTGGTAAAAATCTATCATTCAACCAACCTGTTTAATCATTGGATTCATAGGATACTCATCATTGGTGTGATTATGTGACATGGGGGCCCCAACAAGCATGTTCTCCAGCACTTTTCCTTGCGCAGAAGATACATTAGTACCGGGTGGTCCAAAGCGAACTCCACCTGGCATTCCATGTTGGGGACCATTCATGCCTCCGACACCTGGCATCCTCACCCCGCCAGTTTGCATCATACCCATGGCGGGGTCACGTTGCATCTGCATACCTTGATTCTGAACTGCCATTGGACCATTTGGCGCTAAAGAAAATTATGAGAATTGGTTATTGAGAGATCAGGCTGACTTCAAAATGCACTTTTGTCCACTTTTTCAAAGTCCTCAAAAAAAACCATACCCATATTCATTCTGGGACCGCCTGGCCTTCTCATCCTCATTGCTCGTTTTTCTTCCAATTCTTTCTGAATTTTATAAATTTTCTCCGCTAGAAGATGGTAATACTCGCTCTGAATACAAAGAGTTACAAATAAAAATAGTATAACAGAAAACAGGCTGTTTTAATGGAGTAATAGGTACGATCAGTGATAGTATATTTACCCTATTATTTGCTTGTTCGTACATGTCTCCTTCCACTTTCCTTGCAAAATGCACAAGTTTTTTCATCCTCTCGTCAGTCAGTGAAACTTTTTGTGGTGATGGAAAGATGGCTTGCACCCTAAAAATAAAATTATTTTTTTGAAGATATTCCAGAAATCAAGAATGGCATTTCAGGGTCGACACAGAAAAACCAATACTGGTTTATGGAGCTGCAACGCTATTTTCGGAGCCTAAATGTAATTATTACACAAGTAAATGTCAAACTCACAATTTTTGAACCAGATGATTCCTTAGTTCTTCTTTGACATCTTTATGCCATTCTCTATCGACTCTCGGAGCGTGAAATAAATTTTCACCGAAGTTAACACGACTTAAAACAAGAGGTCATAATGGTTAAAAGAATGAAAAGACGAATCAAGATAATATTAAATCTTTATATACTATGACATACCTCATGGGACCAACTTGATTTGGTGCAAGTCCGTTCGGCAGACCAGCAAACGGATCGGGTACATTTGAATTGTTCAAATGAAGAGTAGGATCTGAAAAATAAAAAAGGGAAGATATTTCCACAATTTACTCAAAATTTCAAAAATATGATTTTTCCCAATAAGGATTCCCTAATGAATAATCAAATCATATTTTTATTCTTGAATTCTTTCAGAAATTGATATCTCACGGAATGACCAAAAAACTCTTTGAATAGTTTCTAAAAAATATAAAAGCTATCAAATCATTATCTATCTCATAAAGTGAATATGCATTGACACATAAGCCAATTTAGAAGATATTTTATAATCCATTCAAAACGACAATTTAGAATGTATTGAAAACATTGGTCTGTTCGGTTTATTCACCATTAAAATTCCCGGTGTATGGTGGACCTGACGATGTCCCAGCGCCAGGGAGTCCTGTGGCTGTCGAGACTGAAGATTCACCAATTTGTGACACCGGATTTTGCCATCTCGGCTGCTGAAGTTGGTTTGGCACTGTGGGACCACCGACGTTAGTTGGATTGTTGGTGTTTGGAACACTCTTCAATGGAAGGCAGATGACGCAATCGTTCCTGTCGCATGCCCTCCAGTGGGCAATGATTTGCCTCGAAGAAGCGCAATGAGCAACTGTAAAAAAAATAAATCAGTTATCTTATGGAAAATACTTAAAAAAGATGAGCGAAACTTGGAATGGCCTTAGATGAATCATATATAAAACGCTTCGCACTGAGCTATAATGAAAATTCACCTTGACATGACTTTCCCTGGTTGCAAACGTTCATGTGCCGTAATACCTCTTTCATTGTCCGACAATGTGGAAGCGCGCAATTTGTTGCATCACCGCTATGCTAAAAACATATCAGATCATAATTAAATAAAAATCGACGAACAGAAAAATGTAACAAAAACCATCTTCGTATTCAACTAACCTCTTTTTTAGCGCATTTATATGCATGCAATAACAAAACTAATTGTTGTTGGATAAGTCTACGTTTTTCAGGATCTGCCGACGTTGCCGATGCGCCCGTGGCGTTTGGATTTTTCACTTGCATTTGGCCCATCTGGTCTGGCCCACCCGTGTGCTGCTGAAAAATCGAAAAAGGGCATGTTACACTGTAAAATTGAAACTGAGGCATTTGGAAGATAGAAAATATGTACCTGTTGTATTTGACCAACTCCGATATGATTTTGTTGTATATTTGGTAACGATTGCGGCTGCATGTGCACTTGATTAGTATCTGGCAATGACATGTTCACATTTATGTCTTGAACCTGAATAAAAAAGGTTGAAAAATTGAAAATTGGAGTCGGAAAACGACTTGGAGAGATTTGCTTTATGTGTGCTCGTGAAAAAAACTAGCATCTGAAGAGAGACAGACATTTTACCTGAGAAGTGGGGTGGGGCTGCATATTCGGAGTGAGTCGTTTTGCATTTTGCATTCGTTGCATGTTTTGGATTCCAATGTTATTTACTCTCTGCGTTTGCATCATCTGCATGGTGTCGTTCTTATCCCCGATCATCATCGATCCATCCATATTGACGGAAACACCGTCGTTTAGGCGATTCTGCATGATGTTTCCATCTTGCGTCATGTTCATATTCTGAGACAAGAAGAAATGATAAAAATCTACAATTTTAAATAAAAAATCCAATACTTAGCAATGGTCAGGGCTGTGGATTTGAGGAAAATTTATACTTGACTGTGGCACCTGGTTAAAAAAAATTGATTTCGACTCCAGTTGTTAAATATTCTGATTTAGGTTCCAGCTCCAAATTAGTTGAAAATAAATTTTAATTGTATGCAACCCTAGGGTGCTTTTCGAATTTTTGTGGGAATTTTGACTTTTTTTATCACTAAAGTCCTATATTTCGACTCATGATAACTCCGTCCAGACTGAAAATAAGACTCCGACTACAGTGAAAGCATATCAAACTACAAAACACAATTTACCGATGGAGGCCTGGGTATCGATGTATCATTAAAAGCAGCAGGATTCACTTGCATTTGCCGTGGACCTCCAGACATATTTGTAACATTCTGTCCGAAAGTGTTCATTGAAGAGCTCATGGAGTGCATTGGACCAATCTATGAGAATTGGTTGTAAATATCGGTTAAACAGGTATATTTATTAGAATGCTGAACTGTTTTGGGTATTTCAGAGAGAGATTACTACCTATCTACCAAATTGAAGGGCAGACTCAGAATCTTGACAAGCTCTCGTAACTCTTATTTTGATATCAAAAACATTATTATTTTTTTCAATTCCACTTTTGTAAATTTGACGGAATTTCGAAAAAAAAGGAAATAAACCTACTTGTTGCTGCATTCGAGGTTGTGGTATATAATTGCCTTGCGGTTGATTCATCATCTGACCTGTGGCATTCATCTGTCCCATACCTAAGTCATTTGAAAAATCATTGCCTACATTTTGCATCCCTTGAATCGGCCTTCCACCTCCGTTAGTGACTATGAGTTTGTCTTGATTAGACCCGGATAGCACCATACCGTGAGAGTTCACGCTTGGCTGACTGAATACCATAGAATTATTCCGCATTTGATTTGTCATAGAAATTGCAATGGGAGAATTACTAATAGGTGTGATGTTCATCGTCCCACCGGGCAATGAGACTGGTCGGGGAGATGGGGTTGCGTTAATGGCACTGCTGGGCCTACTGTTTGGCCTGGGTAACGCCGTTTGCGGCGATTTCATACTGTTCATAACAGCAGCCATTTGACCCGCAGTTGGACTCTGCATGGAGTTCTGCCCCGTACTCAATGGACTGGGGTGAGGATGTGTGGGTTGTGGAGGTCGGGGGCTATTATTACTGCTTGGTGAAGTCTGTGCATGTTTTGGTGAGTTATGTGATTGTAAAAGTTTGGTCAATTGCTTTCGCGATTGTATTCCCGAAGCTGGAAGTGCCGCATTGGTGGGCACAGGATGAGGTGAGAGAACCGATGAGCTCCCTTGTGACGATTGAGATGATGTCTGACTAGTTGGTAATCCAAATCCATTGTTTGAAGGCATCATACTCGAAGAACTAGATATAAGATCATCTGGAAGTTGGCCTTCCAAGATGGATGAAAGATCTGAAAAATAAGATTTGATGTAAAAAAATATGTGAGAAACCATATTCATGTGAGGTGGATAATCTATATAAAAGTAAAACATGATTATTTATTACAAACTTGGAAAGGAGAACAATTGAAAGTGTAACTCATTGGAAATGTAAAACGAAGTGCAGAATGATTAAAATTTCGTAAAAACGACAAAAAAAAGAAAAATTTTCTCACCTCCATCTGTCTTTGGACGTTTGTTGGGTGGTGCTCCGTCTGCCATTTTTTCTTCTTTTTGAACTTTCTGATCAACAACAAAAGATAAATTAGCACAAAAATTCAAACCACGTCACTTACAAAGATTTATAATTTCATTATATTAAATGTTGATGCACAGGTCTTTGATTTCTACAATTCACTGTATAAAAAAACTGTCTTAACAATTTAATTATTGTTTCATCACACGAATGAAATAAGATTCAGATGCTGCGCTTGGAATTCACTGTTATTAAATTGCTGTTTTCTATTGTATAACGTCATCATACTGTATATGAGTAAATTTTCAAGGTATTCCAAACAATTCATCTAGGTTTTTAATAAAAGGGTATGGAAGTTGAAAAAGTCAAAAATTGATAATTCCTCATTTTCTTAGGACAATTTTTTCATTTTTGAATCAATTTTCTAGTTTCATTCGACTTCATCCTGCACTTTATATCACAATCACTACATTTCGGAAAAACTTTTACCTGATTTATTACCCAGAAAAAAACACCATTTTCAGAATCTCTAGATCGTCAAACAATTAGAAATAAACATTTTCTTACCTTTTATACCTTTGCTTTAAATATGTGATAGTTTATATAGAATTCCTAATCCGATTGGCATTGATATGCTTCGCTGAAGAATTGAAACACTCGTGACCAACATTACCAATGTCGATTGGTTTCAAGTCTCATTATGTCAAAAATTCTAGCTATAAGCTAACCTGTGGAAATGAATAGTTTTTTTTATAAGAATGCAATAAAATACCTCTAGATCAGGAGTGGGCAATTACTTTTCCGAGAAAAATAATAGACTGGGTTACTAGGCCGAAGGCTAACTATGTACTGAAACTATGTATAAAAAACGATTTATTTACAAATAACGTCACTACCACGTCACAGTGACGTAACAAGGCCCTTCAGACTATACGAACTGTCATCCAAGACGCGCAGACGATCACCCGAAATCGAGCAAGCTATTTCTCTCATTTTTTTGTCGCAACGATCCTGATATGAGATAGATTGCTATCGTTATTGAGTTCTTTATCATCGGCGCAGATGCCATTTCGGGCGATCGTAGGTATACTTTGGCAAGCTCTATGTCGCTCTACGGTTAGGATTGACACATGCAAAACTATGTCCACTAGAAGTACTTGAGGTACGAAACTACACAAGACTAGGGCTGGGCATTTTCGAATACCTTTTCGAATCGAATCAAATCTCGAACACTTGAAAATATAAAATTGTAAGCGACTTTATCATAGTAATTGGTCCTCTCAACAAATGAATTACTGAAGACATAGAATAAATCACTCAGATAGATTACTGAGCGTTCACACAGAATAACAAACACGTTTTATCAATAACTCACTACAGAAAATAGTCATATGTTAGAATTTCGTTGAAAAAATATGACTTCAATGAAAAAAAAATTGGGGAATTCACCTCGACCATTAGCGGAAAGATAAAAACAAGATGGCGGCGATTCGAAATTCCAGTCTGAACCGATTCGAATAATTTACTATTCGATTCGAAATGCCCAGCCCTACACAAGACCCATGATTATTAGGTCTCATGTATCTGCAGCTCGAAGCTGCTTGTGCCATAACTTGGCCACCCCTGCTCTAGATTGAAGCATCACTCAACATACCTGTTTCGTCAGGCTGATACATAACTTTTACCTTGCATTCTATTATTTTGTCTCACTGCAGCGCTATAGGATAAATTATTATCTTGGGCTTGATTTAAGACTGACCCCCTAACGTTTGGCAGCACTCATACTGGCATAACTTTATTTGCGCTTCATTCCGCTCAATTTTCATGATACTCCTGAAGTATGCAGGTACAAATACTATGGAAGTCACTTGGCTAGTCCCTGAATTTGCAATAGAACTAAAATAAGGCAAATTGGAATAAAATTATGGCCTAACCCCAACCTGGTACACATACTACGTTCCAGTGTCCACCATGTTGGTACGCATATTTCAAGAGTACCAATTTCATAGCCTGACCCCAAATCATTTTTCCCAATTATGCAGCTAGCTACAGTGCTCTATCCACATTAGACAAAATCTACCAGTATCTTGTTAGTTGGTATCCTCTCAAGTTGGTTGCTTCTCTCATTCCTATCAACCAGCATTTACCAAATATGCTCAAATTTTCAAAGTTAGTAATGAATTAATGATACAATTTTTTTTATCCCCATACACTTTCTAACTCAAAGCAGGGGTGGGCAAAATTGAATATTTTGAATAAATATTGAATAGTCAAAAAATAAATAATTTTAATATACAATAGTTGACTTCCTTATGCTTTTACTCCTCTATCATGTCTGTGTTATTTTCATATCAAATAAAATCTCTGCAGAGTCGTCACTGTGTGAATCCTGAATGCTGCTTTTAGTTGAAATACTTTTCATATCGTTGAATAAATTGGCAATAATGGCTTTTCTAAATAGTCAAAATAATTTAGCGATACTAGGGTTCTGCGTCCAAGCAAAGCAATGCAAGTTATGTGGTATATAGCCTATATATTCAATTCACTATTTGAATATTTTACGCCCAGATCTACTGATAACTGAATGATATCCACGCTACTTCTTGACAATAAATTAGCAATGGCCATCACTTTTCTGACTCAAAAAACTAATTGAACCCCTTTTCCGCTATACCAATGCCTTCTCTACGCTTAATGTATCGGCCGAAAATTTCTATGCCTTTCAAATCACAACATCCAAGGGAAGAAAGCAGCGAAGGTCTGCAAAACTTCATTTTCAACCATGATTTTTTAACGGAGCAAACCCGAGCATTCCAAAATAATAAATTTGAACAATCGTGATAAGCTTGTATGAAAATTCCGAGAAAAGACCTATCCAATTTTCATGGACCAAAAACCCAAATCGATTTTCTAAAATAGGCCATTATCGAACAAGAAAATTATTATACTAATTTGACTCCAAAAGGAAATGCATTGCATTATAAACTACGAAACATAACCCTGATATGAATTAATTGATTCTGAAACGTTTCGCCACAACTACCTACCAAAAAAATGCCAATATTTCGAATACTATCGCACTATTTTCACACTGAATCTAAAAGCAATCATATCATATAATCATATCATCGTACTACATCACTACTTACATTACTCAACAATAAATACAGCTACTATTGCAAAACTTACATTTGTACCCTACATGCTGGTAAACAGTTTTACTGTCTAAATTTACCTAGAGATAAAAATCCAGCATGATGCAAAACACTCATTACTTCATGACGTCAAAAAAAGTTGAAATTTAGACAATTTAGTTTAAAATTTAAAAACAACTTAGTAATTAACAAATAAATACAAGCTGCATAATCTGGGCATTCACTCGCTTGAGTATTTTCTGTGCTTTTTCCACAACTCTAAACTGACCAGTCAAACTTTACTACTGTAAGTATGTTTGCTTTCTTTTTAAAATACTACATTCCTGCAAAATTTGCTGAATTTGACAATAAAATATGATGAAAAAGTAATAAAATACGCAAAATCGAAGGTGGATATCGACGATAAAAGTTTCACTTTGCAGAGAACACCTATGGCGGCAGGGCACAGCCTCTGGTTCCAAGCTGTCCCGACATTTTGTTCAATAAAGCGAACACTCATTTTGTTTCGAAAATGAGGGCTTCTGGCGCGGCAGCAGATACGGTAGGGACCAGTTCTCCAATTTCCGAAATATCCCATTCCCCCTTTACAAAACAGTCTGGGCCTCCATATCGGCAAACCCGCTTTGCGCAACAAACTGAAAGGAAGCGCAACTGGATTCCTCTGAGAAAAATTCGATTCACTGGAGGATAAAAATTTCAACGCAGCATTCAAGAGTTTACAGCATAAAAACGCAAATTTTGGTCATGTGACGGTAGCGATTGATTTAGATTATTATAGAGAAAAGCAGGGCGCAATCTGCCGTTGTGCCAGACTCCTTCGCTTCATGGAAAAATATAGTGTTTGCTTTATTGAACCAAATGTCAGTACATCTTGGAATTCGAGAACTGTGCCCAACTGAGATGCGTTAGTAGAATTATGCTTGTCTCGATAATAATTTTAATTAATCACAAGGTAAACGTCATAAATTACCGTCCGTATTCTTTATTTTAAGCGTCTTTTATTCTAATGCAGTAGAATACCTATAAAGCTTTTACCACTCAATATCTGAATGAAAATGTCCAGTTTTTGACATTTGTCAAATATATTCGTCACTTTTTTCACATAATCATTTGAAAGGTTAGATGAGGTAAGTTTATGGTTTGTATGTATTTCACATTAAATACATTCCAATATATAGATACTTTTATTTAGTTTGAACAAGATATCACAAAATTCATTTGTTACAATGGACTAATCGTTTCGATAATCAAATACGAAGTTCGCAAGCATGAAATCTTGTGTTGTGCGCTTGGAAAGTCAGCAAATGAACCGATTTTTAATTTTTGACGCTTTGACCGTAGGAGCAAGCATGGGGCATTTAGTTCTTTTCGTTAAACTTTTCTTATCCAAGTACAGTACAGCCAATTTCATAAATAATATGACATTTTCGATGTCTAATATTGAATCTGATATGGCTTGTATTGACTAGCGAATGGCAAACCTCAGTATGAAATAAAATCAGAATTCGTAAAAGCACTATAAAACTCTCCTATCTTTAGGTTTTTCAGAATTGTAAATAATGTCTGAATGTTATTTCGTTGTTATGAAAAACTTACTAATAAAAACCAACGATCAGATGTTCAGATGTTAGGCTACAAATTTTTTGCAAAAATTTTAAAAATGCTATTTCAGTATTATCGAATTACTGAATTATACAAAATATACTGGAAAATCCTCTTTCTAATATCATAATCTACAATCAAACTGCAGAACTGGCCTAGCTGTTTACAGGTTTAGAAGAATACCAGAATACCGGAAATTACAGAATTAGATTTGCAGTAAACACAAACATTTGCTGCTTTTCTCACAATTACCACACCATATATGTATCAACGTCTGATTGAGCGACTGAGAAACAACCTAGCAACTGCATAAACTGATAGAGTGAGACAGCGTTTGGTACCGTAAAGTCCTCAAATCTGCAGCAAGTCCTCCTCATCTCATTCGTGACCCTTGGATTCAACTTTAATTTAAAATATTTTACAACAATTGGGCTCAACTTTCTAAAATTAAGCTGATATAACCATATAACACGAGTATTACCTATGGAATCCTAAATAATTTTAAATATAAAACGCGCTAAAATTGCGGGACTGAACGTTAATTTATACGCCGGTGTGAGAGCGATCCTGTCATAAAAACGCCAATCAAAAAATATGCGATAAAGGAAAAGTAAGATTAGATTCTTTTAAAGTAGAAAACTGTACTAAAAAACTATCACTAACTAATAGTAATTTGTATCTACAACTCCCGCCCCAGCGCAAAAGAGCGTATCGCAGTAGATGCGATTGTTGATGCCCCGAACATCCGGGACTTCTCTAGAAGGGTTAAAGGTGATGAAGCTTTCGAAAATGCAATTGTTTATTTTATCGAGAAGAGCTGGCGTCTACAACTGCAATGTTTTTTTTAATCCAACACCCGGCGTTTCGCACATTTTTGGTTTGAATGTTTTATGATTTTGCAAAACAATCTTGAAGAGAATAATTGCAAAAAAGTTTTAATTATTTAAAAAATGGTAAAATAACACAATGAAATATTCAACTTTATCGTAGTATATGAAAAGAAGTATCTATTTACGACAAAATGCTACCGGTATCAGCAGCGGCAAATAAATTATAGAATTAAGTTCATAGTACATTTTATTATTTATCATCATTGAATTTTTCATATTGAGAGCGGTGTTTGTATGGAGATCAATAATGTACTAAATAACACAATTTCGCATATCATTTTTTTCTTTATTTTATTTTGGGAATGTTAGAAACAAAGTTGTCAGTTTTCTAGTCGTGTAAACAGAGAGTTGGGAGTCCCGATGATTTTGGATACTGACCTGCACAAAACAACGTGAAATCGGTCATTATGTTGTTATACAATCTCTCGAACCTGGTTTATTATAGTATAGTGTAACCGTGTCGGTCTAACCTAGCTAATACAATAAATTCATTTCAACCACTAATTGTTTTATATTTGCGTTAGAAAAACTAAAACCCAATAAAATTTGAAAACAGAAAACTCGATACGATTGCTTACCCATATAATGCATGCATTACGGCATATGATAAGATTTGAATATTACACGGGCGCTTTGGTAAAAACTAGGCTTGGGTTACCATTTCGCTCGGTCACCACAATTTGCTGCCGGTCTTTAATACCGACTAGGGATCGAACGTCTGCGTTCACCGCTGGGTGGTTGCTGCCTCATCGGAAGCGCGTCCATATGCATGGTAAACTTAATCCCGTGTAGAGCTGATACGATTCCAATTTGTTCCCCGACGGAGTTCTGAATAAGTCATCATCTATTCATATTATTGTAACATAGTTTAGAACGGTTTATTATCAGGTTAATAATCTTATTCCGATAACCACCCCCAAATGAGATATCTTTCAACAAAACCTCTGTCGTTTATTGATATTTTATAGTTTGCCCTAATTTGAGACGAGCCATGTTCGAGAGTGTTTTTCTTCCATGGACTATTTTCATCCCTGAAAACTGCAAAAATTATCACAAGCGAAGAAATGTATTCTTTTTACCCACACAAAGTGTTCAGTAAAATTCCACATCGCTATATATTGATAATGATAAGCAAAGTATTGTCAAATATTGGATTTTAGCAAGTATGCATATATTCATAAAACAATAAAATATCATTAGACTGCGATTGGAAACAAAAGAAAGACAAGGGAAATACTGCAATAATATTCAGTACAAAAACGACGTAAACAAATTGTTAAAACAATAAGACTTAGAAAAGCAATCTTGGCAAGCCAAACTGAAGTAATCTGACCGATGCAGTGTTTTAAGAAAAATATTCATGGCCATAGCTGGAAAAACAAAAAATCCCAAAACGAACAACTTATTAACTATTGTTGTCAATCAATTCATAATAATTTTACATAAGTTGAGTATATTTTGGATTTTGGTGCAAAAATGCATTAATTTGATCAAATAACTAAATATATGCATTGTAAGAAATAAAGCTTAAGCTTTTGAATATGACGAAAGTCAAACTTTCTTTAAACAAAATTATATCCAATACTTAACAATGTAGTTGGGTGGAAAAATTGAAAAAAAAAAAAAACTGAACAAAAACCATTGCTAAGAATGGTAATTGATAGTTTTCCCAACACCAATTTCAAAACTACATACCTTTAGAGGTTAGACATTATTTGAAATTTATTCTTTTTTTTGAATGGTTATCTTAAGGGATTTATGAAGAAAGAGTGTACAAAATAATGTGTATCATAATATAACATATTAACAAATACAATCAATAGAAGGTATAATAAAAATAAATGGCAGTTGACACGATTTTAAGCACAAAAAAGGATGTTAAAAAAAAAAAGTAAACAAGACGTTTAGGATTCTTTTAAAAGCGGAAATTCGGAACATCAATAGCTTTATATGAACTACTTTATCTCGTCTCAACTGACATTCGCTTGGCATTGAGCACATCCATATCAATACATAAACTATTATTTCTGAGTAAGAGCCGCAATACATCGAAAGATGATTTAATTCCAATGGTTTGTTTTATAGTCAAACTGTATTCTATTCAGCATCCTATTACCATACTTGGCAAGTACATAAAATTGTAAAAGATATGTGCTTCATGCTGACACTTTCAAAAAATTCTAGTTTAAGCACTGTGTTTGAACAGCATGGTGGGTTAATTTTAACTCAGTATTGGCTACGGAATGTGAAGTATCACCAGTTCAGTCAAAAACTATTTTCGCATTGATGCACATGAACCCCAGATTTACAAAATACTCATATTCAAGCAAAAGAAACTTCTTGAACAAAAAGTAGCAATATTTCTGCAAGACTTGCTGTACGAAAAAGTTTCAAATCAAAGCTTTAAAAACTTTAGTAAAATTTAATTTTGTCAAGCAAATAGCGATAGTTAACGAAATAATTATACCTAAATAATATTATTATGTAACATGTTACGAATCGGCTTCTTCAGATCCTACATCTCGTTGACGAACCAATTGCGGCCTCGGTGTACTTGACCTGCTTGCACTAGGAGTATTTTTGTCATTATTAAGATCGAAATTACTTTTTGGCTTCGAAAAAATCCCGGATTTTTGCCATGAATCGTCTTCAGTAGCATTTCTGTTGTCACCCGTCACTACGATTGCGTCCCCTCTTCCAACTCGATCATCGAGACCATTCGTACTATCTGTTAATTTCTCCTGTGATTTTCTGCGAAGTATATTTGAATATAATATTGTCGACATAGAAGTTTTGAACTTGTTATCGCTCGATTGAGGAAATACCTCATAGATATAGCTCAAGTTCCAAAACGAGACGTAAACCAAGTTGAGCTACGGGTCATCAGAGTCTCGACTCTTGAGTCAAGTTAATCACTGAGAGTTAGTTGATGAGTTGGAGTCATTTCATTTACATGACTCCAGTCAAGTATTTCGTAATTGGTGACTCAAGCCTAACTTGAGTCGAGTATATAACTCGAGCCTGCCCAAGGATGGTAAATATATTATGATGATTCAATTAAATTTAGATCCTCTTAGAAATGCAATTTTTATCGACTTCAACAGCTTATAGATTGGTATTTAATAAAATCCACATAAATTGTAAGACTGTGTGAGATAGGAGTGGTTTTTATAAATGATCGAATTCAAGCTTTATGATAAATTGAAGAACAAACCTAACAAATTGTAGGCTAGTTTGAAAATACGATCGAATCAAATTGATATAAGCCATGTTGAGATAAATTGCAACAATGCCCTACTGGGCCATATCATTACTACGTCTTGCTTCAAATTACTTTTTGTTGTGTTAACGTTTTCAGTTAAAACAAACTACTCTCTCTCTCTTTTGCACACCCTATTACAATAATTGCAATTTTTTGGGAGGAAGTTAACTTACTCTAAATAAAAACCTACCTTACTACTGCTCCTTTATCCTTAGAAGCTCGCCACTGATCCTTCGCACCAAAGCCCGCTTTTGCTGCGGCAATATTAAGAGCGTTAGCTTTCTGTACTTGATGAAGTGCATTGGAAGATCCAAACATTCCGCCATACGCGTTAGTTCTCGAAAATTCATGTCCTTTAGAAGTAAACCAGTTATCGTCTTCTCTTCGTTGTTTTTCCCGTTGTTTGTCAACAAAATTAACAAGACAACTGATAAAAAATATGATATTGGAAATCAATGTTAAACTAATTAGAACAGGATTGTCATATTTATCCTAAGGGAGAGCAATGAAGATCAGATGGTTCAATGATATGGCAAGCTACAGCCTGTTACTACCTGGTCATGTAGGTATGAGAATAGCTAGCTACCATTAAGAGATGCAAGTCATTGGCGGGCCGCGCATATTTTCAGAATGTTAAAAACCGAACGGATGACCGATAAATCACATTTTTTACACAGATCAGAGGTTAAATTTTAAGCAGAGCGCGAAGACTGACCATTTGAATATTTTATGCGCCATTAAACCATTTGCACTTCAGCATCAACTTTTCGGCGTTTTGTTGCCATTTGTCTAAATTATAATTGAATTATAGGCTCATTGAACGAGTAATTGTGACTTATATACTTGTAACGTTATAATATAATTTAGTCTACAGGTAAATTCTTTTGCGTAAAGAATATAATTGACATGACAGCCGTTTTGTTACTATAATTCAGTGAAGTGTCGCAGGCCGGATTATATTGCTAGGGCCGTAGGTTGCTGACGACTGGACTACATGAATCACCCTACAATGGCGAGGAGTCCAGCAATCCTATGGCACTAAAATTGGGTTTCTAAAATTGGGCCTTCGGGGACCACGGAGTAGTTCTGAGTGCCCTAATTAAAGACTCTTACTAGGTACCATTCGCGGTGACTAAATTAATGAATTAATAAAGTAAATTGAAAAATATATTACTCACCCGCAAGGAATCCAAAATAAGAGTGAAAACACCAAAACTGCGCCAACGATATTATCAGCAAGAAATTCGCCTATTTTATCGGGTGCAATATGTTCAAATATACTCCATACTCTTTCAATAACATCTTGTGTCTGTTTCACACATTCGTTCTGAATAATGAAAAAGCAAAAATGAGTTAAAGTCAAAACATAAAAATTAGGATGAAATCCCTATGATTTCAAATTACAAGTCGATTGCTTTTATACAAAACAAGTTATGAAAATTCTACATAGTTTACAAAAAAATAGAAATCTCAGAATCTACTACTACTTCGAAAAATTTTGACAAAGATAATTCAAAATATAATTCAGTTACTCTTAAATACAGCTGTGAGATCAGATTTGAATATATATCCCGCCTATAAGTTATATTAACCACAGTCTCTTGTCCGGTTACAGATTCTTGCCAGGTATGTAAATAGTTAAACAATAGATTTTGTTTCAGATGCACAGACTTGTGGCGGAAGCCGTAACTGACCAGCGGTTACATGAACCATCATACAGCGACAAGGAGTCCAAAAATTTTTATATTTGTTATCTAGTCCGACGAGACTCAAACATTCGAGCCTGTGGAAGATAATCAGAGATGCGATGGTGAGCGTCCGACGAGACTCAAACATTCGAGCCTGTGGAAAGTAATCAGAGATGCGATGGTGAGCGTGTTCTTACGCTTAGCTCGATGCACTAATAACCAAGCCTACATAGGTTGATTGATAGCTAACCAGTTGGAGTTAAACATCGAACAGTATATCAACTACCTCAAAAAAATTAATTCATAAATCTTACATCATTACAATATCCGAGAGTACATTTAGCATTATTCCTCAGTTTATGTGTGACGTTTCCTGGTTTGTAAGGTTTGCATTCTCTTATCATTTCATCTCCAGAAGATCCCGCAGGTGCACAACATCGCAAACAAAAGTTTTCTTTTTTGTCAGTGCATAAACAAGGTTTCATTCCCACAGTAGCACAAAATGGTTGACATTTGCCACCTTTACATCTACCTGAAAATGGTTTATAAGGTACAGGTAAAGATAGCGCAATGAAATTATTCGAAATATTATTAATTCGCTCTTTAATTACAAAATCAAGGATTTCAAAATTTTCTAACTTTGAAATAAAACTAGGAATTTCTAAATTACTATTCGAAAGTAAATAATGAAAAAAATAATAAGCAAAAAAATAGATTTAATTAATTTTATAAACAATTAGAAAATTATAAATATGAGAAGATTAATTGCTGGGTTAAAAGGGTTAAATCGCGCTCAGCATTATCAATTATGTTAATACTTAATAGTGTCAAATACTTTGTTTTCATGAGGTACTACTACACATGACGGTATCGGTAATTACTTTTACTTGTGATGCACACGCAAATATGATAATCACAGCAGAGATATTACAGATTCGCAGTTTGAGAACGCCGACTCATGAAAGCTGAAGAGGCACGTTAGTGTCTCCCTCTTCCATCATTTTCTGGTAGGAAGCTAATAATAAGACGACCCCATTATAAAGTTAAGTTTGCTTATTAGCCAGAGAATGTGGTGTTTATTTAAATGTGTTTTTCCATCTCTTCCTCACAGCAGTGGTCTTCTGAACTTCTTATGAAAAACATATTCAGACAAATAATCACAGCCATCAAAGACTGAAAGCATGAGAATTAATAATGAATACAAAAAGTACCTTCGTCTCCGCATTCTGCATTGTCATCTTTATGCAAATGATCTGGACAGGTAAAATTTTGTCCGTCACAAAACGTATCTCTTAAACAAGACTCTGGGACTTCACTGTAACATAGGGTTGTCTTGCTTGCTGCCTACGATAGAAATAAAAACTGTGACAATGACAACAACTGCTAAATTCATCGTTAATTTCTAAATAGTTTTACACTGTATAATTCTCTGTAGTAATGCTCAAATATATGGACACCAAAGTCAAGCATTGATACAAGTACGGCCTGCATTTAGTTCGCTGAAAGGATCAACAGGCAATCAACATGAAGGCGATCGAGCAAAATTGAATAAGAAGTGTTCCCTTTGATTAAAACATTGGGTCGCAGAGAATAAAAAATAAAAGTAATAGCCTTCTAGTGTCCTTGTTTTTATGTACTAAAAACTTGAAACTACATGGTTCCTCAGTTATGGAGAAAAGCGATTTTTTCACAAAAGTAAGAATTTAGCAGAATTGATTCATAGGTCAATTTTGTGTCCAAAAATGATGATGAATTGTAAATTGAAATATTTAAGAAATTCAAATAAATTTTTGAAAATCTAAATTTTGATTTCAAATAGTGGTTTTCATACTTGATGGTAAGGATATAAATTTATATCCAATCGTTGTCTCGAGTTATAAAACAAACGATGATAAATGAGATATGAAAATACAAAAAACATGAGTAAATTAATTACCTGACAATTCTCATTGCAACAAACTGAGTTTTTTTGACTACAAGTTGCCCCTTCTTTCAGCATACATTCCTTCGAACAACAAGCGTCCTCTACGTTTGCACCAAAATATCCAGCGTCGCATTCCTCTCCTTCTTCTACCTGTGGGGCAGTAAGTTTTACTTTTTAAAAAAGGCCCGAAATATAAATTCTAACTTTTATAAAAATTCAAAAAAACATGCATTAATGCGCATAAATAGTGACACAAAAAAATGATACAGTGGATTTATTTAATCAGAAAATGTTATTTATTGTAAAATTTGGCTAATTTCAACGAAATAGAAAATTTTGAAAAAAAATCATAACTATCACTATTTGAGAGTGGTAAATGAAAATTGAAAAAATACAGAAAATTTATTCGAAATGATTTAAGTTTGGCTCATTTTACCAAAACAAAGAATATTAAAAATTCATAACCTATCAATATTAGTGCATGGCATGTAAAAAACTGATTTATTCAAAGAGATTTAAGTAATTGTAAAATTTAGTTTATTTTAATAAAAAAATAGAATTTTAAAAACATTCAAAGAACATACATACATTACTAGCACACGACAAAAATTTTTTTTATCTCAGAAAATACGGAATTTTGAAATAGTTGAAAAATATATTTAGCTGCAACCGTGAGAGTTTTATCATATACTCCTGAAAACACAGTAAACATGAAACTGTACCTTAAAATTCCCACAGAAGTTTTCCTTAGCTTTATGAAAACATTTTGTTGCTTTTGTTTTCAAACACGGAAGAACGTTATTTTTACTACATATGGAAAACATATCATTGTTTTCATGTTCACCACTTACTGCAGCAGGATACATGATGAAGTTACCATTGTTCGACTAAAAAGATAATATTAAGTTATAGGTTAGTTATAGACGAAATTCATAGCGCCCAGAGAAATTTGCATATACTTGATAGTAGAGGAAGTCGTAATTAACTAGCAGTTATGTAAACTACCCTATGACAACAATACAGCAATCCTCTCACACAGTGGCGCAGTCAGGGGGGTTTAGGGACATTTTGGATTCTCGTAATGGTTATGGATTGAATATTTTACGCGACAGAAAAGTCATTATACACCGAAAAGTCCATCCTGTCAACGAAGGCATAATCGCAGCGACTGTTTCAGAAGGGACTGGAAATATCACCCACAAGATGAGCTAACCGCAGAGGAATGGTAATAGCATACTTTACCAGATAAAGTACCAAACTAAAAAAAATTATTCAACTTGCCTGTCCAGGACTGCATGCTTTGACTTCACCGTTGTCATGTTCGGCACCAAAATTATGACCTAGTTCATGCGTTGTAACAAGATCGGCTTCTAACGTTAAAATTCTTTGTCCCCAATTACGAGTTGTTGTTAAACCAGTATTGAGATACCAAATTGGCTTGCCATTACTGAGAAATAAACAAGATTATTGTTTCATTAAATGCAACAATAAGAGTATGGGAAACATGGATTGGGAAATTTTTTTTGTAGTCAGAGTCATATTTTCAAACATTATTTGTCTGTCTGAAACAAATAACTGGTTAACTATTCTCAAAAAAGACATGGAGTGGTAAGCGGCTGAGAGGCCATGGTTAGTCATATGAATGAATCATCTCATCGACTTTCTTCCCCACGTGTTAATATTAAAAAATCATATTCAAGATCGTCGAATAACTCACCCTCTTTCATATGGGTCAGTGCAGATCCCCCCAACAGCGTCGAGCTTACTAGCCCCAACATATGCCAATCCAAGTACGCCTTTATTAAAATCAACATATGTAAAAAGATGAGCCAGGCAATTTCCATGATTATGTTCGCTGAATGCTTCTAACAATCCTTTCGCCGACCACGATGTGCTGTCGGAATTGAAGCTGTAGGAGGAATGAATTGAAATTTATCATTGATGAAATTGATTAAAATAGTTTTATAATACTCGGCGAAATGTAAGAACTCATTAAAAAAGACTAGGATTAGTCGAAAATTCAACAAGATGATAAAATAAGAAAGGATTCTTGAATGCTATCTTATTGTGTTTTCCAATATGAATTTTCTCATTACCATTCTAAACTTAAAGATAAACGGCTACTGAAGTTTAGAATCACCGCAATCTGGTAATTAGCTTAATCAATTTGCAACACTTTGACTAATGGAATAACAAGAGAATAAACCCAGTTTTGAAAGGTGAATTCAAAAAAATTTTCATGTGCTCAAAGAATTTACACCCGACATCAAGGAATCTAAAATAAGATTCCTTGCCAGATGCCAGTTCAATAAAACTTGTAACTTGTCTCCAGCTCCGTATTCAAAAGAAAAACAATACACCACCACAGAGGAATGGTAATTCACAAAACACGGAAAAAAGAACATGCGAAAAGGAAATTTGATAAACATGAATTGACAAGTTAACCCTGTGATATATAGTGCAAGTTCAAAATTGAACAAAAGACAATTCACAGTATTGAGAGGAGTGTGTAATGTAAATATTGCTGATTAAATTTAAATGGATGCCAATCCGCAGAAGCATAATAAGACTGATAAGCATATAACACTAACCAAATATTCAAATAAAATTGTATGTATTAATATTCTACATTTCTATGCAGTTAATTCTTGATTTTATAGTCAAATTAGAATCAACATGTAAATACGAGAATATCGGTTGGAAACCGAAGACTTATCGATCGATAGTTAGGGGATCCCCCAAAACAGAAACTGCAGTTTCGATTCATCCGCTCTTGTAACTTGCGCACTGCGCATCGCACACACACACTCGGCGGGTTTCAAAATTCTCTCGCTTTACAAAAAATCTAGATCACTATATCAATAATTGATTGATAACTCGCTAATTATACGACATAATTCGCCCAAAATCAATAGGCTATTGGTCCGAGATAAGATGAATGCACATGCAAAATCTGGAGCAGATTCAATCTCGCTTTCGTGAGATATCGCGTGCATCTAACAGACAGACATACATACAGACAGACATACATACATACAGACAAATACCTATCAATATACATACCGATCTTAAGATCGATAAGTAATAAGTTTGATTTTTACAATTAATATTCAGCATATGGCCAAACTTGTTTAACTCCTAATTTGTGGGAACAATAAAGCAGTGTTAGTATCTTAGGTTCAGCTTGTAAAAAGCCTTATCTGGAGCGAAATGCACAAACTAGATAGCGATCGGAGACTGCCGACTTATCGATCTGCGATTTCGATATATTCGCTCCGACTCAATAGTGACACCAAATGTCTCATCACTAATTATTTAACAACTCGCTAATTATACGGCATAATTCATTCAAAATAAATAGGCTTCTGGTCCGGGATATGATGAATGCACATGCAAAATTTGGAGCAGATTAAACTTCGTTTTCGTGAGATATCACGTAACATACGAAAGTGTCTAACAGACAAACAAACAAACAGACAAATATACCTATCATCATACTTACCGATCGAGATCGATAAGTAATAAGTTTCATATAAAATGATAAGAATTATTCACCTTGGTTCCGATGTGCTTTCTTTATAGACTTTAATGTCAGCAATTTGAAATCCATATCCAGTGTATTCGTCAGTTCCTTCTTCCGAACCCCAGTTTGTTGTTTTAAAAATTCGGTTCACTCTTTCAATAAGGTTAATTAAATAATACATAGTTTGTTGATAGTTGCTGTTCCCCATTTCTTTATAAAATCTAAAATTGAAAAAATTGTAAACAAAAATTAGAATTGGAGAAGAGAAAAATATGCAACAAAACGCAAAGGTTGAGCGAGACATGTTGGTGTCGTAGTTAAAACACTTCGGTTCCGAATGCCATGTCAACCATCCAACCCTCGCTGTAATAAATTTGAGTAGGTAATGCCAAGCCTAAATAATTTCAGTCCTTCCAAAAAGAGAACTTTGAATTGAAAAAATTGAAGGCAAAATTATAATTTAGATACAAAAAATAACAAAACACAAATGCCATAGTGAAACGTTTCCTAACCGGGGAGGAATCCAATCATTAAGCAATTGATAATAAAAAGTAAGTAATATTTACAAATTTTTTGTTTTTTTAAAGCATACCTGTGATCGGCCACAAGTGATAGGGTACAAATTTTCAGCCTTTTGCTTGCGGAACGTTTTGACCTATGATGTGTTGACGTTACCGGTTTCTTCTCTTGTTTCTGATAACAAAGATTGAGATAAAAGTTTGGAGGACAGATAAAAGACTGATAATGGCAGATAAAAATGATACAGGGATGTCTAAAATGAAGAATATGATTTACCTATTTATCCTGTGAAAAGAAACGCTGATAATAAGACGCTGAATTTTATGTCAAACCACAGCCTCTCATCTGGTTACCAGTCTATGTCGAGGATGGGATTAGTTAGTCAGTTATATGTTTCAAATGCATGGACTTAACGTTGGAGGAAGGCTTAAATTCTCTCTCGCATAATCATGCCCCACAGGAGTCGAATAATAGATCAAAAAGATCAAACATGCCCAGAACAAGGTCATGTTCAGTAGAGAAAAAAGTAGATGAATAAAAATATTAAAATTGATCAAATTGACTCCAGAAAATAAGTTGTATACACAAGTAGATGTTAGCTGTATTTCTGGCAACTAGCATTTTCCCAGGTGGTTGAGCATGACCTTTGATGTCATCAGTTTCAGGTGACTGATCATGACTAACCACCTGTGAAGGTGATTTGGCCATGTGCACAGAGTAGTCTGGAGCACAGCGCAGTTGGGGGGTGTTTATGGCTGTATGTGTTACTTTGGTTATTGCTTTGGACATTTATTCGCTGTATAATTAAGACATTTATTAAATATACTTTGGAGTCGCTTTAACAAATGGTAGCAGAGGATGTGCAATGACTTCTCAAGGATACAAGAATCCTCCTTTGCTGACGGGAGAGAAGCCATACGATCAATGGAAGAATGAGATCTCTATGTGGAGATTAATTACAGACCTTGACAAGAAAAAGCAAGCTTTAGCAGTGACATTGAGCTTATGTGGAAAAGCTAGAGAAGTTGCTCTAGAAATAAGCTCTGAGGAATTGAACAGAGATGATGGAATGCAAACATTACTTGTAAAATTAGATGGTGTTTTTGAGAGAGAGACTTCTGATAGAACGTATGAAACATACACGGAATTTGAGAATTTAGTGAGACTGGAAAATGAAAACATCAGAGATTACTTATCAAGATTTGACATAGTGAACACCAAAATGAGAAAATTTGGCATGGAGTTACCGGACACTGTACTGGCGTGTAAACTTCTCAAAGGAACAAATCTTGCTTTAAAAGAAAGACAATTGGTTCTTGCAGCAGTGGACAAGTTAGAATATAAGTCCATGGGTTCAGCACTGAAAAGAATATTTGGTGAAGGAGCTTCATCGTCTTCTGTAGAAGTGAAACAAGAGACTGCATATTTTTCGAAAAAAATTGGTAAATTCCAACAAAATCATGGCAGGCGAGCAGGTACAAATCCAATAAGAAAAGATGGTTCTATCAGTCAATGTGCTATTTGTGGATCTACTTATCATTGGGTAAGAAATTGTCCTAGAAATTCAAAATATTCCAGAGCAAGATGTCAGATTTGCGATTCAAGGATGCATTCTGAAAATTCCTGTCCACATCAGGAGCGAAAAGTAAATCATTTTCCAGAAGATAGCAATGTGATGTCAGTTGTTAATGACATGGATGCGTTCACCAAAGATCTATGTGGATATGCAATATTAGATTCTGGGTGTACTCGCACTGTATGTGGGAAAATTTGGCTTCTTGATTATTTGCAAAGAATCGAGGAATCTGAAATAGAAAAGATTCACACTGAAGATAGTGGAGGAGTTTTCAGGTTTGGTGATGGTCGAAAAGTCAGTTCATTGTATTCCATAGAAATCCCGGGATATATTGGGGACACTAAAGTCAACATTTCTTGTGATGTGGTTGATGAAAATATACCATTATTATTGAGTAAAGATTCCATGAGAAGATCAAATACTGTGATTGACTTTGCAGAAAACAGAGTGGAAATGTTTCATAAACCAGTTAGGACTCTAGAGAATAAGAAGTATTACTGTGTCAGCCTTTTTCGCGATAACAATAAATCACCTACTCCTAGGATTTTTATCACTGCAAATGAAAGCAATGAAGCTTTTTCTGAAAAAGATCTTTCGAAGTTGCATCGACAATTTGGTCACGCTTCCTATGAGCGATTATCAAAACTGATCAATAATTCAGGAAAACTCAACAAGTTATCTTCAAATATGTTGAAGAAAGTTATAGACAATTGTCAAGTTTGCAAAATTTACAAGAAACCTTTTCCAAAACCGGGTGTTGGGTTGCCACGTGCAACGGATTTCAACGAAGTTATAGCCATAGACCTCCATCAGCTTGGCCCAAATTTATGGTACATGCATACTATCGACATGTTCACCAGGTTTAGTTCTGGTTCGATTATTAGTTCCAAGTCTTCATTAGTCATAGCAAATGAGTTTTTGTCACATTGGATAAGCATATACGGACCTCCAAGACAAGTATTCACAGACAATGGAGGAGAATTCAACAATGCAGTTTTTCGTGACATGGCTGAAAATTTCAACATAGAACTCAAGACGAGTGCAGCAGAAAGTCCATGGAGCAATGGTTTAGTTGAGAGGCATAATTCTGTTCTAACTGAAATTTTGCTGAAAATTAGAGAATCTGAATCATTAGATTGGAAAACAGCATTTTCCTGGTCCCTAAATGCAAAGAATTCATTGCATAATGTTCATGGTTACAGCCCTTATCAGCTGGTATTTGGAAGGAATCCCAATCTTCCTTCTTTGCTAACAAACAAACCTCCTTCGTTGGATGGCACTTCTATGAGTGATGTAGTTGCTTCTCATCTCAATGCCCTTCATGCTTCGAGAAAAGCCTTTCTTGAATCAGAGTGTAGTGAACGAATTCGAAGAGCATTGCAAAAACAAATCAGGTCTCATGGCGATGAAATTTATGAGACTGGAGACACTGTTTATTACAAGCGAGAGAATTCAGAAAAATGGAGAGGTCCGGCAAAAGTTATTGGTGCTGATGGAAGTGTAGTATTCCTTAGGCACGGCGGACTGGTTATACGTGTACATAAATGCAGGCTGATGCATGATAAACAAAGAGAAGTTAAAGTTGAACAGAAAGAGGAGCAGATATCAAGTAATGAAGCACAACCAAAAGTAGAAGAGATGCTTTATGATGATGATGACGAGGAAGATTTAAAACAGACTGATCAAGGAAATGAATCTTCAGAATATAACGAGGGACTCTCGGCTTCACCTGTTGTGAAGAGAGATCCTAAACGTGGTCAAATAGTAGAATTCAAAGAGGATGTAACTGGCAATAAAAAAGTTGCAAAAGTACTTGGGCGGGCTGGTAAAGCAACAGGAAAGTACAGTAGCTGGTATAATATTGAATATTTGCAACCTTCATCTGAAAAAGGCACAAAGACATCCATTGATCTTGACACTGTTGAGAATCTATCTATTATGGATGATTTACCAGCTGAAGAAATACCAATTGTTGATCAAGTGATGTTGATTAACGAAGACCTCTTTCTTGAAGCAAAGATGAAGGAACTGCACAGCTGGAAGCAAAATGATGTCTACACAGAGGAAGAAAGTAAAGGCCAAAAATTGTTAAGTACAAGATGGGTGTGTTCAATAAAAAAGACTGACAATGGACCAAAACCAAAAGCTAGACTAGTAGTTAGAGGTTTTGAAGAAGATTGTCTCAGTGAATTGAAGACAGATTCCCCAACATGTTCTAAAGAAAGTCTCAGACTTGTTTTAGCACTGCTTGCACAAAAGAAATGGTCGCCAAAAACTATGGATATTAAAACTGCCTTCTTGCAGGGAAAATCTCTTGAGCGTGATATTTTTATCAAACCACCTAATCAGAAAATACAGAAGCGAAATGTTGTGTGGCGATTGAAGAAATGCGTATATGGTCTTACTGATGCTTCAATGTATTGGTACGAAAGTGTTAAGGAAACGCTTCTAAAATTAGGTGCTCGTATCTCTGTAGTGGATCCTGCTTTATTCTATTATTTCGATCATGGTTTAAAAGGGGTGATCGCTTTGCATGTGGACGACTTTCTGTGGGGCGGTTCGGAAGAATTTGAAGGCAAATTCATCAAGAGTTTGAGAGAGCAGTTCAAAGTTGGAGTGGAATATACTGAAAGTTTCAAATATTTAGGACTTGAATTAAAGACTGATAAGGAAGATATCACACTTAGCCAGCACAAATACATTGAGTCACTGCTTCCGATTGATATCCGTTCATTGAAAACTAAGAGTGGAAGTGAGCTTTTAATCGAAGCTGATGTCTTGAAAGTTCGATCTTTACTTGGCCAGATACTGTGGGTCTCAAATCAAACTCGGCCAGATGTATCATTTGCATCATCTACACTCACATCTGCTTTAAAGAATTGCACTGTTAAAACTGTGATAGAAGTTAACAAAATTGTCAAGCAACTGAAAGCACAAAAGGTCACTTTGAAATTTCCTGCTTTCCATGACAATGAAGTTAAGTTTCTTGTTTATAGCGATGCATCATTTGGTAATTTGTGTGATGGGGGCACGCAAGGTGGCCATATTGTATTCATGAGTGGTGGAAACAGGAAAATACCTTTATGTTGGCAATCCAAGCGAATCAAAAGAGTCGTGAGAAGCACACTTTCTGCTGAAACTCTCTCTATGTCAGATGGTGTTGATATGGCGGTGTTATTAGCAGCGTTGTACTCTGAACTAACGACTGGAAGAGTTCAACCAGAAAAATTTGGCATTGAATGTTGTACTGATAGTCAAAGCCTTTGTGATGCAATCAAGTCGACAAAAGCTGTATCAGAGAAACGTCTCAGGATTGACATTTATGGTTTAAAAGAAATGGTTTCATCCCATCAAATCTCCTGCATAAAGAAACTTCCGAGTGATCAACAATTAGCAGACTGTTTGACTAAGAAAGGAGCATCTTCACACGAACTGTTAAATGCATTATGTTAAACTTTTATTTGAAATTGGAAATTGGGGAGATTGTTAGCTGTATTTCTGGCAACTAGCATTTTCCCAGGTGGTTGAGCATGACCTTTGATGTCATCAGTTTCAGGTGACTGATCATGACTAACCACCTGTGAAGGTGATTTGGCCATGTGCACAGAGTAGTCTGGAGCACAGCGCAGTTGGGGGGTGTTTATGGCTGTATGTGTTACTTTGGTTATTGCTTTGGACATTTATTCGCTGTATAATTAAGACATTTATTAAATATACTTTGGAGTCGCTTTAACAGTAGATGCCATATTTTTGAGGTTCATGATTGTTCAAAATGACAGCTTTTGTAAAAAATATTCTAAATCTTACATAAATCCAAGAATATTTTTGAATGCAACAATTGTATTTCCTCGGTTTATGCAAGAACTTATCAGAATGTAACCAATTTCAAGTGTGATCAAGTAATATTATATTTATTATATTTTTTGCAATATGAAAAACTAAAATATCATACGTACTTTTTGATTCTGATGAATATCATCCATGATAGATTTGACGTCACAATAACTGTCATTTTTATGAGGATTTCCCAATCGTGTCATGTTAAGATCTGAACGTCTGTAAATCATTAATTTATCTTTATCCTCAGGTAAATGTCGCCACGATGGTTCGATTATATACGTATCTTGCTTCGTTTTGATGCTCGCCATTAATTCTTTTCCATTTAAATGTGCTTGAACGTAAGACCCTGACTCACCCATCACGCTTCCCTGGAAGTTAAGAAAATAGTCAATATTCAGATTCTTATATTTGTTGTGGAAAACTAGAAAATTCCCAAATAAAAACAATGTTTAATCTGTGACAAATCATGATAGACTGTGCTCACGGCAGCATTACCAGTATTTCTTTCCATCCACAGGCATATTCGATACTAAATGACACTCAAAAACTTCAATGTGATGCGCAACTTTAATCATCGCTTTGATAGATATTTTATTTACAGCGAACAACAATTTCAGGCATTTTTAATTACCGGTAAGTGTTAAAATTTCAGACAGGATTTTTAAGTGAAAATTTTTTTCTACAATTTTTATTCAAGCCTTTCTCCTGGAACAAGAACCTGTAGAAGCACTACCACAACAAAACATATTATTTTGGGAACACTGGAATCTCTTCAGTTCAGCATTGTCTACTTAATTTATTACAGCTTGAGTGAGGTGGTGGGAATGTACAATGACCCTGCGATGCTAACACAGTTGACCCTAATACTTTAACCACTAGGCCAACAAGATCACGAATACAAAATAAACGATTTTTTAAAACTTTTTCAAAAACTAATTGTACTTTATTGACCAGGTTTTGTCACATTTACCGTAAATAGGCTTGTTTTATCCAGAGTTACTTCTTCTCTACCATTTCGACCATAAACAGCAGCTTTGAAATTTGGAGCAAAGATTGCTGATGAAGGTACAAGAGATAAATGAAAATGACGTTGGAATGCATTGAAAGATACCTGAAATAAATGAAATGGCACTGAAGAACTGAAAGTATACATGTAGTTTCTTAATAAACAATTTCCTGAATCTCGAACACAAATATTCTGAAAGAGTGGTTTTCAAACTTTCATAATACAGACCCCCCTTCCAAAAACTATCAACCCTTGTGGTCCCTGCCTACCTAGTATTATTTGTAATAACATGTTCCCATTAGTTAGGCCAACAAACGAAAACAAAATAATAAATGCATTACAGGCAAAAAATTAAACAAATCAGTCGATTCACTTCAAAATAATGTAATCATTACGAAAGTTACCACTAAAGGCTGTGCCAGCCGCCACCTAGTGGGGCGGAAGGCCAAGTTAAAAAAAACGTGATTTAAATAATGATGATACTTTGAGAGCGAAACGTCCGAATAATTAGAAACAATCAATGCATCGCCATTCAAATTCTGTTGCGACAGACTTTTCAGCTAATTTAATGATATTAGTACTAATCTACTGAAGACATGCTGATAATCTCTCATCCTGACCAATGAGGCACGAATTGACATCATTTCAATTTTTTCATAATAAAAATAGGTAACAGAACATTTCGCACAGTGAAAAGGAGCCTGGTTTCAATATAGAAATCGAGATCAACTGATAAAACCATATTCATATTAATAATGAAATTTATGAAAAGTTTCAAAATATTTCACCTCTTTATCAACAGTTGGAACTTTGCCATCCAAACTTCTTTTTGATCTATGAAAAGTAATATCGTCGGAAGATATAGTTTCCCAAGTCTTTAATCGTTGCTTAAGTTGATGATTGGCGATGATAGTTTGAAATGAACACAGGAACAGAACAGTAAAAATTACAGTATTTTTGTGTGTGAATCTCATTGTTATTAATTTGTGCGAACTTTAAAAACTACGAGATAATAAATATGCTATCTGAAAAAAAACAAATAATAACACTGGGTGAAGTGAATAACTGCCAGACTCAATCTATTAGAATAAGCTATGTATCTGATGTATGACTGGTTGACTCCTCCCATAACGAACATGGGTTGGCAACAGGACAATATGGTGAAGTCGTCTTATCGGCTTTCCTCTCACGTAGAAAAAATCCAATCCTATCCCTAGAAAATTTGTGTGAGGTTCGCTTTCTGTTCGTAGAAATGGCGAGATTGACTTATGTCTATTCCGCCAAATAGCCCTTAATGAGCAAAAGTCCTAATCATCAATATGTACCAGTTCTACACACAACTAAAGTGAAGCCTGCTTCTGCGCAAACAAAATATATTAAAAATGCAATACCGGTACCGTACCACACCCTAGATATTTCAAACTAAGGATCTTGTTAACATCAAACTCATTCAACACAAGAAACTGATGAAGCATGACATGTTGGGAATTGCAACCGATGCTGTAAATTGATAATATCAAATCATTATACGCTTCATTGCTTCCAGAATTAGGATAAGGTCAAAAAATCAAATCAAAATAGAATAAATCTGAAATATGAAAAAACTTAACATTCCCACAAATAGAAGTGAAATTCCAAATTGATATTTTTTAGACCAATCGACCAAAGTCCCGAAACGCAGCTTAAATCCTTGAGGACGGGTATAACTTAATAAAAAAGTTAAAAATGTACAAGTAAGTGCCCGTCCACCAAAACAGTCAAAACAACCATTCATTTATCAACCAATATAAAAAATTCCACTGTTTATTGTTCACATAGATACAGTATTGAAATCTCCAGCAAGTCTATGATGAACAAATTACAACATATTTTAAATACTTTAGGCTTACCCGAGTTCCTCACAGTCTGCGACAATTGGGAAATATATTGCATAGACATAGAGGTAATAAAATGGGGTGATAAAAAAGCGCAACATTTATTCAAAACACCATGAGAGTGTAGGATCTTGATTTGATAAGTTCAGAGACAAATATACTGTAGTGGAATAAACGGCACAAAATCACTAACAAGGACAATAATTAATACAATAATTTTGTATCCCAGATAAAAGTTTTGATTTTCCAGCGAAAACTATGGCTTTCATTATCACTAATTAGGTCTACACCTTCCACTCCTTGTCACAGGAATTAAAAACACAACTCTCGCTGAGAGTCTGAGACCCCAATGAAAACGTGCCAAAATTCAGACTCTCGACACCACAGTTCTGGTATATAGACTGAAGTTCTGTTTCGTCACATGAACTTTATAGATATAGCCAAGTTTTGAAGGCTCTGTTACATACCAACTATAAAATATACACTTCCAAAACCTAACAAAAGTATGGATCACAAAAAGAAATTTTGTATGAAAAAAACAGTCTCTGCCTTATTGACACTATGAAGAATTTTTTCATATCTGCACGCAAATATCAATGAAGCGTCACTATTCGGAATGATCGTGTCTAATAAAATAACGTGGAGAAGTGCCAATTTTTAACAGTGTCGGCCTGCGAAACTAGTTTTTAATTTAGTTTAAACTGGTAGGTGTGAGTAATTCCAATCTCTCACAGTTCCATAACAGCTAGCTTGTGTGAAGCGAACATTGCACATATAGGTTGCACACCTCTGATCTAAATTATCATAGATATGTCGTCATATTATACAATAACAAGAATTTGAGGCTACCAGTATGCATAGAACAATATTTAAAATTTTTGTCAAATTTCGCTGACAGCTATAGGAAACGCTAACATAGACAAATGAGTCATATTCAACATTAAAGAGCACTTCTTAATGTTGAAGTGAAATATACTTTGCATTACGTAAGCCCGCCTATAACAAGATAAAGTAGATAGCATACAAATATTCCAATCACTGTTAACGTAACCATCATTTCATTTTGCATCTTTCGGAATATCGGGCTAGATTTCAATAAATTTTCAGCTAATTTTCCTCTTTCATTTTCAAGTGGAAAAGGGACATTTGGAATATCTTTATTTAAAAATTCACAAAGAGGTTTCCATCCATCTTTCATATTGAATATTAACAGACGATCTGTCGGAGCTCTAGTTAGAACAGACGTACAATGATCTCGATAACGCTTTAAAGCGACTGTGGAACTTACTCCGTTATATATATTCCAAGGCAGAAAACTTTGATTTCCAAATGACACGGTGCATAATTTTCCAGATAAAGAAAAAAATTTATATCCTGTATAGGATAGAGTCGTTAAAGCACGAAAACGCAAGTTCTTATTAAACATTTTCAATTGATTTTCTAAACTTTTAAACCATATTTCTTCATTTTGACGTTGCATAAATATAATCTTTGATTCTGGAAATGCTTTTAGAACCTCTTCCCAAAATAAGGCGAACGGTATATCAACTCCGACGTCAATATCTTCATACATTCGATAAAAATCTTCAGTTGTTCCGCCCTTTGTTAGAATCTTTCTCCAATCATCTTGCAAATAATATAGATGATGTTCCCAATCATAAACGATGTATCCGAGTATATCAAGTACAGTGGCCATTGTTTTTGTACCAGTTTTACAGAATCCAGCAACAATGATTTTCATTTTTATATTCCGAATTCGTCACAGTGTCATCAAGTTGATATTATAACACTAATTTAAACATCCTAATATTAATTAATAATATTGATAAAGTTTTAGAAATATGCGTTAGAAAAAAACATTTTTCATTTTCCGGTGTTGACATGCATTATTCAATATACTGCGTAATCTGAACATGATTGCCAAAAATCTCCCAAAATGGACAGGAGTATTGATTCTTGCGGCGAGAAAAATCTACAAAAATTATGAACTTGCGCTAGTTACATTGCAATAAGGAAAAACAAGATGAAATTTTAGAATTGAAAACTGCTTTTTGCTCTTGGTAGCAAGGAGATCCATACTATTTTCAAATTCAAAAATTCCTAATTTTTACTATACAACTGATAAAAATATTCGTCAGGCATTCAACGAAAAAGATTGAATATACGAAGGATTATTTTTTATATTAAATTCTACAATCTTTTTCGATAAATGTCAATTTGTGGTCAATTTATTCTATTAAGTGATACATGCATGCAACATTAAAAATGGAATTCTACGATAGGCAAAAAATTGAGGAAACAAAATATATAATAAAATTAGAACATAGGACATAATGTGTAATTATACTAGGTCAAATACTGCATGTAGGAAATATATTACAGGCAAATTATTTTTCTCTTTGCATTGAAACATTAAACACATATCAGAAGATCAAGACAGCATTTGGCAAAAGAAGTAAAATAAAGAGTGTTCCTAAAATCCTATTATTAGTTTGTTATGTAGTCTTTTCCCAACATATCTTAACCAAGTTTGTTTTATTTTGATCAGTATTTGTTAAGTTTAGTTCAGGGGCCAAAAAACAATATATTTCTAAAGACGATAACTTTTCTTTGCAATTTGAAAAACTTAAAGACACCCTGTACACTGGTACATATTTCGATATTTCGACAATGCTCCTAATTTAATTGCCCAAAATATACATGCCCTCAGCATTGTGTTTACTCACAAGAAGAAACACAGTATAGAATAATACTTGGCATATGGGAATACCTACTAATATGAAATATTTCCCATAATTCAATTCAAATTTGATTATTATAGCATAAGTAGCAAAATTAAGATAAATGCTAAATTTTACAATAAATCCAGTTTCAAGTATGACAAAATTTCTTAAAAAAAAAAAAATAAATATTCTCAAATTCTGGAAACTGTATCTCTAAATCTTTAAAATTCAAATATAATATATGTACAAGAGCATCATCCATTTAATGAAGAGTTATTTTGCATACATAGTTCGGCGCTCCAGATGTGTATGTAACAATATAATATGTATACCAACTAATTTTTTTCGCCCACTTTATATCAAGTTGTGTAAAGGGACTGAAACCTATGGGCATTAGGGGGTATATTCAATTGGCTAACAGAGACTGAACCCTGAACTCGTAATAGAATTAAAATAAGGAAAATCGGAATAAAATTATGACCTAACCTGGTACATACACTACGGGAGTACCCATCATTCTATATACTAATATAAATGGTCAATTGCAATGTCCCTATGGTTTAGATATTTCTCAAAATGTAATTACAATCTATAACATATTCTTTAATAAAGAATATGTTATGGATATCACTGCATGTCATGTGTACTGCATTATTAAATCGAATTATACTTTATTTGATCTTCGTTAAAATTTTTGAACGATTGGCTATTCATCGGTGTAATAGGCCTACTAACATTAAAAAATGAATTTTTGAAATCAAAGAGAGAAAAATTTAAAACAATAAAAATTATAATCCATCATGATTCATGAACCTACAAAAACATGACTCATCAAAAAATTTGTTGCTCAATCATGATTTCACTAAAACCACTAGGTGGCGGAAAGTAGAAATTTGAAAATTGGACATCGAGTATTGCACTTTCATCGACATATAATACAGGATATACATTCCCTTTTACACCGCTGACTACAAAAGGATATGGCTTGCCATTAAGGTAAAATTTTAGTTCTATATGGTCAAATGTAACACCAACAACGTCACCCTCAGCTGGTAAATTTTTTGTCTTGCATATTTCATTATTTTTGTGCCACACCGTGCCGTCATGTCGAAATACCCATGTTTTTTCACACATTCCTAATGGAACGTGATTTAAATTTGCGTTGGCGAGTGCAAGTCCGATTCCCCATATTCCAGAGCTTTGTACCTTCGCTTCAAAGTAGCCTTTGTCTTGGGCAATAGGAGCTGTAGCGAGAGCCCCACCGGTACCGCATATCCTTTTACCGTTTTTAACAATCACCGTACCCGTTCCCATTGTTGTTGTATTGAGAACAACAGAATTATTCGATAAATTCTGTTGATTTGTTCTTGAATTAGAAGAAAATCCAAAGCATCTCCATAACCAATCAAGTGTTAGCGCCATGGAGTCCGCAGGTTTGGAAGACAACTAAAAATCTTTACATCTAATACTAATAAGCTAAAATAATAAATAATGAGAAAGTAATAAATGGAATTAGAAATATTGTAATCCGTTAGGGTCAAAATGAATAGACACAAAAAATTAGCTAATAAAAGTTTAAGAGTTACCAGAACTAAAAACAATCATTTTGCTACTTATTAACACATACTGCGTTCAGCATTTGTGGTCTGTTGGCTAGACAAATAAACTTCTAAGCCAAAAAGCCTGATTGCATTGACATGATTTGTTTCAAATTTCAAGTAAATGGCATCTGCTGGTAAACAATGCAACATCACAAAACTATATACTCTTAGCATCTCGTAACATTTCGGCAGTAGCCCAGAGTCCCCTTTAATTGGGATTTAATGCACATGACCTTATAAATTTTCCTGATAAACAATCAATTAGGCCTAACAGTCATTTTGCTAATAATATTATGGAAAAATGGTAGTAACAATGAAAAACAATAGTGACATATTCAGTATATACTAAATACTTATTGCTACTCAATTCAGATTAGTACAAAGCAGATGACGATTGTAACATTTCTGTTATTGGACAACAAATACAGATAAATACGTTTCCATGCACCTGAAATAAATACCCGGCAAACTAATTTCATACCTGACATGGACTGGTAACAAGACGAGAGGCCGTGGCTTGCAAAATGATTACGCCGTATTACCTGATCGCACTAAAAATTTGGCCCATACCTCTGATCGCACTCAAACAAAATTACATTATGCTAACTTAATTCCAACAGCTAAAGATCAAACTGACAGTGAAAGCGAGGATGAATTCGAAGGATTTTGATAACTACTTACTGTTATTAATAAAAGTAATACATAACAGTAATGGTTATCCTTTTTAATAATTCTCTTCTGCAACCGTTTTTAGGGGATTGGTAAATGACAAGATTTTTTTCAAACACCAATTGCAAAACTATAACAATTTTCATGAATTGCACCTTTTACTTATGAACGATAATTTGTGCAAAATTAAATTTATTCAAATAAAAACATTTTAAATGATTCGTAAAATTGATTATTTACTGAATCGAATAAAACTAATTTAGAATGTATTCAAATATTCCATTTATTTTGGGCATCAAATATTTAAAAATTACAATTTACAGCAAAATTTGACATTTTTACACTGAAATAACATTAGATGATAGAAGCCAATGACCTACACGAGGGCTACTCAACTGGCGGACAGCGGTCCGAATTCGCACCTTTCGAGTATTAGATTCGGACCGCACCCGATTCTTTATTTCTGATCATTGGCGCCACTTTGGATATGTGAATGTTCCTTTTATTAAATGACTTTTATAGATTTAAAGGTACTGTATAATTTGCTTATGAATGCGCTGGACTATCTCGATCAGAGAATAATCAATAGCCAGCTAAGGAAGTGTGCATTTAAAAATGTCTAAATATAATTTCTGAAAAAACTGGAACTCAGTAATTTTGTATACGTATCTTTGGTAAAAATAGTTGAGTAGCCCTAGCCTACACCATCAAGTTCACGCATCTGAAACAAACAACTGGTTAACTATTCCTATACGCAATAGGACTGTTTACCAAACGAAATGCCTCGCTTAGCCATATTATATTTTAGCCGTTTTTTTTTTCAGTTTTCCGCTCCCAAAGAATGTGAAATGTGTGAATGTAAATGTGAAAATCCTATCAAAATATTTGACAGATTGTTAATTTCCACAGTGCCGTTATTAGGGTCAAATGGTGCGTTTTCCAACACCCAGATTATAATTTAAGGTGACTATTTATTCTTACAAATTTTTGCCAAAAAGTAGATTTATTTTTCATAGCAGCCTACTTTTCTGAAGACCCTCTAATTCAGTTTTACTTAAGGCATTCAAGTCAAATCCTTTTAAATCAGATTGTCCTTCAACATCTCGCATTTTATTAATTTTATCATGTAACTTTGTTCGAACACTGTTGATCTCTTCGTCAAGGTAATGTTGGTCTGTAGTGAGCATATCAGTTGCTGCGCTTGACGGTAATTTGATGAACATTCCACCAAAATTTAACCAGGTTTTAGATTTATTGGGTGCGGCTACGCCATTCTTTATAGCTCTTAATGCTTCTCTGTTCATATTTCTTCGTTTGTCCAAGTCGACAATTTGTTGTTTATCGGAGAGAATATCTTCGGCTTGCTCTTCAACTTCAGTCAAATATTTCAAAACAGAATCAGCATTCCTTGCCATTTTCGGATTTTAAATAAATACAACCACTCAATTATACTCTGGTATATCTTCGAACGAATAACCTTTATATCCTCTCCAAGCGTAGTAAGCGATTCTTACGTGATAAAACCCCGGAACAAATGTCAGTATTCCAAGAATAAGTACGGGCCACGTTCGATCGCTATATTTCTCGTCAATATGTCCAGAAACTAGAAGAGCTCCAACAATGATGAGAATACTTCCAAGTAAAAATAAAATAACAGCAGCCCGAATCGCACGCCAAGGAATTTTTTGTGGCGGTTTTTTGAACTGTAAATCAATGTATTTTTCTTCTCCAGGTGTTCCGTAACGCCGAGAAAGCTTTGTGTATTTCACTTCAGGCATAGGATTATTTTGGAATATCAACTAAGAAACTTATGCTAATTTTTATCTAGCAGTTTCATCAAATAATTAATTCTAAACTAGAATTTAAAACAAATAGATAAAAACTTATTACTGATTCAGGAGAGCAAATAAAACCCTATGTAAGGTTTAAAATGTACAGAATTGAAAAGAAAGAACGTTACTGAAAAAGTGATAGGGTAGGCTACATGTTAAAAGTTAACTATCGGTAATTCAAATTTATTCACACATCTAACCACAAGGATATAATAAAAAAGTATGAAATACTTGAGCTAAAAAAATGAATTAAAAAAAATTATTTGTCACACCATATTAATATTTTTTAATAATAGTCAAAGCGAATATCAAATCAGTATACATGGAATAAATCTGACTTATATTCTCATACAAAATAATATAGAATTGTGCTGAATCTAACAGCGCAGAAAAGATTTCTTATACCTCTTTAATACACATGATATCTCTGGCGCCCTCTATGACAAATTATTCAGTCAATTTTGATATCTTATTGATTGAAAATTTATTTTCAATTTTCCCAGTTTCATAACAGAAAGATAAATTGTATGGCCAAAATTGAAAAATTTAATATTCGAGAAATGTCTGAAATCATGTTGAAAGAGGCAAAATCATGAAATATTATTTAATTAAATGAATAAAAAAATCACATGAAGGAATGACCAAAACCGAAAAGCTTACAATTTTGAATGTAATAACAAATTAATATTTTTGAATCTGAAATATCCAAATTGGGTACTGAACATTCCAAATTGGGTCATATTAAAAATATCAGATGTATATTCAATAAATTTGAGTTCGGAAACATTAAGATGAAGAGCGATTTGATTGGTGGTCGATCCATTTTTTTTAGTTTGAAAAATTAAATTAGGTATAATGTCAGATTCCAATTGCTCAAAATAATTTTCAAATAAATAGTATAATTCTTGCAAACTGGAATTTAAAATATCAAATACAAGCAATGTTAAATCGTTTCATTTCAGTCATTGCCTCTTCATCAATACTGTACAGTTGTTCTTAAACTTTTCAAGCTGAGCCACCTTTTTAGAATTTGTCAAAAATGACTAGCTACTAATAACAGATAGTGAGGCAAAACATGTTGAAAATGTGTCTTGAAACTCCTGTAGTATGTACACCAAGTTGGCGAACACCGGAACGTTGTATGTGTACCAGGTTAGGGTTAGGCCATAATTTTATTTCAATTTTCCTTATTTTAGTTCTATCATGAGTACGGTTATTGCTAATACCTCTGCAAATAATACCAAAAAAAAATAAAAAAAATCTGAGGTATGTGTAAATGACAGACAGAATGTATCGAGTCCAAGACAGTACAAAATTAGCTTTCACAATTAAATGCAGAAACATAAGATAGGATTTTCATATTTATCCCAAGGGAAAGTAAAACTGATAAGACTGCTTAATCATATTGCAAACCATGGCCTTGAGCTACCAGTCTATGTCGGGTATGGGATTAGTTAGCCAGTTAATTGTTTCAGATATAAACAATCTAAATTTTAGCGAACCGATGGAATTTCTACTAGTTTTATATATACTATGTATAAATATAGATAGTCACTAGAAATTTTCTTACTAATAGAGAGAATATAATGAGCAAAAATATAGTCTTTAAAAGTCAAAAATGACAACCTCTCATTTTTCACACTATTTTCAGCACAGTTAATTTTGTCACAATTTCGTTCCCTAAAATGTTGAGTGTTAGTTTTGATCGGTTTCATTGATTTCAACTGGTTGAATCTATGATTACAGTCTAATAGTAATGTTTGGTATGACTTTTGTGTATATATTATATAATAAACTATATATTGACAATGAAAAATTAACTGCTACTACGTTTATTTACTATTTTACAGCCTGATACTTAGGGGAGTCAAAAATGAAAACGTCACTAACATTGTTTCGAATAAAAACGTGTTATTTATAAGTAAATGGATATCGAATTTCATATTTTCTATATTTGAAAATCTCGTAATTCTCTACTTTGTGAATTTGTTTTTGATAAATGAAAATATAAGACATCCTGAAAAATAAGCCCTAGTGTTATTTTTCGGAAGAAATTGAAATACCACCCAGTCTTATTTTCGAGGAAAACACGGTGGGAATGTGAGAAATTGAAGCCAGAGTAAACAGAATATATGTAATGATATTTACAATAAAATTATAAGAATGATGTGCTTTGAACCTTTGGCTATTTCATACTGATATTCCAAAACTTTTTAAGAGCCGGACAGGATCGTAATAATAGGGAATTGCCAGGTAACGCCTTGAGGAAGAAGAATTCAAAATTTCTACAAAGACTCAAAACTCGTAATTTTTTTATCAGCTCTCTCAACAGTCGATTGAAGAAAGCTTGCATACAGCAGAGTCGGTAATCATTAATTGGACCTCCTGAAGTATGCGCACCAAGATGGCGCACAACCTGAACTAAAGTTGTGTACCAGGTTAGGGTTCAGGTTATGTGACATCTTGGTGCGCATACTTCAGGAGGGGTGGATAGCTTTATCGCTATCGAGCTTTATCCTAGTTGCGCTAACAAGTATATGAAGACAAGGGGGCATGTAGGGGCCACTACAAAATTGGTGATAGCGAAACATGATTAAATTATCTATATAGTTTTAAACTTCACAAGACAAGAGCAGCAACTAAGGTTAGGGCCAATTTAAAAATGTTGTTAAAATATATTGAGCATGATAAATTTACTGCAGTGAATACTTTGTGAAATAAGCCAGACAAATCAGCATTTAACCTAGTTATATATGAAAATAAACAACTATTTGATATTCCCATACAGCTTGTTTTGATTAACGAGATGATCATATGACAAACAATATGCTGGAACTGGAATGGTTTTGTATGAGAATAGCTACCAGTAGTCAGTTTCAACATTTCAGGAGAATGAGAAAATGACAGACTTCTTTTTATTTACTGCATTATCCAATTTAAAGGTTTTGTGGAGGTCAATAAAGTACGGTGGTACCGTAGTAAGCAAGACCGCCCAAGGTCATATGCGCTCTTAAACATTTCATTTAAACCAGTACGGTAATCAAACTATCAGAATTGGTCGCACAATATAAAAAAAGCAGAAAATGAATCAGTAGATAGAGTTTATAGCCCGTTTATTTTGGAGTTTGAGACAGCATGTATAAAATTAGGTACCGTACCGGTAGTGGGAGTTATAAACAAGAGATCAGTGTTCAGGAATGGCACACCCATCGGTGGTATGTGGGGGAAATTGTAAACTGGACACTATTTTTGAGAAACCATGTTACTTATTCATATCATCATTGCGAGGCCGGTATTAGCGTATTACGTACGAAAAAAGACTAACATAAAAAAAATAAGCAAAGCTTTGGTACATCTAGTGGAGCTTTCCTGTCCTACGAAACCTGCTCTGCTCAACTCTGACATCTGCTGTCTGAAAAACTGTGCGATAATGAATGTTTCCTTAACCTTTGACCCTGAAAAATTCTCCCTATATTTTGCACAGCGAACTAGCGACTAACAGAACGATGTTTATCTTGAGATTTTTTGCCAGTTGGCCCTTACATACTGGTTTATATGTTTATAACATTGGCTTCCACATACTGTTATATGTTTCCCATCAAAAAAGTTACAAATAGCATGCAAAATCACGAAAACAAGCTACTGTTCATCGCCATGCATGAAAGTCTGTTCGAGTAAAAAAGGTGACCGAGCGGCTGCTAAAAATCCAATTGTTACACAACCAGTGACAACTTGCAGATTAGTCAATATTACGGACGTAAACAGGGAAGTCGGTGCAGGGTCATTTTTATTATCCACATTCCAGAACTTAGGAACTTGAAAACGTTTTTCAATGATTGGAGGGTGGATCGATTCCGAACACCGCTGCCACTAATATGGAAAAAAAGGTACGAGCACTCAATCATGAATAAATGACTATTGATTGACTGAATCACTTATAAATAAACGAGATTGATTTATGAACTAAACTACGGACAAAACGCCAGAGCCAGGTGCATCTCGGTGACTGGCGCACCTGTATAAATGCTTTTTTCCAGGAAAAATTATGTACGGGAGGGTTGATATTTCCAACTGCGTTTATACATATACACCTCGCTTTTGTTACCTCGATTTTGTTTTTTCACTAAGAGTGGCCAATCAGCACTTAGTCGATGGTCATGTAACAATTACAATTTGTGCATTCGCTGGTTAACTGTTTTCTCACTAGTATTTTCTGACACAAGGTGAGATTGGCCATTTAATACTTTCATATCGTATGTGAAAAGCTCATTCAAAGTTTTGGCAGCTTTCCTCGATTTCCGTATCGTGTACTGTACTTTTTTATCCAGGCGTTGAAAAGTGCTGTTGGGTAAAATTTACAATCGACTCTGATTCCCCAGTCCGGATTAAAAAAATCTATCTTGACTCCGGGTCCCAACACTCGAAAAATTAAATCTTTAGGATAAAAACGTTGGCATATGCACGCTCTTCTCAATATTAGGGAAAGCTCAGTCAAATTGTATCTTTTTCAAGTTAATGTAGAACATTTTGATTATCTTCATTCAAATCTGAAATTTATAATCAAAGTACTTTGAAATTACGACTCCGATTCTATAAAAAACATGCCAAACCCAACTGTCCTAGTTCAAAATTAATTAACCAATCTAACTATTTCTCGTATGATTTACCTGAAATGTAACCGAACAATATGTCGTGGTTTAGGGTTCACCATATCGACATAAAACATCGTTCTGATCTTTCCTTATCACGTAATAAAATGAAGTAGTAAATTACTATTTTAATACTGTGTAGTTTTAACTTCGAGGTGTCGCTCGTGGGTCAAGAAAAAGTACAACATTTTGCTGACGACATGGCTTGCTTTCGTGGTTTTGGCTTGCTAACTGCAATGCTATTCAATCCTCATACTCATACCCTCATTTTCATCTCAATGGTCTAAGCATCTCCTTATCAAGCGCGATTTACTCTCCAGCTAGGGCATTTCACTTTTTCAGTAATTACAATCATTATAGTTCTAATTAAAAAAATTATACCATATGCAGCATAAGTCGTTCGAGATGAACTTTCATATATACTCAAGTTTTTTAAAAAATTTGGTAAATTATAAGCAACATATATTTTCATGTGATAAAAGCAACCCTTGTTATATTTTCCCGGGTGCACCAGTAAATAGTTAGAACCTAAGCAAGCATAACAGATGGTTCTAACTATTCAAAAAGTACATTGTATCTTCTTAATTTATTTATTTTATCGTAACGATATTTTGGTTGTTGATTTGGTGACTCTTAGCTCTGTGTTTTGCGTCAAAATTTGTTTTTACGAATAAATATAAAGGAGTAGTAGTGAGTAGTTCTTAATCAACATTAGTGTTGAAAATGTTCTACAATAGATAACATTTACACTCAGGCATTGAAAGTGTCGAAACAGTAGTTCTTAACTCTAGTTATTACGTGAGGCCCCAAATTAAATCATAAAAATCTGAAACACGGCAATAATTCAAAACGGATGATGACTGCGATCTACATTTGGCAGCATATATATTATTATATTGTTAACATTCATTGACTAATTTCCAAACTATTAAAGCAAGTACATGCTTCATTACAAACATAGTATGTGGCCTTATTGATGTCATATAAATTGCAATTGGGACTATTTGCCGTAACTGATCTTAACTCTGAGCAGTGGGTCCGAGATTGAAAAGCAATGAATGCACTTCAAACAAGCAATACAAAAAGGCAAAAAAAATAAGAAATACAGTAATGTAATCAAATTTGTCGATGAGGTTAAATTTCGTATCAAAGACGCATCTGAGATATATGTAATTGTACGAAGCACGTATGAAGCGCTACTTTCACCCTCTTCATATCTTTTGCAAGATTAGATCCATCACACGATACAAAAGAAGAATAAAAACAGTGATTTTTTTGTAACACTGTTTCAAATTTTTTAGCCACAAATTCAGACGCGCTTTGAAAATCATTTTGCCCATTGTAATCATTAAAGCATATGTTTAGGTTTTTATCGAGTAATTTACGCTCGAACGTTTCTTTTTTAGTGAATAAAACCATTATTGTTAATCCCTTAGTGAATTCATGATTCGCAATCCATTTGAATTGTTCAAAGGTGCTTAAAAGGCGGTTTGTCTTTCGATCTTCCTTAAATGTGTCATATGTTGATACATCAACACAAAATATCAGCACACAATCTCTTTCGAAAAACTGGAGTATCCTTTTTACGTTGCTCTTTTTATCTATAGGAGCGACCTCTAGAAGCCAGAGGTTCTTTCGCAGTGGTGTTTCTAAAATACTATTTAATTGTTTTCTGCAAAGTATGACGTCATATGGTGACGGAATATATGTATTGGCGCGCAAACGGTCAATATTGTTAAAGTAATACTCCGCGTTTTCGAAAAGGTCCATGTTATCTATTTGTTTGGCACAATATACAAAGCCAGGTTCGTTCCAAACTATTTTATATCCGCCCCATATAGTATTAGGTATATCGGATTCCCATAAGTCTGGGGTATAGGATTTGATTTCTTCTAAGATTCGGTTTTCGCAAGCATATACAAATCCACTCATTTCAACTTCTCTGAGTAATGATCTCATTGTTTTGATCGCATTTGAACGAACAAGAGTTTTGTACGGTATTACATCCATAGTGTGTTCTTCATCGTCGAATCTTCCGATATTTTTGCCATAAATACCCCTAAGAGCTCTGGCAACCTCTGTCTTCCCAGATCCAGCTTCTCCCAGTATAGGTATTTTTATCACATCACTGTTAGTTGCATCTAGTTTTACAGACTTTCGATTTTCCAACTTTTCCCATCGCCGATAAGTTTGACGTCGGATCATTATACAATGCTATTTTACAAACATATTTCTAGTTATAGTAAAGTAAATCTAGTTAAGTAAAGTTATATCTAGTTAAGTATCTAGTTAAGTAAAGTTTGCAAAGTTAAAAGTGACGCGCTACAATTATTCGCGAGAATAGGTCAACTTATGAAGTGCTCGACATGGAATTTAAATTCGGTCAAAATTCTACTGATGTAAAAGTAATTATAGCAGTTTTCTATTGCTAACTCCCCAAATCAAACCTCATAAATCACGTCTCCAATTTGGGTTCAAATAATTCGGGGATATGCTACCATATACACAATAAATTATTTTGAAATACGTAATGCGTCAACTTACTTCCGCGTTCAATTCTATGCTGGCGTTAAAAAAGATTTGTTACCGGGTTATGCTATAGCGGTAATCATACCACAATCCGAGCTTAATTTTGCACCAAATGCTGGTAATGATATCATTGGAAAAAAACGATGCAACTCAAACTCAAATCGCGCAGATCAAGTGTGGAGTGTTTTCTACCGCGCAATTGTGACCAGTTTATATCGGGAATTGACCAAAAAGTATACTCGTCTCAGCACATGACAGCTTTATAGCATTAGGAGAGATTGATGTATTAAATTTATGAAGGTATTTATCAGCGTTTCATTGTATAACAACATTTTAGTTTCTATCTCGTACCGGGAGTACGAGACCAAAATAGCTATCGGAAGTTCATGCTCCTTCGGACTACGTTGTATATTTTTATTACATTGAAATAAGAATTCGCCTTGGATTAAATAGAAATAATTTGAATTCAAACATTTTCTCACTCGAGAAGAAAGAGAGGAAAACTGATTTTAGGGAACGCTTCCGAACAAAAAAAACGCAATTTGCCGAAAAAACAAACAAACTTGAAACACTTGTACTTAAAACAAGTAGTATTTTGACTAAGAAAATTTTTAAACCCTCGTTGAAGAAGGCACACTTTGCCTCTCGTAGATTATATATAAAACTAATTTACCTTTTCCGACTGCCGTCTAAATATATCTATATATATATATATTATATGAATCCTACCGTTACATTATTCTAAGCCTATGCTGTCGATTCAGCAGCATACATTCACGAGCGGATATCACCAGCGTAATGTGTATGGAAATCCCACTAAAGCATTCCACCGGCACAATATGCCACAACAAAAAACTGATACCATAATTCTATAGGTGGATATGGTAGCTTACACTCTTGCGCTCTTGTTCTCCGCACAAAGTTTCGCAGCATCATTGTCTAGTGCCGATAACTAACGTTCAGGAAGTAGACTCCTAATTCCATAGAAATGATTCTGAACCATTATCGAGGTTGTTGGATACAACCTATCGTAGCTAGCTCACATATGATTTGAAGCAAAAATAAATTCGCTATCGCAAGACTCATATATCGATAATATGACTCCTAATGCAGAAAACGGACTCGGAAGTCGGAAGTAATTGAATCATGAACGTATGACGTAGGTAGCGTTGTCAAACATGAAAAGAATCACTGGGCCATATTCTGGCATAGGTATTTTTATTAAACCATGAGTCACCAAGAAAGAATGCAGACTGTATTGGAAGTGAGTGTGCGCTTTCGGTTGGTATTTTTGGAATAAACGAGTTAATATACTTTTGTAAATTTGAATGGATATTTTCTTCGCTTGGATTATCTTCATTTATCTAAAGCGTTGGGCACGTGACAATCACCTACCCATTTTATATATAGTACGAAACAAAATGAACGAATGAACCAAACTCAAAATATATATTTATACTACTGAATACATAAGATACAATTAAACATTTATAGCCATCCCGCTAATACGACTTCTAGCGTAAACACTGTCGGTTTTTGTCCACCAGAAAACAGACATATATATATGCTGAAATTGAAAACCCTGTTGGGATGTTTAATGCGGTTATCAATGCAAATGCCAAGTAATGTCGGACATAATCTTACATGATAGATTTAATCGTTACAGGGCGAAATACAAACCTTTGCAAATGGCATATCAGCTCACTTCCATATATTGTTTTGTTCGACATCATGTGGGCTCAACAGCATTACAGCACACATTCGGAAGACGCGCCAATAGACGCTGCTGGCAGTGACTATACTCCCATAATTAAGCTCCCTATAGTCGTCTATGAAAGGTACATCCATTTAACACCCTGCAACACTGGATAACTTAACTTTTTGTTTTGACTGTTAAACTAGCATATATTTTAATACGAGACATTATTTTATAGTAAAAGTTGCTTATATTTTCAATAATAATTCGAAATAAATAATAAAAATTATCGTGCTGTTTTACAGTGTTATATGTGCAAGCATAGTTTGGACCTTAGCATATCTAAAAAAAATATGCATTTTGCCAACACGAAAAATGCATGAAGCATTGAGTGGTGTCACACTTTCAAATGTTTATCAACTTCTTCTGTAACGCTAAAATCACAAATGCAAATACTATTATCATACAATGCAGTTACTAAACGTTTTTTATCGAAAGCTATACAGTTAACTTGACAGTCTTTATGGGCTACCATTGTTTTAACGGGATCTTTTTTACCAAAACGCCAGTGTTTCACCTTCCCGTCCCGCCCAGCGCTTAGAAGTGAGACCATTCGATCGCCATCTTTATCTTTTACGCTTAACTTCAGGGTTTCAACTCGATCTTTGTGTCCTTTATAGGTTCTTATATTAGTTTCATTTTTAACGTCCCATATATTAAGTAGGTTATCGGCAGCATACGCTAATAAACCATCAGCATAACTTAAGCTCATTATAGGCGCAGAGTTCGAGGCCCAGATAATTCTCAAACTTTTTCCATCCACTGTGTCCCAAATACGTACACTGTGATCAGCAGCACCGGAAAATAACATAGATAAATCGTGTGCAATATCGACTGCAAAAACGGGTTTAGAATGTCCATTGTAAGTGTGTTTTAATTTACAATGCCTCATGTCCCATAACTTTATAGTTTTGTCATTGGACCCGGTTGCGACTAGGTGATCCTTACAGGCCAGAGCCCAGACCGCTCCTGTGTGTCCGTACAAAGTTCGAAGGCACATGCCGTTTTTAATATTCCAAACTTTTATTGTGCGATCATAAGAACCGCTTATGACAAGGCATGCTGTGTAAATGGCCACACACCAAACGCCTTTGGTATGTCCATTTAACACTTGAATTGTTGTAGCACTGCGCAGACTCCAAACACGAATAGTGCCATCAGCACTCCCACTCACGAGCACTCTATTATTGAAATCTACACAGAGTACCTTTCCATCATGTCCCTCAAGATGAGCATGAGCACATTTTGCCCGCGACCAGTTTCTTTGTCTTATATGGTTGGATCGATATACGTCATAATGCCCACGTGTTGTCCCTGGTCTCGAGGTTACACTTGGCGTCGCTATTTGGCTACGCACCTCATCGCATTTTTCCTCCCAAAGAACTCCAGACAAACACAACTTATTCCATTTTTTTGACACTGTAGCTGCGCGCGCCAAATCTTTGGGAGACAAATGTCTCAAGACTTTTAATGCTAGATTTTTGGGTAGTTTCGATATAAAATCGCAATTGTGACGAACGGATAAGTATGTTGACAAAAAGTACAGTTGTTTCATATCCAACTTCGGCAAAACTTTCCGATAAAAAATAGAACGTTCCGGATTTGTCCATTCTTCAAACCATACAAACAAATTCTCCACTTTTGCACGGATTTCGTTATATTTTTGTTCCCCGAGTAGTTTAAGTCGTTTCCGGACTTTTTCGTCAGAGTCTTTGTTTTTTGTCCGAAATCTAACTTGGCTTCGAGTTGTTTCGTATGATTTCGGAGGTTGTCGGATTTTGGGAAAATGTGTTCTCATTTTTTCACTGGATGACTTGTTATTCGATTCGTTAATACTTTTACTGTCGATTGGTGGCAACTTGTTAACTCTAAATACTTCTTCCTCATTGGTCAAATGTGCACTTTGAACTCGGTGATATCTAGAGACGTTTCGAGTTTTTGTCAAATGCGTCCGGATTTCACGACTCAAAGCAGTGCTGACTGGTTGAAATTCGACTTCTGGTTCGAATTTTTGTCCTGAAAAATATTGCGGAACACGTCTAAATTGTGTCGGTTTGACAACATTGCAATTTGGTTTATATCGAAAACTATATATATAGTCCTTGTTGTACTTAAATGCAGTATTTTAGTGAGTTACTGGAGAAAAATTCATCAATAAGTATATTATGATAACTGAAATATTAGGTTTGCTTGAATATATAAGATGAGCACAAAATTTCCATAAATCAGAAGTGTCTGCTGGGATTGCTTGAAGTAATAATAGCCTACTCACCGGAAAACATGAAATCTCGGTGCAATAACGGTTGCAGTGACGTCCATAAGCTTCTAACTTGACTGTTACTTGTCATTGCTATAAGTTGCTTCAAAATCCTACATAAATGCTCATGTGTTAGCAAGCCATCATCGATAAGGTTAACGATGTCTTCCAAACGAAATTCAAACTCTGATCGATAAGTGGAGCTGGAGGGCATGTTTGGCTTAGCTCCAGAAGTCTTTGCCATCACCAAAGCAGCCATCTAGCCGCTAGTCGTGATGTATATATAGTAACTTGAATAAAACTGAAACACAGAAGTTGCTTTTAAAGTCAAACTATGAAATAGTTTCCTGGGGATCAGTGGCGGACATTTCTATTGGCATTTTAGAAAAATACCTAACACATACTTATAACTAGATTTTCCAACTTGAAGTCTTTAAATTTTTTATTTCAATTATCTTACAAAAACACATTTTGTTAGTTCAACATTAGTAAAGTCCTCATTTCAATTGAAATTGATAATTTATCTCGAAAAAGTTGCACATTGATAACTTTCAGCATGTCATCAAGAAAATCTTTCAATTTATTTTGAATGTAAATAATCCATTAATGGCGCGACATAAAATATGATCTTTTGTATATATAGTTGTGCCAGATCTTTAAAACACTGATGCAGAACGGAATTTTATATCAATCCTCCACTGTCAGTACACACATCTCAACACACATCGTCATAAAAATATGGAAATTGCTTAGAGAAGCTGTTCTAACTTGAGCTATAGTCTTCGATCAATTACTTTATCATTGTTTCCCGTGAAGTGTACCCACACAGCGTCAAATAAATACTCTAGTACAAGCTGAGCAAAACAAACACCTAAGTATCACATAATTACTTTCAGACGTCTTTAAATATTAGTTTAGCTACCTCGAAGTTGCCCTACAAATATACAACTTCAGCGACCCGTCACCATAATACAAGGAATTAAAACTAATCAGTGCCGGCAGGAGTAATTTCTGTCCGACTGCCAAGGATGCTTCATAAGTTGCCCATGCTAAGTATGCCCTGATACATCGCATTAATTCAATTTCTCAGCTTCTAAAAGCGACTTCTTTTGTACCCCAACCCTAAACATGTAACTAGATAACATAAGCATAAAAGCTACAAGGCGGAGCTGACTCTTTAAATCTTGTTTTACAATGATACAACGCTTGATTTGGATATCAAGTGGCACGGCATTGTTTTCATATTAGTCGCTTACACCTACTTGATTTTTGTATCTAAAAATAGCTGTCATCAACGAAATATTAAGATGTTTTTTTCAGATCCTGCAACTAACTTTATTTTGACTATCTCAAGGAAATATTCTTACAACTCAAATTTGATTGATTATAGCTGACTGAACCACAGAACAAGTGATTTAGGCGTGTACAGCGTTACTCACGAGTAGCCCTTGTCTCAAGTGTACTTGTGAAAACGTAATGATGGAAATTACTCTACAAGATTGACGAGTTAGCAGTTGACTGGTATTATAACAGAGAATAGGAAGAAAGATGGCGTAATTGTGTCAATTGTTCATATATTTTACATCTTCCCACAGGCGAGCTACTCTGAATTGAGATTTCACTTGCCACACTTTAACAAAAACTCGAAGTATCGCAATAAAATTTCTATGTTAAGTTAATTTTAAATACCGATATCGTATTTTGAATAATTAAAATGTCCATTCTCCGTTTCTGAAATGTCAAAAAAGTATGACGTAACATAGTGATGACGATGCTAAGAGTCTTGTTCTAGTTTATAGTTTCTGCACTCTTTGGGCTAAATAATAGCTTCCTAAGTGTTAATGCCTGCTTGTACAGATGATGTTTAGGAAAAAATTCACAAGATTTCGCAGTGAAAAATTTATGCTATTCATCTGTACCAGTGGTTTTTTACTTTTTTCTTTTGTGGCCCATTTTCGGTCAACAAAATTTCTGTGGCTCATTGATTTTTTTTATGCGGAAGAAGCGAAAGAAAACTACGAGAAAAAAAGAAATCCTTCAACAAAAATGTACAATTTCACATTAATAATCAGAATGAAAATTATCACTTAGTATCTGAAAACAGCATCGCCATTCATTGCTGCTACAATTAAAATTAACTATAGTGACACAAATAACTAGCTAACTAGCAATTATTAATAGGTCTGTGGCCCACTTTAAAATGTTTCAGTGGGCCATGGCCCGCTGGCTGAAAACCGGTCTACACATTTCACTTCATCGAGCTATTCTAAGTGTTTAATAATTTTTTCATTTTAATATGGAACACTACATTGGTCGTATCTGTCATCTACTGTGGTATAGAAGGGAAACAGTAGCTAAACCACCAGCTTTCGATTGTATATGTTTCTCACATTCACAAAGGTGCAATTGTTACGACATAATGACTGAACAAATAAGCGGGAATAAAAACAAATAATACTTGTTTGACAAAGGAACGCTCAATCGGCGATTATGACACAACAAGGTCGGAATTAAAAAGAAATCCATTGTTTGAAAATGAATATTTGATTTATTTTTCTTTGCAATAAATACCAAAGGACAAATCCGGGTCATAATAAATTGCCGTGTGGCATAGGTGACTTAACTTGAGCGAAATTAAACCACAGAGTAGTACATGTTGTGTCGTGGTTTGAGATTGTATGTCACGAACGTCTTTTTCATAATGCCTTGCCGATCACGAATTTATAGCATATAAAATTATAGCATATATTACTTAAAATAAATCCGGTTCAGATATTCTCTTTCACGCATATAACGTTTTAATCTTGTTTCATTTGATAAAGATAATACTCCCTCACTAAATTAAATTACAGTAAATATAGATTTGAATATAACGAACGTTTCCGTTCGCAGCTATTTTACGTAGGCAGTATCCAAGTTATTAATATTGCTTGTACTGAGGTATTGCGTTTCTCGTAATAAAACAGGCCCCTTTCTCAACAACGCTGTATAATAAAGAACCGTAAAATCGCAGCAGAGTTAAACACAGTAAACTATTATTTGCTGGTAATTTTAGGCCTCCAAACCAATTTTTACACAACTTTTGTTGCGTTGTATTGCCCTGTTGTTACTATTTTTTCATACAAAGAAACGCAATTCAATTTTCAGTTTTTTTCTGTGGCCTGTGTTGTAAAAAAATGTTCCCAAAGTTAGGAATTATAGCAACAATGGTCGTATAGCAGGTATTCCCGACACAAGATATTGCTGTATTACGTTACCATGTGATATATATATCGCTTTTAAGTTCAAATTTGATTCCAAACTTAAGGCATATGAACTCATTAAAATTGTTACAAAAGTTTCACTTTGTCTGGCTAGTTTTCAAATTTTTTAAAACGCTGTGACGAGGTACACGAGTGCGATAACAGTTTCGATTACAAGTTTATTTTATACAAATTCACAGCTGAGTCTATATTGGGAATTCCACAAAAGTTTCTTGTATATTGGAAATATGTTTTCGATCTGATATCAATTTTAGTATTTTTTACTATAATTGGAATTTAATGTTTCAATTCCTGCTTTCAAAGATAGGAAGAAATACAAGATCTTGTTCAACATATGTCAGCTTCCGTTAGGTCATTCTCTAACTTCTTCAAATATAACTGCCACATATGTATTGAGCTTTATATGATTATTTGTATACAACGAGTAGTATATTCTTATGTATAATTTTTCATAGTTAGTATTGATTAATTCAATCATCATTGTGATTTGGGACCCATACAACTCTGAAATTTGTAAGACAGAAGTCAAAAATTTAGTCCACCACATATTCTCACCGAGTACTCCTATAGAAGTAAAACAATACATTTTGGAGCAATTCTGATCAAGTTTAGTTAAGTCCTACGTGCATAAATCAAGGTATTTTGACACACCTAGACATGTATCACAGATATATATCAGAAATACCATATTCGGATAATCCTGTGCATAAAATTAAACCCTTCAATAATATACGGATGCCAGATTTGTCCCACTAAATTAGAATTGCTGTTGCCCAGTTTTGATAATTTCTTACACGTTTTGCAGAAATAAATTCCTACCGAAATAGTGTGATTGACCAAATTACACTCGGCCAAATATACATATCTATTGCACACGCACAAATCTAGTGTTCACAAATTTATCTGAATTTAGTATAGAGTTTAGTCAGACATTACGTATGCAGGAAGTTGTGGTTCAACATAGTTCAAACTATGAAAATTATCCCTAAATCTAATATTCGTATTAGAACAATGTTTAGAATATTGGCAATATTTACGTTTTGCTGTGTTATTGGAAAAACAAAAATGTTTCTAATGGTTTTCATGTATTTAGTTTAATCGTATATATATTTTTTGTAACTTTACATTCAGAATCGATTCTCATGCAGAAGTAGGTTATGTCCTAAATGCGACTTTTTAAATATCAATAGGTGTTTACTACTAAATGCCAATTTAAGTCACTCATACTCTAATGACATTTGGAAATTGAGAAAAAAAAGTCTAAGAACTGTTTTTTATTAATTTGATCAAGTTCCAACATAACCAAGACGTGCATTTAATATATGCAAATATTTCACAATTACTCGAAAAACTTAGTGGAAATGTTTCCGAGATAGTAAGATCGGAAGCATGACTTGAAGTTTGAAAAATCATTTCACAAACAGTGTTTTTGCAAAAAAAGAATCAATCCTTAGCCTTAGGCAAATTATTTATATATTGAAAGCATATTATTTGTTAACAATTTATGAAGTGGAAATGAACTTTGCCAACGAGTAGTATTTTGTCAATCACAAGTGTTTTTTGTAAGTTATGCAAATATGAACCTTGTCTTCTCGGCCGTGTGCTCACTTTTAAACGAGAAGGATTTATAAATTCAATCGGATTACGTTAATGCGTTGAAAGATTGCGAAATCGCAATGACTAATTTTTATTGTTTTCCGTCGGCAACAGTTATATTGCTGAAAATAATTCTTAGGTCAAATATAGTTAGTGACATTTTTCTGTGCTTTACTTGCTGGTATGTCGTGTCAGTTCCCAGTAATTAAAAGTATACGGACCTGTCACTGCACCTGCAATACAATATACACGCTTGTCGATTTTAATACTAAACCTTTACGAAGGTCGTGAATAATGCACGTTTGGGGCACATTATCCGTACTTGGCCAATTTTGGAACAATATAATATGTACTTTGCTTGCACCAAACTATGACTATACCGACGGATGATTCAACATATGAACTTTTTTGTTTCAGGGTTTTAATGAACAAGGAAAGTTGTTAAACGACGTCATCTGACGTATTTGAATTAAGGAAGTAGCGTTCTTCCGGTTTGTAAAGCTCTTAGCTTATGCACCTATAGTTTATCGCAAACATACTACCGTTAGCAATATCAGAGTATAGCGCTTTGTCTCATAAATATCTGACTGCCAAAATAATTCACTCATACGCATACAAACGCTTGAATTTTAACACATACAACGAATGTTGCGCTAATCATGATTTGTATCTGAAAAGCCATCGAATTTAAAGTCCATAAATCTTCAACGAAAACCAAAAAAATCCCAAGATGTCACATAGTAATCGTCGCCCCCATTTCATAATCTTTTAAAACACTGCACTTCTCAATATTATCACTCACTAAATACTAACTTTCTCTTGCTGCAATCAAAAGACCAATTTATAATCTTGTCATATAATTAAATTTGATTTATATAGGACAAACTGCCAAGTCCGGATATTAAAGTCATGTTATATTATTAAATGAATCAAACGAATAATAAATACAGAAATATAAAACAGTGCATCATTTTTTGTTTGTTACAATTTGAGATATATAATTCATTCATTTTTACTGAACGAACAGCTGCTTATACGCACATTTTATTGGCCAATGTATTGATTATGCAGCAAACTATGATCAAAACTGTTGATTTCGGTCCAGGTACATCTACTTGGATAAAATAACATTTATTTCCTATTTCTTTTCTTAGGTGCCAGTAATTTTTCACGTTATAAATTTCAGCTCAAATGATTATTTTTTGTAGTTGATATATGAGTGTGCTTTGGGGACCGTGTCAAATTTTTTTCACGAATATACAGTATAATAACATTGTTCATATATTAGCAAAAAAAATACGATTCTTTATCTAAATTTTTCACTGAAAATGTCTCACCCCGTTTGATTCTTTCGGGGGCATTTTAGATTTAAAATGTGATGCTTCCTACATTTAATGTTCTTTCTCCGCCACTTATTATTTGAACTTGAAGTTTTTATGAAGGTTCGTTATAAGCAAAGCCACAAACATGTATGAAAATATTGTTAGAGATTCACTGACTTATAATTTATTGTGGGTAAAAGCGTAGTACGATTAAATGAAAAATAAAATAATATCGAGGAAGTAATTATAATATAAATAATCATAGATGAAGCAAATATTCAATAATCTATATTAACTTCATTTCTTTTGTTCGTAACTGAACAACACAATGCGACAAAGCGCTTCTTATTTTTTGTAAATCTTCTGAACGAGTTAACCGTCCATTAGAAATAAAAAGTGAGCAAAGTCCCGCACGTTTGTGCGCTTTAGCTTCAAATTTTTTTCTTATGAAAGGTACAGCGTCTTTAACTGTATTTCTACCGTTGTAGTTAACAAAATATTTTTTAAGTTCAGTATTTTTTAACTTTTTCTCGAGTTCTTCCGTTTTCGTAAATAGCAAAATTGTCATAGCTTTTCGTGTGAATTCGTGGTTGGCAATAATTCGAAAATGTTCCAACGTTTTTGAAAGTTTATTCGTCTTCCCATCGTCTTCAAACTGATCAAATGACGACACATCGACACAGAATATCACAACCGTATTGTCGCCAAAATACTGCAACACTCTTTTTATATTACTTTTATTATAAATTGGTCCAACTTCAAGCAACCATAAATTATTTCTCATCTTTGTTTCATAGATGCTGTTTAACTTCATTCGACACAAAGCAACATCTTCAGCTGAAGGCTCAAAATATGTTGCTGATATTCGATCAATGTTGTTGAAATAATACTCGGCTTCTTCAAGAAGATCTCTTTTTGATGTATGTTGAGCGCAACAAACGAATGTACCGTCTTCCCAAATTCTTTTAAACGACATCCAAATTTCTCGTGGGATTTCTTGGTTTACTTGATCTTGTTTGAAAGACTTTACTTTTATTACGTCGTTCAATGTGTCCCTTTTCGTGCACTCGAGTCCAAACGAATCAACTTCTTCTACCAAGCTTAACATTGTGTGAAATGCGTTTGAATGAACTAAATTTTTGTATGGCATAACATCGATTTCATTTTCGTTTATAGATGTGATACTGTCCGTGTTTTTTCCATATAATGTACGAAGAGATCGTCCGATTTCTTTAGTTCCAGATCCCGGTGCTCCGAGCAGAGGGATTTTGAATATTCCATTTCTTGTGCCATCCAGCTTCTTATGTGATTCGATTCCTCCCAGATGTTCCCATCCGTTGAGACGGTAATGTACTGACATCTTTGTCAAGTTAATAGTCTAGTAATGTATATGCTTTATAGTATTTTTCTATAAGGGACAAAAGCAACAAGTTTAGTTATCATACAATCTAAGTAGTAATTACAGTACCAACCGCGTCTCTTGGTTAATGGGTGCTGATACCTGTTGCTATCGGTCTACAAATAATAACAATCAGTTTTACACGAATATTCTCGATCATACTGGTTATATCACATTCTGGAACTGGTATTTACGTCAAATAATTCTTTTTTCTTTTGTATTTTCACGTTTCATCATTTTATGCGAGCGTGCAACATGTACGCTGCCAAACGACGAGTTGCCTCGCTGAAAATAGAATGGTGAGTCACGTTAGTGATTGCATGTTTTCCGCGAACAATCGCAAGCTCAACAAAGCGAACAAATTACGTCAATACACGGCTTTTGGCCCTGCCACAGTAGAGAACGAAATGGCTGTGATTAATGATAAATTTGTGTACGATATTTTATCCAAATAAAGCTTCCAAAAAACTGGATATCTTAGCAATATGGTTGCTTGGATTAATATGCAATGCAACTGCAATTATTGTAACTATACAAAGATATCAGGTATGGATGAAATAATGTGGTTTAACCAAACACAGGTTTCTTCTCATCACACATTCCCAGTTATTCAAAATTCAAAAATTACATTACCCTCGTGACATCATCGGTATCGTGACGTCACTATGCAACAGTGTACGTCTCATAGTTTCGGTATTAGGAACACGGACATGTTCTTATTCTAATTGCTATTTTTCTCATGCCGTGTCCATAAATATCGTGGGCCTCAACAGCGACTTACAGATCGTGAAGTTAGTCACACAATTGTAAACTATGAAAGTTATTAATACCAACAATGGGCAAAAATGTTCAAACAATGCATTCAGGTTCGGTCAATCGATTCTGAAGTTGACGAAAATCTGTGGAATGGCATTTCAATATGCGTTGCGTGCGTTTCGGCTGATGCGACTGTTGGCATGAGCCCCGATAGAAGCACAAGGGAATTTTACACTGAAATGACACTAAAATTTTTTTGTCTTTCCGTGATAAACCATTACGTTCATATATTATCTATTATGTAATTAACGATACTCAACACAGAAAATACTTGTTTACTACGGTACTCATGCTTGTTCATGGGACATTTTTTTTCTGTCCCATTCCATCCCATTGAAATACAATTCGATAAGAATTGCTAAATTCAGGTTTAGCGTCTACTAAACAGGACTACATGCACAGAGAAACATGCAAAAACGACAAAATTTATTGACTTTGTTAACTTTAAGGGGATACCGCGTTACCTCACCATCGTGTTAAAACCGCGCCAGTAAAGACATAGTGATAATTTTGTTAACGCATAAAACATAACCTTATATAAAAATGAGTGTCTCAAAAATTTTGGAGTCCCACGTGAAATACAAATGTGTGCTGTCCCATCCATCCCGTGCCATGGGACGTTTCCAGTGGGAATCCCATTCCCACGGACAAACCTGACGGTACTAATCGAACAAATGTAATAACTCAGTAGTAAATGAATTTATATAAATTAAATACTAATACTAAGTGCGCATTAGACATGTACCATGGTGGCCATGGACCTTTAAGAAGCATAACTCCATAATCTACACATTACATCTCAAAGTCGCCGATTTCAAATAATTCTTGTCAGCGTGACGAGCAGATAGATGAACATAGTGACCAATGACATGAAACAACAAGACATATATATATAAGGTTTTCTAAACTTGAATAATTAAATTCAGAACTATACGTGTCCACAAAACAAACCTATCAGTTTCGTTTTATGTTAATTTGAGAGCGAAATCTGGCAATGTGGGCGGCAGTTACGTGAGACATGCTGGATTGACGGTGTTTTACTTCAGCCAGATTCGTACAAATGTCGTGTTATCATTCCATATAAGCTGGCGTTATTATCAACCATCAGAAAGATCGAAACTGTATAAGGTAGAGGCAATGTTTCAAACGGTCTGATTGTAATATTAGGCCCATCATTACGTTAACAGAACGTAATTTTTATTTGTTTGTCGTCATAACGGTGTCGATGGCGTCAATATCAAGATAATGCATGTAAAGAAAGCGTACTGTCTTGCTAACTGTATGCCAAGACTGGCACGCTATGTCGTAGACGTAGACAACTTCCATCTAACAATATATTACCAAATTTTTAGTAAGAAATCACCGAGTGAAGACGCAATGGTCCAAGCGTTTACACCAAACTAGGCACTTGATTTAGAAAGAATAACTTTGGTTGTCTATTACGACTGGAATTGGATGTCTCTCTCCGAAACATGCTAGCTTCCTACAGTTTAAGTCAGGGTCGGCCAACCTTTTTGGCCGAAGGGACACATGTGGTTCACTAATAATTGCGCGGGCCACCTAACAGGGTAGTTGTTCTAGTTTTGCTACAATGACCACTTAACATGGTAGTTTTGTTCTAGTTTTGCTACACTGACTACAGGTCAATGAGTAAACAAACAGTACCCGCACAACAAGCTTTCACAATTATTAGAACAATGAATGGGGCGCCATCAGTGGTTAATCCTGAAAGTTTCGCCAAAGACAAGCCAAGACGCTTGATCACTTTTATCACAGCTCTTAAAAACCAATGCCACTAGTCGTACCCTTAGCAGGGACACTGGCTGCGAGCTCCACGGTAATTTCATATCATCATCAACTCCCCGCAAGAAGATCGCCAAGTCGCCGACTGAGCAGTAAACTTGATGTCAGTGCTTTCGTCAGGCGCCAAAGAATACGATGGAAATTTTTCCGCTTTTGCAATTAAAGTTTCCGCAAAAGAGTTCCCAGGCTCTTCAACACGACGAGTTATGGTCTGTCTTGACAGGCTATTTTTGTAAACATCTCTTTTATTTCCAGTTCGTAAAACATTGGCAACCCGCACTATACATAATATACATTCCTCAACAAACTTTCTATCTGAGAATGCCTTCGTTTATTTTGCGATAACATCATATAGAGGAGTAAAAGAACAACTGTGTAAACGACTATGGGACCTTTATATATCGATATCTCCTCTCAGTTGGTTTCGATTCAAAATGGCACTCATGGCTTGATTGGAAGGGCTGGCAGAGCGCATTTCAGGGAAATAAACAAATTGTTTGTATCATATCTTTGTATACTACATCACTCGAAAAATAGTTTTACTCAATTTTTTTTATTCAATTCTGAAAATTCAGCGCGGGCCATCCGAAATGCTTCCGTGGGCCACTTATGGCCCGCGGGCCCCGGGTTGGACGACCCTGGTTTAAGTTTGAAGCAAAAATGTGAAAAATTTTGTAAAAAAATAAATAAGACTCTAGTGGGTTTATTCGTCTCAAATCGAATGACTTGGATCGGACCGTGATCACTATATAACAGATTTTCACTGTAATATATCCACTGTAATATATCCGATGTCATATATCCGATTTCCCGATTCATGGCGTTTAAATTTAGTCCGCGAAGGAAATGGAATTTCCGGTTGTCATAATAAGGGGTACAATTATTCATTAGATTTCATATAAGTGGTCTATATTTGTCGAGGTACATATACACGGCATCTTCAATTCGCTGAAGTCTTTTATATCATAATTTTCTCCTTTATTTTTTCTCCCAAATAGTGCTGGTATTTAGAAATAGGATGGACAAAATGATAACATCATTGTGCCGGAATAAAAAATATTATATTAATACAATACGATGCACCAGCCTGGAACGCGAAAGCTATGAAAAATATTAACATTATCAAAGTAGTTTAGATTTGGATAGAAATGGCACAGCGATCTTTCTAATGCGGCTATTACTATATTACCGGCAAATTTAGTTTTTTTTTCCGATTACATCACAGGATGCAACATGATATCTAACATTTCAAGTCGAATTTTATCAACTTTCTTTATGTGGATTGATTTCGTGGCAAAAAAATAATGGAAGCAGGGAAATTAGGAATCGATCGCTTTGATAGTTTGTTTTCTCAAAAGCTCACAAAAGACAAAATTGCATTCACATGTGAAATTTAAATTGAACCTATGAATTGTTGTTGTTGACTTCGTCGCTTCCAGGGTCTTACACGGACCCATATGTCACCCTAAATTTTTCTGCTATTTTTGCTTCATGGGAACATATTAACGAACATACAGTTGTAATGTGCGACTGCATTGAGAAAGCTAATTAGCATACATGATTGATGGAATTTCCGCACTTATTATAGTTATTGAAGTTAAGTTATAACGTTTATGAAATTGAAATCGCTTTCAAATTGGATTAAATTATCAATAGAAATATAAATCGCGCGAGATTTGAAATTGGGGTTATTTGAGGATCGTGAAACTTGAAAATCTATTTATATGCAGTCACGAAACTTACGTTCGTCGCGTTTCTCGGAAATATTGCTCAAAAGAAATTTACCTGTGTGCCATAAACCACGTTATTTGCATAAGATTGACGTTCAAGATCATTTAAAAAGCTTTCGAGATTTTCGATCACGAAAAGCGTTGTACCTGAAAGACTACTTACGTTATCAAGCCAAAATAATAGTACATATGTATAAGCATCTTAAGTTCCTCCACTTACTGAAAAACGATGTCGCCATATAAATTTTTTATTCAACATGAAAAACCATACAAATATCGAAAATGTAATACGATTTTAACAGGATTTAGTTATCCGCTTAACTGCGATTGTAATGTCTTACAAGCACTTAGTATAGGCAAATAAAGTAAGATTTTTTTTTATATATGAATGTACTAATATAGAACTGATACTGAGAAAAAACTGATTTTCAAAAATGCAAGAAAAAGTTTTTTGTGTTTGCAAATCGTGCTGTTATTTATTGAATTTGTTTCCGTATAACTTTAACCCTAATGGCATTTTGAATGAATGTCAAAAATTCAAGAGTTTTCTTCGAAAATAAATCATATTAAACACAGTGAATTATTTTAAAGATAATCATGTGTATCTGATTTGTAGCAGATACATGCGGGACGTATCTATTAATTAACATATATATTTTATATAAAGCACAGGATGTAAAATTTCACATACAAA